CCCTGCGTCGCCCTCATCACCGTCGTCTGCGCCATCGCCTGCACTTTCACCATCGTCGGCTGCGTCATCGTCACCTCGGCCTTACCGACCGACTCTGAAGACTCCGCCGATCCCCTCGACTCCTCGGCTCACAGCCCCAGGTTCGCCTCGATCTACAGGACGTGCACCACCCAGACTTCAGCACGTACCGCGAGCCCGCATCGGCTGAGGAGTCGCCGACGAACTCGACCTCATTGGGCGCCACTCTCGCGACGAATCTCCGGACGAAATCGATTTCCTCACCCGACACACCGCGCCTTCATCGCCATCGACGACGACACCTCTGACACAGAGGCAATTCAGCCAGTCAAGTCCATCACGAGCGACCACAGACCTGGCGCGAGGCGATGTCTAGCGACAAGCGTGAAGTATGGGCCAAGCCGCCACCGGACGAGTTCACCTCCATGCGCGACGACTTCAAGGTCTTCACCATCGAGGACCGAGCCACGGTGCCCGCGGGTGCGACTATCGTTACATCCAAGTTCGTCTGGAAAACGAAACGGAACGCACTCGGCGAAGTCACTGGACACAAGGCAAGGCTGGTCGCGCAAGGCAATCGGCAACGCGACGGCATCGACTTCAACGAAACGTTCGCACCGGTCGCACGCTTCTCCTCGATACGCTCACTCCTCGCGCTGGCGGCCGCCAACGGCTTGCACGTGCACCAGGCGGACATCGACAAAGCATATCTGCATGGCGACCTTGACCACGACATCTGGATGACGGCACGCGCGGCTTCGACCTTCCCAGCGACAAGGTGCTTCGCCTGCGACGCTCCATCTACGGGCTCAAACAGGCTGGCCGAATCTGGAATCGACACATCGACGCTTCGCTTCGGGCCCTCGGTTACACGGCGACGGGCACCGACCACTGCGTATACTCTTGGCTCGATGATCGTCAATGTCCACACTACATCGCACTGTACGTCGACGACCTCCTGATGATCAGCCCGGAACTGGCCGAAATCGAACGTGTCATCTCAGGCCTGGACCAACGCTACGGAGTCAAGCGCCTCGGCCCGGCCGAGTATATCCTCGGCATCCAGATCAGGCGTTCGACGACGGCTCTATCGCCCTATCCCAGGAACGGTACATCATGGACGTGCTCGCTCGGTTCCACTTCGACACCACGACTCGCGGCACTACAGTTCCGATGACTCCCGGCCTTTCGCTCACTGCTATCCCGGGTCAAGGCACCGAACGGATCAGGTCATGGTATCTGCAGGCTATCGGCTCGCTCCTCTACATTTCGCTCGGTACCCGCCCTGACATCGCCTTCGCCGTGTCCTACCTGGCCCGCTTCGCCAACAACCCCGGTCGTCGTCATTGGATTGCGGTCAAGCACATCCTACGCTATCTCCGGGCCACGTATCGCAACGAACTCGTGTATGCTCGCGGCCAGGCTCGCATCACGGGTGTGGTAGGCTACTCCGACGCGAACTGGGGGCCTGCATCGACACATCGGTGTCCACCATGGGCTACGTCTTCTACATCGCTGGCTCGGCCGTGTCCTGGTCGTCCAAACGCCAGTCTCGAGTTGCCGATTCGACCACCGACGCTGAATACCTCGCCCTCTCGCATGCTGGCAAGGAAGGGATTTACCTCAGTCAGCTGCTCGAAGAGCTCCATGTACAACCTGTTGCACCGGCTCACATCTTTACTGACAACGAAGCCGCTGCTGCAGTTGCTCACGATCCTGTCCGCGTCTCTGGCACTCGGCACATACGCTTGCGTGAGCACTTCGTTCGGGACATGGTGAATCGGGGCGACATCTCTCTCTCGCATGTGGGTACCAGCGACATGGTGGCCGACATCTTCACCAAGGCTCTCGGCCCAAAGGTCTTCTCAACGCACTGCTACGCCCTCGGCCTTCGCACTCGACACCCGCGGCTTGGGTCTGCCTCGCATTCGCGTGGGGGGGGGGTGTGAAGAGTCCACTCTCAGCTCGACAGGGGCGCCTCGGTCGTTGCGCGCACTTGCTAGCCCGCCCCGGCGGTGGGGACTTAGACGCGCGCGACTGCCTCAGCGCGCCAGCGCCGGCGGATTCATGCGCGCGCCCGCTAGCCCGCCCCTTGCGGTGGGGACTTAGGCGCGCCGGCGATTTCACCCGCGGCTGACTTAGGGATGTACATTGTCACGCGCCTGGGACTATCCCAGCGTGGCCCCCCCTTTCTGTTTCTTAGCTTCCTTCTCATCACTTCTGTTCGACTCTCAACCTCTCCTGACAGTAGTGGTGAACGTCTCATAGGTACGCTGAAATAGATCACTTCTGTTCGACTCTCAACCTCTCCTGACAGTAGTGGTGAACGTCTCATAGGTTATAAGCCCACGAGCCACCAGCTGGCATGACCACGACACCACCCCTCGCGACGGGTGCCAACCCTCCGATTCCCGCCGAACAGCTCGCCGCACTTACATCGCTGCTGTCGGGTCTCACCGCTGCCGCTTCCGGCACTGCCACACCCGCCACGACGTCCGGCACCACTCGCACTGCCTTTCCAAAGCACGCACGCTTGGATGGTGCGAAGACCTTCGCGAACTGGACACGCCAACTTCGCCTGTGCCTAGCGGACGACATCCGCTCGTACGTCCTCGACGGTATCACACCCGACGACTGGACACCTTCGCAACGCTCCGCTCGCGACGCCGTCGCTCGTGAGGTCCTTGCGAATTCGATTGACTCGGCCGAAGTCTCGGCAGTCCTCGACAAAATCCCTACCGCCGACCTGACAGCGCCGACAATCTACTCGACGCTGAAATCGCGGTACGCCCCTGACGACGCCACCCGCACGCTCGAGCTCTTCTCACGACTCTGGGGTTTCCGTCCCATGCCCGGCACGGTTGCCGAATTCGACGGGTGGATCATGGACTTCAAAGCCGTTGCGCAAGAGATCATCGACACAAAGACAACTATCAATGATGTTCTCGCCACACTCCTCCTTGCAATCGCCCACCCGTCCCTCGAGAGCTTCAAGGCGTCGTTCACCGATGAACAGCGCACGCAACGAACTCTCCCCGACATTGATTCGCTTGCCGACCGTATGCGAGTCCAACTTCGGTCAACGAACATCCCCAGCACTCAATCGGCCCTTCTTGCCTCGTCGTCGTCACGTTCTACTCGTCTCAAGTGTCTCGCCTGTCGCAGCCCTTCGCACCGAGTCGCGGAGTGCCCTACGAGGGCGCAACACCCGCCGCCAGGACCCTGTCGCTCCTGCAAGAAGAAGGATCACTGGTCTCTCGACTGCAAGAAGGCGCTCGAGGACGGCAAAAAGCCCGACACCGCTGACTCGACCGTCGACTCGCAACACCATGTCGGATGTCTCGCCACCGGTCTTCTCGCTCGTCGTCGCCAGCTTCGCAACCACTCTTTTGTCGTCGACTCGGGCGCCACTTCGCACATGGTCTCGGACAAGTCGCTGTTCACGACCTATCGCCATATCGCTCCTACGAAGATGTGAGGAATCCACTCTCCGCTCGGCTCAGGACTTAGGCGCGCGGAGCGAACCGGGCGCGGACTTAGGCGCGCGGAGTGAGCCGGGCGCCCCGGCCCAGGACTTAGGCGCGCGAAGCGAGCCTGGGACTTAGGCGCGCGGAGCGAGCCTGGGCCATTGGCTCAGCCCCAGGCTCGCTGGCTGTGGACTTGGGGCGCGCGGGTCTCTTATTGTTAGCTTCCTATTCATCACTCTTGGCTATAACTACATCGCTGACGTAGTAGAGTTGATCGAATAGGTATGTTGAAATGCATTTATCACTCTTGGCTATAACTACATCGCTGACGTAGTAGAGTTGATCGAATAGAGTTGATCGAATAGGTTATAAGCCCACGAGCTACCAGCCCCGCCGCTTGAGGCTTTTTCGCTCGAGCCCAGCCACTCGAGCCGCACACGTCCATCGCACCATCACATCATGGACAGCTCTCCCGCCTCGCCTTTGGCCCCCAGGGATCCCAGCTCCCCTGAATCTTCGATCGGCGAACAAATCGCCACTCTACAGGCCCAGCTTGCCGCTCTGCAGGCCTCGCAACCCGCCGCCGCCGCAGCCGCCGCACCCCCGGCCGTCACCGTCGTGCCGGGGAACGCCGCCACCGCATCCAAGGTCGTGTTTCCCAAGCACGCTCGTCTGGACGGCCCCAAGTCGTTCACCAACTGGTTGCGTCAACTCCGTCTTGCACTCCCGAACCAGGTTCGTGGTTACGTTCTCGACGGTGTCGTTCCCCCGACCTGGACCGCCGACCAGCTTGCCGCACGTGACGACGCCGCCCGGGAAATCATCGTTGGCTCTATCGACTCCGCCGACGTATCGGCCACCCTCGACGCCATCCCCAGCGACGACCTGTCGGCACCGCGCATCTTTGCCGCTCTCAAGGCTCGTTTTGCACCGGACGACGCTACACGCACTCTCGAGTTGTTCGCTCGCCTTTGGGACTTCAGGAAGATGCCTGCCTCCGTCGAGGCCTACGACACTTGGCTACGCGAGTACATGTCGATTGCTCAGGAAATACGCGACGCCAAAACATCGCTCAACGACGTGCTCGCCACCCACGTGCTCGCCATGGTCCCGTCTTGCCTCGACAGCTTCCGACTCACGTTCACGGACGAGCAGCGAAACCGACGCGACCTTCCCGAACTCACGACGCTTACGGACCGCATTCGCATCCAGCTTCGTTCGGCAGGACTCTCGACCTCGCATTCGGCCATGCTTGCCACCAGCTCCCCCTGCCCCGCCTGCCGCGCTCCCGGTCACCGCCTGCGCGACTGCACTTCACGTGCGAAGCACCCGCCCACCGGCCCCTGCCGCCGATGCCACAAGAAAGGTCACTGGGCACTCGACTGCAAGAACCGGGGTGAACAGGCACGTAGCAGCGACGACACCCAGGACGACACGTCTTCCTCCGCGGCCTCGCAACCGAACGTCGGCTATTTCGCCTCCTGCCTCTTCGCTCGTCGCCAACTCCCAACTGACGCCTTTGTAGTCGATTCGGGTGCCACGACACACATGGTCGCCGACCGATCTCTATTCACGACTTATCGTCAGACGGCACACACCAAGATCGGCGGCATCGCGGGCGGCATCACGGCTATCGGCATGGGGGACGTGGCATTCGTCGCCAAGACTGGACACCCGATCACGCTCCGTGGTGTTCTTCACACGCCTGGCCTACACGTCAACCTCCTCTCTGTCTCTCGCCTCTGCGACACCGACCGCGTTCGTCTCGCCTTCACCAGCGACGGCATCGACATCGCCAAGGACGGCCGGGCCATTGCTCACGGTACCAGGGTCAACGACGGTCTTTACCTTTTGGACGCGGATCACACCAAGTGTCAGCATCTTGCCTTCCTCTCACGCTCTGAGTCTCCCGTGCCCCTGCTTACCCTACACCGCTGCCTCGGCCATCTTGCCCCATCCTCTATACAGAAGATGATTGCTGCAGGTTTGCTGGACGGGTTTGGGGCCGGGTACAGTGACAAAGACGTAGAGGAGTTTGTTTGCAATGCTTGCCTTGGTTCCAAAGGTCACCGCCTTCCCTTTCCCGACTCTGAGTCGCATTCCGCCGAGAGACTTGGCCTCGTGCACAGCGACGTCCTGTCGTTCCCCACTCCGTCCTTGACCGGGAAGCGCTACCTTGTCACGTTTCTAGACGACCACTCTCGCAAACTCTGGGCATATGCGATCGATCACAAAAGCGATGTTTTCCCGACCTTCCAGACTTGGCTCGCCGAAGTGGAGTTAGAGACGAACGCGCGGTTGAGGATCCTTCGAACCGACAATGGCGGGGAGTACCGATCAAACGCATTCACGGAGTTCTGCAAATCCAAGGGCATTCGTCGTCAATACTCTATCCCTTACACGCCTCAACAAAACGGTCGCGCCGAACGTGTCAACCTCTCCATCGTCGAGGGCGTCCTCGCTCTCCTTGCGGACGCCCGTCTGCCGGCCACCTTTTGGGATGAAGCGGCTGCGTATTTCGTTTATTGCAAAAACAGGTGCTCACACTCAGCTTTGGCCAAACAGACTCCAGAATCCGTTTGGAACGGCCAACGCACCACCGCCACCGCCCTCCACCCGTTCGGCTGCACAGCCTGGCTCACGGTCGCCCCGGACCTTCGCAGCAAGCTCGACCCCAAGGCCGCGCGCGTGATCTTCACAGGTTACGACCTCGCCTCCAAAGCTTTCCGTTTCTTTGACCATTCCATCAACAAGATTGTACTTGGTCGCAATGCCACCTTCCTCGACGACGACTTCCCCGGCCTGCCAGTCACCACGCCCGTCGATGCAGACGACACCGACCGTCAGTTCGTCGTTCCCGCCGACACGCCCGCCCCTGCCGTCAAGACGAGGACCCCACTAGTAAGGTCGGCGCACATGGACGTCTCATCCTCCCTTGATGATTCTGCCATGAGCGCCGTTGACGTGGCCCCAGGGTACACTGGCGGAACCTTACTTAATTCCACAGATACCGAATCGTCCTCGTCACCGTCTCCTGAGCCGTCCTCGTCACCGTCGCCCACAAACCCTTTGTCACCGTCGCCTGCGCTGTCACCGTCGTTGGCAGCGTCATCGTCACCCTCGGTCTCACCGACCGACTCTGACTACTCCGCCGACCCTCTGGACCTCATCGGCTCACAGACCCCGACTCGCCTTGGCCCACCGGACGTGCACCGCCCAGACTTCAGCACGTACCGTGAGCCCGCATCGGCTGAGGAGTCGCCCGACGAACTCGACATCATTGGGCGTCACTCGCGCGATGAATCGCCGGATGAAATCGATTTCCTCACCCAACACCACCGCGCCTTCATCGCCACAGACGACGACGACCCCACCCTCGACGCCATCGAGCCCGTCAAATCGATCACTAGCGACCCCCAGACCTGGCGCGAAGCAATGTCCAGCGACGAGCACAACATCTGGGCTGAGGCCGCCGCCGCCGAGTTCACCGCCATGCGCGACGACTTCAAGGTGTTCACCATCGAGCCTCGCTCATCTGTACCGCCGGGCGCCACCATCGTCACCTCCAAATTCGTCTGGAAGACCAAGCGCAACGCAAGCGGTGAAGTCACGGGGCGGAAGGCACGTCTTGTAGCGCAGGGTAACCGACAGCGCGACGGCATCGACTTCTCAGAAACCTTCGCACCCGTCGCCCGTTTCTCCTCCATTCGCTGCCTCCTGGCTCTTGCCGCTGCCAATGGCTACCACGTTCATCAGGCCGACATCGACAAGGCTTACCTCCACGGCGAGCTCGATCATGATATCTGGATGACGACACCACGCGGTTTCGACTTCCCGAGCGATAAGGTTCTCCGGCTGCGACGCTCAATCTACGGTCTCAAGCAGGCCGGTCGCATCTGGAATCGTCACATTGACACATCACTCAGGAATCTGGGGTACAAGGCAACAGGCACTGATCACTGCATTTACTCTCGCATTGACGATCAGCAGCGGCCTCACTATATCGCCTTGTATGTCGACGACCTCCTCATTGTCAGTCCAGCCCTCGACGAGATCGAACGTGTCATCTCCGGCCTTGAACAGCGGTACGGCGTCAAACGACTCGGCCCCGCGGAGTACATCCTCGGAATCCAAATACGCCGCCTGGACGACGGTTCCATTGCTCTATCCCAGGAGCGCTACATCATGGACGTGCTGGCCCGTTTCCACTTCGACACCACGACACGCGGCACTACGGTGCCGATGACGCCCGGCCTCTCGCTCACGGCAATTCCGGGTCAGGGAACGGAGCGCATTCGTTCGTGGTACCTACAGGCCATCGGCTCCCTCCTCTACATCTCCCTTGGCACTCGACCCGACATTGCCTTCGCCGTCTCGTACCTGTCCCGGTTCGCCAACAACCCCGGCCGCCGCCATTGGATTGCCGTCAAACACGTCCTTCGCTACCTTCGCGCCACGTACCGCGATGAGCTTCTCTATGCCCGCGGCCCAGCAAAAGTCACGGGTGTGGTTGGTTATTCTGATGCGAACTGGGGCGCCTGCGTCGACACATCCATTTCAACGATGGGCTACGTATTTTACTTGGCAGGCGCCGCTGTCTCTTGGTCGTCGAAGCGTCAGACTCGGGTAGCGGATTCCACCACTGATGCCGAGTACCTGGCCTTGTCGCACGCGGGTAAGGAAGCGATCTACCTTAACCAACTCCTCTCCGAGCTCCACGTTTGCCCAATCGCTGCAGCTCACATCTTCACCGACAACGAGGCCGCGGCCGCCGTCGCTCACGACCCCGTTCGCACCTCCGGCACCCGGCACATTCGCCTCCGCGAGCATTTTGTCCGTGACATGGTCAATCGAGGTGATATCTCTCTCTCACACGTTGGCACAGCAGACATGGTTGCGGACGTATTCACCAAAGCGCTAGGCCCCAAGATTTTTGGTACACATTGCTATGCTCTAGGCCTCCGGACGCGACATCCACGGCTCAAGTCTACCTCGCGTTCGCGTGGGGGGGGGTGTGAGGAATCCACTCTCCGCTCGGCTCAGGACTTAGGCGCGCGGAGCGAACCGGGCGCGGACTTAGGCGCGCGGAGTGAGCCGGGCGCCCCGGCCCAGGACTTAGGCGCGCGAAGCGAGCCTGGGACTTAGGCGCGCGGAGCGAGCCTGGGCCATTGGCTCAGCCCCAGGCTCGCTGGCTGTGGACTTGGGGCGCGCGGGTCTCTTATTGTTAGCTTCCTATTCATCACTCTTGGCTATAACTACATCGCTGACGTAGTAGAGTTGATCGAATAGGTATGTTGAAATGCATTTATCACTCTTGGCTATAACTACATCGCTGACGTAGTAGAGTTGATCGAATAGAGTTGATCGAATAGAAGATTGGTGGTATTGCAGGGGGCATCAACGCCATCGGAACGGGAAACATCGCCTTCATTGCCGCCTCGGGTCATCCGATCACGCTTACCGGCGTGCTGCACACTCCGGGCCTGTTTGTCAATCTTCTCTCGGTCTCTCGACTTTGCGACACCGACGATGTCCGTGTCGCCTTCACAAAACACGGCATCCACATTGACAAGGACGGCAACGACATCGCTGAAGGCGCACGACTCGACGAAGGGCTCTACTTGCTGGACGCTGATCATTCCAAATGTCAGCACCTTGCTCTCCTTTCTCGCTCACAGTCGTCCGTGCCCCTGCTGACTCTCCATCGCTGCCTCGGCCATCTCGCACCGTCCTCCATACAGAAGATGGTTGCCGCTGGTTTGCTGGAGGGTCTCAGGGCCGGATATAGTGACGAAGAGGTAGAGAAGTTTGTCTGCAATGCTTGCCTCAGCGCAAAGGGCCATCGTCTTCCCTTTCCCGATTCGGATTCGCACTCCTCAGAGAGACTCGGCCTTGTACACAGCGATGTGCTTTCCTTCCCCGAGCGGTCCTTGACTGGCAAACGTTACCTGGTCACATTCCTTGACGATTACTCGCGCAAACTCTGGGCCTACGCAATCGGACACAAAAGCGAAGTCTTCGGCATATTCAAAACTTGGCTAGCCGAGGTTGAACTCGAGACGGGTGCGACGCTGAAGGTCCTCCGAACCGACAACGGTGGCGAATACTGTTCGAGAGCGTTCACAGAGTTCTGCAAGACACGAGGCACCCGTCGACAATACTCTATCCCACGCACGCCTCAACAGAACGGTCGTGCAGAGCGGGTCAATCGTTCCATTGTCGAAGGCGTCCTTGCCCTCCTTGTCGACGCCCACCTACCCAAGACATTCTGGGAGGAGGCTGCAGCTTATTTCGTTTACTGCAAGAACCTGTGTCAACACGCGGCCCTGGACAAGGCAACACCAAACTCCGTCTGGCAGGGTGACCACACCACTGCCTCGGCGCTTCACCCGTTCGGCTGTACAGCTTGGCTTACGGTCGCGCCCGAACTTCGCTCCAAACTCGACCCGAAGGCGGTTCGCGTTTTTTTCACCGGCTACGACCTGGCTTCAAAAGCCTTTCGCTTCTACGACACTACAACACAGAAGATTATACTTGGCAGAAATGCCACGTTCCTCGACACTGAATTCCCCGGATTACATGGCGACCCCACTGAGCAAGACGGCGACACGCACTTCGCCAGCGCTCCCACCACCGAATCTCAAACCGTTGTCAAGACATGGACCCCACTAGTAAGGTCGGCGCACATGGACGTCTCATCCCCCCTTGATGATTCTGCCATGAGCGCCGTTGACGTGGCCCCAGGGTACACTGGCGGAACCTTACTTAACTTCACAGATGCCGAATCGTCCTCGTCACCGTCGCCTGCGTCGCCCTCATCACCGTCGTCTGCGCCATCGCCTGCACTTTCACCATCGTCGGCTGCGTCATCGTCACCCTCGGCCTTACCGACCGACTCTGAAGACTCCGCCGATCCCCTCGACCTCCTCGGCTCACAGCCCCAGGTTCGCCTCGATCTACAGGACGTGCACCACCCAGACTTCAGCACGTACCGCGAGCCCGCATCGGCTGAGGAGTCGCCCGACGAACTCGACCTCATTGGGCGCCACTCTCGCGACGAATCTCCGGACGAAATCGATTTCCTCACCCGACACCACCGCGCCTTCATCGCCATCGACGACGACACCTCTGACACAGAGGCAATTCAGCCAGTCAAGTCCATCACGAGCGACCCACAGACCTGGCGCGAGGCGATGTCTAGCGACAAGCGTGAAGTATGGGCCAAAGCCGCCACCGACGAGTTCACCTCCATGCGCGACGACTTCAAGGTCTTCACCATCGAGGACCGAGCCACGGTGCCCGCGGGTGCGACTATCGTTACATCCAAGTTCGTCTGGAAAACGAAACGGAACGCACTCGGCGAAGTCACTGGACACAAGGCAAGGCTGGTCGCGCAAGGCAATCGGCAACGCGACGGCATCGACTTCAACGAAACGTTCGCACCGGTCGCACGCTTCTCCTCGATACGCTCACTCCTCGCGCTGGCGGCCGCCAACGGCTTGCACGTGCACCAGGCGGACATCGACAAAGCATATCTGCATGGCGACCTTGACCACGACATCTGGATGACGGCACCGCGCGGCTTCGACCTTCCCAGCGACAAGGTGCTTCGCCTGCGACGCTCCATCTACGGGCTCAAACAGGCTGGCCGAATCTGGAATCGACACATCGACGCTTCGCTTCGGGCCCTCGGTTACACGGCGACGGGCACCGACCACTGCGTATACTCTTGGCTCGATGATCGTCAATGTCCACACTACATCGCACTGTACGTCGACGACCTCCTGATGATCAGCCCGGAACTGGCCGAAATCGAACGTGTCATCTCAGGCCTGGACCAACGCTACGGAGTCAAGCGCCTCGGCCCGGCCGAGTATATCCTCGGCATCCAGATCAGGCGGTTCGACGACGGCTCTATCGCCCTATCCCAGGAACGGTACATCATGGACGTGCTCGCTCGGTTCCACTTCGACACCACGACTCGCGGCACTACAGTTCCGATGACTCCCGGCCTTTCGCTCACTGCTATCCCGGGTCAAGGCACCGAACGGATCAGGTCATGGTATCTGCAGGCTATCGGCTCGCTCCTCTACATTTCGCTCGGTACCCGCCCTGACATCGCCTTCGCCGTGTCCTACCTGGCCCGCTTCGCCAACAACCCCGGTCGTCGTCATTGGATTGCGGTCAAGCACATCCTACGCTATCTCCGGGCCACGTATCGCAACGAACTCGTGTATGCTCGCGGCCAGGCTCGCATCACGGGTGTGGTAGGCTACTCCGACGCGAACTGGGGGGCCTGCATCGACACATCGGTGTCCACCATGGGCTACGTCTTCTACATCGCTGGCTCGGCCGTGTCCTGGTCGTCCAAACGCCAGTCTCGAGTTGCCGATTCGACCACCGACGCTGAATACCTCGCCCTCTCGCATGCTGGCAAGGAAGGGATTTACCTCAGTCAGCTGCTCGAAGAGCTCCATGTACAACCTGTTGCACCGGCTCACATCTTTACTGACAACGAAGCCGCTGCTGCAGTTGCTCACGATCCTGTCCGCGTCTCTGGCACTCGGCACATACGCTTGCGTGAGCACTTCGTTCGGGACATGGTGAATCGGGGCGACATCTCTCTCTCGCATGTGGGTACCAGCGACATGGTGGCCGACATCTTCACCAAGGCTCTCGGCCCAAAGGTCTTCTCAACGCACTGCTACGCCCTCGGCCTTCGCACTCGACACCCGCGGCTTGGGTCTGCCTCGCATTCGCGTGGGGGGGGTGTGAAGAGTCCACTCTCAGCTCGACAGGGGCGCCTCGGTCGTTGCGCGCACTTGCTAGCCCGCCCCCGGCGGTGGGGACTTAGACGCGCGCGACTGCCTCAGCGCGCCAGCGCCGGCGGATTCATGCGCGCGCCCGCTAGCCCGCCCCCTTGCGGTGGGGACTTAGGCGCGCCGGCGATTTCACCCGCGGCTGACTTAGGGATGTACATTGTCACGCGCCTGGGACTATCCCAGCGTGGCCCCCCCCTTTCTGTTTCTTAGCTTCCTTCTCATCACTTCTGTTCGACTCTCAACCTCTCCTGACAGTAGTGGTGAACGTCTCATAGGTACGCTGAAATAGATCACTTCTGTATTCGATCAACTCTACTACGTCAGCGATGTAGTTATAGCCAAGAGTGATCAATGCATTTCAACATACCTATTCGATCAACTCTACTACGTCAGCGATGTAGTTATAGCCAAGAGTGATGAATAGGAAGCTAACAATAAGAGACCCGCGCGCCCCAAGTCCACAGCCAGCGAGCCTGGGGCTGAGCCAATGGCCCAGGCTCGCTCCGCGCGCCTAAGTCCCAGGCTCGCTTCGCGCGCCTAAGTCCTGGGCCGGGGCGCCCGGCTCACTCCGCGCGCCTAAGTCCGCGCCCGGTTCGCTCCGCGCGCCTAAGTCCTGAGCCGAGCGGAGAGTGGATTCCTCACACCCCCCCCCACGCGAACGCGAGGTAGACTTGAGCCGTGGATGTCGCGTCCGGAGGCCTAGAGCATAGCAATGTGTACCAAAAATCTTGGGGCCTAGCGCCTTGGTGAATACGTCCGCAACCATGTCTGCTGTGCCAACGTGTGAGAGAGAGATATCACCTCGATTGACCATGTCACGGACAAAATGCTCGCGGAGGCGAATGTGCCGGGTGCCGGAGGTGCGAACGGGGTCGTGAGCGACGGCGGCCGCGGCCTCGTTGTCGGTGAAGATGTGAGCTGCAGCGATTGGGCAAACGTGGAGCTCGGAGAGGAGTTGGTTAAGGTAGATCGCTTCCTTACCCGCGTGCGACAAGGCCAGGTACTCGGCATCAGTGGTGGAATCCGCTACCCGAGTCTGACGCTTCGACGACCAAGAGACAGCGGCGCCTGCCAAGTAAAATACGTAGCCCATCGTTGAAATGGATGTGTCGACGCAGGCGCCCCAGTTCGCATCAGAATAACCAACCACACCCGTGACTTTTGCTGGGCCGCGGGCATAGAGAAGCTCATCGCGGTACGTGGCGCGAAGGTAGCGAAGGACGTGTTTGACGGCAATCCAATGGCGGCGGCCGGGGTTGTTGGCGAACCGGGACAGGTACGAGACGGCGAAGGCAATGTCGGGTCGAGTGCCAAGGGAGATGTAGAGGAGGGAGCCGATGGCCTGTAGGTACCACGAACGAATGCGCTCCGTTCCCTGACCCGGAATTGCCGTGAGCGAGAGGCCGGGCGTCATCGGCACCGTAGTGCCGCGTGTCGTGGTGTCGAAGTGGAAACGGGCCAGCACGTCCATGATGTAGCGCTCCTGGGATAGAGCAATGGAACCGTCGTCCAGGCGGCGTATTTGGATTCCGAGGATGTACTCCGCGGGGCCGAGTCGTTTGACGCCGTACCGCTGTTCAAGGCCGGAGATGACACGTTCGATCTCGTCGAGGGCTGGACTGACAATGAGGAGGTCGTCGACATACAAGGCGATATAGTGAGGCCGCTGCTGATCGTCAATGCGAGAGTAAATGCAGTGATCAGTGCCTGTTGCCTTGTACCCCAGATTCCTGAGTGATGTGTCAATGTGACGATTCCAGATGCGACCGGCCTGCTTGAGACCGTAGATTGAGCGTCGCAGCCGGAGAACCTTATCGCTCGGGAAGTCGAAACCGCGTGGTGTCGTCATCCAGATATCATGATCGAGCTCGCCGTGGAGGTAAGCCTTGTCGATGTCGGCCTGATGAACGTGGTAGCCATTGGCAGCGGCAAGAGCCAGGAGGCAGCGAATGGAGGAGAAACGGGCGACGGGTGCGAAGGTTTCTGAGAAGTCGATGCCGTCGCGCTGTCGGTTACCCTGCGCTACAAGACGTGCCTTCCGCCCCGTGACTTCACCGCTTGCGTTGCGCTTGGTCTTCCAGACGAATTTGGAGGTGACGATGGTGGCGCCCGGCGGTACAGATGAGCGAGGCTCGATGGTGAACACCTTGAAGTCGTCGCGCATGGCGGTGAACTCGGCGGCGGCGGCCTCAGCCCAGATGTTGTGCTCGTCGCTGGACATTGCTTCGCGCCAGGTCTGGGGGTCGCTAGTGATCGATTTGACGGGCTCGATGGCGTCGAGGGTGGGGTCGTCGTCGTCTGTGGCGATGAAGGCGCGGTGGTGTTGGGTGAGGAAATCGATTTCATCCGGCGATTCATCGCGTGAGTGACGCCCAATGATGTCGAGTTCGTCGGGCGACTCCTCAGCCGATGCGGGCTCACGGTACGTGCTGAAGTCTGGGCGGTGCACGTCCGGTGGGCCAAGGCGAGTCGGGGTCTGTGAGCCGATGAGGTCCAGAGGGTCGGCGGAGTAGTCAGAGTCGGTCGGTGAGACCGAGGGTGACGATGACGCTGCCAACGACGGTGACAGCGCAGGCGACGGTGACAAAGGGTTTGTGGGCGACGGTGACGAGGACGGCTCAGGAGACGGTGACGAGGACGATTCGGTATCTGTGGAATTAAGTAAGGTTCCGCCAGTGTACCCTGGGGCCACGTCAACGGCGCTCATGGCAGAATCATCAAGGGAGGATGAGACGTCCATGTGCGCCGACCTTACTAGTGGGGTCCTCGTCTTGACGGCAGGGGCGGGCGTGTCGGCGGGAACGACGAACTGACGGTCGGTGTCGTCTGCATCGACGGGCGTGGTGACTGGCAGGCCGGGGAAGTCGTCGTCGAGGAAGGTGGCATTGCGACCAAGTACAATCTTGTTGATGGAATGGTCAAAGAAACGGAAAGCTTTGGAGGCGAGGTCGTAACCTGTGAAGATCACGCGCGCGGCCTTGGGGTCGAGCTTGCTGCGAAGGTCCGGGGCGACCGTGAGCCAGGCTGTGCAGCCGAACGGGTGGAGGGCGGTGGCGGTGGTGCGTTGGCCGTTCCAAACGGATTCTGGAGTCTGTTTGGCCAAAGCTGAGTGTGAGCACCTGTTTTTGCAATAAACGAAATACGCAGCCGCTTCATCCCAAAAGGTGGCCGGCAGACGGGCGTCCGCAAGGAGAGCGAGGACGCCCTCGACGATGGAGAGGTTGACACGTTCGGCGCGACCGTTTTGTTGAGGCGTGTAAGGGATAGAGTATTGACGACGAATGCCCTTGGATTTGCAGAACTCCGTGAATGCGTTTGATCGGTACTCCCCGCCATTGTCGGTTCGAAGGATCCTCAACCGCGCGTTCGTCTCTAACTCCACTTCGGCGAGCCAAGTCTGGAAGGTCGGGAAAACATCGCTTTTGTGATCGATCGCATATGCCCAGAGTTTGCGAGAGTGGTCGTCTAGAAACGTGACAAGGTAGCGCTTCCCGGTCAAGGACGGAGTGGGGAACGACAGGACGTCGCTGTGCACGAGGCCAAGTCTCTCGGCGGAATGCGACTCAGAGTCGGGAAAGGGAAGGCGGTGACCTTTGGAACCAAGGCAAGCATTGCAAACAAACTCCTCTACGTCTTTGTCACTGTACCCGGCCCCAAACCCGTCCAGCAAACCTGCAGCAATCATCTTCTGTATAGAGGATGGGGCAAGATGGCCGAGGCAGCGGTGTAGGGTAAGCAGGGGCACGGGAGACTCAGAGCGTGAGAGGAAGGCAAGATGCTGACACTTGGTGTGATCCGCGTCCAAAAGGTAAAGACCGTCGTTGACCCTGGTACCGTGAGCAATGGCCCGGCCGTCCTTGGCGATGTCGATGCCGTCGCTGGTGAAGGCGAGACGAACGCGGTCGGTGTCGCAGAGGCGAGAGACAGAGAGGAGGTTGACGTGTAGGCCAGGCGTGTGAAGAACACCACGGAGCGTGATCGGGTGTCCAGTCTTGGCGACGAATGCCACGTCCCCCATGCCGATAGCCGTGATGCCGCCCGCGATGCCGCCGATCTTGGTGTGTGCCGTCTGACGATAAGTCGTGAATAGAGATCGGTCGGCGACCATGTGTGTCGTGGCACCCGAATCGACTACAAAGGCGTCAGTTGGGAGTTGGCGACGAGCGAAGAGACAGGAGGCGAAATAGCCGACGTTCGGTTGCGAGGCCGCGGAGGAAGACGTGTCGTCCTGGGTGTCGTCGCTGCTACGTGCCTGTTCACCCCGGTTCTTGCAGTCGAGTGCCCAGTGACCTTTCTTGTGGCATCGGCGGCAGGGGCCGGTGGGCGGGTGCTTCGCACGTGAAGTGCAGTCGCGCAGGCGGTGACCGGGAGCGCGGCAGGCGGGGCAAGGGGAGCGCGTGGCAAGCATGGCCGAATGCGAGGTCGAGAGTCCTGCCGAACGAAGCTGGATGCGAATGCGGTCCGTAAGCGTCGTGAGTTCGGGAAGGTCGCGTCGGTTTCGCTGCTCGTCCGTGAACGTGAGTCGGAAGCTGTCGAGGCAAGACGGGACCATGGCGAGCACGTGGGTGGCGAGCACGTCGTTGAGCGATGTTTTGGCGTCGCGTATTTCCTGAGCAATCGACATGTACTCGCGTAGCCAAGTGTCGTAGGCCTCGACGGAGGCAGGCATCTTCCTGAAGTCCCAAAGGCGAGCGAACAACTCGAGAGTGCGTGTAGCGTCGTCCGGTGCAAAACGAGCCTTGAGAGCGGCAAAGATGCGCGGTGCCGACAGGTCGTCGCTGGGGATGGCGTCGAGGGTGGCCGATACGTCGGCGGAGTCGATAGAGCCAACGATGATTTCCCGGGCGGCGTCGTCACGTGCGGCAAGCTGGTCGGCGGTCCAGGTCGGGGGAACGACACCGTCGAGAACGTAACCACGAACCTGGTTCGGGAGTGCAAGACGGAGTTGACGCAACCAGTTGGTGAACGACTTGGGGCCGTCCAGACGAGCGTGCTTGGGAAACACGACCTTGGATGCGGTGGCGGCGTTCCCCGGCACGATGGTGACGGCCGGGGGTGCGGCGGCTGCGGCGGCGGCGGGTTGCGAGGCCTGCAGAGCGGCAAGCTGGGCCTGTAGAGTGGCGATTTGTTCGCCGATCGAAGATTCAGGGGAGCTGGGATCCCTGGGGGCCAAAGGCGAGGCGGGAGAGCTGTCCATGATGTGATGGTGCGATGGACGTGTGCGGCTCGAGTGGCTGGGCTCGAGCGAAAAAGCCTCAAGCGGCGGGGCTGGTAGCTCGTGGGCTTATAACCTATTCGATCAACTCTACTACGTCAGCGATGTAGTTATAGCCAAGAGTGATCAATGCATTTCAACATACCTATTCGATCAACTCTACTACGTCAGCGATGTAGTTATAGCCAAGAGTGATGAATAGGAAGCTAACAATAAGAGACCCGCGCGCCCCAAGTCCACAGCCAGCGAGCCTGGGGCTGAGCCAATGGCCCAGGCTCGCTCCGCGCGCCTAAGTCCCAGGCTCGCTTCGCGCGCCTAAGTCCTGGGCCGGGGCGCCCGGCTCACTCCGCGCGCCTAAGTCCGCGCCCGGTTCGCTCCGCGCGCCTAAGTCCTGAGCCGAGCGGAGAGTGGATTCCTCACATTCTGTTCGACTCTCAACCTCTCCTGACAGTAGTGGTGAACGTCTCATAGCTTGAACCAAACTTCCCTCTCCCTCGCCGTCAGTGCCTTCGAGTTGACTGCCTTCCAGAAGCTCCTGAGGTCGTCCGGCTGCGGTGGTCCCTTGAGCCCGAGCATGTTGGTAAATGCCTTCACGTTCAGGACCCGGCGGATGCGACGGACTGTGTAGGGGCGAGCCATGTTCAGCAGCGTATACTGGCTCGCCTGTTGTGGAAGCACCGGGTCCGGAAGGCGCTGCTCCATTGCGAAGCGGGCCACGGGCTTGGGGATGATCGCCTCGAGTGGTGCGCTGGTGCCGATCCGGGGAGGCACGTTGAGTCGTCCCGCCGCCACCGCCGCCGCCAAGGGGGTGTTCTTGTGTCGATCGACAGTGAACCGGTACCAGGCCGCGATTGCCAGTCGCTGCGGGAGCCCGCGTCGATTGTACTCGCTGTTGTCGCCGAGCACATCCGCAGGCGGCGTCCAGAGGTGAAACCCCCCACCCGCATACAACTCGCGTCGATAGAGATCCGCCACCTTCGGGTTGTTGAACTTCGCTCCATCTCACTTCTAGGACAATATGCGCTCACTGAAGTAGAGGTGCCTCGCCTTTTGGTGCAGTGGTATATTGTTCCTTCATAGGTTATGAGCCCAGAGCAACCAGCAGGTCATGAGTTCAATCCCCCCTGGGGTCAGGCAATTTTGCGCGCATACACTCAGCGTCCCGGCCCCCGCACTTGCCCAGCGGCGTGCCAAGCACCCTGGCGCATCGACAGTGCTCACAGTGCCCAAGCTGCACTTGCCCAAGCGACCTGATCAACATGCCCAGTTGCCTCACAGCCGCACCCACTGCCACAAGCTCTTCAGCTTCGCGCACAGGGGGGTGTTGAACTTCGCTCCATCTCACTTCTAGGACAATATGCGCTCACTGAAGTAGAGGTGCCTCGCCTTTTGGTGCAGTGGTATATTGTTCCTTCATACGGGTAGCCCTGGAGACGAAGGTAGTCAGGTACATGAACCGCGTCGATGGTCTGTCTCCCTCTGATGGGGGTGTGGAGGCTGCCGAGCAGGGTGGGCAGCGCGAGTAAGTTCGCGGTGGTCAAGGCCCTCGGGTTGACCTGTGCGTCGTGAAGTTTCGGAACGCCCAGTGCGGCGTGCCATCGGGGATGAAGGTCGTTGGGGATGGGAGTGGATGGATGTGGCCAGGTCGAGGTCGGGCTGAGCTCGCTGGAGTGATGCGCGCGCAAGTCCTTGCCAAATCGCGCCGGAACCGCCGAGAAGAACGTCCCAGAGCCGTGCCGCAACCGCGTCCACAACGTCCCGCATCCTTATCACCCCGAGTCCCCCCTTGTTCTTGGCGGTGAACACAATGTCTCTGCCGTAGCTGGTCCTGCCCTTGCCCCCACGGACGAAATTGACGACTTCGGGCGGCGGGATGTCGGCTGCAAGGAAATGCAGGATCTTGGGAATGGCGTACCGATTGACGTAAAAGGCACGGGTGTGGTGCGTGAGCCAGCGATGCTGAACCGCTTCCAGCATGATTTTTTTTTTTTTTTTTTACTGGGGCTCATAAATTGCAGAGCACTTCCCTCCCTTTGCTTTTGCCACCCTTCCCCCAGAGCTTGGTCAACTCTTCTAGACTCGTACCCTCCCTCTTTTTACCCATTTCGCTGGCAATTAAGTCCGTTACACTTGATTTGCTGCGAAGCCTTCCGACCGAATCCACTCCTCGGTCGCTCTCGGTCGACTGCTGCCGCCCAGCCGACTCGACCTTCCCATCGGCCTGGTCAGCTATTTCTTGGATCGTTTGCCCTCCCTCTTCTTTCCGACCTCGTTGGCTACCATAGTCCGGTACACTGGACTTGCTGCGAGCCTTGCAACCGCGTATCCTCCGCGGTTGCCTCTCGGTCGACACCCCTTTCGCTTCTTCGCGCGCTCTCTCGCTCTCTCCCTCGTCTCTCGCGTGTGGTCATCGTCATCCCCTCCGACGTTGCCTGTCATTGTCAATGTGGATGCCGTGTTTCGTGAAGGCGACACGGACATCGTCGGTGTCGCAAAGTCGAGAGACTGAGAGAAGATTGACAAACAGGCCCGGAGTGTGCAGCACGCCGGTAAGCGTGATCGGATGACCCGAGGCGGCAACGAAGGCGATGTTTCCCGTTCCGATGGCGTTGATGCCCCCTGCAATACCACCAATCTTCGTAGGAGCGATATGGCGATAGGTCGTGAACAGCGACTTGTCCGAGACCATGTGCAAAGTGGTGCCCGAGTCGACGACAAAAGAGTGGTTGCGAAGCTGGCGACGACGAGCGAGAAGACCGGTGGCGAGACATCCGACATGGTGTTGCGAGTCGACGGTCGAGTCAGCGGTGTCGGGCTTTTTGCCGTCCTCGAGCGCCTTCTTGCAGTCGAGAGACCAGTGATCCTTCTTCTTGCAGGAGCGACAGGGTCCTGGCGGCGGGTGTTGCGCCCTCGTAGGGCACTCCGCGACTTGGTGCGAAGGGCTGCGACAGGCGAGACACTTGGGACGGGTAGAACGTGACGACGACGAGGCAAGAAGGGCCGATTGAGTGCTGGGGATGTTCGTTGACCGAAGTTGGACTCGCATACGGTCGGCAAGCGAATCAATGTCGGGGAGAGTTCGTTGCGTGCGCTGTTCATCGGTGAACGACACCTTGAAGCTCTCGAGGGACGGGTGGGCGATTGCAAGGAGGAGTGTGGTGAGAACATCATTGATAGTTGTCTTTCTGTCGATGATCTCTTGCGCAACGGCTTTGAACTCCATGATCCACCCGTCGAATTTGGCAACCGTGCCAGGCATGGGACGGAAACCCCAGAGTCGTGAGAAGAGCTCGAGCGTGCGGGTGGCGTCGTCAGGGGTGTACCGCGATTTCAGCGTCGAGTAGATTGTCGGCGCTGTCAGGTCGGCGGTAGGGATTTTGTCGAGGACTGCCGAGACTTCGGCCGAGTCAATCGAATTCGCAAGGACCTCACGAGCGACGGCGTCGCAAGCGGAGCGTTGCGAAGGTGTCCAGTCGTCGGGTACGATACCGTCGAGGACGTACGAGCGGATGTCGTCCGCTAGGCACAGGCGAAGTTGGCGTGTCCAGTTCGCGAAGGTCTTCGCACCATCCAAGCGTGCGTGCTTTGGAAAGGCAGTGCGAGTGGTGCCAGACGTCATGGCGGGTGTGGCAGTGCCGGAAGCGGCAGCGGTGAGACCCGACAGCAGCGATGTAAGTGCGGCGAGCTGTTCGGCGGGAATCGGAGGGTTGGCACCCGTCGCGAGGGGTGGTGTCGTGGCCATGCCAGCTGGTGGCTCGTGGGCTTATAACCTATGAGACGATCACCACTACTGTCAGGAGAGGTTGAGAGTCAAACAGAAGTGATGAGAAGGAAGCTAAGAAACAGAAAGGGGGGCCACGCTGGGATAGGCCCAGGCGCGTGACAATGTACATCCCTAAGTCAGCCGCGGGTGAAATTGCCGGCGCGCCTAAGTCCCCACCGCAAGGGGGCGGGCTAGCGGGCGCGCACATGAATCCGCCGACGCTGGCGCGCTGAGGCAGTCGCGCGCGTCTAAGTCCCCACCGCCGGGGGGCGGGCTAGCAAGTGCGCGCAACGACCGAGGCGCCCCTGTCGAGCTGAGAGTGGACTCTTCACAGTCGGACCATCATTTTTCCTCAGCTACCCCTCTTCCTTTCCCTCTGTCCACCTTCGTCACCTCGACCTGCATCGCCGCTGCCGCCGACATCGACCTCGTCACCCTCCACGCCTCTATTCCATCCTTCACCACGACGTGGCTCTTCCCTTTGATGATGACTCGCTTGGCGTCGGTTGGTTCGTGACAAGCGACGTCGGAGGGGATGACGTCGTCTACACGCGTTGGTACGGGGGGGGATTTCAGGAAGTGTCGGCTGTTGCGGCGGCAGTCGACAAGGGAGCAACCGAGGAGGGGAGTCGGTCGAAAGGCTCGCAGGAAATCAAGTGTAACGGACTTAATTCCCAAACGATCGACAAGAAGAGGAGGGGCAACAAAAGAGAAGAGCGGACCAAGCTCCCGGGGAAAGGTGGTAAAACTAAAGGGAAGGGACGGTGCCAGGCCCAGAGGGGACTTAGCCAAATCAACCACTCCAAGAGGTCGCCTCAGGGGTAAAAAGGATTGCTCGCGGGAGCACCGGTAAAAACCCTGAAGCCGCGCCTCGGCTAACAAAAGATAAAACAAACCGAAAGAAGACTGCGGTCTGGGCGCCTCGAACCCGCTACCACCGAGTGCGCGCCCGCGCGCCTCACGACTACGCCATCGCACCGACGATGCTGTGAAACGAGGCAAGCCTCTGGTCAAGTCAACTCTACCCGCACATAGCCTTGGGGGGCTTCCTTCGAGTACATGCTGTCATCCTGACATTGTCGATCCCCTTGCTTCGTCCACATCACCCACCTCCGTCGCCACCTCCTCTGTCAGGAGCACAGCCTGCACTGCCATCAATACTCGAAGGAAGTCTCCCAAGTTTGCGGCCGGAGTCGACATCAGCTACCGGTTTGTTCGTTGCAAGCATTGTCGGCGCGATGGCGTAGTCGTGAGGGCGCGCGGGCGCGCACTCAGTGGTCGAGGGTTCGATCCGCCCGGAGCGTGATCTGCCTTTTGGTTTCTTTTCCTTTTTGTTATCCGAGGCCCGGCTTCGGGGTTTTTACCGGTGCCTTGCAGGCAATCCTTTTTACCCCTGAAGCGACCTCGTGGTGTAGTTATTTGATTCAGTCTTTCCTTCGCTCGGAGCACTTCCCTCCCTTTGCTTTTGCCACCCTTCCCCTAGAGCTTGGTCCACTCATTATCATGACTCGTACCCTCCCTCTTTTTACCCATTTCGCTGGCAATTAAGTCCGTTACACTTGATTTGCTGCAAAGCCTTCCGACCGAATCCACTCCTCGGTTGCTCTCGGTCGACTGCCGCCGCCCAGCCGACTCGACCTTCCCATCGGCCTGGTCAGCTATTTCTTGGATCGTTTGCCCTTCCTCTTTTGTCCGACCTCGTTGGCCACCATAGTCCGGTACACTGGACTTGCTGCGAGCCTTGCAGCCGCGTATCCTCCGCGGTTGCCTCTCGGTCGACTTCCGCCGCCCAGCCGACTCGACCTTCCCACCGGCCTGGTCAGCTATTTCTTGGATCGTTTGCCCTCCCTCTTCTGTCCGACCTCGTTGGCTACCATAGTTCGGTACACTGGACTTGCTGCGAGCCTTGCAGCCGCGTATCCTCCGCGGTTGCCTCTTGGTCGACTGCCGCCGCCTCGGTCGACACCCCTTTCGCTCCTTCGCGCTTTCGCGCGCTCTCTCGCTCTCTCCCTCGTCTCTCGCGTGTAGTCATCGTCACCCCCTCCGACGTTGCCTGTCATCCTCTTCCTCCATCTCCGTAGCCACCTCTCCTCCTGTTTCACCTCTTTCATCCGCCATCACCTCATTCTCATCAATCACCTCTCCATCGGATCCGCTGCAGTCCTCCAAGACCGACTCGTCCTCGCTTTCAATTTTGATGACCTCCGTTTTCATGGCCGCCTCCGATTCCATCTCCGAGTCCTCCGAGTCCTCGTCATCCGCCTTATCACCAGCGTCTTCCTCCCCCGATTCCTCCTGTCAGGATCACAGCCTGCACTGCCATCAATACTCGAAGGAAGTCTCCCAAGTTTGCGGCCGGAGTCGACATCAGCTACCGGTTTGTTCGTTGCAAGCATTGTCGGCGCGATGGCGTAGTCGTGAGGGCGCGCGGGTGCGCACTCAGTGGTCGAGGGTTCGATCCGCCCGGAGCGCGATCTGCCTTTTGGTTTCTTTTCCCTTTTTGTTATCCGAGGCCCGGCTTTGGGGTTTTTACCGGTGCCTGGCGGGCAATCCTTTTTACCCCTGAAGCGACCTCGTGGTGTAGTTATTTGACTCAGTCTTTCCTTCGCTCGGAGCACTTCCCTCCCTTTGCTTTTGCCACCTTTTCCCCAGAGCTTGGTCCACTCATTATCATGACTCGTACCCTCCCTCTTTTTACCCATTTCGCTGGCAATTAAGTCCGTTACACTTGATTTGCTGCAAAGCCTTCCGACCGAATCCACTCCTCGGTTGCTCTCGGTCGACTGCCGCCGCCCAGCCGACTCGACCTTCCCATCGGCCTGGTCAGCTATTTCTTGGATCGTTTGCCCTCCCTCTTCTATCCGACCTCGTTGGCCACCATAGTTCGGTACACTGGACTTGCTGCGAGCCTTGCAGCCGCGTATCCTCCGCGGTTGCCTCTCGGTCGACTGCCGCCGCCTCGGTCGACACCCCTTTCGCTCCTTCGCGCTTTCGCGCGCTCTCTCGCTCTCTCCCTCGTCTCTCGCGTGTAGTCATCGTCATCCCCTCCGACGTTGCCTGTCACCTCCGGTCCCTGTTCGCCTTGGCCAGTTACCTCTTCCTCCTGTCCCTCCTCGACCTCGAGCCCGGCGAAGTGATTCTGTGATGCGATCCTGTTAACAACCAGCACAGGAATGGGGGCCTCGGCCTCCGTGATGTTGGTGTTGTGGGTGATGGTGTTTTTGTTGCTGTTGATGATGCCGTTGTGAGCCTCCTTCCGCTTCCTCTCCTGATCCAGTCCGCAGGTTCCCACGTGACCCACAAAGTGGCACCTATGAGACGATCACCACTACTGTCAGGAGAGGTTGAGAGTCGAACAGAAGTGATGAGAAGGAAGCTAAGAAACAGAAAGGGGGCCACGCTGGGATAGGCCCAGGCGCGTGACAATGTACATCCCTAAGTCAGCCGCGGGTGAAATTGCCGGCACGCCTAAGTCCCCACCGCCGGGGGCCGGGCTAGCAAGTGCGCGCAACGACCGAGGCACCCCTGTCGAGCTGAGAGTGGACTCTTCACACTCGTCACCTCCTTTCGTCTGCGTGGCGACATCAAAATTCTAGAAATCAATAACCTCTACGCGCCCGTTGACCCAAAACAACGAGCAAAATTCTTCGACAAACTGATCCTCCACAAAACACAGAAATCCCACCTCCGACTCCTTGGCGGCGATCTCAACGACTGCCCGCGCCCAGAAGTCGATCGGCGGAACCAAAGTCGGCGCGGCCACCACTGGCCGATTCTGATGGGCAAGCTCGACTCGGCCTACACGGACTGCATCCGCTACAAGCACCCCATCACCCCATCTTTCACTCGACCTAATCCCAATCGCAAGCGACCCAACTCCTTCTCCCGGCTTGACTACTTTCTCCTACAAAGAGCTCACCAAAAAAGGCTCGACCAGGCCTCGACGATCTACGACTATCCCAAGGATCTTTCCGATCACCGACCGGTCTTGATCGTACTGGCTCTCTCAGACGATCTTGATGCGGCTCTCCCACAGCTCAGCCTACCTACCACATCGAATCAATACCACAACCTTCAAGACGGTGGAATTTCAGCGGATGTTGGAAGGGGCAAGCGGGGAGGATCCGGTGCGAGAGCTTGAGGAGGTTCTGGAGGCGTGCAGGGACAGGGGTGGGGAGATGGCGAGGAGGCTGCATCGGGAGCGGACGGAACGGATGGAGTATTTGGTGGGGAGGGTGCAGGATCTGGAGGTGTTACCGGTATGGGGGGAGGCGGAAACGGCAGAATGGACAAGGACGTCCGAGGAACTCAAGCGGGCGGTCGAGGAGCGCGCGCGCCTACTCCGGATCCGAGCCCACGTCCCCGAGATCGCTTCCGAGGAACGACTGTCGCGGCCGGTCCACGCCAAGCTCGCGGCGCGGAACTCGGACTCCAAGATCACAGCACTGCGCTTGGGCAACGGAGAGCTAACGCATGACATTGATGTCGCTCTTGACCACACGCAGGCGCATTTCCAGCACCTCTACCACATCGAGCCTCGTGATCCGGAACGCGTCGACCGACTTCAGGACGAACTCCTTGTGCCGATCAGGGCGGCACGGACTTGCGACGACCCGCGCTCAGATCCGCTCTTTCTGCGCCGACTCTCGGAAGCGCAGATTGATCTCCTCCAGCAACCCATCACCGAGGACGAGGTCGTGGCCGTGATCGGGACGACGCACCCGGGGAGATCGCCGGGCCCGTTGGGCGTGCCTTACGAACTCTATCAGACCGCACCGGAGGCGTGGTCCAAGGTGCTGACCAAGGCCTACAACGCGATGATCGAGCGCGGTTCACTCTCTCCCAAGCAGGGCCAGGGACTCGTGCGCCTCATCTTCAAGCGCCACAAGAAGAATGCCGATCGCGCCGAACTCTCGTTGTATCGCCCCATCACCCTGCGCAAGTGCAATTACAAGATTTTTACCAAGGTCTACGTCGCCCGATTGAACCAAATTCTGCCCGATCTCCTCCCGCCGCAGCAGCACGGCTTCGTCAAGGACCGCCGATCGGCCGATCGGCCGACGCTGCACTACACCTTCGTCTCCTGATCGAGGAACTTGGCGCGCGCAGGACCGAGTTCCCCGCGGCCGCGCTCTTGTCTCTTGACCAATCATCCGCCTACGACCTCGTCGAGCATGACTGGATCTTTGCCATCTTCGACACTCTGGGCGCTCCTACCACCTTTCTTCGCATGCTGAGGATGCTCTACTCGGGTGACTCGACCTCGGTGCGCTACATCATCAATGGGTTCCTGACGGCGCCGGTGCGACTGACGTGTGGGCTCGGCCAAGGGGACCCTGTTGAACTTCGCTCCATCTCACTTCTAGGACAATATGCGCTCACTGAAGTAGAGGTGCCTCGCCTTTTGGTGCAGTGGTATATTGTTCCTTCATAGGTTATGAGCCCAGAGCAACCAGCAGGTCATGAGTTCAATCCCCCCTGGGGTCAGGCAATTTTGCGCGCATACACTCAGCGTCCCGGCCCCCGCACTTGCCCAGCGGCGTGCCAAGCACCCTGGCGCATCGACAGTGCTCACAGTGCCCAAGCTGCACTTGCCCAAGCGACCTGATCAACATGCCCAGTTGCCTCACAGCCGCACCCACTGCCACAAGCTCTTCAGCTTCGCGCACAGGGGGGTGTTGAACTTTGCTCCATCTCACTTCTAGGACAATATGCGCTCACTGAAGTAGAGGTGCCTCGCCTTTTGGTGCAGTGGTATATTGTTCCTTCATAGGTTATGAGCCCAACGAGCTACCAGCTGCTCATGAGTTCAATCCCCCCTGGGGTCAGGCAATTTTGCGCGCATACACTCAGCGTCCCGGCCCCCGCACTTGCCCAGCGGCGTGCCAAGCACCCTGGCGCATCGACAGTGCTCACAGTGCCCAAGCTGCACTTGCCCAAGCGACCTGATCAACATGCCCAGTTGCCTCACAGCCGCACCCACTGCCACAAGCTCTTCAGCTTCGCGCACAGGGGGGTGTTGAACTTCGCTCCATCTCACTTCTAGGACAATATGCGCTCACTGAAGTAGAGGTGCCTCGCCTTTTGGTGCAGTGGTATATTGTTCCTTCATAGACCCGGCGTCATCGTCGGTCTGGGACATCGTGTTTCAGCCGTTCCTGGATGCTCTACACCGTCGAAACATCGCGCTGAATCTCTCCATACCTGCACTTCATCCGTACCCACAGAGCCGCGCCATTACATCACTTGCATTTGCCGATGACGTTGTCGTTGCTGTCGCGGGCTTGGAGTCACTCAACTTGCTCGATGACCTGGCGCTCGACTGGAGGCATGCAACGAATGGCCGGCTCAACACGGACAAGACGGTCGTCCTACCGATTGGACGTCGCTGGGACCCTGGCGAATGGCCAATCATCGTCAAGGCCGCAGGCGAGTCGCTCGAGTGGATCGGCCTCCCCTTCGACCCCAGCGGCGACACCGAACTCGCCTACGCGAATCTCATCGAACGGCTCGAGGCGACGCTGGAAGCGGTTCAGCATCGCTGGCTCACGCACCACACCCGTGCCGTTTACGTCAATCGGTACGCCATTCCCAAGATCCTGCATTTCCTTGCAGCCGACATCCCGCTGCCCGAAGTCGTCAAGAAGCTCGATGACATGCTCCTCGATTTCGTCCGTGGGGACAAGGGCAGGACCAGCTACGGCAGAGACATTGCGTTCACTGCCAAGAACAAGGGGGGACTCGGGGTGATAAGGATGCGGGACATTGTGGACGCGGTTGCGGCACGGCTCTGGGATGTTCTTCTCGGCGGTTCTGGCGCGATTTGGCAAGGACTTGCGCGCACAGCACTCCAGCGAGCTCAGCCCGACCTCGACCTGGCCACCGATCTCTGGCCACATCCATCCACTCCCATCCCCGATGGCACGCCGCACTGGGCGTTCCGAAACTTCACGACGCGCAGGTCAACCCGAGGGCCTTGACCACCGCGAACCTGCTCGGCAGCCTCCACACCCCCATCAGAGGGAGACAGACCATCGACGCGGTTCATGTACCTGACTACCTTCGTCTCCAGGGCTACCCGAAGGTGGCGAATTTCTATCGGCGCGAGTTGTATGCGGGTGGGGGGTTTCACCTCTGGACGCCGCCTGCGGATGTGCTCGGCGACAACAGCAAGTACGATCGACGCGGGCTCCCGCAGCGACTGGCAATCGCGGCCTGGTACCGGTTCACTGTCGATCGACACAAGAACACCCCCTTGGCGGCGGGATGACTCAACGTGCCTCCCCGGATCGGCACCAGCGCACCGCTCGAGGCGATCATCCCCAAGCCCGTGGCCCGCTTCGCAATGGAGCAGCGCCTTCCGGACCCGGTGCTTCCACAACAGGTGAGCCAGTATACGCTGCTGAACATGGCTCGACCCTACACAATCTGACAGGCAACGTCGGAGGGGATGACGATGACTACACGCGAGAGACGAGGGAGAGAGCGAGAGAGCGCGCGAAAGCGCGAAGGAGCGAAAGGGGTGTCGACCGAGGCGGCGGCAGTCGACCGAGAGGCAACCGCGGAGGATACGCGGCTGCAAGGCTCGCAGCAAGTCCAGTGTACCGAACTATGGTAGCCAACGAGGTCGGACAGAAGAGGGAGGGCAAACGATCCAAGAAATAGCTGACCAGGCCGGTGGGAAGGTCGAGTCGGCTGGGCGGCGGCAGTCGACCGAGAGCAACCGAGGAGTGGATTCGGTCGGAAGGCTTCGCAGCAAATCAAGTGTAACGGACTTAATTGCCAGCGAAATGGGTAAAAAGAGGGAGGGTACGAGTCATGATAATGAGTGGACCAAGCTCTAGGGGAAGGGTGGCAAAAGCAAAAGGAGGGAAGTGCTCCGAGCGAAGGAAAGACTGAATCAAATAACTACACCACGAGGTCGCTTCAGGGGTAAAAAGGATTGCCTGCAAGGCACCGGTAAAAACCCCGAAGCCGGGCCTCGGATAACAAAAAGGAAAAGAAACCAAAAGGCAGATCACGCTCCGGGCGGATCGAACCCTCGACCACTGAGTGCGCGCCCGCGCGCCCTCACGACTACACCATCGCGCCGACAATGCTTGCAACGAACAAACCGGTAGCTGATGTCGACTCCGGCCGCAAACTTGGGAGACTTCCTTCGAGTATTGATGGCAGTGCAGGCTGTGCTCCTGACAATATACAAAAATTCACGACTGGAAACACGGAGAACCAGGAATACTAAGACAGAGAGGAGGGGAGGAGGAGGGGAACACACCCGAGGGGCCAAGGGAGGGGGTCGAAGCCAGAGCTAGAGGTCCCCAGGGACTGACAGGCCGCAGCCAAGCCCCAGCTACTCGTCACCCCGACAGCGCCTGATGTCCTCCCTTGGCTGAGTCTCGAGTGCTGGCTGTTGAGCCGTCGGGGCCGAGCGAAAACGATCCAATACAACGAAACAAGCCTCGCCTTGACGCGAGGATATTGACCAAAAAAACGAGTGACCTTTCTTCCCGATCCATGCCGTAGATCTTGACCAACGCGAACGAACGATCTATTCGACGGAATCCAACACACGGCTTAGGAATAAAAGGAGAAGTGGCTGAAGCGTAGTCAACAACCGAGCAACAGGAACGAGAAGAGGAAGGGAAGGGAGAAAGGGGAAAGAGAGGGGAGAACTTCACAAAGCCTCCAACGCAACGACGATCGACCCGGCTTGCCGATCCATCCAAGAACGAAAACCGCTACTGCACAAAGTAGAGAGAGGGAGAGGTGCGCAGCCTTCCACTGCGCAACAAGTTTCAAGACAGTCAGCTTCTGACCGAAAAGGAAGGGAGGAAAGGAGGGGAGGAAAATGGGAAGGAAGGACTTAACTCGGTCATCACACCTCCCAATCTCGAACCCCAGGCACAAAACCCGCTCGAGAGAGAAAATCTCGCTCGAACGCTCTGAGCGCACTGGGAAGCGAGGGAGGGGCCACGACGTTGTCCAGCTCGAACCGCTGATGAACGCGCCAGCGGAGCAGGTGCAGCCGCTGGAAGCCGATCGCGCAGGCCAGCCGAACCCACATCCATTTCAAGGTCGTTCTCCCACGACCCCGCAAAAGGGGGAGCCCCATAGTCAGCTGCTCCGGAGTGAACGTCGACGGATCGACGTCGGTATCCTCGATGCCGAGCTTGTCAAGCAGAATGCCTAGCACCCCACCCCAGAAGCTGGTCGAGTACGCGCACTCGAAAAAGTAGTGGGACACCGTCTCGATGACCGCTGCATCGTTGCCACAGAACAGACACGTCGGCGAAGAGGCATGACCCTGAGTATGCTGCCTCTTGCGCGTCGGCGTCACGTCGTACATGAGCCGCCAGTGGGTGTCCTGCTCGACAGCAGACGCGAACCGGTCATGAAGCCATCTCCAGAAGCGCTTCCTATCGCTCTGAGAAGTCCCATCAGGGAAACGCTTGACACGGTCCTCCCTCCCTGGGAACCGCACCTTGTTCACAAGCCGACGAAGCTTGCGAATCGTAAAAGGTCGGGAGAGCCCAAAGAAGTTGAAGCACCGAGGACGGGGAGCCTCCTTGAGAGGTATCCGAGCAGGTCGCAACGCGGTCTTGGGCAGCAACGCTTTCGCCTTGAGCAACTGACCCACGCGCGACCACACGTGCTCGTGCTGTAGGGCGGGTTCCTTAGAGTGCTGCCAGAACCCGCGTCGATGACCAACCAGAGCCCATCCCTTCCCTTCGTCCCTCCAGTACAGGTCCGCGATCTGCGCAAACTTCGCCACCGCGTCCGCATCGTCATATGCGTGCTGGGCACCTTCAGCATAGAGTGAAGGGAGGCGAGGCGGAAGCGAGAGCAATTCGGGAAGCGTAAGGAGTTCGGACTTGATGGTTGGAACTGTGACCCTGGCCGCTGCAACGACTGCCCCCCAGCGCGTCGAGTCGCGATACAGCTTCTCGACCCGAGCCGTGCTGCTGAAGAACCCCCACGGACTGAAATCGCGGGTCGCAGCGACGAGGCACCTCCAGCTCTCGCGAGCTAGGGGCGCCCAGATCGCCTCGTCCGAGCCCGCCACAGCATCCCAAAATCGAAGCGCCACCGAATGAACGATGTCGCCAATCGAAATCAAACCCAAGCCACCGTCCTCCCGAGCCTGGAACACGAAATCGCGAGCGACGGTATTTCGCCCTGCTCCTCCCCAGACAAAGTCCGTAAGTGCCGTCTCCGCCGCCTTAATGAACCATTGAGGCGGTATGTCGAAGGACAGCACGTGGAGTGTTGAACTTCGCTCCATCTCACTTCTAGGACAATATGCGCTCACTGAAGTAGAGGTGCCTCGCCTTTTGGTGCAGTGGTATATTGTTCCTTCATAGGTTATGAGCCCAGAGCAACCAGCAGGTCATGAGTTCAATCCCCCCTGGGGTCAGGCAATTTTGCGCGCATACACTCAGCGTCCCGGCCCCCGCACTTGCCCAGCAGCGTGCCAAGCACCCTGGCGCATCGACAGTGCTCACAGTGCCCAAGCTGCACTTGCCCAAGCGACCTGATCAACATGCCCAGTTGCCTCACAAGCCGCACCCACTGCCACAAGCTCTTCAGCTTCGCGCACAGGGGGGTGTTGAACTTCGCTCCATCTCACTTCTAGGACAATATGCGCTCACTGAAGTAGAGGTGCCTCGCCTTTTGGTGCAGTGGTATATTGTTCCTTCATATGGAGGACCGTCGAGATGATGTGAGCGTTGGCATAGAAAACCTTCCCACTCGGCGAAAGTGTCCGGTCTCGAGCGGCGCGGGTCTTGGCCTTGATCCTGTCAAGAACATGGGTCCAAAACAGTTTCGAGTCACCGTGGCGAAAGAAGGCATAGCCGCACCACTTGAAGCTCTCCCCCTCCTGCACCGTTGGCAGCGCCTGCGCAGTCTCGTCCCGAAGCCAGTTCGGTCCGAGTGGTAGCACCAGCGTCTTGTCCGTGTTGGTCTTCCCGTTGGTAGCCTCGTACCACGTCTGCGACAGCGTTTGCAGCTTCGACAATGCCGCCGGTGACTCCACCACCACCACAGCATCGTCGGCAAACGCCAGATGCGTAAGCTGCGCACGCGGCCCCCCTGGCCACACCTTCTGCAGGTCGAGCGCGATCCCGCGCCGAACGAGGGCGTCGAGGAAGGGCTGGAACGTGATGTTCCAAACCGGGCACGAGAGGGGATCCCCCTGACCGAGACCACACAGCAACCGCACCAAGTCCGTGGGGAACCCATTGACAAGGTAGCGCACCCCCAGAGTCTCGGGATCGTAGAGAGCGCGCAGCAGCGAGATGAAACGCTCACCGAACCCAAAGGCCTCAAAGACCTCGAAGATCCAGGCGTGATCGACCCGATCGTACGCGCTCTGCTGATCCAAAGACAAGAGGGCGCCCTCGGGGAAAACATCAGTGCCTAGCGACTTGAGTTTTTCGAGAAGGAGAGTGAGATGACTTCCCGCGTCCGCTGAACGTCTTGATGGCATGAAACCGTGTTGCGCCGGCGGTAAAAGCTCGCCGAGCACCCCATTGAGTCGCGCCACCAAGACCTTGCTGAGGACCTTGTAGGTCGTCTCGCGCAATGTGATCGGTCGGTATGCCCCCAGTGATTTCAGATTGGCCCCCGGTTTATTCTTGGGCAAGAGCCGCACCAGCCCCTCTGCCAAGGACACCGTCATTTTGCCGCCCTCCCAAATCGAGTTGAACAAGTCCAACAGCTTGGGAGCAAAGTAGGTTGGCAGCGCCTTGAAGAGCTCGTACGGAATGCCCGAGGGCCCCGGTGATCGCCCCGAATCCGTCTTCTTCAACGCCGCTTCAACCTCGAGGAGGGTGAAGGGCTCGTCAAGCGCCACTCTCGCTTGACGAGGCAGCCGACGACCGAACGTAGGGTCCGAGCGGTCGTCATCGTAGCATTTCGCTGCGCGAATAGGGTCGAGCAGGGACCGGCGTGCGTTCGTCGGGTCGCCACGAGCTGGGTCCGGCGTGAAGAGCGACTGCGCGTGCCGTGAAGCAATACCCAGCGCCTCCTGCATGTCAACGGTCTCGGTGCCATCTGTGAGGAATCCACTCTCCGCTCGGCTCAGGACTTAGGCGCGCGGAGCGAACCGGGCGCGGACTTAGGCGCGCGGAGTGAGCCGGGCGCCCCGGCCCAGGACTTAGGCGCGCGAAGCGAGCCTGGGACTTAGGCGCGCGGAGCGAGCCTGGGCCATTGGCTCAGCCCCAGGCTCGCTGGCTGTGGACTTGGGGCGCGCGGGTCTCTTATTGTTAGCTTCCTATTCATCACTCTTGGCTATAACTACATCGCTGACGTAGTAGAGTTGATCGAATAGGTATGTTGAAATGCATTTATCACTCTTGGCTATAACTACATCGCTGACGTAGTAGAGTTGATCGAATAGGTTATAAGCCCACGAGCTACCAGCCCCGCCGCTTGAGGCTTTTTCGCTCGAGCCCAGCCACTCGAGCCGCACACGTCCATCGCACCATCACATCATGGACAGCTCTCCCGCCTCGCCTTTGGCCCCCAGGGATCCCAGCTCCCCTGAATCTTCGATCGGCGAACAAATCGCCACTCTACAGGCCCAGCTTGCCGCTCTGCAGGCCTCGCAACCCGCAGCCGCCGCAGCCGCCGCACCCCCGGCCGTCACCGTCGTGCCGGGGAACGCCGCCACCGCATCCAAGGTCGTGTTTCCCAAGCACGCTCGTCTGGACGGCCCCAAGTCGTTCACCAACTGGTTGCGTCAACTCCGTCTTGCACTCCCGAACCAGGTTCGTGGTTACGTTCTCGACGGTGTCGTTCCCCCGACCTGGACCGCCGACCAGCTTGCCGCACGTGACGACGCCGCCCGGGAAATCATCGTTGGCTCTATCGACTCCGCCGACGTATCGGCCACCCTCGACGCCATCCCCAGCGACGACCTGTCGGCACCGCGCATCTTTGCCGCTCTCAAGGCTCGTTTTGCACCGGACGACGCTACACGCACTCTCGAGTTGTTCGCTCGCCTTTGGGACTTCAGGAAGATGCCTGCCTCCGTCGAGGCCTACGACACTTGGCTACGCGAGTACATGTCGATTGCTCAGGAAATACGCGACGCCAAAACATCGCTCAACGACGTGCTCGCCACCCACGTGCTCGCCATGGTCCCGTCTTGCCTCGACAGCTTCCGACTCACGTTCACGGACGAGCAGCGAAACCGACGCGACCTTCCCGAACTCACGACGCTTACGGACCGCATTCGCATCCAGCTTCGTTCGGCAGGACTCTCGACCTCGCATTCGGCCATGCTTGCCACCAGCTCCCCCTGCCCCGCCTGCCGCGCTCCCGGTCACCGCCTGCGCGACTGCACTTCACGTGCGAAGCACCCGCCCACCGGCCCCTGCCGCCGATGCCACAAGAAAGGTCACTGGGCACTCGACTGCAAGAACCGGGGTGAACAGGCACGTAGCAGCGACGACACCCAGGACGACACGTCTTCCTCCGCGGCCTCGCAACCGAACGTCGGCTATTTCGCCTCCTGCCTCTTCGCTCGTCGCCAACTCCCAACTGACGCCTTTGTAGTCGATTCGGGTGCCACGACACACATGGTCGCCGACCGATCTCTATTCACGACTTATCGTCAGACGGCACACACCAAGATCGGCGGCATCGCGGGCGGCATCACTGTGAGGAATCCACTCTCCGCTCGGCTCAGGACTTAGGCGCGCGGAGCGAACCGGGCGCGGACTTAGGCGCGCGGAGTGAGCCGGGCGCCCCGGCCCAGGACTTAGGCGCGCGAAGCGAGCCTGGGACTTAGGCGCGCGGAGCGAGCCTGGGCCATTGGCTCAGCCCCAGGCTCGCTGGCTGTGGACTTGGGGCGCGCGGGTCTCTTATTGTTAGCTTCCTATTCATCACTCTTGGCTATAACTACATCGCTGACGTAGTAGAGTTGATCGAATAGGTATGTTGAAATGCATTCATCACTCTTGGCTATAACTACATCGCTGACGTAGTAGAGTTGATCGAATAGGTTATAAGCCCACGAGCTACCAGCCCCGCCGCTTGAGGCTTTTTCGCTCGAGCCCAGCCACTCGAGCCGCACACGTCCATCGCACCATCACATCATGGACAGCTCTCCCGCCTCGCCTTTGGCCCCCAGGGATCCCAGCTCCCCTGAATCTTCGATCGGCGAACAAATCGCCACTCTACAGGCCCAGCTTGCCGCTCTGCAGGCCTCGCAACCCGCCGCCGCCGCAGCCGCCGCACCCCCGGCCGTCACCGTCGTGCCGGGGAACGCCGCCACCGCATCCAAGGTCGTGTTTCCCAAGCACGCTCGTCTGGACGGCCCCAAGTCGTTCACCAACTGGTTGCGTCAACTCCGTCTTGCACTCCCGAACCAGGTTCGTGGTTACGTTCTCGACGGTGTCGTTTCCCCGACCTGGACCGCCGACCAGCTTGCCGCACGTGACGACGCCGCCCGGGAAATCATCGTTGGCTCTATCGACTCCGCCGACGTATCGGCCACCCTCGACGCCATCCCCAGCGACGACCTGTCGGCACCGCGCATCTTTGCCGCTCTCAAGGCTCGTTTTGCACCGGACGACGCTACACGCACTCTCGAGTTGTTCGCTCGCCTTTGGGACTTCAGGAAGATGCCTGCCTCCGTCGAGGCCTACGACACTTGGCTACGCGAGTACATGTCGATTGCTCAGGAAATACGCGACGCCAAAACATCGCTCAACGACGTGCTCGCCACCCACGTGCTCGCCATGGTCCCGTCTTGCCTCGACAGCTTCCGACTCACGTTCACGGACGAGCAGCGAAACCGACGCGACCTTCCCGAACTCACGACGCTTACGGACCGCATTCGCATCCAGCTTCGTTCGGCAGGACTCTCGACCTCGCATTCGGCCATGCTTGCCACCAGCTCCCCCTGCCCCGCCTGCCGCGCTCCCGGTCACCGCCTGCGCGACTGCACTTCACGTGCGAAGCACCCGCCCACCGGCCCCTGCCGCCGATGCCACAAGAAAGGTCACTGGGCACTCGACTGCAAGAACCGGGGTGAACAGGCACGTAGCAGCGACGACACCCAGGACGACACGTCTTCCTCCGCGGCCTCGCAACCGAACGTCGGCTATTTCGCCTCCTGCCTCTTCGCTCGTCGCCAACTCCCAACTGACGCCTTTGTAGTCGATTCGGGTGCCACGACACACATGGTCGCCGACCGATCTCTATTCACGACTTATCGTCAGACGGCACACACCAAGATCGGCGGCATCGCGGGCGGCATCACTGTGAGGAATCCACTCTCCGCTCGGCTCAGGACTTAGGCGCGCGGAGCGAACCGGGCGCGGACTTAGGCGCGCGGAGTGAGCCGGGCGCCCCGGCCCAGGACTTAGGCGCGCGAAGCGAGCCTGGGACTTAGGCGCGCGGAGCGAGCCTGGGCCATTGGCTCAGCCCCAGGCTCGCTGGCTGTGGACTTGGGGCGCGCGGGTCTCTTATTGTTAGCTTCCTATTCATCACTCTTGGCTATAACTACATCGCTGACGTAGTAGAGTTGATCGAATAGGTATGTTGAAATGCATTCATCACTCTTGGCTATAACTACATCGCTGACGTAGTAGAGTTGATCGAATAGGTTATAAGCCCACGAGCTACCAGCCCCGCCGCTTGAGGCTTTTTCGCTCGAGCCCAGCCACTCGAGCCGCACACGTCCATCGCACCATCACATCATGGACAGCTCTCCCGCCTCGCCTTTGGCCCCCAGGGATCCCAGCTCCCCTGAATCTTCGATCGGCGAACAAATCGCCACTCTACAGGCCCAGCTTGCCGCTCTGCAGGCCTCGCAACCCGCCGCCGCCGCAGCCGCCGCACCCCCGGCCGTCACCGTCGTGCCGGGGAACGCCGCCACCGCATCCAAGGTCGTGTTTCCCAAGCACGCTCGTCTGGACGGTGACAGGCAACGTCGGAGGGGATGACGATGACTACACGCGAGAGACGAGGGAGAGAGCGAGAGAGCGCGCGAAAGCGCGAAGGAGCGAAGGGGTTGTCGACCGAGGCGGCGGCAGTCGACCGAGAGGCAACCGCGGAGGATACGCGGCTGCAAGGCTCGCAGCAAGTCCAGTGTACCGAACTATGGTGGCCAACGAGGTCGGACAAAAGAGGAAGGGCAAACGATCCAAGAAATAGCTGACCAGGCCGATGGGAAGGTCGAGTCGGCTGGGCGGCGGCAGTCGACCGAGAGCAACCGAGGAGTGGATTCGGTCGGAAGGCTTCGCAGCAAATCAAGTGTAACGGACTTAATTGCCAGCGAAATGGGTAAAAAGAGGGAGGGTACGAGTCATGATAATGAGTGGACCAAGCTCTCGGGGAAGGGTGGCAAAAGCAAAAGGAGGGAAGTGCTCCGAGCGAAGGAAAGACTGAATCAAATAACTACACCACGAGGTCGCTTCAGGGGTAAAAAGGATTGCCTGCAAGGCACCGGTAAAAACCCCGAAGCCGGGCCTCGGATAACAAAAAGGAAAAGAAACCAAAAGGCAGATCACGCTCCGGGCGGATCGAACCCTCGACCACTGAGTGCGCGCCCGCGCGCCCTCACGACTACACCATCGCGCCGACAATGCTTGCAACGAACAAACCGGTAGCTGATGTCGACTCCGGCCGCAAACTTGGGAGACTTCCTTCGAGTATTGATGGCAGTGCAGGCTGTGCTCCTGACAGACGGCCCCAAGTCGTTCACCAACTGGTTGCGTCAACTCCGTCTTGCACTCCCGAACCAGGTTCGTGGTTACGTTCTCGACGGTGTCGTTTCCCCGACCTGGACCGCCGACCAGCTTGCCGCACGTGACGACGCCGCCCGGGAAATCATCGTTGGCTCTATCGACTCCGCCGACGTATCGGCCACCCTCGACGCCATCCCCAGCGACGACCTGTCGGCACCGCGCATCTTTGCCGCTCTCAAGGCTCGTTTTGCACCGGACGACGCTACACGCACTCTCGAGTTGTTCGCTCGCCTTTGGGACTTCAGGAAGATGCCTGCCTCCGTCGAGGCCTACGACACTTGGCTACGCGAGTACATGTCGATTGCTCAGGAAATACGCGACGCCAAAACATCGCTCAACGACGTGCTCGCCACCCACGTGCTCGCCATGGTCCCGTCTTGCCTCGACAGCTTCCGACTCACGTTCACGGACGAGCAGCGAAACCGACGCGACCTTCCCGAACTCACGACGCTTACGGACCGCATTCGCATCCAGCTTCGTTCGGCAGGACTCTCGACCTCGCATTCGGCCATGCTTGCCACCAGCTCCCCCTGCCCCGCCTGCCGCGCTCCCGGTCACCGCCTGCGCGACTGCACTTCACGTGCGAAGCACCCGCCCACCGGCCCCTGCCGCCGATGCCACAAGAAAGGTCACTGGGCACTCGACTGCAAGAACCGGGGTGAACAGGCACGTAGCAGCGACGACACCCAGGACGACACGTCTTCCTCCGCGGCCTCGCAACCGAACGTCGGCTATTTCGCCTCCTGCCTCTTCGCTCGTCGCCAACTCCCAACTGACGCCTTTGTAGTCGATTCGGGTGCCACGACACACATGGTCGCCGACCGATCTCTATTCACGACTTATCGTCAGACGGCACACACCAAGATCGGCGGCATCGCGGGCGGCATCACGGCTATCGGCATGGGGGACGTGGCATTCGTCGCCAAGACTGGACACCCGATCACGCTCCGTGGTGTTCTTCACACGCCTGGCCTACACGTCAACCTCCTCTCTGTCTCTCGCCTCTGCGACACCGACCGCGTTCGTCTCGCCTTCACCAGCGACGGCATCGACATCGCCAAGGACGGCCGGGCCATTGCTCACGGTACCAGGGTCAACGACGGTCTTTACCTTTTGGACGCGGATCACACCAAGTGTCAGCATCTTGCCTTCCTCTCACGCTCTGAGTCTCCCGTGCCCCTGCTTACCCTACACCGCTGCCTCGGCCATCTTGCCCCATCCTCTATACAGAAGATGATTGCTGCAGGTTTGCTGGACGGGTTTGGGGCCGGGTACAGTGACAAAGACGTAGAGGAGTTTGTTTGCAATGCTTGCCTTGGTTCCAAAGGTCACCGCCTTCCCTTTCCCGACTCTGAGTCGCATTCCGCCGAGAGACTTGGCCTCGTGCACAGCGACGTCCTGTCGTTCCCCACTCCGTCCTTGACCGGGAAGCGCTACCTTGTCACGTTTCTAGACGACCACTCTCGCAAACTCTGGGCATATGCGATCGATCACAAAAGCGATGTTTTCCCGACCTTCCAGACTTGGCTCGCCGAAGTGGAGTTAGAGACGAACGCGCGGTTGAGGATCCTTCGAACCGACAATGGCGGGGAGTACCGATCAAACGCATTCACGGAGTTCTGCAAATCCAAGGGCATTCGTCGTCAATACTCTATCCCTTACACGCCTCAACAAAACGGTCGCGCCGAACGTGTCAACCTCTCCATCGTCGAGGGCGTCCTCGCTCTCCTTGCGGACGCCCGTCTGCCGGCCACCTTTTGGGATGAAGCGGCTGCGTATTTCGTTTATTGCAAAAACAGGTGCTCACACTCAGCTTTGGCCAAACAGACTCCAGAATCCGTTTGGAACGGCCAACGCACCACCGCCACCGCCCTCCACCCGTTCGGCTGCACAGCCTGGCTCACGGTCGCCCCTGCCGTCAAGACGAGGACCCCACTAGTAAGGTCGGCGCACATGGACGTCTCATCCTCCCTTGATGATTCTGCCATGAGCGCCGTTGACGTGGCCCCAGGGTACACTGGCGGAACCTTACTTAATTCCACAGATACCGAATCGTCCTCGTCACCGTCTCCTGAGCCGTCCTCGTCACCGTCGCCCACAAACCCTTTGTCACCGTCGCCTGCGCTGTCACCGTCGTTGGCAGCGTCATCGTCACCCTCGGTCTCACCGACCGACTCTGACTACTCCGCCGACCCTCTGGACCTCATCGGCTCACAGACCCCGACTCGCCTTGGCCCACCGGACGTGCACCGCCCAGACTTCAGCACGTACCGTGAGCCCGCATCGGCTGAGGAGTCGCCCGACGAACTCGACATCATTGGGCGTCACTCGCGCGATGAATCGCCGGATGAAATCGATTTCCTCACCCAACACCACCGCGCCTTCATCGCCACAGACGACGACGACCCCACCCTCGACGCCATCGAGCCCGTCAAATCGATCACTAGCGACCCCCAGACCTGGCGCGAAGCAATGTCCAGCGACGAGCACAACATCTGGGCTGAGGCCGCCGCCGCCGAGTTCACCGCCATGCGCGACGACTTCAAGGTGTTCACCATCGAGCCTCGCTCATCTGTACCGCCGGGCGCCACCATCGTCACCTCCAAATTCGTCTGGAAGACCAAGCGCAACGCAAGCGGTGAAGTCACGGGGCGGAAGGCACGTCTTGTAGCGCAGGGTAACCGACAGCGCGACGGCATCGACTTCTCAGAAACCTTCGCACCCGTCGCCCGTTTCTCCTCCATTCGCTGCCTCCTGGCTCTTGCCGCTGCCAATGGCTACCACGTTCATCAGGCCGACATCGACAAGGCTTACCTCCACGGCGAGCTCGATCATGATATCTGGATGACGACACCACGCGGTTTCGACTTCCCAAGCGATAAGGTTCTCCGGCTGCGACGCTCAATCTACGGTCTCAAGCAGGCCGGTCGCATCTGGAATCGTCACATTGACACATCACTCAGGAATCTGGGGTACATGGCAACAGGCACTGATCACTGCATTTACTCTCGCATTGACGATCAGCAGCGGCCTCACTATATCGCCTTGTATGTCGACGACCTCCTCATTGTCAGTCCAGCCCTCGACGAGATCGAACGTGTCATCTCCGGCCTTGAACAGCGGTACGGCGTCAAACGACTCGGCCCCGCGGAGTACATCCTCGGAATCCAAATACGCCGCCTGGACGACGGTTCCATTGCTCTATCCCAGGAGCGCTACATCATGGACGTGCTGGCCCGTTTCCACTTCGACACCACGACACGCGGCACTACGGTGCCGATGACGCCCGGCCTCTCGCTCACGGCAATTCCGGGTCAGGGAACGGAGCGCATTCGTTCGTGGTACCTACAGGCCATCGGCTCCCTCCTCTACATCTCCCTTGGCACTCGACCCGACATTGCCTTCGCCGTCTCGTACCTGTCCCGGTTCGCCAACAACCCCGGCCGCCGCCATTGGATTGCCGTCAAACACGTCCTTCGCTACCTTCGCGCCACGTACCGCGATGAGCTTCTCTATGCCCGCGGCCCAGCAAAAGTCACGGGTGTGGTTGGTTATTCTGATGCGAACTGGGGCGCCTGCGTCGACACATCCATTTCAACGATGGGCTACGTATTTTACTTGGCAGGCGCCGCTGTCTCTTGGTCGTCGAAGCGTCAGACTCGGGTAGCGGATTCCACCACTGATGCCGAGTACCTGGCCTTGTCGCACGCGGGTAAGGAAGCGATCTACCTTAACCAACTCCTCTCCGAGCTCCACGTTTGCCCAATCGCTGCAGCTCACATCTTCACCGACAACGAGGCCGCGGCCGCCGTCGCTCACGACCCCGTTCGCACCTCCGGCACCCGGCACATTCGCCTCCGCGAGCATTTTGTCCGTGACATGGTCAATCGAGGTGATATCTCTCTCTCACACGTTGGCACAGCAGACATGGTTGCGGACGTATTCACCAAAGCGCTAGGCCCCAAGATTTTTGGTACACATTGCTATGCTCTAGGCCTCCGGACGCGACATCCACGGCTCAAGTCTACCTCGCGTTCGCGTGGGGGGGGGTGTGAGGAATCCACTCTCCGCTCGGCTCAGGACTTAGGCGCGCGGAGCGAACCGGGCGCGGACTTAGGCGCGCGGAGTGAGCCGGGCGCCCCGGCCCAGGACTTAGGCGCGCGAAGCGAGCCTGGGACTTAGGCGCGCGGAGCGAGCCTGGGCCATTGGCTCAGCCCCAGGCTCGCTGGCTGTGGACTTGGGGCGCGCGGGTCTCTTATTGTTAGCTTCCTATTCATCACTCTTGGCTATAACTACATCGCTGACGTAGTAGAGTTGATCGAATAGGTATGTTGAAATGATTGATCACTCTTGGCTATAACTACATCGCTGACGTAGTAGAGTTGATCGAATACCATCCACATCCTCCAGCGAGACGATGCTCGTCTGGCGACTCCGGCGGTTGAGGCGCGTGCGAATGCTTGCCGATTGACCTTCCCTCGAGTCGACTGACGGCACATGCGCACGAATGCGCAGCCACTGAGCCTCCTTTACCGCCAACTGGTCCAACCGCGACTTGGCAAGAGCATACACATCGCGCTCGGCCTCATTCATGTGCTCACCGCGTGCCTCCAAAGCCTCCATGACGGATTGGCTCTCGGCCCGCAGTCGGCGCATGTCGGCACGAGTCGAGCGGTATCGTGCATGGCCAGCGACTGCAACCGCCCGCAGAGCGGCGTCATAGACGTCGCCGAGCGGAGCGGTCCCCTCGAGCCTTCGATAGACCTCGTCGACGACCCCGGGAATCGATGTGACAAAGTCTTGATCGTCAAAGACCATTGGGTTGAGCCTCGAAATGAAATCGCTCGTGGAGGGAAGAGAAAGGGGGGGTTCGGCATCAGCGTTCGATGTAGGCAAAGCGAAAGTCGCAACTACAGGTCTGTGGTCCGAACAGGGCGCATCGAAGAGCGTAGAAGCGCTCAACAACCGGTTCGCCCAACTGCATTGGACAAGAATATAGTCGATCCGCGACCACGAGCAAATCTTTCGCTCTTCCCCTCTACCACGGTAGTGAGGACGAGTGAATGCAGGGGTGCAAGAATGGACATGTCGGACCGTGTCGAGTGCCTTGAACGCGATCTTTGACAGCAAGGTCTGCCAGTGCGATACAGGAGTCCAAGCGCGATCGGTGATGGACACTCGGTCGACCGATACATCCGGACAATCGTTGAGATCGCCGGCCAAGATCCGAAGAGTCTTGGGTCTCGGGGCGTTGAAGTGCAGAAGCCCGAAAAAGTCGCGACGATCGTCCTCCTGCACCGGCGCGTACATGTTGATGATCTCGACATCGAGCTCCTCAAGACGAAACACCGAGCGCAGAATCCGACCGTCGAAACGAGGAGCTCCTGCAAAGACGACCGGGGTAGAGGAAAGGAGATGGCCCGCCAAAGGTGAGCCATCGGGTATGAGGGTAAGGACATGAGGAGTGAAACGAATACAAGCCCCCGGCCAAGCACTCTCGAAGCCTTCGCGCGACGCGTTGTAGCTGAGGTGGTGCTCTTGCAGGAGGATGGCCGCAGGGGCCGGCCGAAGGGTTTTGAGATAACGGATGATTTTGACTTGGTTGACTGCGTTCTTCATCGATCGGACGTTGAACGTCAACACGGTGAGTGACTCAATCATGATTAAATCAGTTCAGCGCCGCCCCCCTCGAATTCGGTCACCTCAGACCTGTGACCCCCTGAGTGACAGGCAACGTCGGAGGGGATGACGATGACTACACGCGAGAGACGAGGGAGAGAGCGAGAGAGCGCGCGAAAGCGCGAAGGAGCGAAAGGGGTGTCGACCGAGGCGGCGGCAGTCGACCGAGAGGCAACCGCGGAGGATACGCGGCTGCAAGGCTCGCAGCAAGTCCAGTGTACCGAACTATGGTAGCCAACGAGGTCGGACAGAAGAGGGAGGGCAAACGATCCAAGAAATAGCTGACCAGGCCGGTGGGAAGGTCGAGTCGGCTGGGCGGCGGAAGTCGACCGAGAGGCAACCGCGGAGGATACGCGGCTGCAAGGCTCGCAGCAAGTCCAGTGTACCGGACTATGGTGGCCAACGAGGTCGGACAAAAGAGGAAGGGCAAACGATCCAAGAAATAGCTGACCAGGCCGATGGGAAGGTCGAGTCGGCTGGGCGGCGGCAGTCGACCGAGAGCAACCGAGGAGTGGATTCGGTCGGAAGGCTTCGCAGCAAATCAAGTGTAACGGACTTAATTGCCAGCGAAATGGGTAAAAAGAGGGAGGGTACGAGTCATGATAATGAGTGGACCAAGCTCTAGGGGAAGGGTGGCAAAAGCAAAGGGAGGGAAGTGCTCCCAGCGAAGGAAAGACTGAATCAAATAACTACACCACGAGGTCGCTTCAGGGGTAAAAAGGATTGCCTGCAAGGCACCGGTAAAAACCCCGAAGCCGGGCCTCGGATAACAAAAAGGAAAAGAAACCAAAAGGCAGATCACGCTCCGGGCGGATCGAACCCTCGACCACTGAGTGCGCGCCCGCGCGCCCTCACGACTACACCATCGCGCCGACAATGCTTGCAACGAACAAACCGGTAGCTGATGTCGACTCCGGCCGCAAACTTGGGAGACTTCCTTCGAGTATTGATGGCAGTGCAGGCTGTGCTCCTGACACTATCCCCCCCAGAAGGAAGTCTACCGTGCGGCGAGGCGGTGACGGTGCGGAATGAGTTGGGCGGCGGGCGGACTTAGGCGGTTTCGCGCGGCCGGGTCGGTCGGAGTTGGCCGTGCTCGGCCGGGGTCGGATTGGCGGAAGGGGACGGCGGGCCGTCTTCGGCAGCGGCGCAGGACGTGTCGCGCTCGGTGGCCATGGCGATCGCTCAACACGACAGTCGATGATTCCAGGACGAACGAGGCGGGCACGAGGCGACCATGCAATAAGGCGGCGGCGGTGCGAAACGAGTGTGGTGGCAGGCGGACTTGGGCGGGTTCGCGCGGCCGGGGTCGCGGTTGCGAAGAGGCGCGGCGCGCTGGCTGCGGCAGCGGCGCGCGACGTGTCACACTCGGCGGCCATGGCGATCACTCAACTCACAGTCAACAGCGATTCCAGGGCGAACGAGGGCGGTCACGAGACGGTAAGAAGAGGTGGGGGGGTGGGGGGTGGGGGAGGTGTGGGGGGGTGGGGGGGAGGAACCACGCGGTCGTCAAAGAGGCCGAACTCGAGAGGCCGAACGGAGAGGAGGCGGACGACGCGAAGACGAAGGGCGGGAGGGCGGGAATGCTCGTCCAGGGTGTGGGACTGAGCGGTGAGAGAAGCTGGGACTGTCGCTAGCAATGCCGAACTTGAAAAAAGTGACAGGCAACGTCGGAGGGGATGACGATGACTACACGCGAGAGACGAGGGAGAGAGCGAGAGAGCGCGCGAAAGCGCGAAGGAGCGAAAGGGGTGTCGACCGAGGCGGCGGCAGTCGACCGAGAGGCAACCGCGGAGGATACGCGGCTGCAAGGCTCGCAGCAAGTCCAGTGTACCGAACTATGGTAGCCAACGAGGTCGGACAGAAGAGGGAGGGCAAACGATCCAAGAAATAGCTGACCAGGCCGGTGGGAAGGTCGAGTCGGCTGGGCGGCGGAAGTCGACCGAGAGGCAACCGCGGAGGATACGCGGCTGCAAGGCTCGCAGCAAGTCCAGTGTACCGGACTATGGTGGCCAACGAGGTCGGACAAAAGAGGAAGGGCAAACGATCCAAGAAATAGCTGACCAGGCCGATGGGAAGGTCGAGTCGGCTGGGCGGCGGCAGTCGACCGAGAGCAACCGAGGAGTGGATTCGGTCGGAAGGCTTCGCAGCAAATCAAGTGTAACGGACTTAATTGCCAGCGAAATGGGTAAAAAGAGGGAGGGTACGAGTCATGATAATGAGTGGACCAAGCTCTAGGGGAAGGGTGGCAAAAGCAAAGGGAGGGAAGTGCTCCCAGCGAAGGAAAGACTGAATCAAATAACTACACCACGAGGTCGCTTCAGGGGTAAAAAGGATTGCCTGCAAGGCACCGGTAAAAACCCCGAAGCCGGGCCTCGGATAACAAAAAGGAAAAGAAACCAAAAGGCAGATCACGCTCCGGGCGGATCGAACCCTCGACCACTGAGTGCGCGCCCGCGCGCCCTCACGACTACACCATCGCGCCGACAATGCTTGCAACGAACAAACCGGTAGCTGATGTCGACTCCGGCCGCAAACTTGGGAGACTTCCTTCGAGTATTGATGGCAGTGCAGGCTGTGCTCCTGACACTGAGCCATCACCCCCTGATGCACCGAGGATCATGGCGGATCCCGCCCGGGTGACACGTCGGTTGCCGGGTGCCGAGCTCGAACGAAGGCGTCGAGGACTCGTCGAGGCTATCGAGGTTGTCGAGGTTGCCGATGATCCCGACGTGCCACCAGACAAAGGCGAAGGAGAGGTCAGGGTCGAAACGGGCGCCGCCGTCGTCGTCTGCGTCTCCTTTGTTGAGCCCAGGGTCGCACGCGTCGACGTCTCTTCCCCAGTGTCGCCGCCCTCCGGTTCGGTCGAAACGACCGACTCGTCGTCGCCGTCGTTCACGTCGTCCTTGTTGGCGGTTACTGCACCTGCGGGGTTAGCACGAGGTCCCAGCTGGATCATGTTCGCGCCAGAGACACGAGAGTTCAATGCGGCAGGCCCACCGTGCTTCCCATTCTTTCCAGCAACTCGGAAGCCGGTGGTCGAAGTCGAAGTCGAGGTCGAGGCCCCCGGAACAGGGGCGGCGGTGGCCGGAGTCGAAACCGGCTTCCTGCAAGCGCCCCACTGGTGTCCGGCGCGATCGCACACCGCGCAGTAGTGCGTCTCGAATTCGTGTCGCAAGCCGTACTTGGCACCCAGGATCTCGATCTCTTGTGGCAAAGCGGCGTTGAGCGCACCCTTCTGCGTCTCGATGGAGCCTTGGAAAAGATCAGCATGTAAGCGAAGGTACGCGCAGTGGAACCCGTCTTCGGTCATGGCCATCGGATCGCCATTCGGATCGACCGCGAGGCCCCGCTGTAATTGCATCAGGGTATAACCTTGCGTGCGACCTGCGCGGCCGAACGAAAGGGTGATAGCATCATCGAGAGATTTTCGGAGCACGGAAGCGGGGATCGCGCTGGAGGAGGAGGGCAAGGTGAATCGCACCTGCACGACGTGGTTAAGGGGAGAGGCGCTGGGGAGCTCGGTAACCATCTCCTTGCCGTGGTAGGGGAATGGGCCCACTGAAGCGGCTTCAAGACAAGCTTGCTCGGATTCGAATACAAGCTCGTACATGTGACGAGCGATCGGGAACCTCTTCGTGGGTTTCGTCACAATCGGGTTCAGCTTCACGCATTTCGAGAAAAGCTTCTCGACCTCGGGGTCAAGCACGACGCCCTCGGGCCGCGCGAACATGAACGGCGTCTCGGCCAATCCAAAGTGCTTGCGCAGCGCGGTCTGTACAGGACCTCTGGGTGATCCAGGACCATCCATAATGACTCGAATCACATTGGAGGCCGGGGCTGCGTCGTTTCGCACCGCTCTTTGGGCGGCTCGTGCGAGCGCTGGCGCCTGCGAAGGCGGGGTCGAGGCGTCGTGCATCAGGACCATCAGTCGGCGGGTCGACTTGCTGGAGGGAACAATCCCGAGCACTTGGAAGGTCTTCTTCATCAGCTTCTCATGGTCCAACCGGACCTGAGTTGCCTCGGGCGACCAAGCTGGAGGATTCGCGGTTCCTCCAGTGACCGCTTCACGCGTTTGCGTGTTGAGTGATGAATCACTCGCGCCATTACCACCCAATAGGTCCTCGGGCGGGGGCGCATCGGCGCCGGGCGGATCCGGCATCGCGTGTTTGTGTTGACCTGTAAAGCTTAACGGGCTTGGAGGTCAACTACTCACTCTACACCACAGAAACTCACTTGTGTGAGAGAAAGTCTCCCAAGTTTGCGGCCGGAGTCGACATCAGCTACCGGTTTGTTCATTGCAAGCATCGTGGGCGCGATGGCGTAGTCGTGAGGGCGCGCGGGCGCGCACTCAGTGGTCGAGGGTTCGATCCGCCCGGAGCGCGATCTGCCTTTTGGTTTCTTTTCCCTTTTTGTTATCCGAGGCCCGGCTTCGGGGTTTTTACCGGTGCCTGGCGGGCAATCCTTTTTACCCCTGAAGCGACCTCGTGGTGTAGTTATTTGACTCAGTCTTTCCTTCGCTCGGAGCACTTCCCTCCCTTTGCTTTTGCCACCTTTCCCCCAGAGCTTGGTCAACTCTTCTAGACTCGTACCCTCCCTCTTTTTACCCATTTCGCTGGCAATTAAGTCCGTTACACTTGATTTGCTGCGAAGCCTTCCGACCGAATCCACTCCTCGGTTGCTCTCGGTCGACTGCCACCGCCCAGCCGACTCGACCTTCCCACCGGCCTGGTCAGCTATTTCTTGGATCGTTTGCCCTCCCTCTTCTGTCCGACCTCGTTGGCCACCATAGTTCGGTACACTGGACTTGCTGCGAGCCTTGCAGCCGCGTATCCTCCGCGGTTGCCTCTCGGTCGACACCCCTTTCGCTTCTTCGCGCTTTCGCGCGCTCTCTCGCTCTCTCCCTCGTCTCTCGCGTGTAGTCATCGTCATCCCCTCTGACGGGCATGGGACGGAAACCCCAGAGTCGTGAGAAGAGCTCGAGCGTGTGGGTGGCGTCGTCAGGGGTGTACCGCGATTTCAGCGTCGAGTAGATTGTCGGCGCTGTCAGGTCGGCGGTAGGGATTTTGTCGAGGACTGCCGAGACTTCGGCCGAGTCAATCGAGCTCGCAAGGACCTCGCGAGCGACGGCGTTGCGAGCGGAGCGTTGCGAAGGTGTCCAGTCGTCAGGTACGATACCGTCGAGGACGTACGAGCGGATGTCGTCCGCTAGGCACATGACAGGCAACGTCGGAGGGGATGACGATGACTACACGCGAGAGACGAGGGAGAGAGCGAGAGAGCGCGCGAAAGCGCGAAGGAGCGAAGGGGGTGTCGACCGAGGCGGCGGCAGTCGACCGAGAGGCAACCGCGGAGGATACGCGGCTGCAAGGCTCGCAGCAAGTCCAGTGTACCGAACTATGGTAGCCAACGAGGTCGGACAGAAGAGGGAGGGCAAACGATCCAAGAAATAGCTGACCAGGCCGGTGGGAAGGTCGAGTCGGCTGGGCGGCGGAAGTCGACCGAGAGGCAACCGCGGAGGATACGCGGCTGCAAGGCTCGCAGCAAGTCCAGTGTACCGGACTATGGTGGCCAACGAGGTCGGACAAAAGAGGAAGGGCAAACGATCCAAGAAATAGCTGACCAGGCCGATGGGAAGGTCGAGTCGGCTGGGCGGCGGCAGTCGACCGAGAGCAACCGAGGAGTGGATTCGGTCGGAAGGCTTCGCAGCAAATCAAGTGTAACGGACTTAATTGCCAGCGAAATGGGTAAAAAGAGGGAGGGTACGAGTCATGATAATGAGTGGACCAAGCTCTAGGGGAAGGGTGGCAAAAGCAAAAGGAGGGAAGTGCTCCGAGCGAAGGAAAGACTGAATCAAATAACTACACCACGAGGTCGCTTCAGGGGTAAAAAGGATTGCCTGCAAGGCACCGGTAAAAACCCCGAAGCCGGGCCTCGGATAACAAAAAGGAAAAGAAACCAAAAGGCAGATCACGCTCCGGGCGGATCGAACCCTCGACCACTGAGTGCGCGCCCGCGCGCCCTCACGACTACACCATCGCGCCGACAATGCTTGCAACGAACAAACCGGTAGCTGATGTCGACTCCGGCCGCAAACTTGGGAGACTTCCTTCGAGTATTGATGGCAGTGCAGGCTGTGCTCCTGACACTATCCCCCCCAGAAGGAAGTCTACCGTGCGGCGAGGCGGTGACGGTGCGGAATGAGTTGGGCGGCGGGCGGACTTAGGCGGTTTCGCGCGGCCGGGTCGGTCGGAGTTGGCCGTGCTCGGCCGGGGTCGGATTGGCGGAAGGGGACGGCGGGCCGTCTTCGGCAGCGGCGCAGGACGTGTCGCGCTCGGTGGCCATGGCGATCGCTCAACACGACAGTCGATGATTCCAGGACGAACGAGGCGGGCACGAGGCGACCATGCAATAAGGCGGCGGCGGTGCGAAACGAGTGTGGTGGCAGGCGGACTTGGGCGGGTTCGCGCGGCCGGGGTCGCGGTTGCGAAGAGGCGCGGCGCGCTGGCTGCGGCAGCGGCGCGCGACGTGTCACACTCGGCGGCCATGGCGATCACTCAACTCACAGTCAACAGCGATTCCAGGGCGAACGAGGGCGGTCACGAGACGGTAAGAAGAGGTGGGGGGGTGGGGGGTGGGGGAGGTGTGGGGGGGTGGGGGGGAGGAACCACGCGGTCGTCAAAGAGGCCGAACTCGAGAGGCCGAACGGAGAGGAGGCGGACGACGCGAAGACGAAGGGCGGGAGGGCGGGAATGCTCGTCCAGGGTGTGGGACTGAGCGGTGAGAGAAGCTGGGACTGTCGCTAGCAATGCCGAACTTGAAAAAAGTGACAGGCAACGTCGGAGGGGATGACGATGACTACACGCGAGAGACGAGGGAGAGAGCGAGAGAGCGCGCGAAAGCGCGAAGGAGCGAAGGGGGTGTCGACCGAGGCGGCGGCAGTCGACCGAGAGGCAACCGCGGAGGATACGCGGCTGCAAGGCTCGCAGCAAGTCCAGTGTACCGAACTATGGTAGCCAACGAGGTCGGACAGAAGAGGGAGGGCAAACGATCCAAGAAATAGCTGACCAGGCCGGTGGGAAGGTCGAGTCGGCTGGGCGGCGGAAGTCGACCGAGAGGCAACCGCGGAGGATACGCGGCTGCAAGGCTCGCAGCAAGTCCAGTGTACCGGACTATGGTGGCCAACGAGGTCGGACAAAAGAGGAAGGGCAAACGATCCAAGAAATAGCTGACCAGGCCGATGGGAAGGTCGAGTCGGCTGGGCGGCGGCAGTCGACCGAGAGCAACCGAGGAGTGGATTCGGTCGGAAGGCTTCGCAGCAAATCAAGTGTAACGGACTTAATTGCCAGCGAAATGGGTAAAAAGAGGGAGGGTACGAGTCATGATAATGAGTGGACCAAGCTCTAGGGGAAGGGTGGCAAAAGCAAAAGGAGGGAAGTGCTCCGAGCGAAGGAAAGACTGAATCAAATAACTACACCACGAGGTCGCTTCAGGGGTAAAAAGGATTGCCTGCAAGGCACCGGTAAAAACCCCGAAGCCGGGCCTCGGATAACAAAAAGGAAAAGAAACCAAAAGGCAGATCACGCTCCGGGCGGATCGAACCCTCGACCACTGAGTGCGCGCCCGCGCGCCCTCACGACTACACCATCGCGCCGACAATGCTTGCAACGAACAAACCGGTAGCTGATGTCGACTCCGGCCGCAAACTTGGGAGACTTCCTTCGAGTATTGATGGCAGTGCAGGCTGTGCTCCTGACAGCACAGGCGAAGTTGGCGTGTCCAGTTCGCGAAGGTCTTCGCACCATCCAAGCGTGCGTGCTTTGGAAAGGCAGTGCGAGTGGTGCCGGACGACGTGGCGGGTGTGGCAGTGCCGGAAGCGGCAGCGGTGAGACCCGACAGCAGGGATGTAAGTGCGGCGAGCTGTTCGGCGGGAATTGGAGGGTTGGCACCCGTCGCGAGGGGTGGTGTCGTGGCCATGCCAGCTGGTGGCTCGTGGGCTTATAACCTATGAGACGATCACCACTACTGTCAGGAGAGGTTGAGAGTCAAACAGAAGTGATGAGAAGGAAGCTAAGAAACAGAAAGGGGGCCACGCTGGGATAGGCCCAGGCGCGTGACAATGTACATCCCTAAGTCAGCCGCGGGTGAAATCGCCGGCGCGCCTAAGTCCCCACCGCCGGGGGGCGGGCTAGCAAGTGCGCGCAACGACCGAGGCGCCCCTGTCGAGCTGAGAGTGGACTCTTTACAGATCCTCCCTTCCTCGGTCACCCGAAACATAGGCCATGATAGCGGGTCGGTAATGATGACCTGGGCTTGCGAATCGTTGGTGTATGCTCGGATGACGGTGTCGAGGAAGGGTTGGGGCAGTGGATCAGGCGGCCGATGGACTACAGGGGTGTCGTTGACGTCATCGGTGGCGACTCCCAACAAATCGAGTTCGTCAGCGTCGGCATCGACCGGAATGGGCGGGTCGTTGGCGGGGGCCGCAGCGATAGCGTGAACTCGATTGACAGCGATGGGAGGAGAGAGGCGGCCGATAGACGAATCGACGGCGTCCATAATGTTCTCGACCAGATGAGGGGAACCGGGAGAGCCTGCGTCGTAACCGTGACCCCAGGGCCCGAAGGCGCAATCAACAGGGGGCAACCGATCATGCGAAGGTGAGGTGTAAGGACGTTCCTCGAGGAGACTCTCACCGGGTGTAGTGAACTCGTGGCATTCTTCCTTCAAGAACAAATTCCCTAATTCCTGTCCATTCACGTCCTCGTCTTGCAATTCCTCCTTGAGCGCGTAGTATCCGGGAGAGCCTGCCTCGCAATCGTCGTGTTGGGGCCCGAGGGCAAAATCAACAGGAGGCAACCGATCGGGAGATGGTGAAGTGCAAGGACGTTCCTCGAGGAGACTCTCACCGGGTGTAGTGAATTCGTGGTGTTCTCCATCAAAGAACATGTCCTCCAACTCATTCTCCTTGACCTGATCCTCGTGCGATCCCTCCTTGACCTCCCACAGACGCAACAACGAATCGGCCAGGGTGTTGTTCTTGCCAGCAATGAATTCAAATTCGAAGTCGAAACGGCTGAGTTCGAGACACATGCGGATGTGCCGAGGCGTTTGGCGCAGTTTTTGGGTTTTTATCGTGCGAAGGGCCTGATAGTCGGTGACGATGACAAAGGGGTAACCGATCAAGTGCTGCTCGAACACCCGACACACTGAGACGACAGCCAAGAACTCTTTATCAGTGACATGATAGTTGAGCTGAGCGCCATTGAACTTAGTGGAAAAGAATCGCGTTGGAACGGCCTGCAAACGGTTGGGACCGGACGCCAAACAAGCGCCAATGCCAACCCGACTGGCATCCGTGAAGAGGTACATCTTGTGCTCGCCCGAGGTAACCTTGGCGCCATCGATCGGTCGTAGGATGGCGGGCACAAGAGACTTGACGGTATCAAAAGCCTGCTGTTCTCGCTCGTTCCAACGCCATGACGTCGCTTGCGCCATTAACGCGGTGATCGGCTCCAAAATCTTTGAGAGGTGCGGTAGGTGATCTCGCATCCAGTTGACGGTGCCGAGGAAGCGCTGGACATCGGTCTTGTTGCAAGGGATCGGCCACTGACGGATACGCTCCCACTTGGCGGGGTCGACTTCGATGCCAACGTCGGAAATGATGGTGCCCGAGGAATCCAACGACTTTGAGAACCACTCGGACTTCTTGGATCCTAAGTAGAACCGGTAATGTCTCAATGTCATCAGCAGGATCTTGATGTGTCTCAAGTGCGCGCGACGGGTATCGGAATGGACGTGGACATTGTCGAAAAAGATCTTGGCGAACGGGAGACACGGCTGGAACATCGCCGAGGTCAAGAGGTTGAGGGTATTGGGCGCATTGGTGTCACCAAACTGCATGACCCGCGACGTGTACGTGCCCATCACTGTTGCGAAACCGGTGCGATCGACGTGCTCCGGTATGACCCGAACCTGCTCAAATGCCGCGGCCACGTCGAATTTAGAGCGATAACGTGATCGAGCCACCTCGTATCGAACATTGGTCATGTCCGGGATGGGCGAAAAACGCTTGACGGTGTTGCTGTTGCGTGCGCGGAGATCGATCACAAAACAAGCCGTCTGGGAGTTCTTCTTCGGAATGGCAAAGACCGGAGCCGCAGAATCGATCGGACCCGAAACCCAGAATTGACCACGAGTGTAGTTAGCTGAGTGTTCCGCCCACTGGCTGAGATATTTGTCGGCAAGGGGGTACACCCGGGGTTTGACCTTTTCGGTGGGATCGATCAACGGGATCTCGTGGTTGACTGGCAGGTACGGTGGGAGTTGGTCCATCGGTAACGAATCTACGAACACATCAGAAAATTTCTCGAGTAAGGCAGCCAATCGTGTTCGTGCTTCGGACTCAGACATATCGTCGAGCGTCGGATTGTCAACAACATCGAGCAGCGGGTTGTGTGGCTCGATGTCAGGATCACAGCCTGCACTGCCATCAATACTCGAAGGAAGTCTCCCAAGTTTGCGGCCGGAGTCGACATCAGCTACCGGTTCGTTCGTTGCAAGCATCGTGGGCGCGATGGCGTAGTCGTGAGGGCGCGTGGGCGCGCACTCAGTGGTCGAGGGTTCGATCCGCCCAGAGCGTGATTGGCCTTTTGGTTTCTTTTCCTTTTTGTTATCCGAGGCCTGGTTTCGGGGTTTTTACCGGTGCCTTGCGGGCAATCCTTTTTACCCCTGAAGCGACCTCGTGGTGTAGTTATTTGACTCAGTCTTTCCTTCGCTCGGAGCACTTCCCTCCCTTTGCTTTTGCCACCTTTCCCCTGTGAGGAATCCACTCTCCGCTCGGCTCAGGACTTAGGCGCGCGGAGCGAACCGGGCGCGGACTTAGGCGCGCGGAGTGAGCCGGGCGCCCCGGCCCAGGACTTAGGCGCGCGAAGCGAGCCTGGGACTTAGGCGCGCGGAGCGAGCCTGGGCCATTGGCTCAGCCCCAGGCTCGCTGGCTGTGGACTTGGGGCGCGCGGGTCTCTTATTGTTAGCTTCCTATTCATCACTCTTGGCTATAACTACATCGCTGACGTAGTAGAGTTGATCGAATAGGTATGTTGAAATGCATTGATCACTCTTGGCTATAACTACATCGCTGACGTAGTAGAGTTGATCGAATAGAGTTGATCGAATATCCCCCAGAGCTTGGTCAACTCTTCTAGACTCGTACCCTCCCTCTTTTTACCCATTTCGCTGGCAATTAAGTCCGTTACACTTGATTTGCTGTGAAGCCTTCCGACCGAATCCACTCCTCGGTCGCTCTCGGTCGACTGCCGCCGCCCAGCCGACTCGACCTTCCCATCGGTCTGGTCAGCTATTTCTTGGATCGTTTGCCCTCCCTCTTCTGTCCGACCTCGTTGGCTACCATAGTCCGGTACACTGGACTTGCTGCGAGCCTTGCAGCCGCGTATCCTCCGCGGTTGCCTCTCGGTCGACACCCCTTTCGCTTCTTCGCGCTTTCGCGCGCTCTCTCCCTCTCTCCCTCGTCTCTCGCGTGTAGTCATCGTCATCCCCTCCGACGTTGCCTGTCACTCGAGGCCAATGATCTCGTCGTCGGGGAGCAACCCAGGGTGATCGCAGCCAATGGCAGAACCGGATAAAATAGGTGCTACGGTGACGGCTCGGTCCCATTCGTGCGTATCCTGGGTGACGGGTTGTGAAGGGCCGGTGCGCGCGACGGTGAAGGCGCCCCAACGAATGAGCATGCCTGTGTCCTTAAGAAACGGCAGCCCCAAGATGGCGTCGTACGCCATTACACGGCAAACAAAGAATGGTCGGAAACCGAGATCTAGGGCGCCAGACGAAAAAGGAGCGGTGGCGAACACAGCACATTGGTCGGACTTATCCTGGGTGCCGAGGCGCAAGTGCAACGGCGCAGTCAAACGGGCCGTTGCGAAGCTCGGGTTGACTCGCACCACCTCCTGATCCAGAGTCGATCAAACATCGCAAAACCCTTCCAGAAGGTAGCGTCCACGCGATGACGTTGCGGGCACGTACAATGGCGGGCTCGACAGGTCGGTCGGGTTCGTCAATGTCGATCAGGGGCGCAGCGGACGCCAAGAGAGACACACCCGACGGCACAGGAATCTGGAAAGAGCTCACCGAAGCAGTCCTTTCCGCCTTGCGAGACGACACCACTTCCGGCCCCGGATAACAACACAAGCGCGACGCGGCATCAGCGTAGTACAAGACATCTTCCACCGTGTCAATCGCGATGTCAGCCAGGCTATCGTCGAGACGATGTTGATCTGCATCATTTGCCGGCACGGTTGGATGCGAACTACTTGATGAGGTCTGAACTTCAAAAGAAGAAGAGGTGATGTCTTTCACTCAGCCAACAGGGTCTGCAGGAGGGCAAGAGTGGTGCGTCACTAAGGCGGATGCGGAACTCGACGGTCGAGTCAAATCAGTCTCGAGGGGAAGGGGGAATCGCACCTGGGGGTCCTCAACGTCACCTGAGGCCGATGACCATTCGTCCTCGTCCATGTCGGCGAAGGCGATCACTGATATTTGGACGGTCGAGGGGGATTGTCACTCCGCTGTACAATGCTGTGAGAAATGGCCACCTTGACCGCAATTAAAACACGCCATGCTGGCGGGTACCCCACCCGATGCAGGCGAGAACCACGTGTTCCGATCCTTCCACAGGTGGGCCTGTTGCCATTTACCGGCGCGGTCCATCCATCGAGCTCAACGGATCTGGGTATGCGCGTTGTCGTTCGGCTTGGATGGGGCGGTGTGTGGCGTTTTTGCAATTGCTCCATAAGTAGCAGTACGAATTGGCGGGGTCGAAACTGATGTCGTGCCGGTGTCGTCGGCGATGGCGGCCCAGTCGGTAACCTCCTCGAGGGACGGGACAGTTTGTCCAAACCTCCCTATAGTCACAAGTGAGTTATCCCGATATTCCCGTAGCATACCAGCCCGCACCTCCCGCTTAGCCACATCACTCAGCAATTGATAAAAGGTTGTGGCGAGTTGAAGGGGCAAGAGGCTGAAGCTGGGGTCGTTGTGCATAAACGCTCGGTAGCGGGCACGCCATTCACCCACATGGTCGTAGGCGCGAGACGAAGACTGTTGGCACCCGTAGAAGTCGTGGGACACTCGGTCGGCAAAGCCAGGATCCGGCCAACGACGTCCAACTTCTGTCATCAGTGTCGTCCAGCAGTGAGGTCGTTCGTCCCGGAGCGCCTCCGTCATCGTATCAATGGCCCAGTCGTGCGGAGACTGACGGCGTTTGGGAGAAGTGGAACGAACGAACAAGGTCGCCACAAGCTGGATGACGCGGTCAGTGGTAAAAAGGTCGCTGGTGGAAATGTCGCAAAGTAGAGACAAGTACGACTTCCCAAATGTAGTGAAAGTGACCAACCGATCCGGGTTATCGCCAGTCCATAGCCCTTCCCGGTCAGGTAACGTCCCTCTCCAACGAGAGCTGATTACTGCCGAGGAAGGGCCGTTCCTTCGTGCGCTGTAAGATTCCCCCCCAGGGGAACGAACAAGGGGGTCAGCGGTATTGCCTGAACGTTCCAGAATGGTGTGTGGGGGAACGTCCAAGGGACCGATCTCACTGGCGTAAACGTAAACTCCCCAGCCCGCGCTGCGGCTGGTTCAGAGAATCCAGCCCGTGCCACAGCTGGTTCAGAGACTCCGGCCCGCGCCGCAGCTGGTTCAGGTGAGCTTTTCAATAAACCCTCCACCAACTTCTCCAATTGCCGAACACGTTCCTCGGAGTCGATACGACGGGCTTCGGACTCCTCGAGGCGGCTTTCAAGGGATGATAGGGCAGTGGCGGTGTGGTAGGTATGAAGGAACAATATACCACTGCACCAAAAGGCGAGGCACCTCTACTTCAGTGAGCGCATATTGTCCTAGAAGTGAGATGGAGCGAAGTTCAACAGTAGGGTTTCCCCGAGATCACTTCCGAGGAACGACTGTCGCGGCCGGTCCACGCCAAGCTCGCGGCGCGGAACTCGGACTCCAAGATCACAGCACTGCGCTTGGGCAACGGAGAGCTAACGCATGACATTGATGTCGCTCTTGACCACACGCAGGCGCATTTCCAGCGCCTCTACCACATCGAGCCTCGTGATCCGGAACGCGTCGACCGACTTCGGGACGAACTCCTCGTGCCGATCAGGGCGGCACGGACTTGCGACGACCCGCGCTCAGATCCGCTCTTTCTGCGCCGACTCTCGGAAGCGCAGATTGATCTCCTCCAGCAACCCATCACCGAGGACGAGGTCGTGGCCGCGATCGGGACGACGCACCCGGGGAGATCGCCGGGCCCGTCGGGCGTGCCTTACGAACTCTATCAGACCGCACCGGAGGCGTGGTCCAAGGTGCTGACCAAGGCCTACAACGCGATGATCGAGCGCGGTTCACTCTCTCCCAAGCAGGGCCAGGGACTCGTGCGCCTCATCTTCAAGCGCCACAAGAAGAATGCCGATCGCGCCGAACTCTCGTCGTATCGCCCCATCACCCTGCGCGAGTGCGATTACAAGATTTTTACCAAGGTCTACGTCGCCCGATTGAACCAAATTCTGCCCGATCTCCTCCCGCCGCAGCAGCACGGCTTCGTCAAGGACCGCCGATCGGCCGACGCTGCACTACACCTTCGTCTCCTGATCGAGGAACTTGGCGCGCGCAGGACCGAGTTCCCCGCGGCCGCGCTCTTGTCTCTTGACCAATCATCCGCCTACGACCTCGTCGAGCATGACTGGATCTTTGCCATCTTCGACACTCTGGGCGCTCCTACCACCTTTCTTCGCATGCTGAGGATGCTCTACTCGGGTGACTCGACCTCGGTGCGCTACATCATCAATGGGTTCCTGACGGCGCCGGTGCGACTGACGTGTGGGCTCGGCCAAGGGGACCCGGCGTCATCGTCGGTCTGGGACATCGTGTTTCAGCCGTTCCTGGATGCTCTACACCGTCGAAACATCGCGCTGAATCTCTCCATACCTGCACTTCATCCGTACCCACAGAGCCGCGCCATTACATCACTTGCATTTGCCGATGACGTTGTCGTCGCCGTCGCGGGCTTGGAGTCACTCAACTTGCTCGATGACCTGGCGCTCGACTGGAGGCATGCAACGAATGGCCGGCTCAACACGGACAAGACGGTCGTCCTACCGATTGGACGTCGCTGGGACCCTGGCGAATGGCCAATCGTCGTCAAGGCCGCAGGCGAGTCGCTCGAGTGGATCGGCCTCCCCTTCGACCCCAGCGGCGACACCGAACTCGCCTACGCGAATCTCATCGAACGGCTCGAGGCGACGCTGGAAGCGGTTCAGCATCGCTGGCTCACGCACCACACCCGTGCCTTTTACGTCAATCGGTACGCCATTCCCAAGATCCTGCATTTCCTTGCAGCCGACATCCCGCCGCCCGAAGTCGTCAAGAAGCTCGATGACATGCTCGTCGATTTCGTCCGTGGGGGCAAGGGCAGGACCAGCTACGGCAGAGACATTGTGTTCACCGCCAAGAACAAGGGGGGACTCGGGGTGATAAGGATGCGGGACGTTGTGGACGCGGTTGCGGCACGGCTCTGGGACGTTCTTCTTGGCGGTTCCGGCGCGATTTGGCAAGGACTTGCGCGCGCATCACTCCAGCGAGCTCAGCCCGACCTCGACCTGGCCACCGATCTCTGGCCACATCCATCCACTCCCATCCCCAACGACCTTCATCCCCGATGGCACGCCGCACTGGGCGTTCCGAAACTTCACGACGCGCAGGTCAACCCGAGGGCCTTGACCACCGCGAACCTGCTCGGCAGCCTCCACACCCCCATCAGAGGGAGACAGACCATCGACGCGGTTCATGTACCTGACTACCTTCGTCTCCAGGGCTACCCGAAGGTGGCGGATCTCTATCGACGCGAGTTGTATGCGGGTGGGGGGTTTCACCTCTGGATGCCGCCGGCGGATGTGCTCGGCGACAACAGCGAGTACGATCGACGCGGGCTCCCGCAGCGACTGGCAATCGCGGCCTGGTACCGGTTCACTGTCGATCGACACAAGAACACCCCCTTGGCGGCGGCGGTGGCGGCGGGACGACTCAACGTGCCTCCCCGGATCGGCACCAGCGCACCACTCGAGGCGATCATCCCCAAGCCCGTGGCCCGCTTCGCAATGGAGCAGCGCCTTCCGGACCCGGTGCTTCCACAACAGGCGAGCCAGTATACGCTGCTGAACATGGCTCGCCCCTACACAGTCCGTCGCATCCGCCGGGTCCTGAACGCGAAGGCATTTACCAACATGCTCGGGCTCAAGGGACCACCGCAGCCGGACGACCTCAGGAGCTTCTGGAAGGCAGTCAACTCGAAGGCACTGACGGCGAGGGAGAGGGAAGTTTGGTTCAAGCTGATCCTCCGCTTCACCCCGACGCGCAAACTCCAGCACGAGCAAAAGCACGACACTTCTCCCGCGTGCTTCGTCTGCGAAGCGCCGGTGGACGACACCGATCACTACTTCTTCGGCTGCTTCGACTCGCGAAACGTCTGGATCGCGGCGAGGGGCGTGCTCTGCGACGCGCTCGGATGCGACACAATCGAGGGCGCCGAGTACACGACGCTTCAACGACTCTTTGGCCTCCCCAAGCTCAAGGCCAAGCTCAGCGCACAGGAAGGCGCGGGCAGGACGATCGAGATCTTCACGGGGATGGTTTTGGAGATGATCAGCAGTGGGAGATGGAGGATGCAGAAGCACGGGACGAGGATGGAAAGCGTGGAGAGGAGGAGGGTGGTACTGGAGGAGAGGATGAAGTTGAGGGCGGGAGGAGCAAGAGGCAGGCGAGGGCAGTAGAGGCTAGGTTCGATTTCCCCCCACCCCACTCCACACGCACACACACCCACATCACACATCCTCTTACAAAAACTGTATACTAAATATCTTTTCTTCATCTTTCTTTTATTACAGGTCTGCCTCCGTTGCTCATGGACCGGCTTGCGTTTTGGGATTGACTTGACGGTGGCTCGCGCTCTCTGGCTTCGGGGTTCTGAGTTTAAGGGAGGGATCAGCAGACACAGGCAGAAAGTCGGCTTTGAGGGGCCAGGGACTGCTGAGGTGGAGGTTTTGAGGGGCCTCCACCGCGTCTTGTTGTGACCGAGCATAGACTTGGGATTTCGCGGGTCAGGGTAGCTGCGCAGTCGCTCTCCTGTCTTTGTCTCGACCGAGTTGGGAAGTGGGTGCGGGGTGGGCCTCTTGTCGTTAGTACGCCAGTTCTTTTTCATATTCTCTCTCTCTCCTTCTCTCTCTCATTCGTCTCCTGGGGGGGAGCAACCGCTTGGCTGGGGCACTTGAATCCGAAGTATCGGATTGGTGGACTTGGCCCGTTTCTCGCATCTTGCGGGCGGTTTGTGTTATCATCGTCGACTTCCATCTAGTTTTTCCGTAGGCCAATCAGGGGAACAGGAATTGGGGGCAATATGATGAACGGTTTCTACAAAAAAAGGGTTGAGGCGGCGGGGACTTGGGCGGTTTCGCGCGACCGGGGTCTTCGTCGCGGAGAGGAGTGTCTCGATCATCGGCGGCGGCGCGGTACATGTCGCGCTCGTCGGCCATGGCGATCTCGTGACTCAAACGTCGGCGATTGCGGGGCGAACGAAGGCGGGCACGAGACGGTTGACGGAAAGGGTAGGAAGGATAAACGCGTTCGTCGTCGGACTCTGTGGATGAAGTCGGGAAGGACAGCGACGCGTTCGTTGGTGATGAATTCGGCAACGGAGAGGAGGCTGAAGACTCAGTGTCAGGATGACAGCGTGTACTCGAAGGAAGCCCCCCAAGGCTATGTGCGGGTAGAGTTGACTTGACCAGAGGCTTGCCTCGTTTCACAGCATCGTCGGTGCGATGGCGTAGTCGTGAGGCGCGCAGGCGCGCACTCGGTGGTCGCGGGTTCGAGGCGCCCAGACCGCAGTCTTCTTTCGGTTTGTTTTATCTTTTGTTAGCCGAGGCGCGGCTTCAGGGTTTTTACCGGTGCTCCCGCGAGCAATCCTTTTTACCCCTGAGGCGACCTCTTGGAGTGGTTGATTTGGCTAAGTCCCCTCTGGGCCTGGCACAGTCCCTTCCCTTTAGTTTTACCACCTTTCCCCGGGAGCTTGGTCCGCTCTTCTCTTTTGTTGCCCCTCCTCTTCTTGTCCATCGTTTGGGAATTAAGTCCGTTACACTTGATTTCCTGCGAGCCTTTCGACCGACTCCCCTCCTCGGTTGCTCCCTTGTCGACTGCCGCCGCAACAGCCGACACTTCCTGAAATCCCCCCCCCCCCCGTACCAACGCGTGTAGACGATGTCATCTCCTCCGACGTCGCCTGTCACTTTTTTCAAGTTCGGCATTACCGACAACGATCCGCACCTCTACAACCGCTTCGTCCACCGTCCTGGACGAGCATTCGCCCCCACTCTCTGAGCCTGAGTGACAAGCGACGTCGGAGGGGATGACGTCGTCTACACGCGTTGGTACGGGGGGGGGGGGGATTTCAGGAAGTGTCGGCTGTTGCGGCGGCAGTCGACAAGGGAGCAACCGAGGAGGGGAGTCGGTCGAAAGGCTCGCAGGAAATCAAGTGTAACGGACTTAATTCCCAAACGATGGACAAGAAGAGGAGGGGCAACAAAAGAGAAGAGCGGACCAAGCTCCCGGGGAAAGGTGGTAAAACTAAAGGGAAGGGACTGTGCCAGGCCCAGAGGGGACTTAGCCAAATCAACCACTCCAAGAGGTCGCCTCAGGGGTAAAAAGGATTGCTCGCGGGAGCACCGGTAAAAACCCTGAAGCCGCGCCTCGGCTAACAAAAGATAAAACAAACCGAAAGAAGACTGCGGTCTGGGCGCCTCGAACCCGCGACCACCGAGTGCGCGCCTGCGCGCCTCACGACTACGCCATCGCACCGACGATGCTGTGAAACGAGGCAAGCATCTGGTCAAGTCAACTCTACCAGCACACAGCCTTGGAAGGCTTCCTTCGAGTACGCGCTGTCATCCTGACCGTTACACTTGATTTGCTGCGAAGCCTTCCGACCGAATCCACTCCTCGGTCACTCTCGGTCGACTGCCGCCGCCCAGCCGACACTGACAGGCAACGTCGGAGGGGAGGACGATGCCCACACGCGAGAGACGAGGGAGAGAGCGAGAGAGCGCGCGAAAGCGCGAAGAAGCGAAAGGGGTGTCGACCGAGAGGCAACCACGGAGGATACGTGGTTGCAAGGCTCGCAGCAAGTCCAGTGTACCGGACTATGGTAGCCAACGAGGTCGGAAAGAAGAGGGAGGGCAAACGATCCAAGAAATAGCTGACCAGGCCGATGGGAAGGTCGAGTCGGCTGGGCGGCGGCAGTCGACCGAGAGCGACCGAGGAGTGGATTCGGTCGGAAGGCTTCGCAGCAAATCAAGTGTAACGGACTTAATTGCCAGCGAAATGGGTAAAAAGAGGGAGGGTACGAGTCATGATAATGAGTGGACCAAACTCTGGGGGAAGGGTGGCAAAAGCAAAGGGAGGGAAGTGCTCCGAGCAAAGGAAAGACTGAGTCAAGTAACTACACCACGAAGTCGCTTCAGGGGTAAAAAGGATTGCCTGCAAGGCACCGGTAAAAACCCCGAAGCCGGGCCTCGGATAACAAAAAGGAAAAGAAACCAAAAGGCCGATCGCGCTCCGGGCGGATCGAGCCCTCGACCACTGAGTGCGCGCCCGCGCGCCCTCACGACTACACCATCGCGCCCACGATGCTTGCAACGAACGAACTGGTAGCTGATGTCGACTCCGGCCACAAACTTAGGAGACTCACACACACACACACAAGTGAGTTTCTGTGGTGTAGAGTGAGTAGTTGACCTCCAAGCCCGTTAAGCTTTACAGGTCAACACAAACACGCGATGCCGGATCCGCCCTGCGCCGATGTGCCCCCGCCCGAGGACCTATTAGGTGGTAATGGCACGAGTGATTCATCACTCAACACGCAAACGCGTGAAGCGGTCACTGGAGGAACCGCGAATCCTCCAGCTTGGTCGCCCGAGGCAACTCAGGTCCGGTTGGACCATGAGAAGCTGATGAAGAAGACCTTCCAAGTGCTCGGGATTGTTCCCTCCAGCAAGTCGACCCGCCGACTGATGGTCCTGATGCACGACGCCTCGACCCCGCCTTCGCAGGCGCCAGCGCTCGCACGAGCCGCCCAAAGAGCGGTGCGAAACGACGCAGCCCCGGCCTCCAATGTGATTCGAGTCATTATGGATGGTCCTGGATCACCCAGAGGTCCTGTACAGACCGCGCTGCGCAAGCACTTTGGATTGGCTGAGACACCGTTCATGTTTGTGCGGCCCGAGGTCGAGAAGCTTTTCTCAAAATGCGTGAAGCTGAACCCGATTGTGACGAAAGCCACGAAGAGGTTCCCGATCGCTCGTCACATGTACGAGCTTGTATTCGAATCCGAGCAAGCTTGTCTTGAAGCCGCTTCAGCGGGCCCATTCCCCTACCACGGCAAGGAGATGGTTACCGAGCTCCCCAGCGCCTCTCCCCTTAACCACGTCGTGCAGGTGTGATTCACCTTGCCCTCCTCCTCCAGCGTGATCCCCGCTTCCGTGCTCTGAAAATCTCTCGATGATGCTATCACCCTTTCGTTCGGCCGCGCAGGTCGCACGCAAGGTTATACCCTGATGCAATTACAGCGGGGCCTTGCGGTCGATCCGAATGGCGATCCGATGGCCATGACCGAAGACGGGTTCCACTGCGCGTACCTTCGCTTACATGCTGATCTTTTCCAAGGCTCCATCGAGACGCAGAAGGCTGCGCTCAACGCCGCTTTGCCACAAGAGATCGAGATCCTGGGTGCCAAGTACGGCTTGCGACACGAATTCGAGACGCACTACTGCGCGGTGTGCGATCACGCCGGACACCAGTGGGGCGCTTGCAGGAAGCCGGTTTCGACTTCGGCCACCGCCGCCCCTGTTCCGGGGGCCTCGACCTCGACTTCGACTTCGACCACCGGCTTCTGAGTTGCTGGAAAGAATGGGAAGCACGGTGGGCCTGCCGCATTGAAACCTCGTGTCTCTGGTGCGAACATGATCCAGCTGGGACCTCGTGCTAACCCCGCAGGTGCAGTAACCGCCAAGAAGGACGACGCGAACGACGGCGACGACGAGTCGGTCGTTTCGACCGAACCGGAGGGCGGTGACACTGGGGAAGAGACGTCGACGCGTGCGACCCTGGGCTCAACAAAGGAGACGCAGACGACGACGGCGGCGCCCGTTTCGACCCTGACCTCTCCTTCGCCTTTGTCCGGTGGCACGTCGGGATCATCGGCAACCTCGACAACCTCGATAGCCTCGACGAGTCCTCGACGCCTTCGTTCGAGCTCGGCACCCGGCAACCGACGTGTCACCCGGGCGGGATCCGCCATGATCCTCGGTGCATCAGGGGGTGATGGCTCAGGGGGTCACAGGTCCGAGGTGACCGAATTCGAGGGGGGCGGCGCTGAACTGATTTAATCATGATTGAGTCACTCACCGTGTTGACGTTCAACGTCCGATCGATGAAGAACGCAGTCAACCAAGTCAAAATCATCCATTATCTCAAAACCCTTCGGCCATCCTCCTGCAAGAGCACCACCTCAGCTTCAACGCGTCGCGCGAAGGCTTCGAGAGTGCTTGGCCGGGGGCTTGTATTCGTTTCACTCCTCATGTCCTTGTTATATCGTGTGTCTCGAGAGGGGACTGGATCGGCAACCAGTGAGTACACGAGACACAGTACGAGTGTTAGGAAGTAGTTTGGAGCGTTAGGGGGAAGACTAAAGAGGCTCGCGGTGCGAGTGCGCGAAATATCTCTTAAGTCCAAAAGGGGTCCGAGCGGCGCGCGGCTGGCTAGGCTGGGCGCGGGCTGGAGATCGACCTAAGCAAGAGTGTATGGAATTCAACACCCCCCCTCGCTCGAAGCTTACTTAGCCTCGAAGACCCAGGTTATCACGATGTACCTTGAACACCAAGGGTCCAAGTGCCTTGGTGAAGATGTCGGCGACCATGGTTTTCGTGTCCACATAGTCGACTTGGATGGTGCCCAGCCTGACCTGTGTTGAATTGCATTCTGTCAAGCCTTCGAACACTTCGACATCGGACCGCCGTTTGACGGACTTGCCCGCCTTTTGCCTCGCGCCTTCGCCTCAGCGCCTTGCCTCCGCGCGCTTTCGCCTCGGTGCTTCGCCTCCGCGCGCCTTCGCCTTCGCAAGCCCTCACTGCGCCCCCTGTCTCTCGAGCCTCACCGCATGATCCTGCGCCCAGCCTCGTTCCTCGACCCCTGTGCGCCTTTGTCAACTCGCCCACATCTTGGTCTGTTCACCCGGTCGTTGCCTGCCCTGCCTGCACGCCACCACACACCTGCGCTGTTGAATTTCATTCTACTACAAGCGTTCGAACACTTCAACCTTGGGCCGCCGTTGTCAGGTCCGCCCATTTTCGCCTCGGCGCCTTTGCCTTCGCAGCCAAGCCGTCGCCCTCCTGCCCTCGCGCCGGCCTGCTCAACTCACGCCCGCGCGCCGCCGCCTCCACGCCGGGACTCTGGCCGTCTGCCCTCCAGTCTTGCTGAGCCAATGCCTCCACTTAGTCACCAGCAGCTTGCCGCCGCCGTCCTCATGTTCCATCGGCCATCAAGAGTATCGCCCATGCATGACGCCCGCCGTTCGCAACCTGAGTCTCGTCGCTATGGACTCCCTCGCTCACCAACACTCGACATCGTAGATAGGTTTCCCCTCGTGGCCGTTGTCCAACACGACCCCTCTCAGCACCCGAATGACCCACTTGGAGTTTGCCCTTGATGCTTAGCAGCGCATCCGCCCAATTTGCAGTAGATCCTTTGCGCGCCCGCTTGCTAGAACCTTGTCAGACTCGCGCTCCTTGTGCTTCCCGACATTAGCCAGACTGCTAATCTTCGGTAGAGAACAGATCGTCCAGCCGCACCGCCGTCTCGTCAGACCGCGTCTGACAGGCAACGTCGGAGGGGATGACGATGACTACACGCGAGAGACGAGGGAGAGAGCGAGAGAGCGCGCGAAAGCGCGAAGGAGCGAAAGGGGTGTCGACCGAGGCGGCGGCAGTCGACCGAGAGGCAACCACGGAGGATACGCGGCTGCAAGGCTCGCAGCAAGTCCAGTGTACCGAACTATGGTGGCCAACGAGGTCGGATAGAAGAGGGAGGGCAAACGATCCAAGAAATAGCTGACCAGGCCGATGGGAAGGTCGAGTCGGCTGGGCGGCGGCAGTCGACCGAGAGCAACCGAGGAGTGGATTCGGTCGGAAGGCTTCGCAGCAAATCAAGTGTAACGGACTTAATTGCCAGCGAAATGGGTAAAAAGAGGGAGGGTACCAGTCTAGAAGAGTTGACCAAGCTCTGGGGAAAAGGTGGCAAAAGCAAAGGGAGGGAAGTGCTCCGAGCGAAGGAAAGACTGAGTCAAATAACTACACCACGAGGTCACTTCAGGGGTAAAAAGGATTGCCTGCAAGGCACCGGTAAAAACCCCGAAGCCGGGCCTCGGATAACAAAAAGGAAAAGAAACCAAAAGGCCAATCGCGCTCCGGGCGGATCGAACCCTCGACCACTGAGTGCGCGCCCGCGCGCCCTCACGACTACGCCATCGCGCCCACGATGCTTGCAACGAACGAACCGGTAGCTGATGTCGACTCCGGCCGCAAACTTGGGAGACTTCCTTCGAGTATTGATGGCAGTGCAGGCTGTGATCCTGACAAACTCGGTCTTGCAGCGTGCGGTCCCAGATTCGGAAGGTCCCAACGTCAGAGAGCAGAGCGTCGGCCGGCCAGGTTGAAAGGTGGCGGGGAATATCGATGTTGTGAAGCGGCTTGCGATCTGGGGTGGGGGACATGGAGAATTCCCGTAGACGACGTTGTACCTCCAGGTGGATGCGCTCATCGATGCGGGCAGCCAGGGAGTCGTCGACGTGGGCGGAGCTCGACATCGTGCCGTCGGTTGCGTCGGGTGGTTTGGTGTGATCGGGTGCGGCCGGGATGGCGTCGGTGGTGGGGTTCGCAGCTGCTGCTGGAAATCGGGGCAGTTCGGGTCGAACTGGGCTCATAACCTGTAGAGTGTAGGTCGTGGAACTTTTCGGAACTGGGTGTAGCGACCGCTGGGGCTACTGTTGGGCGCGTCGACGTGGCTACGGTTGCGACGGACGGTCCAATTGGGAGAAGTCGCAAGGCGGCACAGACGCGGTCTGACGAGACGGCGGTGCGGCTGGACGATCTGTTCTCTACCGAAGATTAGCAGTCTGGCTAATGTCGGGAAGCACAAGGAGCGCGAGTCTGACAAGGTTCTAGCAAGCGGGCGCGCAAAGGATCTACTGCAAATTGGGCGGATGCGCTGCTAAGCATCAAGGGCAAACTCCAAGTGGGTCATTCGGGTGCTGAGAGGGGTCGTGTTGGACAACGGCCACGAGGGGAAACCTATCTACGATGTCGAGTGTTGGTGAGTGAGGGAGTCCATAGCGACGAGACTCAGGTTGCGAACGGCGGGCGTCATGCATGGGCGATACTCTTGATGGCCGATGGAACATGAGGACGGCGGCGGCAAGCTGCTGGTGACTAAGTGGAGGCATTGGCTCAGCAAGACTGGAGGGCAGATAGCCAGAGTCCCGGCGTGGAGGCGGCGGCGCGCGGGCGTGAGTTGAGCAGGCCGGCGCGAGGCAGGAGGGCGACGGCTTGGCTGCGAAGGCGAAGGCGCCGAGGTGAAAATTGTTAAGTTGGGACCGGGGGGTCGCTGGAGAATCGTGAGGCGGCACGGACCGGATCGTTTCGGGAGGTTGCGAGGCAGGACGACGTAGCAAAGTGCTCCCCGGTCGAGAAGTCGCGAGGCGGTGAAGACGCGGCCTGGAGAGGCAGCCGCGGCGCAGCCGAGCGATCTGTTCTCTAGCGAATCTCAGCAATCTGAATGGTGAGACGAAACGATGATGTGATTACAACGGACCTGTTCTCTAGCGAATCTCAGCAATCTGAATGGTGAGACGAAACGATAGAGAAGAGGGAGAGAGGCGCGAGAGCGCGCGAGTCGGGCGAGGTTCTAGCAGGGGAGCGCACAGCGGGTCTGAGAACCGGGCGGGCACATTGCGAAGCTACAGAACCGAACTCCAAGCGGGCCATCGAGGCTCTGAGAGGGGCTGTGTTGGACAGCGGACACGAGGGGAAACCTATCTGCAATGTCGAGTGTTGATGAGCGAGGGAGTCCATAGCGACGAGACTCAGGTTGCGAACGGCGGGCGTCATGCATGGGCGATACTCTTGATGGCCGATGGAACATGAGGACGGCGGCGGCAAGCTGCTGGTGACTAAGTGGAGGCATTGGCTCAGCAAGACTGGAGGGCAGATAGCCAGAGTCCCGGCGTGGAGGCGGCGGCGCGCGGGCGTGAGTTGAACAGGCCGGCGCGGATCGGCGGACAGGGGGCGGTGACGTGCAGGCTCAGCAGGCGACGGCCGGACGGATGTTGAAAGGTGCGTTGGCAAGGCTGCGGAGTCAGGAAAGTCGGCAGCGTGCGAAGGCGGGCGCAGGTAGGCGAAGTGGTGCGGTGACCTGCAGACAGGGCAGGCGACGGCCGGGTGGACGGACCAGGATGTGGACAGATTGACGAACGGTGCACATGGGTCGAGGAACGAGGCTGGGCGCAAGTGTCATGCGGCGAGGCTCGAGGGACAGGGGGCGCGGCGGAGGCTTGCGGAGGCTTAGTCGCGCGGAGGCAAGGCGCCGAGGCGAAGGCGGGCAAGTCCGTCAAACGGCGGTCCGATGTCGAAGTGTTCGAAGGCTTGACAGAATGCAATTCAACAAAAATGGGGCGGCGGCTTGGCTGCGAAGGCAAAGGCGCCGAGGCGAAAATGGGCGGACCTGACAACGGCGGCCCAAGGTTGAAGTGTTCGAACGCTTGTAGTAGAATGAAATTCAACAACCGCGTCATCCAGCTTGTGGCGACCTTGTTCGTTCGTTCCACTTCTCCCAAGCGCCGTCAGTCTCCGCACGACTGGGCCGTTGATACTATGACGGACGCGCTCCGGGACGAATGACCTCACTGCTGGACGACACTGATGACAGAAGTTGGACGTCGTTGGCCGGATCCTGGCTTTGCCGACCGAGTGTCCCACGACTTCTACGGGTGCCGACAGTCTTCGTCTCGAGCCTACGACCATGTGGGCAAATGGCGTGCCCGCTACCGAGCGTTTATGCACAACGACCCCAGCTTCAGCCTCTCGTCCCTTCAACTCGCCACAACCTTTTATCAATCGTTGAGTGATGTGGCTAAGCGGGAAGTGCGGGCTGGTATGCTGCGGGAATATCGGGATAACTCACTCGTGACTATAGGGAGGTTCGGACGAACTGTCCCGTCCCTCGAGGAGGTTACCGACTGGGCCGCCATCGCCGACGACACCGGCACGACATCAGTTTCGACCCCGCCGATTCGTACTGCGACTTATGGAGCAATTGCGAAAACGCCACGCACCGCCCCATCCACGCCAAACGACGACGCACGTACCCAGATCCGTCGAGCTCGATGGATGAACCGCGCCGGTAAATGGCAACAGGCCCACCTGTGGAAGGATCGGAACACGTGGTTTTCGCCAGCATCGGGTGGGGTACCCGCCAGCATGGCGTGTTTTAATTGCGGTCAAGGTGGCCATTTCTCACAGCATTGTACAGCGGAGCGACAATCCCCCTCGACCGTCCAAATATCAGCAATTGCCTTTGCTGACATGGACGAGGACGAATGGTCGTCGGCCTCAGGTGACGTTGAGGACCCCCAGGTGCGATTCCCCCTTCCCCTCGAGACTGATTTGACTCGACCGTCGAGTTCCGCATCCGCCTTAGTGACGCACCACTCTTGCCCTCCTGCAGACCTTGTTGGCCGAGTGAAAGACGTTGCCTCTTCTTCTTTTGAAGTTCAGACCTCATCAAGTAGTTCGCATCCAACCGTGCCGGCAAATGATGCAGATCAACATCGTCTCGACGATAGCCTGGCTGACATCGCGATTGACACGGTGGAAGATGTCTTGTACTACGCTGATGCCGCGTCGCGCTTGTGTCATTATCCGGGGCCGGAAGTGGTGTCGTCTCGCAAGGCGGAAAGGACTGCTTCGGTGAGCTCTTTCCAGATTCTTGTGCCGTCGGGTGTGTCTCTCTTGGCGTCCGCTGCGCCCCTGATCGACATCGACGAACCCGACCGACCTGTCGAGCCCGCCATTGTACGCGCCCGCAACGTCATCGCTTGGACGCTACCTTCTGGAAGGGTTTTGCGATGTTTGATCGACTCTGGATCAGGAGGTGGTGCGAGTCGACCCGAGCTTCGCAACGGCCCGTTTGACTGCACCATTGCACTTGCGCCTCGGCACCCAGGATAAGTCCAACCGATGTGCTGTGTTCGCCACCGCTCCTTTTTCGTCTGGCGCCCTAGATCTCGGTTTGCGACCATTTTTCGTTTGCCGTGTAACGGCGTACGACGCCATCTTGGGGCTGCCATTTCTTAAGGACACAGGCATGCTCGTTGGTTGGGGCGTCTTCACCGTCGCGCGCACCGGCCCTTCGCAACCCGTCGCCCAGGATACGCACGAATGGGACCGAGCCGTCACCGTAGCACCTATCTTATCCGGTTCTGCCATTGGCTGCAATCACCCTGGGTTGCTTCCCGACGACGAGATCATCGGCCTCGAGCCACACAACCCGCTGCTCGATGTCGTCGACGATCCGGCGCTCGACGATTTCTCTGAGTCCGAAGCACGAACACGATTGGCTGCCTTACTCGAGAAATTTTCTGATGTGTTCGTAGATTCGCTACCGATGGACCAACTCCCACCGTACCGGCCAGTCAACCACGAGATCCCGTTGATCGATCCCACCGAAAAGGTCAAACCCCGGGTGTACCCCCTTGCCGACAAATATCGCAGCCAGTGGGCAGAACACTCAGCTAAGTACACTCGTGGTCGATTCTGGGTTTCGGGTCCGATCGATTCTGCGGCTCCGGTCTTTGCCATTCTGAAGAAGAACTCCCAGACGGCTCGTTTCGTGATCGACCTCCGCGCGCGCAACAACAACACCGTCAAGCGTTTTTCGCCCATCCCGGACATGACCAATGTTCGATACGAGGTGGCTCAATCGCGTTATCGCTCTAAATTCGACGTGGCCGCGGCATTTGAGCAGGTTCGGGTCATACCGGAGCACGTCGATCGCACCGGCTTCGCAACGGTGACGGGCACGTACACGTCGCGGGTCATGCAGTTTGGTGACACCAATGCGCCCAATACCCTCAACCTCTTGACCTCGGCAATGTTCCAGCCGTGTCTCCCGTTTGCCAAGATCTTTTTCGACGATGTCCACGTCCATTCCGATACCCGTCGTGCGCACTTGAGACACATCAAGATCCTGCTGATGACATTGAGACATTACCGGTTCTACTTAGGATCCAAGAAGTCCGAGTGTGACAGGCAACGTCGGAGGGGATGACGATGACTACACGCGAGAGACGAGGGAGAGAGCGAGAGAGCGCGCGAAAGCGCGAAGGAGCGAAAGGGGTGTCGACCGAGGCGGCGGCAGTCGACCGAGAGGCAACCGCGGAGGATACGCGGCTGCAAGGCTCGCAGCAAGTCCAGTGTACCGAACTATGGTAGCCAACGAGGTCGGACAGAAGAGGGAGGGCAAACGATCCAAGAAATAGCTGACCAGGCCGGTGGGAAGGTCGAGTCGGCTGGGCGGCGGAAGTCGACCGAGAGCAACCGAGGAGTGGATTCGGTCGGAAGGCTTCGCAGCAAATCAAGTGTAACGGACTTAATTGCCAGCGAAATGGGTAAAAAGAGGGAGGGTACGAGTCATGATAATGAGTGGACCAAGCTCTGGGGGAAGGGTGGCAAAAGCAAAGGGAGGGAAGTGCTCCGAACGAAGGAAAGACTGAATCAAATAACTACACCACGAGGTCGCTTCAGGGGTAAAAAGGATTGCCTGCAAGGCACCGGTAAAAACCCCGAAGCCGGGCCTCGGATAACAAAAAGGAAAAGAAACCAAAAGGCAGATCACGCTCCGGGCGGATCGAACCCTCGACCACTGAGTGCGCGCCCGCGCGCCCTCACGACTACGCCATCGCGCCGACAATGCTTGCAACGAACAAACCGGTAGCTGATGTCGACTCCGGCCGCAAACTTGGGAGACTTCCTTCGAGTATTGATGGCAGTGCAGGCTGTGATCCTGACAGAGTGGTTCTCAAAGTCGTTGGACTCCTTGGGCACCATCATTTCCGACGTCGGCATCGAAGTCGACCCCGCCAAGTGGGTGCGTATCCGTCAGTGGCCGATCCCTTGCAACAAGACCGATGTCCAGCGCTTCCTCGGCACCGTCAACTGGATGCGAGATCACCTACCGCACCTCTCAAAGATTTTGGAGCCGATCACCGCGTTAATGGCGCAAGCGACGTCATGGCGTTGGAACGAGCGAGAACAGCAGGCTTTCGATACCGTCAAGTCCCTTGTGCCCGCCATCCTACGACCGATCGATGGCGCCAAGGTTACCTCGGGCGAGCACAAGATGTACCTCTTCACGGATGCCAGTCGGGTTGGCATTGGCGCTTGTTTGGCATCCGGTCCCAACCGTTCGCAGGCCGTTCCAACGCGATTCTTTTCCGCTAAGTTCAACGGTGCTCAGCTCAACTATCATGTCACTGATAAAGAGTTCTTGGCTGTCGTCTCGGCGTGTCGGGCGTTCGAGCAGCACTTGATCGGTTACCCCTTCGTCATCGTCACCGACCATCAGGCCCTTCGCACGATAAAAACCCAAAAACTGCGCCAAACGCCTCGGCACATCCGCATGTGTCTCGAACTCAGCCGTTTCGACTTCGAATTTGAATTCATTGCTGGCAAGAACAACACCCTGGCCGATTCGTTGTCGCGTCTGTGGGAGGTCAAGCAGGGTTCACACGAGGATCAGGTCAAGGAGAATGAGTTGGAGGACATGTTCTTTGATGGAGAACGCCACGAATTCACTACACCCGGTGAGAGCCTCCCTGAGGAACGTCCTTGCACTTCACCATCTCCTGATCGGTTGCCTCCTGTTGATTTTGCCCTCGGGCCCCAACACAACGATTGCGAGGCAGGCTCTCCCGGATACTACGCGCTCAAGGAGGAATTGCAAGACGAGGACGTGAATGGACAGGAATTAGGGAATTTGTTCTTGAAGGAAGAATGCCACGAGTTCATTACGCCCGGTGAGAGCCTCCTCGAGGAACGTCCTTACACCTCACCTTTGCACGATCGGTTGCCCCCTGTTGATTGCGCCTTCGGGCCCTGGGGTCACGGTTACGACGCAGGCTCTCCCGGTTCCCCTCATCTGGCCGAGAACATTATGGACACCGTCGATTGGTCTATCGGCCGCCTTTCTCCTCCCATCACTGTCAATCGAGTTCACGCTATCGCTGCGGCCCCCGCCAACGACCCGCCCATTCCGGTCGATGCCGACGCCGACGAACTCGATTTGTTGGGAGTTGCCACCGATGACGTCAACAACACCCCTGTAGTCCATCGGCCGCCTGATCCATTGCCCCAACCCTTCCTCGACACCGTCATCCGAGCATACGCCAACGATTCGCAAGCCCAGGTCATCATTACCGACCCGCTATCATGGCCTATGTTTCGGGTGACCGAGGAAGGGAGGATTTTGCGTGTACATCCAGATGAGTCTATTTCCTTGTTTGTGCCTCGTGGTCTCGCTACCGGCGTCGTCAACTCCGACAAGGTCCCATCGCTGCGCGAGCTCGTGCTTTCGGAGATTCATCGAAGTGTCGGGCATGCAGGACATCGCATCACCTTGGCCGCCATACGTCCTTTGTACTGGTGGTCGTCCATGTCTGCCGATTGCGCCGAGTTCTGCCGTTCATGTGAAGACTGTACCCGAGGCAAGGCGTCCACTCAAGTCCCCTATGGCCGACTGCATCCGATGCCAATCCCTTCTGGTCCTTGGGAACAAGTGGCCATCGACTTCATGACAGGACTGCCTCCGGTCGAGCTCGAAGGGATGATGGTTGCTCAAATCATGGTGGTCACTGACACTTGGGGCAAGATGGTCCACCTGATTCCCCTCCCAGCCGATGCCGACTCGGAGCTCGTTGCCGAGAAGTACTACGCCACCGTCTTTCGACTGCATGGGATGCCTTCCGCCATCGTTTCCGACCGTGATCCCAAGTTCACCTCGCAGTTTTGGCGGGCATTGCAGGCAAAGATTGGCACTGTCTTGCGAATGTCAACCGCGGCACACCCCGAGACGGACGGATCGAGCGAGAATCGGATCAAGATGGTCACCCAAACCCTGCGGATCATGGTCTCGTCAAACCACGAGGCTTGGGCATTGTTGAATTGCATTCTGTCAAGCCTTCGAACACTTCGACATCGGACCGCCGTTTGACGGACTTGCCCGCCTTTCGCCTCGCGCCTTCGCCTCAGCGCCTTGCCTCCGCGCGCTTTCGCCTCGGTGCCTCGCCTCCGCGCGCCTTCGCCTTCGCAAGCCCTCACTGCGCCCCCTGTCTCTCGAGCCTCACCGCATGATCCTGCGCCCAGCCTCGTTCCTCGACCCCTGTGCGCCTTTGTCAACTCGCCCACATCTTGGTCTGTTCACCCGGTCGTCGCCTGCCCTGCCTGCACGCCACCACACACCTGCGCCACCTCTGCACCTTCGCAAGCCGCTGCCAGCCCTGCCTTCGCGCCTTCGCCTTCGCACGCCCTCGCATGGCGCTGTCTGTCTTGTCAGTGCACCTTCACTGGCCCGTGTTCTTCGTCTCCGTCCGAGTGCCCCTGTCAACGCCCTCGTACCTTTGACTGCCGCTTGGTCGCCCATTGCGCCCAAGGCCGCCCTTTCGCCGATGCTTCCGTGCCAGCCTGCTCAACTCACGCTCGCACGCCGCCGCCCTCACGCCCGGACTTAGTCAGCCCGCATTCTCCAGCTTTGCCGAGTCGATGCTTCCGCCCAGCTACCTCCAGTTCGCCGCCGCCGCTCTCATGATTCATCGGCCATCCAGAGCATCGCCCATGCATGACGTCCGTCGTTTGCAACCTGGATCTCGTCGCTGCGGATCGCCTCGCTCATCAACACTTGACCTTGTGGATAAGTTTCCCTTCGTGCCGTCGTCCAACACGACACCTCTCGACGCCCTGATGGCCCGCTTGGAGTCTGGTCCTTGAAGCTTTGCATTGGGTGCCTGCCCAGTTAGATTCTCTGTGCGCTCCCTTGCTAGAACCTCACCCGACTCGCGCGCTCCCGCGCCTCTTTCCCTTTTCTCTATCGTTTCATCTCATCATTCAGACTGCTGAGATTCGCTAGAGAACAGATCGCTCGGCTGCGCCGCGGCTGCCTCTCCAGGCCGCGTCTTCACCGCCTCGCGACTTCTCGACCGGGGAGCACTTTGCTACGTCGTTCTGCCTCGCAACCTCCCGAAACGATCCGGTCCGTGCCGCCTCACGATTCTCCAGCGACCCCCCCGGTCCCAACTTAACAGGCATCTCGTCTTGTTGAAGCTGAGTTCGCTCTTAACTCTTCTGTTGCTGTGTCCACGTCGCTGTCGGCTTTTGAGGCAACCTACGGCTACCTTCCTCGACGTTGGCCCTCGGATTCCTGGTCTGTCTCGGACGTCCCTCGTGCGGAAGCGTTTGCTCGGATCCGACAATTACGGAACCTCGACGTGACGGATGTGATCATTGGAGCACGCCTCAACCAGTCCCATCAGGCCAACAAGCATCGACGCCCAGACGACCCCGCCTTTCGGACCGGCAGTTACGTCTATCTTTCGACAAAGAACCTGGCAGTTCCTGACGGCATGAAGTCGAAGTTGTTGCCGCGCTACATCGGCCCCTTCCGTATCCGAGCGGCCATCCCTGCGACGTCCAGCTACGACCTCGAGCTCCCTCCAGCGATGTCGCGAGTGCACAATCGTTTCCATGCTCGACTGCTTCGGCCTTGCGTTGAGAATGATGCTGAAAGGTTTCCTGGGCATGACCCCGCAGTTCTTTTTGTCGAAGACGTAGCCGACGCGGCCGACAATTCTGCGATTCCGGAACGGATTGTTCGCGATCGGCGGAACGCTCGGGGCGCTCGTTCGTTCTTGGTTCGATGGGTAGGCCGTAACGACACCGACGATACTTGGATGTCAGAGCAGTCCATTCGCCTTGACCATCCGTCCGTCCTCGACGCCTACCTCGCGCGCCTCGATCGCTCGAACCGCCGCCTCGCCGCACGGTAGACTTCCTTCTGGGGGGGACAGTGTCAGGATGACAGCGTGTACTCGAAGGAAGCCCCCCAAGACTATGTGCGGGTAGAGTTGACTTGACCAGAGGCTTGCCTCGTTTCACAGCATCGTCGGTGCGATGGCGTAGTCGTGAGGCGCGCGGGCGCGGACTCGGTGGTCGCGGGTTCGAGGCGCCCAGACCGCAGTCTTCTTTCGGTTTGTTTTATCTTTTTGTTAGCCGAGGCGCGGCTTTAGTGTCAGGATTACAGCCTGCACTGCCATCAATACTCGAAGGATTTTTTTTTTTTTTTTTTTGTAAGTCTCCCAAGTTTGCGGCCGGAGTCGACATCAGCTACCGGTTTGTTCATTGCAAGCATCGTGGGCATGATGGCGTAGTCGTGAGGGCGCGCGGGCGCGCACTCAGTGGTCGAGGGTTCGATCCGCCCGGAGCGCGATCTGCCTTTTGGTTTCTTTTCCCTTTTTGTTATCCGAGGCCCGGCTTTGGGGTTTTTACCGGTGCCTGGCGGGCAATCCTTTTTACCCCTGAAGCGACCTCGTGGTGTAGTTATTTGACTCAGTCTTTCCTTCGCTCGGAGCACTTCCCTCCCTTTGCTTTTGCCACCTTTCCCCCAGAGCTTGGTCAACTCTTCTAGACTGGTACCCTCCCTCTTTTTACCCATTTCGCTGGCAATTAAGTCCGTTACACTTGATTTGCTGCGAAGCCTTCCGACCGAATCCACTCCTCGGTTGCTCTCGGTCGACTGCCGCCGCCCAGCCGACTCGACCTTCCCATCGGCCTGGTCAGCTATTTCTTGGATCGTTTGCCCTCCCTCTTCTTTCCGACCTCGTTGGCTACCATAGTCCGGTACACTGGACTTGCTGCGAGCCTTGCAGCCGCGTATCCTCCGCGGTTGCCTCTCGGTCGACTTCCGCCGCCTCGGTCGACACCCCTTTCGCTTCTTCGCGCTTTCGCGCGCTCTCTCGCGTGTAGTCATCGTCATCCCCTCTGACGTTGCCTGTCACTGTAGATCGAGGCGAACCTGGAGCTGTGAGCCGAGGAGGTCGAGGGGATCGGCGGAGTCTTCAGAGTCGGTCGGTAAGGCCGAGGGTGACGATGACGCAGCCGACGATGGTGAAAGTGCAGGCGATGGCGCAGGCGACGGTGATGAGGGCGACGCAGGCGACGGTGAAGAGGACGGCACAGGCGACGGTGACGAGGACGATTCGGCATCTGTGAAGTTAAGTAAGGTTCCGCCAGTGTACCCTGGGGCCACGTCAACGGCGCTCATGGCAGAATCATCAAGGGGGGATGAGACGTCCATGTGCGCCGACCTTACTAGTGGGGTCCATGTCTTGACAACGGTTTGAGATTCGGTGGTGGGAGCGCTGGCGAAGTGCGTGTCGTCGTCTTGCTCAGTGGGGTCGTCATGTAATCCGGGGAATTCAGTGTCGAGGAACGTGGCATTTCTGCCAAGTATAATCTTCTGTGTCGTAGTGTCGTAGAAGCGAAAGGCTTTTGAAGCCAGGTCGTAGCCGGTGAAAAGAACGCGAACCGCCTTCGGGTCGAGTTTGGAGCGGAGTTCGGGCGCGACCGTAAGCCAAGCTGTACAGCCGAACGGGTGAAGCACCGAGGCAGTGGTGTGGTCACCCTGCCAGACGGAGTTTGGTGTTGCCTTGTCCAGGGCCGCGTGTTGACACAGGTTCTTGCAGTAAACGAAATAAGCTGCGGCCTCCTCCCAGAATGTCTTGGGTAGGTGGGCGTCGACAAGGAGGGCAAGGACGCCTTCGACAATGGAACGATTGACCCGCTCTGCACGACCGTTCTGTTGAGGTGTGCGTGGGATAGAGTATTGTCGACGGGTGCCTCGTGCCTTGCAGAACTCTGTGAACGCTCTCGAACAGTATTCGCCACCGTTGTCGGTTCGGAGGACCTTCAGCGTCGCACCCGTCTCGAGTTCAACCTCGGCTAGCCAAGTTTTGAATATGCCGAAGACTTCGCTTTTGTGTCCGATTGCGTAGGCCCAGAGTTTGCGCGAGTAATCGTCAAGGAATGTGACCAGGTAACGTTTGCCAGTCAAGGACCGCTCGGGGAAGGAAAGCACATCGCTGTGTACAAGGCCGAGTCTCTCTGAGGAGTGCGAATCCGAATCGGGTAAGGGAAGACAATGGCCCTTTGCGCTGAGGCAAGCATTGCAGACAAACTTCTCTACCTCTTCGTTGTTGTTTGTAGGCTGCAGGACCTTGGGAGGTTGGCGTAGCGACCGCTAGGGCTACTGTGGGAGCGTCGACGTGGCTGGGTTGCAACGGACGGTCCGGGCGGAGAGGTCGTGAGGCGGTACGGACGAGGTCTGACGAGACGAACGTGGCACGGCTGGACGGACTGTTCTCTACCGAAGATTAGCTGTCTTGCTAATGTTGGGAAGCGGTAGAGAAGAGGAAGAAAGGCACAGGAGAGCGCGAGTCTGGCAAGGTTCTAGCTGGCGGGCGCATGAGGGGATTTCTACCAATCAGAGGAGCACGCTGCGAAGCCCTAAGGGCCAAACTCCAAGTGGGCCATCGAGGTTCTGAGAGATGTCATGTTGGACGACGAACGCGAGGGAAACTTATCTACATGATCCAGTGTTGCTCAGTGAGGTGATCCGTAACGACAAGTTCCAGGTTGCAAACGATGGGCATCATGAATGGGCAATGTTCTGAATGGCCGATGGATCATGAGGTCGGCGGTGGCAAATTGGCTGTGGCGAGGCGGAGGTGTTGGCTTGGCAAAGCTGGAGAGTGCAGGCTGACTAAGTCCCGGCGTGGAGGCGGCGGCGCGCGAGCGTGAGTTGAGCAGGCATGCGCGGAGGCGGAGAAAAGGGGGCGGCTTAGCTGCGAAGGCGAAAGGCGCCCGAGGCGAGAATGCGCCGAGGCGAAAGGGCGCTCGAGGCGAGAAAATGGGCAGGCCTGACAAATGGTGGCGCGAGGTTGAAGTGTTCGAAGGCTTGTAGTAGAATGAAATTCAACATTCGTCACTATATCCGGCCCTGAGACCCTCCAGCAAACCAGCGGCAACCATCTTCTGTATGGAGGACGGTGCGAGATGGCTGAGGCAGCGGTGGAGAGTCAGCAGGGGCACGGATGACTGTGAGCGAGAAAGGAGAGCAAGGTGCTGACATTTGGAATGATCAGCGTCCAGCAAGTAGAGCCCTTCGTCGAGTCTTGCGCCTTCAGCGATGTCGTTGCCGTGTTTCGTGAAGGCGACACGGACATCGTCGGTGTCGCAAAGTCGAGAGACCGAGAGAAGATTGACAAACAGGCCCGGAGTGTGCAGCACGCCGGTAAGCGTGATCGGATGACCCGAGGCGGCAATGAAGGCGATGTTTCCCATTCCGATGGCGTTGATGCCCCCTGCAATACCACCAATCTTCGTAGGAGCGATATGGCGATAGGTCGTGAACAGCGACTTGTCCGAGACCATGTGCGAAGTGGCGCCCGAGTCGACGACAAAAGAGTGGTTGCGAAGCTGGCGACGACGAGCGAGAAGACCGGTGGCGAGACATCCGACATGGTGTTGCGAGTCGACGGTCGAGTCAGCGGTGTCGGGCTTTTTGCCGTCCTCGAGCGCCTTCTTGCAGTCGAGAGACCAGTGATCCTTCTTCTTGCAGGAGCGACAGGGTCCTGGCGGCGGGTGTTGCGCCCTCGTAGGGCACTCCGCGACTCGGTGTGAAGGGCTGCGACAGGCGAGACACTTGGGACCGGTAGAACGTGACAACGACGAGGCAAGAAGGGCCGATTGAGTGCTGGGGATGTTCGTTGACCGGAGTTGGACTTGTTGAACTTCGCTCCATCTCACTTCTAGGACAATATGCGCTCACTGAACTAGAGGTGCCTCGCCTTTTGGTGCAGTGGTATATTGTTCCTTCATAGGACTCACATACGGTCGGCAAGCGAATCAATGTCGGGGAGAGTTTGTTGCGTGCGCTGTTCATCGGTGAACGACACCTTGAAGCTCTCGAGGGACGGGTGGGCGATTGCAAGGAGGAGTGTGGCGAGAACATCATTGATAGTTGTCTTTGTTGAATTTCATTCTACTACAAGCGTTCGAACACTTCAACCTTGGGCCGCCGTTGTCAGGTCCGCCCATTTTCGCCTCGGCGCCTTCGCCTTCGCAGCCAAGCCGCCGCCCCATTTTCACCTCGGCGCCTTCGCCTTCGCAGCCAAGCCGTCGCCCTCCTGCCTCGCGCCGGCCTGCTCAACTCACGCCCGCGCGCCGCCGCCTCCACGCCGGGACTCTGGCCGTCTGCCCTCCAGTCTTGCTGAGCCAATGCCTCCACTTAGTCACCAGCAGCTTGCCGCCGCCGTCCTCATGTTCCATCGGCCATCAAGAGTATCGCCCATGCATGACGCCCGCCGTTCGCAACCTGAGTCTCGTCACTATGGACTCCCTCACTCACCAACACTCGACATCGCAGATAGGTTTCCCCTCGTGGCCGTTGTCCAACACGACCCCTCTCAGCACCCGAATGACCCACTTGGAGTTTGCCCTTGATGCTTAGCAGCGCATCCGCCCGATTTGCAGTAGATCCTTTGCGCGCCCGCTTGCTAGAACCTTGTCAGACTCGCGCTCCTTGTGCTTCCCGACATTAGCCAGACTGCTAATCTTCGGTAGAGAACAGATCGTCCAGCCGCACCGCCGTCTCGTCAGACCGCGTCTGTGCCGCCTTGCGACTTCTCCCAATCGGACCGTCCGTCGCAACCGTAGCCACGTCGACGCGCCCAACAGTAGCCCCAGCGGTCGCTACACCCAGTTCCGAAAAGTTCCACGACCTACACTCTATATGGTCGAGCATACTATCACCGGTGTCTTTAAACGACTTGTCAAAACTCGAGGGATGCAAGAGCCGTACGCAATTGTGGTCTTATGGGCAAAATCCAACAGCAATCCTCAGAGTGTCGCTACCTACATGATGAAATGCCTTGCAGAAGCAGAGAAGCGACACGACCAAGATTACCCCCACGAACCTATTACGCGACCGGAGGGCACCATTGTTACTACCGATTACGAGCCCGCGACAGGAACGGGCCAACATCAAAAAGCGGTTTTTCGATTCTCAATCTCTACGTCCGCATTCGCGTCATACTTGGTCCAAATGGTTCCCACACTGCCCACTTTTGATCGTCTCGCGACTTGCTGGCACGATGGAGACGAATGCGTGGTGATCAGGGTCTGCCTCGACAGCGAACGCGCAGATGCCATCTCAGCCCGCTTCAATAGAGCAACACCCGACTCGCAAGGATTGGCCGCCAAAAGTTCACGACAGATTGAGAATCACATCGACCTCATCCAAGACTCCATACACACCATAGCAACAATCTATTCCGAAGACAGACACAGGGCCGAACAATGCCACTAGGAAAGTCAGGAAGCGCTGCACATGCTCCAGATGAACAATCAATCACTTTACGCGGGAATGGCAGGCGTGCAAATGACGTCACAAGCACAATTTGGTGTCTTTTCGGCCAACCAGGCACTCAGTGACCTCAGGATGCAACTCTTTTCCTACCCCAAGGACAGTCAGGAGTACAACGACATTAAAGAGGAGATTGACGCGGCGAAACAGACAGTCAAGGAGGTGCAGCTCATATATCAGCAAACTCTACAGCAATCCAACCTAGCCATTCAGAACGCCAACCCCATTTTACATCAACAATGACTGGTCAACAATGCCCCAACAACACCCGAAGCCAACATCACGAACAACTCGCCAACGAGAGAACGCGATGAATCTGGAGGCTCGCCCAGTAAGCGCGGACGTCTCACTCACCACGGACGTGTCACCGAAGAGGAAGGGAGTCTTGTTTCAAGTGTCATGAGGACAGAACGTCGTATCGAAGAAGGAATGTCTATTGTCAGTACTCAACCACAATCCCCATTCTCTTCTCGGACCTTGTCTGACGAGGTGCTGCTTATGGCCGCAGGACCCATAAACGAAGACATCGAACCCCGAAAACAAAATCACCTTCAAATTATCCATACACTCAGCACATATTTTCTTCTTGCAATAACAATCAATCTTCACAGCATATCAGCCCCGACAAGAGGTATCATCCTTGTGTTGGATAAAAATCGGGTTGATGCAGCAACTCCGATCTCTATTGCAAGCCTCAACGTGAACGGACTTGCAGACCCCGTGAAGCTCCAACAAGTGCAACAAACCTTAATCAACGCAGATCACCATGTCGTCAGCCTAAATGAGCTCAAGTTCTGAACGGACACACGACTACCGGTCGACTTCGCTGATTTCCAGCCGATCCTCACACCTTCCGTCCGGGCTGGCTCGGGGATGAAATGGGGAACCCTCCTTCTTGTCCACAATAACCTGCCGATACTAAAGTCTTTTACATTTACCGAAGGACCACCAGTAGGACGAGTCGCCGCCGCCGACATACTTGTACGAGCAAGGGAAGGCACAGATATGGTCCCAATTCGTATCGTGTCCGCCTACTGCCCACACGGAGGTTATGCGTGCAACACCAAAAATGATGACAACGCAATCACGGGTTTCAGGACCGCCATGCAAGACCTCATACGAACCGGCCCACCAAACTGGGCGGTAGTAGGCGATTTCAACACAGTACTTGACGCTCGGGAAACAGCCGCAACAAATTTTCCGCGACTTCGACCGACCGCACTCGAATACTGCCGCTTCCTACGTCAAACTAATGGTCACGATGTGTGGAACGAGTTGGAATCACTGGTGCTCGCCGAAAGTTGGACACACAAGCTCTACGGGAACGCGTAAACCGCGAGCATCATAGATCGGCTTGCGACTTCCGTACCGACGGGGAATGGGGACATCGAGGCATTATGCCCAATTGTGGCCACCGACCACAGGCCAATCAGATGCAGGTTATGGTTTCCAGGGCTCTGCGTCGTAAGTGACGAAGTAGGAGACGATGGACCAAGAAGAATTAAAGTTCCGCCGAGGGGTAGCGATACTCGGCCAAGATTCACGAAAGAAATGGAAGACGGTGTTGCAAATGTACAATGTTTAAGGGAAATATCGGAAGATGTAATCGTAACTTCACAGGAGGTCTGGGACACTGCCTATAAAGATTTCTCTCTGCTACTGGTTGATACTTCTCTGAAGGTGTTTGGCGAGAGGCGGGGCACAACAACGAACAAACGCCAGTTCGTCGGATCCCCCGAACTGAGACAAATGATTCAGGACTGTTATCATATGAACCGGTACATATATGCCCTCAATACTAATTCTATCCACATACTCAAACAAAAGCAGGACGTACAAAGATGGTTCAACGAAATGCATGAGGCTCTAGAAAATGCAACACGACAACGTCTACAACAAGATAGAGGACACACTGATTGGTATCTGCCCGAAGGCGCAGTCTTGGAGACAGCGATGGTCTGGCGTCGACAACTCTGCAAAAGGATACATGCTCAGGAGAAGCGGGAACGCAAAGAGATGACACAACGGACTAACAATCTCCGGATCCAGAGTGTCATTAATGGGGGATCCGTAAAGAGGATTCTCATGCCGCGGACGACACTGGTTCAGCCACGAGCAGTTGAAACTGTGGGGGGAAATACCACTGCGGATCCAACAGAAGTACGTACCACCTTCAGGCAATATTTCAGTACTTTATTCAAAAAGACCGACGAACAACCAGTGACTGCTAAGCCGTGGATGAACTCAGAAAGGTCCCGACACTTCCGTAATACAACACAGCAGGACCAATTCGAGTGGCCTAAGCCCCTGACACTCGGCGACCTCCGAACGCTGCTCAGTAGAGGAAATCAGGAGCCATCCCCCGGGCCGGATCAATGGGAGAAATGGACCGTAGCAATTCTCGGAGACCGAGCATTGTCCGTGGTCCTGGCCCTTTTGAACTATGTGTTGGTGAATAACTACTTTGATAAGCTGCGTGACCACTATCTCCTTCCGATGTTCAAAAATCAGGGACTCTCCACCCAATTGAGTAACTACCGGGCGGTTTGTTTTGGAAATTTCCTTGCGGTTACGGCGGCTGCATGGTTCACGCGTCAAGCGCAGGCTTATGCAATGAAACACCACATGATACCAGAGACACAGGTCGCAGTACAAAGCGGCGTACAGCAGTGGGATCTCACGAGCTTCCTTGCGCAACTCGAAGCATGGGCTGTTCGCGCAAAGACTCCTATTTACGGCCTTATTCGGGACCAAAAGAAGGGCTTTGATCTGCTGCGGGCAGAAGCCGGATACGACGCTTACGAATTCTTCGGCTTCGGACCGAACGCGGAGGCTTTTGACCGAGCGCGGTTAGCACACGGCTCGTTCATGATAAAGACACCATATGGCCTGACAGACCCCTTCGAAGTGGACGGACAAATGAAACAAGGTGATCCACCAAATCCGTTCAGGTTTTCACTTGCGATGGCTATGGGCTCCTACTGGTTGGACGAGCAAGTCTTTGATGCCCCCTTCTCATCACAACGCAAAATGGGGCACGGCGGCGCGCGCACACAAAGGCCGACGAGCTCACCCTCAGAGTCACACAGGTAGCCGCAATGGACGACACAATTCTGCTAGCGAAGAGTGAAACTACGCTAGCTACCATGACGCTCTACATGGAGCTATTCCAAGAGGCTTATGGAGCTCAAACGGACTGGGGTATGAAAACTCGAGCTATTATCTTGGGAGACACTGACTCACTGGTGGCGCCATCAGAAAGGGTGACCGTTGACACTCCCCATGGAGAACGACAGGTTGCTGTTGACCCGGTACATGTCTTCCTCAAAACGCCGTTTGCAGCACCAGATCGACAATATACCCAGCTGGAGAGTATTGTGCGAACGATTGGGTTTCCCAGCACATCGACTAGGAGGCTTCCGCTCTCAGCACTGAGGCGGTTTATCGAGCAACAAGTGATTAGCAGGTTGAGGCCAAGGCTAGCATTGTGCTCAATTCGACCGGAGGATGCGCTCAGACTTGATCAAATAGTCGCGCAGCAGATAAAGGAATATTACGAATGGGTCTTCACACCAACGGCAAAGTTGGTTACCTTGCCGGTTGTCAAGTTTGGATTTGAGATTACCAGCCTATGGCGACTAAACGGGGCACTGGCGGTTGACGGATTATTACGGGACCTCAATCATCACATTCCGGCGTTTGCAACGATGGCCAAGATCACGCTGGCCGATCTTCAATGCCGACACCACGGCTGCATTTCTCCCTTTATTGACCCCAAGCCCCTGTCTTTTCCGCACTCGCAGCGAAAGGTCCCCCAGACGTGGAACACGGCTCTTAGTGCTTTACAACAATTCGGGAAGCTGCAAGTGCTGGAGACCGACCAATCAAGCCGTCTCACCTCAATGGTCAGGGCGGAGCATGCATATCTTCAGACAGGGGGGGCTCGGCGGAACGAACCACAGTTACGGCGGGCAGTGGCGGCGCTTCCAGCTCGGCTTACGGATATACGGGAGCTCAAGAAAGGACCGCGGAGAGATCGACCGGACCTTTTCTCCGATTGGCTAGATCCCAATACCAGATTGGTGCGGCAGTGGTTGGATCACTTTGATGAATTGACTTTAGCCGAGGGACCAGTCCAACTCCTGCGAAACAGAGCCGAGCGGCAAACCGAAGTCGAAGGTCAGATTTGGGGTGTAGTTCTTCCCATACTTGAAATGGGACAAACGCAGGCTCAAGGCATTTGGGTGACAGATGGCTCACTTATTGTCCTGCCCATGGGATTCACCTCCGCGGCCGCAGCAGTCGTGGGACCAAATTGGGAGGCCCGGGCAGCTTTGTTTGCGGGCGCGTCAATCATGCAAGCGGAAGTGACAGCCCTGATTATGGCAGCACTGACTATACAACCTTACAATTTCGGGGCTCCTACACCGATTCCGGTTCTCGCAGATCATCTAACATCGGTCAGATTTGCCGAGAAGATTAGGCACGGCGATGTCGCACCGAAGAAACCGAGGGCTGCGCTTGTACACTACACATGGCTCCAACGTATACTCGCAACAAACCACATGATCGAAATACAACACGTGAAAGCTCATACGGGACGGACGGATGATGCATCGCGTGCAAACGAGAGAGCGGATGAAGCGGCCAAGAAGGGACATTCACAGCCTGACCTCATTGTGCCTTTCCCTGATTTCGCTCTCCCGCAGTGGACGATCACTAAAATGACCGCCAACAACCTCGAATGGCTGGAAGGCGATATCAGCAAGAAGATTTACGACCTTCAAGAAGACTGGCAGCTGAAGTCGTTACCAAAGAAGACAGGCGACAGTGTTTGACTCCTATTGAATGTTGAACATTCAGCAGGGCAGTACCCATATCTTTGCGCAGTGTCAACGTATGCCGCACAGACACAGCTCCAAATGCGGGCACATGTTCTGCCCACTGCTTTGCGATGCTCAGAGAGACTGGGGACCTCCCCGGAGTGTGTGATTTGTGGAGCAGAGGAAGAAACAGAGAAACACGCGTTTGGAGAGTGCCCCTCGGGACAAGAACTTCGCGACAAAATTGGTCAGGACCTGTATCGGGCTACGCGAAGCGAACTTGAGGTGCGGCAACAAGGATGGACGGACCTGCAGATAAGGGAGCTATGTACCTTTGCTGCCAAACTGGTGAGGGCACATTTGTGGTGGTTGGCGATGTCAATGATACCCAAACCAGATATCTACTGGACTCTAGACGAGCGATCGCGGACGCGGCTGGACCGAGCATGGCATCATGAGCTGATTAAAGGGGCGGCCGCATGCGGAAGTGGTGGACATTCCAACAGAATATGGAGTAGCATACCGCACTGGTGGAGGCGATGGTGGCAACCTTGCCTCATCTACCCTCAGGAGCTGGGAGCCGAGGGGGAGGAGGGAAAACTGATGTAAGCCCTGAGAAATGGAAGCATCAGTCCTAATTCCAGTGAGGCAATGGCCCGTATACAATATGGGTGTATGATATATGTCACATGTTATGGTGGTCCAGCGGATCTAGCATTTGTTAGATTCTGTCTTTGAATAAGACTAGCTGGAATTTATGGTTTTAAACTTTAAACTCATCTACCATGGTCGAGTGTTGGCGAGCGGGGCAGTCCTGAGCGACAGGTCCAAAGGTTGCGAACTGCGGGCGTCATGCATGGGCGATGCTCTGGATGGCCGATGAAACATGAGGGCGGTGATGGCAAGCTGACGGTGTCTAGGCGGAGGCAACGGCTCGGTAAGGACAGGAGAGGTAGATCGACAAAGTTCTGGTGTGGGAGGCGGCGGCGCGCGAGCGTGAGTTGAACCAGGCTGGCGCGGAGGCGGCGAACAGGGGCGGCGGCTTGGCTGCGAAGGCGAAGGCGCCGAGACGAAAAATGGTGAAGCGGCACAGGCGTGGTCTGACGCGACGGACGCGGTGCGGGCTGGACGGACCAGGATGTGGACGGGTTGACTAACGGTGCACATGGGTCGAGGGAGCGAGACTGGTCGTGTGTATCAGGCCACGAGGCTCGGAGGGACAGGGGGCGCGGCGGAGGCTCGCTGAGGCGAAGGCGCTGAGGCGGAGGTGCGAGGCGAAAGGTGGACAAGCCCATCAAACGGCGGCCCGATGTCGAAGTGTTCGAAGGCTTGATAGAATGCAATTCAACAAAAAGTAGTTCAATGATGAAACGAAGGCTCTGTACATTTGATCGTCATCGCGCGGTCCTCTCCCAACTTGAGTCACTAGGTTTCCGTTACTGAACAGTACCGCAGCTGTTGCAGTGAAGTACATCGCATTGTAGGTCAACGGTTACGGTGTGAGGTGGCGCGCGGACGCCTCACCTAGTATCAAGTATTGCAGAAGTTGGGAATCCGAGGACATTTTTGTCTTTTTGAGACCAGTGGGATCCCATTAAATTAACGGGAAGATGAAATTCAAATAGCAGGACAATTGAACAGTCTACATGATTTCAGCACAGAGGTTAAAAAACCCAATACGAAGTAGAGCAAAGAAACAAAATCCATTCACCCTACATTCATTGCCAAAACAGCCTGCATGCCGCTCGTTGCCGGACTCGGCGCTTCAAACACTTGTGCAATGAGATCCGGACGGTTGCATGCTTTGTTGTTCGGCCCCAGTGCAGCCTTGATTTCCGGTGATTTAGGGTCGCACATCATCGTGATGAGCAGCGGAGGCTTTCCATGTTTGACAACGCACGCCATCGCATCCTGGTATCTGTAAGGCGCCGCTCCGCTTACGCCTCACGACAACTCAAGCCAACCTAAGCGGCCTAAGCTTTACTTGCGCGCGGCGCCACAGGCGCCTCTTGACCTTAGTCATTTTGGTAGTCTTTCTTCGCCTGCGAATTACACCGTTTGATCCTTTCTGTTTCGATTCGGAATCAGTGAGGCTTGAGAGCAGTCTCGTGCCTTTCAGTATCGCTGCATGATATTGCGCGGTCTATTCTTGAACGTCGAGCCCAAGGTCATCGAGTGTCCAATTTGGTCCGGGGTCAAGCCGTTGATGCCTTGGGCCGTGGTGAGGCGTAGGTTTTCTTGATGCAACTGGATGTAGTTGAGGTGATCGGTCTCGACCTGGGAGTATCCTTCGATCACGAACGCCGGGAAGGGACGTTGAGTGCCATGCGGGCTCGTCGCGTTTGTGCAAGTAGTACGCAAATCATTGTGAACGCGAGACTGGCACCTTGACCCCTTTACTTGAACTTCGTCCTAGGTGTTCAAACATTCAATATCGGTCTGTGCTCGCGCCTCAACAGAATGGAACACCCGAGAAGGAGCCAAAGACGCTTACGTTCACCATCACCGTTCTCTTCGTCCCCTTCCTCCTCGTCTTCACCTCTTTTTGGCGGTCTTTTGGCGAAGAGTGGCCCAACTTGATTGAACCACAAAGAGGAATGCTGGGGTGGAAGCCATCTTCCCCCGCGGGGAAGAATAGTGTGTACCGGAGAGGCATCGCAGACGGATGGAGCAAGCTAACGATTTGGTACTTGGGCCGACCATCGGGACATCGATCACCGTGCACCTGGAGAATAAGGTCTTGCGGTCCACGATCTCCCGTGATGGCGTCGGAATCGCAGATAAGCATCGCCATTTCCGTGACTGACGTAGGAAGGTTGTGGGTGTGTCGGCCTCGGCCTAGTGGTATGCAGAGGCGCAGGATCCACTCTTTGGCCGTATCACAACCTGCGCAAGCTTTGGTCAATGCAAAAAGCCTCACAAAGCGATTGTTGGTACGCAACTTGGACTCGAGCTTGGTCAACGTAGATCTTTGTATGCGACTGTCTGGGCTGTCGGGTCCAAGTCGAGTGTCGTTGGCCTCGGCAGGGTCGATGAGCCATGTTTGAGCAAAGGCTGGGCGTTGATTCACGGCAGGGATCAGGGCGCCGAGTCGATGATAGAGGCGACCAAACACGCGAAACACGGGGGGTCCTAGCGTGCCCACTTGAGTTTGGTCCCAGTGGGCAGCGAGCGAAGTAAACGACAACACGTTGTTGTACGACCGGGTGTTCTCGCGGACCGCTTTAGCTTCTGTGTGCGTGGGAAAATTGTCGCACAGTTCAGCATGTGGGTCTACTGCAGACGAATGTTGTTGGACGGAGCAACTGACCGCTATCCGAGCCTTCAAGAAGCTGCCGATACTCAAGATTGGGCTGGGGACGGGGAGGTAGCCGCACCTTGCCCTGCGAGGAGCACGCGCTGAAGTGTCCGGTCGACTTCAACCTTTCGCACTCCCAGTGCCGAGCCTTGCAGTGGGTGCACACGGCCGTCTGGGGGCCGAGCTAGTCGCGGATCGAAATGTGGGGCTTGAGGGGTTTGAGCGCGATTCGAGCCAGTTCGAGCCCCGCGCATTTGCGCATGAGGAGGTGGTGGTGGGGCGTGTGGGGCGTGGGGGTCGCGCGCGAGGCGGGCGAGGGCGAGCCAGGCGAGTCGAGGCAGGTCGAGGCGAACACTTCGCCGAGAAGCAGGTATTTCGCACACTTCAACTCAGGAAACAGTCGCGTTCAGCGTCAGGTCGGCCATCGCGCTGAGTAGCTGACCACGCTGTCCGTTCTGCACAGCTGCACGGCGGGCTCGTAAACGTGTCGCAATACCAAGATCGGTTGAATTGTTGTCATGACGCGCGGGGGGCTGATTCTGTTGATCAGAGCGGGAGGAAAAGGAGGGTCGAGCCGCGGGGCGCCCAGCAGCGGGCGCTCGAGCAGGCCCATGGTACGGCGCTACCCTCGCGCCCAGGACTTGGCGAGGTTGCGATGGCCCTCCCTGGCGACCTTGGGACCGGGGCATAGTGGGAGGGTTTGTTCTTGAATGAGTGTCACTAAAATTGGATGAGAGTGGGAGGGAAAAAGGAAAGGTTCGAGGGAGTGGCGCAGGATTATTTACGGGGTTTGATTTGTTGTTCAGCCCCTAATGCCGCTGGTCCGCTGCTGGACGGGCAATGACACCGACACCGCCGGCGCGCCGCATCACGTGACAGACGCCAACCCTCGCCCGGCGTGTCAGACGTCAGACGGAGCGCTGCTGTAGAAGCAATGTCATTCAAAGCCACGCACTTGCCCTCCATTAAATACAATATACGTGTGAACACTGTTTTATGTCACCAAAAAAGTGAAGGAAAATACTGGGAGTGCTGTGGTTTCGTTCGAACGGCGCGAAAAATACAAAAGTCACCACAGAGCTTGTACATGACTTCTGATCGGAACATGGACACCACAGGCAGGTGCGGCGGACACAACAGTATGCTGGTGCATCCACCACAGGCGGCCTCCGGGCCGCCACCTAGTTAAAAACAGTGATTTTAGGTACATTCCTTAACTCACCTTTTTTATATATAGAGAGGTAGTAATTAGGATGATTGTATTACTGTCATTCAAATCCACCAAATGAATACAAAGATGAGATCCTACTGAAGTCCATTTCATTTTGAAAAGGGTCGCGCCGGCGGCGCTCTTGGTGCGCGCGCGCGGCGGGAACGCAATCTAACCCAGCGCAGAAAAAATTCTGAGCATTGTACAGCTTGTAGAGTAGTTTTGAGAAATTATTCAACACTAGGCGGCACTCATATTTGGACATTTTCAGTCAGAATCCGGGAAAAATTTGGACATTTTGCCTCGAAAAAGGCCGTTTTTAGAGGGCCGCCTATGGCTGGGCTTTCGGGGATCCTGGCGTGGGCTGCCCAGCGCCATCTTCACTCAACTCCGCGCGTCGACTCGCACGCACACCTTGCTTGCTTCGCGTCGCTTCACACCCATCGGATTACGCCAGCTATCCATATTGCTGTACATTCCTGTTTCACTCTGTCGCTCAACGTCGCCGTGACCCGGTGACCAAGTGACGCCGTCGCACCTGTGGGGTGGTCGGGGTGAGTTGATTCGCGGCGACCTGCACAGCCCTCCCCGAGAATATCACTGAACTGATTCCTTTTGCTATGGTGGGCTGAACCGCGAATCAAGGCTTTGCATGACCCAGGAAGCCTCCATCCTTCGCTCAGTGGTTCGGTATGTGCACGCCTCAAATGAAGGCCGAAGGGGCACCGGCCCACACTCCACCCAACCATGGTGCGCTTGCGGACATCCTAGCCTCAGACGTTCGCACCGACAGCGATTGACACATCTTTCTTCTTTGCCATGTCGACACAGGAGGCCCCACTGCGAACACGAGTGTCAATAGCGATGAGTGGCAACTCAGCGTGACGGAGGAGACGTCGCTCATTTTCGATGAGAACGACTCGAGCCTATGCGCCGTCGAGGAACAGTCAGCCCGACTCATCGAGATCAGCGAATCTTTGCCGAAACAATCGCCAACTCCAATCTGTTTGGCGTCTTCACAACAGAGGAGCACCTCCGGTCCAGGACGCTCTCCAAGACCGCCGCAGGTGCAATTCTCCCCGCTTTCCCTGGCCCCATCACCTCTGCTGGGCCTGCCGCCGCCCCCGCTTCCGGCTCTCATCGATCCCATGAGCGCCAACAGTGACGCTACGGAGTCTCCGACTTCGTATCGGACGCAGCAGACATCTGCCCCGTCGGTCAGGACGATTCTGAAGGTGCCTGGAACGCCGGGCACTGGTCGATCAGTGCGCTTCACAAGTAGTGCGAGGCGCATTGAAGATCGCTCTCCTACTGCTCGACCAGATCGTTCAACTTCGCTCACCAGCGACGGCGGAAGTGGGGAACAAGAAAGGGTTCTGCGCGTTGAAAAGGAAGAGGATCTGGAGGAAGAAATTTCTTCTTCCGAAAAGGAAGTTTCCAGTCACTTGGTCGCCAGCTTCCTGTCTCGGCTACAAGCGGTTATCCCCTCGCCAGATTCGTCCCTCGCATCGCCAGTTTCTCGCTTGGCTGGTCCCGGCGATCAAAGCGTCGTCGAAGCTACTAGTCACCGCCCCGCGGTTGCCGTAACGAGTCCGACCTCAAGCGATTATGTCATCGATTTGTCCAAGCACCTGCCGGTCGTCGGACTTGGCATTGCTCGCAGCGTGCGCGAGACACGTGACCTCTTCGATGAGAGCAACCCTTTCGCTGGAGCATCAATATCCTTGTTGGCCGCATCCACCAAACAAGATCTTAGATTTGCCAGCAGGCCAACAGTTGCTCAGCTTGAAAGCGAGGGTGCTCGATTTGCGCCCGGGTTGGCCGCCCTCTCCCAAGTCGACGAAGCGGCCGGCGTCAATCATCTTTCAAGGCCATCAGCCAGCGACCCTCCTCGGTTGCCTCCGCGTATCAAGTCTTTGCAACCAAATGACCCCGGTGCCTTGCCGTCGATGCCAGCTGATAAAGCACCGGACATGCTGGCAATGGGTCGAGATCAGGAAGCCTCGAAACCTCTCAGTTGTGCCGCTGCTCACATAACCGTCTCGGATAGCTGCTCCAACGAGGAAGATGTGACTCCACTCTCGGCAACCTCTCGTGCGAGTTGTATCGGCTCATCGCTCTACCGAATTTTTATGCAAAAGCGATCAGAGGGTAGTCGCATTGCGGCAGACGAATGGGGTCGTCTCGTCCACGGAGGTCAAGCGGGTGACAAGGAACCTGCTCACCTGATGGAGGGCGCACAGGCCAACCCTTCTCTCGGTCGCCCTCCAAATCTCTCGCCAAACCTGCGCCCCCGCGATCAATGCGCCTTGGAAGAGCTGAAACACTCCGGAGGGTTTGGTACGCCGAGCTGCACCAGTATCGAAGGATGTTCGTCAGACCTCGCAAATGACGCTGGAGACCACCAGCTGGACGACTCCTACTTCGCTGCTGTGCCACTTACCTACCTCTCACCCATTCCCGAATTGGTAAGCTCTGCCGCCCACACCACTGGAATTCGCCCGATTGTGGTATATATCTGACCGCATCTCTTGTTGGTACCCTGCAGTCCGAGCCCAACACCACAGTCGAGTCTGTGCGATTGCCTTTGTGCGATGAGGCAGCGTCCCGTATTGGAAGGGCAACGCCATTCAGAGGAAAGCCAGGATCTTTGTATGTCACAAGTACGACTTCGTCTTTGGCGTCATTCACTCCCGAAGAGCACCCATCGTTCGCTCTGTCCCTTCTACCAACATCGATGAATGATACATCGTCCATCGACTTTCAAGAGAGCTTTGATGCATTCGCCTCCCTCGTCGCGACCTATGATGTGTGGCGAGAACACACGACGGCTCAAAAATCGGACATTGCTTCGCTTCTTGCGATCATACGCACCGAATGCCAACGTAAGGACGCGGTACTGGCCAAGCTCGCTGGGCGTAACGAGACGCTAGAGAGGCAGCTGCAACATATCACCGCGACCTTGGACGAGACCAACCACACCCTGCTGGACCGTGACGGCGGCCCCGAAGGAGTGCTCAAGAGGTTGCTCAGGAAAAATGAAGCGCTCGTGAGGCTTGTCTCAAAACTCACCGAAGAGTTGGAAGCTCGGATCCAGCAACAATTGAGCAACAAGAACAAACGCGAGATGGACTTGAGGGACTCGCGAGCCGAGCTCCTCAAGGCGCAAGACGCGGCTCGCGATCGCGAAATACGTTTGCGTGTCGCCCAAGCCACCCAAGCTGATCTGAGCGAGACGCACTCTCGTATGCAGCAGCAGGTATTGCAACTGGTCCGCGAGAACGAGGCTTTGCGGCAAGAACGGGATGATGCACGCGCCAACTGGAGGCAGGATGTAAACACGATCGGCGGTCAAAGCGACGAGACTGTTCCTGGGAACGAAGGACAGCACTCTCGCGCCTCGAACGAACAGGCTCAGAAGACATCTGCGGCAAACGCGGCCCACTCGGCAAGCACAAATGTGGGCGCGCACAAGAACGCGGAGGAAATTGCAAGCGTCCGATGCTCGCCGCACCCAGGGATGCGGTCGACCGACGAGTTGTGCACGGCGCCGAACACCGAGCGAGGGAATATGGCGATCACATACGAGCATGCGAACGACAGAATGAAGTGGATGGAACACGAGCTCAGGAAAGCCGAGAATACATGTCAAGATCTTCAAGCGCGTCTACTCGAGGCCACCGTTCGACTCGAGGAGCAGGACGTTCGGTCCGAACGGTTTGAAGCAGAGCTGAAGGTCAAGGATGACCAGATTGCACTTCATACCAAGGCGTGGAAGGAACATCAAGCCGAGATCACCCGCCTCATGAACTCGATCTCGTTGATTGAGCAAGAGGCCGTCAACAAGGTCCATCTCGCTGAGTCGGAACTGAGTCGGGTCCAAAACGAACTTGGGGCTGTGATCGAATCCAAGGAGCAACAATTGGAGACAGTAAAGAATGACATCTCGAGTCACGCTGCCCGTGTTGTGAAGCTTGATAACGAATGCAAGACAAACGCGATCATGGTTGGAATGCTGCGCAATCGACTCGCAGTTCGTGAGGGTGAGTCGAGTTTGCTTCCGCTTCCCGTCCGGTGATACCCTGCTGAACGAGGAAGGCCTCTGTCTTCAGGCAAATACACCGCGCTCAAGAACCTGAAGGCTGAGTTGGAGTCCGACATCCTCGGCCTGAACATCGCACTCGAGGTGAGCAGTTGATAAAGACGGCCAACGATCAGCACACTCTCGGCGATGCCCTGCTGACCGTGCTTCGAACGACCGCAGGCGAAGCAGCAGGAGGCTTCGGCGTGGAAGCGTCAAGTTCAGTCGTCTCGACTCTCACAGATGTCTACTACGACCTCGAAGACCACGCAGAATCAACATCAGGCTTCCGATCTTCCTCGAGTTGCGGCGTTTGTGGGGCAAACCCCTTTGGCGCTGACCGACGGCGGGCTCTGCGAAGCTACCCCCTCACAGAAAGGGCGCATACGTAAGCCTAGTCTTGGCTTTGGTAGCTCGAGTCGGCGCGATGCCACCTCGTTCCCCACACTTTCAAGCACACCCAAGTCGTCTATCCATCTTGCTCGCAATGCAGGCTCTAAGGAGAATGTGGCGCCTGCCTTCGTCCGCAAGCGTGCCGCATCACTCATCCTGGCTTAGATCGAGCTCTCTCTCTGGATGGTATGAAAGACAGGAATCATGACCTTTCCTGACTATTGTTGACAATATATGCAATGCATGTGAATACCTGGCTCGATACGCATGGTTATATAATCATGTCGCCACCAGAAAGCGTGTGCATATCAAGTTGATTCGCTTGACATCGCTATGTGAGTCAACCCTCACAATCTCGACGCGATGGTACGGGTGAAAAACCCATACGTCACAGCCCGCGTGAATGCGTGAAAGATCAGCGGTACCTGTCGGAACGAATCCGTTGGATGTTGCCGTGGCAGTAGTTTGTTGTCCAACCAAGTCCGACGGTAGTGGCACAATCTCACCCACACAGGTGGAATTAGCGGGGCTGTCGAGTACAGAGAGCAAGACAAAACCATCCTGAATGTCGCATGTTGCATCATGGTATCGATCTGATTGCGCGTGGATGGGCGTGGATGAAAGACGGCAGTGGAGCAAGACGGATCTCTTTCCGCCGATACGCGCTGGTGTCGTGGGCGGGCGTGCTAGAGCACTCGGCATTTCCCGTGGATCGTTGTCGGGCAGCACAGACAATACCGCCAGGCACAATGAGGGCCGAGCAACATCTTTGATGCTCTGTGCCAATCCCACTCCAGTACGATTGTGTGCAATTGAATGCTGCCACAGAACGTTCGCCGTGCGGGTAGATGAGAATAGCAACGTGGCGCGCGCGGCAAATCCCATCCTGTTGTCCAAGCGAGGCTGGCGCACATCCCTTAGCGGTGAAATATTGAGCCACACCCCACACCGCTTACTTACAAGGCTCGACTCTTGGCCTTGCGGGGACTCCATTGTTCAAGTGTTCCGTCGTGGCCTTCGCCATCCCAATTCACCGTGGGCGAGGGGGGTCTTGGAATCCTCCCAGAAATGGGAATATGGGACCCGTGCATCATCGACTTTGCGTGGGGACGCAAGTCAGCTCGGTCTGTCAGAGCATTTGACTGAAATAGGCCAGCTCGAGAAGATATCGGGCTCGCATGGCCGCGGGTAGCAGCAGGTGCATTCGATTCTGGTTGTGTAGCGCGTGAGAACGAAGAATCGAAACGCCCGGCGGCACCCATCACTCGTCGGGGGGTTAAAGCGGGGCGGGGCGACAACTCAAGCTTGGGCACGACAGCTCGGGAAAGTGGTCTGAGCTGCCTGGCCTTTGCCGGGATGGACTGCGGCACCGATCGAGCCCCTGCTGCGACGGCGACACGGTCTGGAATGAGACAATCGGCCGGTTAGAATGACAGGCACTGGAGGCGATGACTGAGACAACATGATCTAACCTTCTTCGCGATCTGGTTCGCGCCAGATGGATCGTGCAGGTTTGGTAGATCCTAGTGCTCCGCTACGGCTGGTATGTTGAGGGACTACGACATGAGTCGGCGACGCTAGCGGAGGAGCCGTCTCGACCACGGGTGCGCGTAGAGCCTGTAGAGCTATCGAGCGATGAACACGATGGTCGCAAACACTGCGGTTTCAGTCGAGATATTTCGAGGGAGGATCTAGTAGCCAAGTGCATCCTACATTGCAGCGGTCGGAGACGACTCGTAGCGGGCCTTTGTCCATCAGTGGCGCTAGCACTGTCGGCGGGCGCCCCTCGCAGTTGTATCAACGGGAGGAGCGAACGAGCGAATGAGTCGTGACGCAGATATGTCTCTTCATCAGCAGGAGTAGTAGCGACCCGCTCGACCTGCTCTGTGGTCGCATTCGGTCTGGAGCTGGCGCGCTCGTCCGGCATGATGATGATGCCGTGGCTGACTCTGGTTTATCCCTGGGCCTGAGCGGGGTGGAGAGACGCCGACAGAGAACGCCGGGTGTTCATAGTACAGCAACGAGTGATCCCAAGTTCGTCGCCAATGGCGAGTAAGTGGAGGAACGGCTGAGAAGGCGCCGGCTGGTCTCGGCGGTAAAGGGGAAGTCGTAAAAGGTCGTAAAGGTGCGAGCTGGCCGTTTCCCGCCTCAGAGCGAACGTCTTTGGACTAAAAAAGACTGAGAACTACTAAGAAGGACCAGGACTGACTAGGATAGTACTGGGACAGAGTGGCACAGTGTCCGAGACTGTCGATTACGATAGCATCACGGCTCGCTTTCTTCGGCGAACGAGGAATGTAGCTCATTCTTCAATATATTGTGAGCGGGTTTCTAGAAGGCAGCCTGAAACTAACAAAAGAAGACAAGCATGAATTGATAGAACACGTTCGTTGCGGATTGGTCAAGTTCGTCCGGGCCGGCGAGGGCTTCATGTGGTCACCACAGATATCACGGACAGAGGCGCAATGCGCACATTCATATCACATACACGGCGGCGCACTATATGGGCCGCTCCCAGTAACCCGTCTATGCTGCAGGCGCGGCTGGCGCAGTCGGCGCAGCAACAGCCCCTTCCGTAGTGTCGGCGTTCTCGATGTTGTGGAAGTCGAGAATTTCGCTGTACATCATGATCTGTGGAAAGAAAGAAGCCGAGTGAGCGCCGAGGATCGTGCAGTTCTCCACATGTGTGCAGTGCGAACCGACCTTCCATGTGTCGACCGGTAGATCGGCATCGTTGAAACTCCAGTCGAAAGCTTCAGGCGCAACAGGTTCGTCGGAAGGGTCGTGGTAGGGAGCAAGATATTCATGGGCAAGGGCCTGTGTAGCGTCGATGCGCGTACGCGGGTCGAATACGAGCATCTTCTCCAACAAGTCGAGGGCGAGCGGGTCGGCCCCACGGAACTTTTGTGCAAAAGGGATTCTCTCTCGTTTTGGCAGCGATTGCACAAAGCGCAAAGTCTGTAGGGGTTAGAAGCGTTGCGTAGTGCTCAGCGCAGGCTCTAGCGCCGCCGTGCACGGAATAAATCCTGGGCGCTCACGTTTTCGCTGCAGATGGTTTGAATGACGTCCTCTGGCGGGGTCCCGAGCAGTTCGGTGATGATTGAGAACTGATTCACATCTACGCACCGCCAGGCAACGGCGGAAGGAATAGGATGGCAGTCAGGAACACGCAATCGTCGTCAGATACAAAAGGGCTTGCGAGCTTACGATCTTTGCCCGGGAAGAGAGGTCGTCCCTCGAGCATCTCAGCAAAGATGCAACCAGCGCTCCAGATGTCCACTGTCGCAGACAGAGAGCAACGCGCGTCAGCAGTCGTCACTGGCATTCCATCGTGTGTATCAACGCACCAGCAACGTCGTATTTCTGCCACGTCAGCATGATCTCGGGTGCTCGATAGTATCGAGTTGAGACGTAGCCCGTCATTTGGGGGTCAGCCAGTCGCGCCAGTCCAAAGTCGCAGATTTTGAGATCGCAGTTCTCGTTGACGAGGATGTTGGAAGGTTTCTGTGTATGTAATCCAGAGTCAAAAGAGGTTGAGCACAGTTCCTTGACTAGGCCATCTCCAGAAACTGCTGTGGGACAGAAAGACTGACAAGATCACGATGGACTACTCCGGCAGAGTGAACATACTTGAGTCCACGCTGCATCGCGAAGTAGGAAACCAGATGGCAGGAGAAAAGGAAGTCAGCAGCAGTATGCGCTGCGGTTAAGATGAAAGGGGACGAAAGCACGAGGACGTACCAAGATTTGGTACAAGAAGTACTGAATGAATTGCTTCTCCAGCGGGCGACTGGTCAGAAGTCGGTGCAGATCCGTTCCGAGCAGTTCGGTGACGAAGTAGATGTCCTCCAGGGGGGAGATAAAGATGTCGGACAAGGAGATGATATTTTCGTGCTGAATGTGTTTCAGCAGCTTGAGCTCGCGATACGTTCGCTTGGCAAGTACGGGTGTGCCTGTGGGAGTGGCAGGGAAGGAGAAAGTGGGTTTGCGGAAGGATCGCGGTGTAAGCTTCTCTCGTAGCGTGTGGAACCGAGCAAAACGCCTACGCACTGAATGGCTTCATGCTGTACGAGCAAAAGATGTTGCCGACGGGTCAATCGACGTTCGGCGAGTCCAGACAAGAGAAGACGAAGATCGCTGGCTCCGAAAGGCTTACATCTTCTTGATGGCGGCTGAAGTTCCAGTCAACTGTTACTCGACGAGCCAGGGAAACCGAGGTCATAACGTTCCAGCCGCCTCAGTTACGATCAGGAATTACTGCAGTGAAGCTGCAGACATAGCACTGACCTCATCCTTTGCAGAGCACACCAGACCGAAGGCGCCCATCCCAACAGGCTGCAGATCGACATAACGACTGGTCGGGCAAGGCGATTGGTACGGCAATCAGCAGCCGCAGATGGAAACGAAGCAAGGGTCAGTCACGATCCATAGTCGGAAGCCCTCCCCGGACATGTATGTTGCTCCGATCTACATCAACGCCTGCGTCACCGCACTCGGATCCGAAGTGTGCAGATCACCCTCGGAGGGCCCAGCCCGCCGCCAGGCGCGGCTGGACCGAGGATGAGCAAGCGCACGCGTGCACATTGACAATGCTCGGCGTGAATCACAGCACTGGCGCACCGTCAACTTACGTCGTCACCTCGAACACCGTACCAAAAATGCTCAATTTGACAAAGTCGGCCATGGTATATCGCGAATCGTCCAGGAAACGCGGGAATGGTAGAGCCTAGGCTTGCGTGCTCTCGTGGATCGTTTGAGATCGAGATCGAGGTGGCTTCGAAGCGCGAGGACGAAGGCAAGTGCAATGGTCGGATGCGCCAAGGGAATCAAAGAGGTTAGGAGGCAGAATATAGACGTCCTATTAATCTGTAGCGAGATGAAGGCGGCGCCGACAAGGTAAGCAACGGCGAAGGCGGAGACCTACGTTTGGACGAGGCGCATCGACGGCCTTGCGGGCAGCGCAGGGCGCGAGAGGGCGCCTGCGTTGCAGGTTGCAACTCACGAGGACCAGTAAGCGGAGCGGATCGAGCACGCGATTGGTGATGATCACTGAACAGCAACTGGACGCCTGGAGTAGGAGGTATGAAGCAGTGCACAGGAGGGACAGGCGAGATGAAAGCTAGGTGTCGCTGACGATGAGGTGGTGGCACGGGTGGCACGGTGTCTGGCAAAGGACGGGCGAATATAAATCTGGAAGTGACTCGGGTGATCTTACAGATTCGTATGGAGGCTAGCGGGGGCTGCACGATGCTGCACGGGGGCAACCGGAAAAGTCTACGACAAAAAGAGAGCTACCTATGGACAAAAAGAAAAAGAGACACGCGCGTCAGTAGTAGTTGCTTCGGCCAGGTCTGGACGAAAAGATCTAAAATCCCCCCGGCGCGCGGCGCGTGAGGCAACGGATTGGTCAGCACCCCGGCCGAGGTGAGATCTTTTGAGTGATCGAGCTCAATGAACCCCAGATGATCGACCACCCAGTGATACAAGAAGGCTGAGCGATGACCTGATAAGCAGCAAAGTATGCAATAGTCAGCATGACGATGCATACTGATGGTGATGGATGAGCGGGCGAGGTCGAGTCGACTCCGACTCGGAGTCGGGAAGCCCCGAGTCCCACCTTGTGCGGCCGAAGTGACGAGGGCAAGAGGAGAGTACGTCGCACGAGCGACTCACCATTCTTCGACGTCTTGTGAGCTTCACCAGCGGTACATCTTAAACTTTTCACATCTCCGCCTGACGTTCCAGAACCCACCATCCCCCCTTCCAAATTTAAACACAAGTCCGAGAGCGCGAAGTGGGTCAGTCTCCGAGGCTTGGAAGGCTCATCCAGGTCGATCATATACTTTCTTCCCATACACATTTACACGTTCAGAGCACGTTCAAAAGTCGGGCCAAGGCGCACTTGCGTGAGCCTGGGCATCGCTTGCTCGCGTTCTCATCGATTTAGTGCAGACTATCGAACGTGTGGAAGTGTCAGTCACCAGCTCTCCGAGTGAGCGGCAATGTGAACACCACTGTCAGACCTCCTTTGTGCGACCGCTGTGCGATCGATCGACCGGTGCGGGCAGCAATGTCGCGCGGCAATCTGAGATTCTCAAACAATAGGTTGCACGAGCCGGACGAGAGTAAAGTCATTGGGAATGAAGTTTGATACCCTTCACGAGGCTGTGGAAGATGCCTCGACCATGCAGTCAAGTGTCCTTGGCGTTAGCATGAGTCCGAGCACCCACAGCGGATCAGGGTCGGCTCAAAGTTGGGGGATCGGTTCCGTTGGGCAACAGGAGGGACAAGCGAGCAAGTGGGAAGGGAAGCACTCCCCAGTCGGGAGGTGGCTGGTATGAGCCTGAACGCGTTCAAACGTGAAGGTGGGGCACGGAGCATCGCGTTTGCATGGCATAATGCAGCGCCCGACCGATGGAGAGAAAAACGAGTGCGAGGTGGTAGTTCGGGGTGGGCTACCCACGCACCTGAGCAGGTGAGTCATATTGATCACGCCACTGCTTCCGATCTTCTCCAACTCTGCCCAGCACCGAGCGCCGGATGCCGAAGGCCAGCGCGGCGCGGATCTGAAGCGAGATCGCGGACAGGGGACTGTGCGTCCCGCATCGACGCCAGCGATCCACCCCTCGAATACGTCGAATATTGGGTCGATCAAGCGCGTTCGAGAGACAGTAGGTTAAGCTCTACTAATCACACCCCAGAGTTGAGATCGCCGCCATTAACACTGTGGTTATTGCTCCGGTAGCTTTGTGTTCGAGCTGGGGGGGGAGACCTCGCTTCCACCTCGATTCACTGCGAATTATGACGCGGAGCTGGGTTGCGGGGCCTCGAGAGCTCCGAAGCCGCGAATTGAGCCGAGAAGAACTGGAGAGTAGTCCGGTGTGCTTCAAGACAAGGAAGCGATATCAACTAAGAGTTTTCATGATCGGAGGGGCATCAGCTGCTCCGCTGCTCAGCGGTCGAGGGCCGCAGAACAGTAACTCGAAATTTTCGAATACACCATGCTTGCGCATGGGCATGCATAAAATTGCGTGGGTTGCATGGGTGATAATTGATATGCACGGATGTGCACTCTCACGCAGTGTCGTGCACGCGGGTGCATGCGCTGGTAATCGGGCCCGAGTACCCGCGCTGGATCCCCTGAGCTTAGAACGGTTCGCAGCCGAGACCGAGGCTGCATCGCGGTGCATAATACGGGTACATCACTATGCTTCAAGGTAATGGTTATTATTGGTATTTCTGAGTGTTGCGCAGGGCTCTACACGAGCGTGGACTTGATTCGACTTCATCTCAGCTGACTCCGAAAGTGTTAGGGTGCCTGAAGAGCCGAGAAACTCACGTGCCCTACAATCAATGCACTGCCTCCTTACGGGTTCATGCCATATGTCCCATAAAAATTCTCATTCCGTGTCTGACTCACCATAAGTCTATGTCTCCGCCGTTCAATCCGCATGTAACATTCAATGCTGTGTCGGGGTCCTCGGCCTGCGCCTCTCCTCCATCTCGGCTCGATACACTTAGCTGTGGGTCAGCAGGTCGCGAGAGGCCGATTCGATTCAAGCGTACACGAGGGTGCATAGTGGTGCAATGTCGTGCAGACACGTTTGACTGAGATAAAGCAGTAGGTATGAATCTCCACAGATGTGCACGTGCATGCACGCGGGGCCACAGAGGCTGTACTAGTACTCGTCTGCCAACGACGGCGACCGAGAGGGGGTGCGGGCGTGGAAAGGAAACGTCACGGTCCGGGGTCGAGGTGTGTTTGCTTGAAGTAAAGGGAGGGCCCATCAGATAGGTTTAGAGTACACAAGATGCAGTAGATTGTTGGACCCTAAGGGTTGCTTTGATTGATGGTCCCTTTGTTTGATGATTCCTTGAATCGATGTGACTGACTCACCCTTGGGTCCGTGACCGTCCGAATACCACGCTATATTCAGGCGCCAGCGGTATGAGTGTGAGGATTAAAAATCCAAAAAAGTGGTCACTAATCACCCTGAAAGTATTGTGAGGTGGAGAGCGACTTCCGCGCTTCGTACCGTGACTTCGCTCTCAACGAGCGAAATCAAGCGATCGACTCGGAGCGAGCTCGGCGCGACGGCGACAATGATGCAGGCCCTAGGCTTCAGTTCAAGGCAGATTTAGGCGGAAGCGTTTCGACGCGGGTTTAGTAAAAGTAAAACGACCTCTTTATTAACCATCTCTGTTGACTTCCTGTGAGTTTCTTTCGGGAATTGCTCGATCGCAGTCGGCAATCGAGGCAGACAGGCTAGTAGGACCGGCGAGAAGGCGCTGCATCTGACAGCAGCGCGACACAATTCACCGGACAAGGAAGATCCAATATACTTGCTAGTTGCTGTCCGAGACTTCCATTGATGCCTCTGGTCAGTGGAAACCCGAGACAAGCCCCGACCGGAGTTAAGTAAACTCAGCAGGCAACCTCTCCGGGTAAGACCAGTGATGGTTTCAGCGATAGGTTTCGTGCCCATTGCTAGGCAAGCACTGAGCTCCAACCCATCAAAGTGTTGAGTTGATTGTGGGTATCTAGTAGAGGCGGGCGCAAGTTGCTACCTTTCACAAGTTTTCAGGTCTTCACAAGCTCCGGCCTAGGACATTGCCACATGATATCATGATTCGAAGTTGAGCCCAATCAGACCCCGAAATCGCGGATATGTTGCTTCCACTGGTGTGAGTAGGAGATCATTGCAATTATTTGCATCACCTGTATTCCAAATCGCTTCAGACCGATTCCTCCTCCACTCTTTGCAAAGCGACTCGCAGACCAATCTGTCCCATCAAAATGGGTAACTCGGCCAAGCATAAGCTCGTGCCTCCTCTCGTAGCCGTCAAAAAAGCCCTGCGAGCCTATACGCACATCGTAACCAAGTACCCCACAACCTGCGATGTAGCCGCTCGAAACACGCGCGGCCACAGACTTGTGCCGGAACTCTTCTCGGGCGTAGACATTTGAGATGTGGACTTCGATGACGGGTGAGGTGCAAGCTTCAATCGCATCGTGCAGAGCATATGAATAATGAGCAAACGCCCCAGCTGTGTCATAGGCGTGAAGGTGCAAGTTGTTAGGTGATCAGTGATGAGGCATTGGGTTTACAGCCAAACGGCGGTTTTCGAACTGTTCCAGTCCTCACGATTCATCACAACTCCTCCAAGACATCTCGCATAGTGGACCTGCGGTGTCGAGCGATTTATCAGTGTCCGATGATTGAATTCATGATTGAAGTGGTCGGACCGCTGCACTCAGAAGCTCGATCATTTCGCCTTCGTAATTCGACTGAGCGCACACAATCTTGACACCAAGTTCGTCTCCGAATTTCGTAACTCGTTCTTCGATGTCCGCGAGTGTCATTGTCCCATATCTGGAAAGAAAGGACGTAGCAGCAAAAATCCAAGGATTCAGTGTGTAAATTCGCGCATCACGGATACTGTTGCTTACTGCTTGGGATCCCGCGTCCCGAAAAGGTTGAGATTGGGTCCAGATAGAAGCAAGAACGTCTTTATGTCGCGAGGCTGGGTCTTATATGCGTTTGCATCAACTTTGGTAATGCGAGAAACCCCTTTGTCGTCCTGTGGTACAAAGCGCGCGATCAAATCCTGGGATTAGCTCTCTGCGTGCGATGTTGACGAATCCCTCGAGACCCCCACAGACCCCCCACCGCTCTCAGCTACCGGCGCCATACCGGTGAGGGGAACCTATGCATACTCAACCCACCACGATGGTTGAGGTCATTTCGGTAGTCTGCGCCGCAACGGGATAGGGCAGTGCGTGAGGTAATCACCGAGTGCACCGAAGGAGGAAGAGGTGGCTTCGCTGCCGCGGCTCTGCAAAAGGTGGGGCCCCCGCCGCCGCTCCGCGCTGAAAGTTCAAGCGCACGACTCAGCTTCAGAAAGGGCGCGCTAAAGCCGTTAGCTACAGAACTAGTACGCGCCAGGTGCCTATAAATCCTGGTGGGTTTTTATTATTTTTTTATTTGGTAGATTTCAGTAACAGTATAATTGGGGGTATTTGACGTTGGAGTTGTCAGACTATTTTTTCCTCTTTTTCCAAAAAAAGGTCGATCCGCGACCCATGCACCTAAAATCGCTGATTTTGACTGGGTTGCGGCCTGGAGGGCCGCCTATAGTGCATGTACCAGTATACTTATTGTGTCTGCCGCACCTGCCTGTGGTATCGGCGTCCCGACCAAAAGTGATGTACGACCCTTTCTGCATTTTCTGGACCATTAAAGGCGAGCTACAGCCCGAGGACGATTCTTATTGATTTTTGGCGGTCTGCAGAACTGTTGAGCGATACATGTAGTATTTGATGTATAGCAATTGCGTGGGTTTGCACGACACTTCTTCTACAGAGCTCAGGCGTAGTCCGAGTCCCGCTGTCGTTGAACAGCGCGGGCGCAGCTTACGCTACTACTACGCGATGCGCCGTCATCCACGGCGTGCAGTGGCGTATTGACGGTATTGTCTACATCGTGACACCGGCTTTAGGGGCTCAACAAAAGCATGAGGTTCGAGGGGCTGTAGACAGTCCCGCCCTACTCTTATTCCTTCCTTTTCCCTCCCTGCACTGGGGCGGAACGACGAAGCACGAATAACCGTCCGGCGGCCCGGGTTCCAAGTTGGACCGACTCTACGACGACGTTTTGGGCAACAAGCAACGGGCGGCTGTTAGTACCTGCTGTTACGGCGATGAAGGTACATTCGTTCCTTTGCTGACCTTCGTATTGTGTTCTTTTACCTCTGCTCAATGCAATCCTCCTGCTATTTGAGTTTCTTCATACCGTTAATTCTACGGGTTCCCACTCGTCTAGTACACTACGCCTACCAATCTGAGCATTGTCCAAAGACCTGGGCTTCGAGGCGGCACCGACATCATCATGCCAGCATCGCCGATGCAATGACCCATCAGCGCACTGCAGCTTCGACTTCTCTTGATCGGTCATTAGCAAAGAATGGGCCAGGTGTGTTTGACCGGAGCGTTCACACAAGTACCGGGTTATTCATGGCCTGAAGATCTGGAAGCCCACTGCACTGGCAGCCTGAAACTTTTGAACTTGGAGGGAACAACATCAGCAAAATGGGCACTCGGCGCGCACCGCTTAAAGGCGCTTAAGCCCCGCTTAAGGACTTAACAAGACAAGTCCTTAAGCGGGGCTTAAGCGCCTTTAAGCGGTGCGCGCCGAGTGCCCATTTTGCTGATGAAAAAGTCGGCAAGATGCGATTATAGAGCACTTCCAACAAGCTACCATTCACTTCCAGCGTGATTTAGATTGTCTGCTGCCGGATCGCTACGGTGATGTCCTAGGTAGGAGGAGCCGACTCCGTAGATTCCGAGGTGACACAGTCCCTCAAGCCTCAATGTGACGAACGTGCACTAACGTGCACAAGGGCAGCGGAGACCGACGTGGGCGGGCTCAGAGCCACTACTTATACGTCGACTCGATGACCTGGCAGACGACATGACCTACCAGGGTAAATATCTCAACCCGAACAGTGGGAAAATACTGAAGAAGATGTGTAGTACGCGAGGGTGTGTACATGGCTTTTAGACCAGGCTCAACTCTGCTCAACTTGAAGGACTAAGTACGGTGCGAGCCCGTCCTGCCCCATTGAACCGGCGAATAAACTCGGCAAGTTGAAGGCGAATCGGGTCAGGTTCCACGGCCCTTTCACACGAATGGTTTGGTCGCGCGGCTGCAGTGAGCCACGTTGGTGATCTTGGAGAAGGCCACCCTAGGCCTCCCTAGGCCACCCACGGAATACGGCGCAGGCTGCGCGGCGGCCACAATTTGACCTTCGGCTTCAACCTCCGACTCTTTCTTCACTGTCTCGACTGACACAACATCCTTCGCGAGGCCACGATGTTGCATGTTGCGAGTCGCATCATTTTGACCGGTTTCGCCGCGTCACTTTTCTTTGGCTATCAGCCTCTCAAGCACGGGCTCAATACTTACACCAAATCTTCGGTCGCGAGCAGCTATATCCTCTCACTCACCACGGTGCTCGCGATCGTCTTCGCATTTGCTGGCCCGACGCACGTCGCCCTGCAATTCTGCTGGAACTGCTTTTTTAAACCTCTCGGAAAGAGCAAGGATCAAGAAGGACGTCTTAACGCGTTCTACTCTGGACAAGCACATAGTGCGTCGACCCAGGCACGGCAGCTGAGGCCAATGGCAGCCTGAGCGGAGTAGCTGACGTGGGAACGTGGGCACTGAGCCCTAAACCTTTGCCTTAATCCGCAGTCTATGACAAGACGCGCAACGCGCTTCTGCGTGGCCGTAGGACCATGCTGAAGCTGTCCGCCGCTCACCTTCGAGAACAACGCAAGAGCGATCCCTGCAAACGCCTCATCTGGCTGGATATCGGAGGCGGCACTGGTGAGCACATGGCCCGTGGCCCCTTTGTGCTCTCCAGAGCTTGGAGCCTCACGTGCCATGGCGCCGAAATTGACAAACTTCCTCACCTGTGTGCACAGGGTGGAATGTAGAGGAAATGGACAAAGTAGGTGAAGCACTGGGTGTCAAACGCTTTGCTGAGCTAGCGCAGGCGCGACTTTTGCCCCGCCGATAGCTGCCGCACGTGCGAGCGTCGACCTCACCGGCTTCGGCCCCACCCCCACATACAAGCGCTATCTGCTCTCAGCTCGGCTCCTTCGACCACGTTGTTGTACGCTTGCTCATCTGCGGTTACTGACGTATTTTTGTCACAGTACTTTTCGATCGCCGACTTTGACGCGGTGTATGTCTTGGACCTGTGCGAACCCCTATTGACCGTTTCGCGCAAACGCTTTGAGGCCAGGGGATGGAAAAATGTGCATTGTCTCTTACAGGTGAGCGCTCCTGATCAGCTGGATAATTTGGTCTGAAGCTAGGAGACATCGTTCGACCGCTGAAGTTACATGACAAACTTAGGATGCTACCGCATTCGTTTTGCCCGGCTGGGAAGACGGCGCGGCTCCGGAGGGTGCACTTGACTTCGTCACGATGTCCTACAGTTTATCAATGATGCCAAACATGTTGGCTCTCATTGATCGAGTCGATCGCTTCCTGAGCCCTTCGGGATTGCTCTCCGTCTGCGATTTCTACGTCTCAGCTCGTGAGAAATCCTCACTAGCTGAGACCATTGGGGACGTCGCTTCGCGCCAGTGCTCCTGGCTTACGCGACTGTTCTGGCTTCATTGGTTTGAGTTCGATCACGTCGACCTCCACCCGTCACGGCGCCAGTACCTCGAGCATTGTTTCGCAACAATCAAATCATTCAATGGTCGCAACCACTTTGTCCTACCCTGGATCGTGCGGATGTGAGTCGCACTCTATGGGTCCATGGCCTGCATACCTGATCCTGACTTTGGGGAGAGGCTCTACAAATAGCCCTTACTACGTCAACCTGATGACATCCCGCCGTGCCGACACATCGCGAGCCAACGTTGCTTACGAAGTCGACGCAGGCAATATCATATCGGCATCTGCGTCGCCACTCCTTGCTGCTGCACGACAGTCCAATGTCGATCTACCGGCGCTCAATATTGGCCTCGCGGCTCTGTCGCGTCGCAACTCCTCGCCGCAGCAACTTCGCCGATCCAAATCACAAGAGAGCGCGACCACTCGTATCGACGTGTCGCCCGTCGAGCAATTGAGCTCGTTTCACTACGGCAAAAGACAGTTCCGCGTGCCGTACCTGGATTCACCGGTGCACAAAGAATTCCGAACCTGGATCTATGGGTTCACAGTGAGCGCCTCCGGTTGTTTGCCTTTGGCCCCACAAGCAGTTGCTAAGGATCGTTTGCGTTTCGTTCTCATCTTGCAGTGGGAAGACCCGGCCGTCGATATGAAGTACTTGAAGCCAACAAAGGACGATTCCATCCTGTGCATCACCTCGGCCGGAGACAATGCATTGCACTGTAAGTTCATCTTCAACGGTGGTCAAGAACCTTCCCCTCAAGAACTAATTTCTCGACCCGAACGGCAGACGCTATCGCTGGGGAACCGGGTCAACAACCGAGGCGTATCCACGCCGTAGACATGAACCCTTGCCAGGGTCACCTGCTGGAGCTCAAGCTCGCCTCAATCTGCGCTCTGGATTATGAGGACCATTGGAAAGTAAGTGTCCTTTAGCGGCGTTGCTGTAACAGGCAGGCTACCAGCACAAGCCAAGGGAGTATGGGTAGCTAACCTTAAATGTTTACGTTGATTTGCATGGGGATTAATTAGCTTTTTGGTGAAGGAAAGCACCCCCAATTTCGCGAACTGCTCGACACCAAGCTTTCACCGTTCTTGACCTCCCACGCGTACCAATTCTGGCGCAAGAACGACCGTGCGTTTGCATCCTCTTTCTACCTCCGAGGCTACTCTGGCTGGGCCCTCCGGCTGGCCAAGGTTGCGCTCAAGATCGGGAGGTTGTCCAAGGAAGTGGACGCGTTCGTCTCGGCGACCACACAAGCAGAACAGAAGAAGATTTGGGAAGACAAGATTAGACCGGTTCTGCTCAGCAAATTCATCACCAAGCTCTTTCTGTCGAACTCTGCGTTCCTATGGAATGCGCTGGGTGAGTTCTCAAGTCCCGGAGGCTCGGTCCCGCTGAAGCCGGCAGAGCAAGTACAAGCGCTAACTGCTGCGCGGACGACAACGCTCCACTATCAGGTGTTCCGACCAACCAAGCTCAAGTGTTCCTATCCGAGACAACAACCGAACAGTTTGCAATCGATACTCTCGACCCTGTGGCCCACAGCACCCACATCGCATCAGGAGCGTACCATTACCAGGTCTGCCTGACGCAGAGATACACTCATGACTCCTGGCAAGTCACAAGTTCCCCGGCCTCTGCGAAGATTTCTCCCCATCGCCGAGTGGCAAGTTCTTACCGAGGTTTGCACCTTGCTCTTCACAGCCCAGAATACCTTACGCGAGCTGGTTTTGAGGCACTCAAGAAAGACAACGGGGCGAGACTGGATTCTTTCCGTCTCCACACCGATTCCATCATCAATGTTAGAACAAGAATGTGCCGAGTGCGCCCGATAAGGCTTTTCGCAGCTTACCTGATTCCGCGACCGATTATGCATCTGTTTGGCAGGTGATGAAACGACTTGGAAGTAATTCGCTGACTATTGCGATCATTATGGACCTGCAAGATTGGTTCCGTAACTCGCTGGGCGACTCGGACGAAACAGTCAGATCTAATCCTTGCGATTTGACTTTAACGATCCGCGCCCTCCGCAACGCACTTGCTCCTGGCGGTCGAGTTTTCTGGCGCAGTGCCGGTCTTGAGCCGTGGTACATCGCTCTCTACAAGCGCGAGGGCTTCAGAGTCGAGTCAGTGTTTTTCCTGATCACTTCGTTTACAATCCTACTATGACCGACGCTGATACCAAAAGTTCCCGTCATTGCTGTACAGATGCATCCACCAACGGGAGATAGGATCCAAGACCCCGATAGATCGGGTCAATATGTACGCATCATTCTATGTCGCGTACAAACTTTAGGGAACGTCGGGGCACGGATACAGGATCTAGATGGCGCTGAGCTGAAAGTATGATTTCAGCCTTCGTGGTGTGGGTCCGCTATCGTATTTTGTTATGCAAATCAAGTTCGTCTGCCTTCTGTGTTGGGGCGTCCGCCGTTCACTCCGAACGTTGCGCAAGAGATACTGCTGCGGGTCCTGCGGCATCCGACGCAATGATGACATGCTTGAACACACATTGTGTCGCCTCGAGCCTCTCCAGAAACATCTGCGCAAATCCTGAATTTGTCCAAAGACTCCCTCCCAAAGTCAAGACTGTCCGGTGCAGGTCGAGTCGGAGCTGATCGACAAAGAGCAGAACCACGTCGACCAAGTGGGCTTGGGCCTCCGCCAGAATGCCCAAAGCGGTTCTCTTTGACTCTACGCATTCAACAACCGCAGGAAAGGCATGTTCTAGAACGATGCGCGCCGACTCGGCGATCCAAATCTTGCGCCGTGACTCCGTGTCGTGGGAAGCTTGAAGCGTCGAACAATCCGAATAGATGCGGTCGATCAGACCTTCTGAGGTGGTGGCCCCAAAGTAGCGTAATATAGCCCCAAACATCAGACAGGTTCGAGGTGTTTTTTGCGGTGTTGGGCCCTTGCCTGCCGACGCCATATGTAGCTCGTCAAAGTAAGAAAGAACCGAGCGAATACCGAGTCGGCCGATGGAATAGGCGGAACCTTCATCTCCCAAGACGGGGCCCCAGCCACCCCTACAGGCCACAAGCTTTGGTTCGCGTGTAGTGGGATGTATGCGGAATGCGAGTGATACGGAGCCCGTGCCTGCGCACATCACCACCGTGGCGTCAACGTGGGGAAGACTCGTCGACGCAGCGGCGAAGAGGTGCCCATCTGAAGCAAAGACGCACATAACGTCTCAGGTCAGCGTCAAATGCACAAATCCATTGCCAGGATCATTAAAACCTGGTGTACTCGCCATTCGTCAAGATCAAATCTGTGGTGGGCATACGAAGCGCTTGACGGAGCAAGTCCTCAAAGTCGGATCCCTGCGTTCGCGAGTCCACGCCAGCCACGCCCACCCATGCCTTGGCGAAGCAGTGTCCCAGCAAAGAGGACTGCTCTTGATCAGTATCCGATGTGAGGCTAGGGACAGCGACAGGGGTCCGACCGTGCGGACCCGGGCAAGTCTCGTCACCGGAAAGCGGCACGAGAGCCAGAGCGGCATTGACGGCTTCGAGAATTCGTGTGACCGCAACCGGAGCCGTCACGCTCTTGCTGATCGGAGGAGACATTGGTTTCGATAGCCGAGGAGTCAGTCTCCACTGTTTCAAATTCGGAAACGCGGCTCAACTCGGTAATGTCCACTGACACATTGCATGGACCGGCCGAAGCTCGCGCCAATTCGACGCCAGCATGCGATGCGATCACGGCTCGCACGCCGGAACCACCGCCATCGACGGCTAGAAAGAGTGGAGCGTAACGGTTGATGAGGGGTGCCGGATGCGATTGCGGATGCGGATGCGGTTGAGTTGAGGAGTTGGACGGTGTCGGCTGGTTCGAAGACCCCAGCATCGAGTGCCTTGGACCCCTCCTCGTCGCTTGACGAACTGTCGAATCGCCGGTCAACGTTCAATCACCAGCCGCAAGAAGCCGTGTGATCCGCCGGCGACAGCCGACGAGCAGACCACGGTCACACCTTCACGCAACAAGGACCTTTAGCCAAGACAGGACCCTGTCCGTGTCCTCCGCCCAAGTGTTCACTGGTAGCTGCAGCCCGAAGAAACGGCGTGCGAAACGCGATGGGGAACGGGGTGGTGGGCGCAGGAGTGACTTATAAGGGAGCGCGAGCTAATAGCTAATAGCAGGAGCTAGCGCGAGTCTGCGCCTGTCTGCGCGCTTCTGCGCGAGTGTCCTTTTGGTACACTATTGCACTATTAATGCACGAGTGTGCTCTTCTTTGCGCTCTTGTGTCCTCGCCTCTGATATCGATCTATCTACCCAGACGACATCGACCTGGGCCCACGTCGTCCTTTTCCAGCGGCTCAGGCTCTGGATCTACATCGTGGCGTCGGCTCGACCAAAGACAGTTGCTAGCTATTACCGACACGTGACAGAGTGCTCCTCACTAGCCTCACTCATGCCCGCCGGCAGCTTCGACCTCTGACCGTCGGCGAGACGCCACGGAGTTCAACCGCAAGCACGGGACGACGCCGACCCCGACACGGCTACAACGGACGCCCGTACCCTCCCGTACGGAGAAATGGCCCACGTTCATAATCCGTATGCGGACGGGCCACCGGATTATTCCCAGCTGGCGCAGGACGTACCCTATTTTGCACCTTTGTACGTTTAGGCCCCTGCGCTTGTGTTCCACCGTCGAGCTCCGCAGCTCTCAGGCTCGCTCAGCTCACAGCGCTAGGTCTCTGATAGCCTACGAACGACCCCATACGGGGGCTCGACCATCGATTACAAAGATGAGAACGCTCTGAGGTAGGCTTTCGTACCTCCAACGCGACCTTTTTCCGCTCGGCCTGTGCATCCCACTCACCCCACGCCGACGCGCCGTGCCAGAGCGCTGAGTTCAGCACTGCTTGAACGCGACTTCGGACTCCGGATTGAGCTACCCAGAGACCGACTCTGCCCGATCGTGAGTTGCACCTGCTGGAAGAACTTCCCGTTTCAAGGCGGCGCCGCTGAGATTATGGGACATGGGTGTCAATTCCTGTGCTTCGACTCTCAGGTGCCGGGCCGGTGAGTTTGCGAACCATCTTGCGCTCGTGCGCCCCACTTGGCCCAGCACCCCCTCCCCCGCACATCCTCCATGCTGGCACCTGATTGATTACGCCTGACTCACATCTTGCTTCCGTCCCGAAAAACACCCAGAGTCGAATACGTTACCTTCATTCTCAGACTGGTCCATCTCAATCCACATAGGTCGTCACATGTTCGCGGCCTCGACATGTTCGTAGACCCTGGAGAGAGAATCTGTCCCATCGAGGCCATGCCGTGCGGGCACTGACAGCTTCCCGTCTTGCAGTGGCACAGGTGCTTCCGCGATCTATGCTCTACTCGTTGCCAAGATGCAAGCGGATGCCTTCGTATACGGATCGGAGCTCGACGAACACTCGCAATCTTGTGCCATACGCAATGTCAATGCGAACAACTTGACCGCACGGGTTCAAGTCGTGTGTTCGACTCGTGAGGAGGACCTTTTGTTTCCCAAGGAAACCTGGGCGGATAACGAGCTCGACTTCACAATGTGTAATCCACCGTTTTACGAAAGTGAGGTCGAGATCAGAGCTTTGGCGACGGAGAAGGACGGAAAGCCGAGTGCGGTGAGTACAGATGCTGCTACCCGAATGGTCGACGTGCTGCACGCTGATTCATCTCGGACTTCGACAGGTCTGCACCGGCGCCTCCAACGAGATGGTAACCCAGGGCGGCGAGATCGAATTCGTTGGGAGGATGATCGAAGAGAGCGTCCGGCTTGGCAGCCATATTCGGTAGGCGGAGAAACGGTTGTTCCATTGGCAGGACCTTGATCGAGAGAAGCGTTCGCTGATGAAGCACACATGTCAATTCACAGACTGTTCTCGTCGTTACTCGGGAAGTTTTCCAGCTTGAGTCCATTAGTCGCCAAGTTGAAAACCCATAAAGTGCGTCCACTGCCACCGCGGGACCCAAAATTTCGCTTCGAATGCGGTGCTGAGTCTTCTCCACAAACTGGACTCACAGATCAGTAATTACATCGTCCACGCGCTCTCCTCGGGTCGGACAACTCGTCATATACTCGTCTGGTCACTCGGGGCTTGGCGTATACCTCAGGTATGCTACCGTCCCCTGCCGTCCCCTGCCCCCCTATAGCTCCTACTTCTGGCTGCTGACGAGGGGCGAATATTCTTGGGCCTCGGGCATGCAGTCGCTCGCGCAAATTACACCGTTCACGACCAAGTTCTCCCCTCCGGTGAACTCCGCCACGTTTCGTGCTCCGTCAGGAATGGACGCCCCGACTCTTTATAATCTTGTCTGTACCATTCTAACCTCGCTAGATGGCGTCACGACCTCACATTCTGCACCAGGCGTGATTCAAATGAGAGCGGCGTGTAACTCTTGGTCCCGCTCTGCTCGTCGGATGGCGCGAAACCCCACTCAGACAGGTATCGCCGGCCAAAACACCGCTGGAAAAGGTGACAATCAGATCGAAGCTACTTTTACGGCTCTACAGGACGATGGAGAAGATGCCGGGTGCTCGTTGCGAGGCGAATGGACCCAAGGCTCGGAGCAAGTCAGAGCCGACTGGCTTAAACTGTGGGCTCATGTCACGCGCAAGATATCGAACCGTAGGCCTTGAGAGGCCCACGTCTCATGCGCATACGACGCGACGCATGCACCGTCATTGTTACAACATCGGAAGGCGTCAACGTACATTATGCTGGCATAGCGCATAGTCCCCTGGCAGGTTCAAACGCCGGCCGAAACTGGAGGGAGGGTCTCCCCGTTCGCCGGCGCTTTCCGCTTCTTCGACCTCGCAATTGCCCCACTGTTCGCTGGTCTTGCACCGAATCCAAATCGTTTCAAGGTCGCCATGGGGAACTTGGTCCGACAAGTCGCGCATACCGGCACCGGCGCGCAGAAGATCGATAGGCACACGGAGCACACGTAGCCGACATCAACAATTTTGCGGTGGCAGAAGCATGCCGCGCGGAGATCAACCTGATCTTGTGTCGGCTGATTTAGATGCTTGCGAGCCGATGGGCCAGGCAGGAAGGTCATCTGTGGAGGTTCGCTTCCGTGCTGAGTGAGCTCGCAGTCCGAATTTGGATAGAGCGAAGGTGCGACGAGTTTTGCAGCGATACACGCACGATGAGGTATTGCAAGAGGCCCCGTCGCTGAGCGATCTTGAAATACGATCCGCCTGTGAGGTGGCAGGCTTGTTGTAGAAAAACCGCATCTCGCCCAAAGATTTTGCAGACATCAATGGGAATACTCTAGAGACGGCAAATTGTGTCCCACGGGCTTGCGCATTAGGTACGGGGAAACTGGGACGCAATACGGGCCGTCCGCTCAACAATTGAATCACTGACATTCTTTTGTGCGGTGAAGATGCAATTCATAGTCGAGACGTATTGCGTTGAGGCGTCATCGGTCACGCTAAGAACCAAGATCCGGGGTCGAGGCTTGTTCAGGTTCGGCGTAAGTGTCGAGGCCGAGTTCAGGCGATTCACATCTGTGAGGACGGAAGAGAACTGAGGAAGTTCAGCTCCACCGTAATTGTATGTGAATCGCGGAAGGAATGCCGAAAACGACGCACGACACAGCACCATTGCGAGGGCGCTGACCATGCCGACATCGGCTGGGATCGACGTTGGCCACCTGTCAGCGATATGGTCCCAATTTTGCCTGTGGACCGCCGATGGCCTGATGAAAAAGAGCACGCACCTTTCCCAACGTTATCGTCCGACTGCTCGGCCATCATGTCCCTCACAGCGTTCGAGCTACCCTCGTTGACGATCCTGAACTGCTGATAGGTGTTGGCATCTCTCGCGGATGAGACTGGCCCGACGGAAGGTGCAGCCGAAGGTGCGAGAGAGGACGAGTAGAGCATTTTCCTGGTTCAAAGAGTGGTGTCCAATAGAACAAGTCAGTTCGTTGCCATAAGGCTCGGCCAGGGGTCGGCCGCGGAGCCGGTGGCTGCTTAGGCTCGACCAGGCTGAAGCGAGGACTGACGACATCGAATATCCCGCTCCGAATACGGCGATCTGGTTCTCATGGCGCAGCGCAAGATGGGCATTGGCAAAGATGAGCACCTGATCCAACGCCTGTTCGAGTGAGAGTTGATCGTGAGTCTGTGGATCGGCGACCGACGACAGCGACCAAGCCAGTGGATTCAAATCGAGCTGGGGGGCGATCACGCGAGGCCAAGGTCCACGTCAGCGAAAAAAGGCATCACTCAGCAAACACAGCAGCAGGCACGGTAGCAACGGGGGAGGCGGAAGCGCACTGACGATCACACAAAGCAGGTCCCCAGCATCGCCACCCGCTGCGTCCGTCATCGTAGCACACTACAGCTAACGGGGAACGAACAGGAGCGGAGCCAAGTCGCTAAGACCACAACTCCAACTCCGGCTTGCCTACTTCTCGTCTGTTCTCGTCTGTTCTCGTTCCATCGCTTTGCGGCCGCAGTGTAATGTAATTCAAACAGGACACTAACGAACTATTTGGTACTCATATTTTACACATTGATATGGACATACTGAAGAAATACTACGGCCGATTCCGTGTAATTATGTGATAAGGTCTCAGTATATGATAGCGAGAACTGGGCGCGAAGCGGGGTGGCGGATGCGAGAGCGACAAGATTGTCTAACTTGAAGCGACATGGAGTCGCTGCTCCATGTTGTGGCAAGCGCATATACTGTTAAGCGTAGAGGTTGGCGAACAAGACAAGAGTCGGCTGACCCGTCGTGGTCGACTCTTCCAGATCTTCCAAAGCGATTTGCAAGTCCGAGTCGTTCCCAATGAGGATACGGTCCCCGTCTTCGTCCTCGTAACGAAGTCGCAGACCGGTGCTGTCCCGAGTCGCGTGACCGCAGAGACGTAGTTTCTTGAGCACCTTGTCCAGGAGCTCACGGTGCGAGACCCGGCCCGAAGCTACGACTATGAACGTGTCGTTCCCAAAGTTGATTTTAATTCGGAACATCGTCGAAGAAATGGCTCTCCCCGAGGGATATGTCTCGTGCTGAACCGAGAATTGTAGAAGCGACGAAGGTGACGGAAAGTGCCCATTCGTTGCGGGCTGACTTGTTGACATGCTCGAGGTCGCTGAGGAGCGATCGGTACCGATACTGGATGAGCTGAATCGTTTCAGGTTCGATGAGGTTGCCGAGGATTGGGACGCCAGCGTCGCACCCGAGTTCGTGCCTCCTGGCTTGTGACCGCCCATCACTTTGGCCGAAGTAAGCTCTTCGACCGGACTCGACTTACTTGCGTAGGGATGGGTGGCGCGGTGTTGATCGCCACCGCGCACGGACCACTCTGAATCCAAGACCTGTGGCAAGCTGTCGCCCAATATTGATTTGGTGGATTCTACGGGACTGCTTGCGGAGCGTGTTCGAGCCAGAACCGGTCCTCGAGGTGGCGAAGGCTGAGACATAGCGTTCGAGGGCTTCACCTGCTCGATGGGAGATCCGGCGCCGTGAGCTGGCGTATGGGTCCCGCTGGTGAACTTTGACCGGGTCAACTTTGCAGGAGACGCTATGCGCTCGTCGCTGGCGTTCGGTCGCAGTCGTATTACTCCATTCGCAACCGACGACGGTGCTGCGATGTTCAGGATGAGGGGTGGACGACTCGTCTTTGAGTCTTTGGGGTCTTCTGCTTGCACTCTTCCACGCGCATCGATCGGAATCGATCGAATGCTGCCGGAAGCATGTCGCGTAAGGCCGGCGTACATTGTGCTGTTCGGCGTCGATCGACCAGATTCGGAGATGAACTCTGAGTCGTCGCCGTTGCTGCTGCTGGGTCCTGCGCTGGGGAGCATTGAGCCGTGCCAAGCATACGGCGAGGACATGCTGTCGCCCTGGAAGCTGGACAAGGACGGGTTTGTTGACATCTCCGATCTTCGACTGGCCGACAGATGGTTCGTACGACGGCGGGTCGCCACTTCGTCCACGGCCTTGGCGACCGATTTCTCCCAATGCTTGAGCACGTCCTCACTTCGACATTTGATGGTAAACGCCTCTTCACCCACATCGCCCCGCCATCGGATCTCGAGAAGGTTTTGAGCTAGGGAGTCGAACAAGCCAGGCGCCCGCGAATAGTGAGCAGAGTGGGGACAGGAGACTTGGGGCTCTCGAAGACTCACATGTGCGATGCGTCGCCGTTTTACCTGTCACATTGTGCACGAAAATGCGACCCTTCAACACCAAACCAGGGACCTTGCGACTCCCCGTCTTGCCCTTGACGGACCCAGCCCGCCCACTTCTCCTACCCACAGGAGCAGCCTCTTTGCAGCACAGGATGATGCGTTCAAAGAGGTACACGAAGTACTCGCGCTCCGAATCATTCTTTTGAACATTGAAAACGTCGTGAAGCAGAAGCTCGCCGAACGAGTCGATGTCGTGCCCCTTCCAATCTTCGACTCGTTTTCTGAGATCCATCACAGCTTGATGATTTTCTTCGCGACGTTTCATCTCGTTGACTCGGTCCGTCACTCGCATGATGGCAGCATGCCCCGCCTTGAGCTCTCCATGATAGGGCGACTCTTCGGGCGTGTTCTTGAGAAGCGACTGCGCAAACCATTGAATACCGATCTCAGTCAGGTGAGAAACGGCCCTCGAGCTCAGCTTAACGTCCAAATCCTGACGTACACCAATAAGCAGAGGATATTTGCATATTCGCTGAACGGGTTTGATAAGGAGCGGTGCCAACTCCGAAATGGGATCGAGCACATGCGCCAACCGCTGCAAGGGATCGGGACGAATTGCTTAAGTCACCCAGTGCTGGCCCTTCACACTTCCCGAACCAGCTCACCGAAAGGGCTGCATTTTCTGCCATCGCCAACTCTTGCGCAGAAGTCAGGTTGGCACAATACGGCTCGTAGATAGAAAAGTGCTCCTCCTAGGGGGGAGGGGAAAGAACGGCTCGAGGCATCAGGGCGTAGTCATCATCGCAAGAGACGCTAGGGGCGTAGGTCATGTACCATCTGCAAGAACAAGTTCCCAAAGTGTTGCTCCTCTGGCGGCCGCGAGGCATTTGCCTCTACACCGATCAGTACTCGGCGTTGGAAATCTGCCAGTGTGTTGAGGTTGAGGAAGAGCGCGTGCACTTGATCTTGCGATAGAACCTCATTCGCTTGAACTTGTCGTTGGTAATCCTGCACGAGCACAGCGCCCAGGGGTATCGTACAACCTTAGGTAAATAAGCGGCCCGAGGAAATGGCTTCCCACTCCACAAGACTCACCTGTAGCACCTCCAGATCCTGAACATATTTCCGTTCCGAGTCCAAGATCTCGCGCACGATCATTGTTCGCTCGTCGGAAGGCCCACTAGTCGGCTTCACCGGATCAGACTCGGCAACAGGCTCAAGAAGGGCCCCTTGTATCTGGAGCATATCGAGCAGCAAGTTCACGGTGTGGATGACCTGCAGCGAATTGGGGAAGCCGCCATGAGTAGGTGCCTTCCGACAGCTTGGCAAAGCAGTCTGCTCAAAAACTCACCTTAACAACCCCGTTCGTGTCCTGTCCATACAGCTCGTGAATTGCAAAAAGTTGGCCGTCGGGCCACTTGAGATCTTGCTTACACGCCATGATGAAGTGAGCGGTCCCCCGCTGGCACGCTTTGAGATTTGAGATCGTCGCTTTCGGATTGATTTCCAGTTGGTGGTCGAGGCCGAGAGCATTGAAGAGGAAGCATAGGGAGGATCCCAGACGCAATGTGTGAAGAGATCGTGATACGGGATCGCTTGAAAGTCCGAGCACCGCTTCGGCTTCCGCCGTCGCTGGTCCGTCCAAGAAGCGTTCGGCGAAGCCAGGCACACGGCGTAGGCGCATGAGCACCACCCGACAGTTCTGGTACAAGGACGAAGACGCCGAAGCGACCTTGTTCAGCGCCGAGTTGGTCGCGATCGGCGGTGCATCGGCTATCATCAGAGATGTAGCTGTTTCGACAGTAATCGGGGTGGATTCCGATTGGGCCTGCTTCTGCGACAGAAGGTGAGACCGCGACGTCGAATTAGCCGCGATCGCCCCACCACCACTGTCTCCGACCCCTGCTCCAGCGCCAGATGCCGGTCCGTAGTGAGCGACTGCGATCGAAGATGGCGAGGGTGTCGAGATCAAAGGTGCGGATCGAAACAACGATGTCATCGCCTGGACGTTCGTCCCGCGGGTCGACTCGGCGATGACGAACGCCACGGGCGGCGGGCTGGATGAATGCGCGGACGGACGCTCCCGTCTTCGCACCTCGATCGCGAGACAAAGGCCCCTGGCACGGGGAAGCTGAACCGGGAGCTGAGAGACGGAGGCTGGCCTGCGGCACCAGATGCTTGATCACCCAGATGCAGTTGAAAGCGATGGTAACAGTAGTTGTCGGACGCCGAGCTAGAATCTTGGTGTAGGTCTGTGTTATGCGCTGTGTGAGCGTCTGTTGTGGTGGTGGGAGCGCAAGCCCTACTTTAGGGCGATCAAAGGAATGCAGTCGAGCCCAAACGGGCGAGCACAAGCTGGCCGGCAGCCCAGCGTTGCGCCAGCGGAAGTCCGGGCCTGTCCGGGCGGAGGCTTGCCAGTGCGCTCGCCCGAGTCTCGAATTACTTACCGGCCTCAGCTCCGAGTCTGCCCATCTCACGCGCCTTGCCGCGTTGCCGCGTTGCCACCTTCCTCCCTAGAGTCCACTCCTCCCTCTAACCCACCATGTCCGTCCGACTACGCCTCTCGCGCCATCACCTGACCCGCAACGCCCCCAGCTACTCTCTCGTCGCCACGCGTCGTTCCTTGCGACCGAATGCCCGTCCCTTGGAAGTACTCGGCACCTGGACCCCGATCCCCGTCGCTGTACCGACCCAGTCTCACTCGCCCAACGGAGAAATCAGGGATCCCAAACTATGGGGTCCGCCACTGCAACTGCCTTCTCCCTCATCGGCGTCCTCCCACAAGGCTACAACACGTGTCGAATCGGTTCAGGCCGCGACCGTCGCAGCGGGGGAGAAGAGGGTCGTCTGGAACGAACATCGCGTCAAGTATTGGTTGGGCCAAGGCGCGAAACCGACCAAGGCCGCCGAGAAGCTCTTGGTCAAGGCTGGCATCCTCGGTCAGTTCACAGTTCGGCCTTCGTAGCCGGCGGGTTGGGGCGGGTTGGTGTGACGTCGAGCTCACTCGCTTCTCCGCTCCTCGGGCACTTCAGATATGGCCGTCCTGCCCCAGGTCAACGCAGGGACAAGAACCATCTCCCACGACCGAAGGATACGAGATGCCGTTAGGAAAGCCGGTCTCTTGCCATCTCAACACTCGGGCTCAAAACAGGCATCGTCGACACCGTCAGAGTAATTGAAGCGATCCGCATGTAATGTATACCCCAGTGCAAATTCGATCAGCGCGGTGACAGATGATGACAATCATTTGGTTGCAAACGGAAGTAAGAAGGACCAAGAGAGGTAGATACGGATCGACGGGCAGCGACAGACAGATACGGCTCCGACAGACAAACTCGAGATAACGGCACGGAGAAAACGCAGCACACGCAAGACCCACTCGCGATCACTTGGCCTTGGCGCGAGCACCTCTACCCTTCTTGCCCGACTGAACTGCCGTCGTCGGAATCGCCCTGGCCTCGACAACAGAAGCTTTGGCCATTACGACCGAGACTTTCTTGGGCTTGATCTGGGGCAACTTGCGCATTGTCGGCTTCTTTGGCGTGACTTGAGGCTGGAGCGTGGACTTGGGTTCGTTCGCTTTGGCCTTCTTCTTCAACGAGGACGCCGAAGGCGGCGTATGAATGCTTGGCTTCTTGGACTTGTTGGACTTGGGTGTCTTCGACACAGGTCCGCTTGTCTTGACAGTCGCCGAAGGCTTGGAAGGGAACAACGGCTTGGACGGGACCGAAGTTGGCGACGAAGCGGTCGCTGTTGATTCATCAGTTCTCTTGGTGTTCAATCGATCCGTCTCTCCCGTCGTTCGGTTCGAAGCCTCGAGTACGCCTTGCATATGCTTGTAGTCCTCGAGCGATATCGCATTGGGGATCCAAGCCTTGAAAGCTCGAGGCGATCGTTCGCTACAAGCACCATCGAGGAGGAGGTTGACCCCCAACAGGCGATTATACTCGCGCACGAAAAGGGGAGCCAAGAAGTAGTCCGGACCTGCGGTACCTTGATCGACGTGAAGAGCGCCGAGGAAAGTTTCAAAGTGGTCGGCGAGCTTCTTGATTGAAATGGTCTTGATCTGGCCTTCACTCATCCCACCTTTGCGTTCGAGCTCCTGGACTAGGCCGACCTCGCGAGCCCACTCGTACATGATCTTATTGGTTGTCATTGCGCTTGACCTTGAATAAAGCAGTAGAAGGGGTGGCTCAGCACTTCTATCTTGCTTATTGTTCTAGGCTATTCTCGAAGATGACTTACAATTGGCTCATATTCAAGGTCTTTTGTCCGGGCTTGCGAGTATTCTCCAACATTTGCAGCGCGAGCAGAATGACTTGCGACGCGACTCGACTCGCTTCACGATCGCCCAATAAGGCGAGATTATTGGGGTACCACGGCGAATCGGGTGTCAGACCTTTCCGACCTTGGCCGAAAACGACCTCGGCGAGTGCTTTGTTGGCGAGGGAGGGGACTATTTTGGGGATGCCAAAGGACATGGCGTGCCGCGTAACGAGGAAAGATTCAGGCAGCGACGGCAGTTCGAGCTCGTCGGAGGTGGAGGTCGTTTTTTCGCTGATCGCTGGCTCGGGAATGACGGTGTCCAAGTCAATCGGAGTGATCGGCGACATCATATCGGTGGACTCGGCAGTAGGAATCGTCGTCGTCGTCGCCAAAGCTCGGCGAGGAGCGTCAGGCGAGGACTCAGGGGCGCGCGAGCAGGGCGTGCCGGCAGGGGTACTCAAGGTCGAGGCGCGACGGTTTTTGGTCTGGAACGCCGAGAGCAACGCTTGATTGCGGATCACGAGCTTGGAACGGGGGATGATGTGCATCATGGTTGGAGAGGTGGATGAGGTGGAGAGAGATGGTGTATTGTGAAGAAGAGAAGGAGACAAGAGGGCTTGAGATCGAGGTGATTTAAATGCGCTCCGGGGCTACATCGTGCACTCGTCCAAAGGTTTGATGAGGGAGTGACACAAGAACTTTGTGGCCTCAGGCTTCTGGGATTGCGATGGATGAGGATGTGACAGTGAAGGTATCGGCATAGTGCAACGAGGCCACTGCGGCACGGGTTGTCACTTCGGACCGGCGCGCGCGGCAATGGTCCCCTGTTTCATGCCGTCGGCGGGGCGCTGCTGCGACAATGGGAGACGTGGTCGCCGCAACCGGCGTCCGTGCGTCGATGAAGGAGCTAAAGACGTAGGTCCCACCCCTCACATCGGTTCCTCGTCAGAGTATTGGACAAAGCCCGAGGCTTGGGCCTCTCCGGAGCATCGGGTGAAGTAGTAGACATGTTGCCAATTTGAGCACCCACCACTGTGGCCCCAGGCGGCCCCGTCCTGGTCGAGCTGCTAAGTTCCGCTTTCGGCGCATCAACGGCAGTTCTCTTCCGATCACAGCTTTGAGCCTTCGTCGTATCTACTAGGAGTCGCCAGACAGCGCCCACCAGCACTGGGCCCCTTGTCCTCGCTGCGCAGGGCGCCGGGACTGAGAACCCCCTACCCCCACCGGCTCCCCACTCCCCAGTCCGCTCTTCCTGATTACCCCGCGAGTAGTGCAGATATTATCTTGTCGAATCAATCGTATTCAAAGTCCGTCTCGCTTGTAGTATCTATTTCGATGATCACCTAGTCTCTTCCCGGTCGTCTCAAGGCACTGCGTGAACATGATCGAGAATAAATCAAACCTTGCGCTGTGAACGCGGCAATGATTCCCAAGCACTAGATTGCCCCTCGAGATGCTTCGTGTATCTTGCTGAGAATTTTGTTCTACATGATTGTAAGAATTCAAGACAGTGTGAACATTGGCTGACGCCTCGATCGGCGCTTGTATGCAAGGTTCAAAGTTTGCCCCGATCACTCAGACCAGCACTGCGCGCCTAGGAAAGGTGTGAGGGTTGTGTACCCGCTTCAGATTGGTGGAGGGACCCACCGTGCATTGACTTGGCACCGTTCTATGGGAAATTTCGGAAACCTCACGGTGGGTCGCCGAGTCTTCTGAGCTGATGCTTCTTTTCAATGGCGGTCTCAAAGGGCTTTCCATACTCCACACTTCAGAGAGCAACATCATTCTTGCAAGTCATCTGAACAATGTGAACCAAACAAAACAAGGGAGCGGCCTGAGACTCGAGAACCTAGTTATCACCAAGCATCTCAATCATGCGAACGAAGACGTCGTACATGGTCTTGAACACCGAGAGAGCGTTGATCGTCTCAAAAGCGCGAGAGACACTGAAAGCCGAGGTCTTTACCGCGGCGGGTTCCTTGACGGCGCGTTTGGCACGAGGGGTACGGACTTTGGTGGTACCGCCTGACTTGTTCAAGTCCTGGAGAGTCATCTGAATATCTTGGTAGTCGGTCGCGGAGATAGTATTGGGAACCCACGACTTGAAAGGAGCACGAGCACCGTCGGTGACTGAATCTGAGTCCGCGGTGGGAGAATCCACGAACCCGACCATGCGCTTGTACTCGCGCAAGATGAGGGGGGCCAAGACAAAAGTCGGCGCCGACGAGCCTTGCACCAGACTAAGCGCGCCGATGAACGTCTGCAGATCCGCGGCCAGAGTCTTCACTAAAGGTTTGGCCGTAGGTCCACCGAAGCGCTTGAGTTCTTCCACGATGCCGACCTCTCTGGCCCAATGCGCGAATATGCGATTCTTCGTCATGCGTTGCGACCTGGGAAAGGTAAGGGTATGAAGGACGATCTTTGATCAGTATCGATGCATATGCAGCGCTTCAAGCTTCGATTTAGGCAGCACACATGCCGAGCTTCGCCCGCAATGTCGACTCACAAGGTAGCCAGGCTCGCTCGCCTCTTGCCCGGCTGGGTCTCCACTTTGTGAACTTGCATCGCAAGGAGAACGACCTCGGCAGCGATGCGATTCGCCTCACGTTGACCGAACGCCGTCAGGTTCTCGCGCGCCCAAGGCAATCCAGGTTTCAAACTCAAGTCACCTTGGCCGAAGACAATGTTGGCGAGGCCGTCGCTCGCAAGCTCAGGGAGCGACGTCTGTTAGATTTCCGCACAGTTCTGGTAACTTTCGTTGGTCGGCCAAACGATGAGATTGTGTCGATACGGTGCACGGTCGTAAAGTCCGAAACAGTGAGTTACCAGTGGGCGGAAAAGAGAAGAAAAGCTACGGAAAAGACTCGCGCGCGCGCCGACCGCACTCCCTAATTCCCTAATACCCCACTGATAATAAACCATGCCTAGAATGCCTTGATGCGCCAAACGCCCAAATCCAACAACGTCGGGATGTCGAGGGTCATGGCCTCACGGGTGATGCGAAGCACATCGAGCAACTCGGGGAGCTCGGACTTGGCGGAGGGGACGTTCGTCGTCAGCATCGCTGTCGCAGAAGCGGGAATGGGGGTAGCTGAGGTTGCCATGGTCGCCATGGCTGCCAAACGGCGGCGGGGGGCGGAGACCGCCGACTTAGGGGCGCGCAACGTGCGAGCTGTCGCCGCCGGAGTCCGCGCGGTCGAAACATGGCGAACCATCGGCTGGACGCCCGAGCGCAGCGCGTGGTTGCGGAGCATGTCCCTCGAAAGGGATTTAAAAAAAACGTAACATGACGAGGACTTGAACGGGCGAAGGGGGAGGAGACGATCTGTGAAGAAGAGAATTGCGGATTGAGGTCCGTCATCCGTAGTCCAGCATCCACAGGTTGGATGAGGGAGTGACACCTGATGGAGGGTCGAGGCGCATGACTATTCCGAGGATGATGGATGAGGACGTGACAGCGAGGGTGTCCGGAATATACTAGTGCGCCATGGCGCTCGGTGCAGCTTCGGACCGGGGCGCGCGGTGATGATCCCCTGTTTCATGCAGCGCCACTGCAACAATGGGAGGCAACGTCCCTGCCAACGGCGTCCGTACGGCGGCGATGGGGCTCTAGTCGTAGCACGCACCACTCGCATCAATTCCCCATCAAACTTTTGAACAAGGCCGTGGTGCTAGGTCCTTGCTGCGTAGCAGTCGAAGTCCCAGACGTCAACTCCATTCGTTGCCATTCTGAGAACAACAGTGGGTCCTCAGAATGCCCGAGGCTGTTGCTCAATGCCGGTGAGTTGCACGGGGTCACATCGGTCAAACGTTCACTTTTTGTGTGCCTTCAGAAAAGGCAGGTCCTCGACAGACAAAGCAATTTCCAAGAAGGAGCGCGCCCCTGCGTTATTTGAATCAAAGTCTCAAGGCAACGAAGGCAACCAATTCAGGGCGCGACATTGAAGATGTGTCATCCAAATAGCAACGCAAAAGAGATACCCCGAGAGCTACAAAACTCGGACTAGTGTTGGACCACTATTGGACTGTGTTCTTTGTCACGTCATATGAGAGGGTCGCGGTCTTGGGGATCTTGCCATTCGAGGCTGGCGTGTAATCTGTTGGAATCAACAATGATCCCGAAAATGATCAACAAAAGAAGAAGAACGGCTGGACCAGGAGTCGAACCTGGGTCGTTTCCATTAATCGGAAAAGCTTTGACCTCTAAGCTATCCGGCCCCTGATATCAGTGCAAGGTCTACTAACACCTTCAATACTTCCCCTTAGACCTTTGCACTGCTGCCAGGCTATTGCAATGCAAGTTTGCGCAGATCGCGGACCTGTACTGGAGGGACGAAGGGAAGGGATGGGCTCTGGTTGGTCATCGACGCGGGTTCTGGCAGCACTCTAAGGAACCCGCCCTACAGCACGAGCACGTGTGGTCGCGCGTGGGTCAGTTGCTCAAGGCGAAAGCGTTGCTGCCCAAGACCGCGTTGCGACCTGCTCGGATACCTCTCAAGGAGGCTCCCCGTCCTCGGTGCTTCAACTTCTTTGGGCTCTCCCGACCTTTTACGATTCGCAAGCTTCGTCGGCTTGTGAACAAGGTGCGGTTCCCAGGGAGGGAGGACCGTGTCAAGCGTTTCCCTGATGGGACTTCTCAGAGCGATAGGAAGCGCTTCTGGAGATGGCTTCGTGACCGGTTCGCGTCTGCTGTCGAGCAGGACACCCACTGGCGGCTCATGTACGACGTGACGCCGACGCGCAAGAGGCAGCATACTCAGGGTCATGCCTCTTCGCCGACGTGTCTGTTCTGTGGCAACGATGCAGCGGTCATCGAGACGGTGTCCCACTACTTTTTCGAGTGCGCGTACTCGACCAGCTTCTGGGGTGGGGTGCTACGCATTCTGCTTGACAAGCTCGGCATCGAGGATACCGACGTCGATCCGTCGACGTTCACTCCGGAGCAGCTGACTATGGGGCTCCCCCTTTTGCGGGGTCGTGGGAGAACGACCTCGAAATGGATGTGGGTTCGGCTGGCCTGCGCGATCGGTTTCCAGCGGCTGCACCTGCTCCGCTGGCGCGTTCATCAGCGGTTCGAGCTGGACAAAGTCATGGCCTCTCCCTCGGTTCCCAGTGCGCTCAGAGCGTTCGAGCGAGATTTTCTCTCTCGAGCGGGCTTTGTGCCTGGGGCTCGAGATTGGGAGGTGTGATGACCGAGTTAAGTCCTTCCTTCCCATTTTCCTCCCCTGCTCTCTCTCCCCTCCTTTCCTCCCTTCCTTTTCGGAGGTCGACTTTTCTTTCAGAAGCTGACTGTCTTGAAACTTGTTGCGCAGTGGAAGGCTGCGCACCTCTCCCTCTCTCTACTTTGTGCAGTAGCGGTTTTCGTTCTTGGATGGATCGGCAAGCCGGGTCGATCGTCGTTGCGTTGGAGGCTTTGTGAAGTTCTCCCCTCTCTTTCCCCCCCTTTCTCCCTTCTCTTCCTCATCTCGTTCCTGTTGCTCGGTTGTTGACTACGCTTCAGCCACTTCTCCTTTTATTCCTAAGCCGTGTGTTGGATTCCGTCGAATAGATCGTTCGTTCGCGTTGGTCAAGATCTACGGCATGGATCGGGAAGAAAGGTCGCTCGTTTTTTTGGTCAATATCCTCGCGTCAAGGCGAGGCTCGTTTCGTTGTATTGGATCGTTTTCGCTCGGCCCCGACGGCTCAACAGCCAGCACTCGAGACTCAGCCAAGGGAGGACATCAGGCGCTGTCGGGGTGACGAGTAGCTGGGGCTTGGCTGCGGCCTGTCAGTCCCTGGGGACCTCTAGCTCTGGCTTCGACCCCCTCCCTTGGCCCCTCGGGTGTGTTCCCCTCCTCCTCCCCTCCTCTCTGTCTTAGTATTCCTGGTTCTCCGTGTTTCCAGTCGTGAATTTTTGTATATTCTCCCCTTTTCTTTCTCTAGGCGCTCTTGCCTGGTTTTCGAGTATCTTCGCTCCCGCTCTTGGGACGTGAAGCGGCAGCAGTACTCACCGCCCGTTGGAGTCCGCGTTAGGTGCTCGGCGGGTTTTGATCTGCGCAGCGCTCTTTGCGCGCAGGGGTTTGACTTTCACCCAATTGCTTGCCGTCGTTGCTTTATAACCTCTTTTAGCTCTTTTTGTAGCGGTCCCAGCCAACCCGAAGGATTGCAATTTATGAGCCCCAGTAAAATAAAAAAAACAATGCGTCGACTCTAAGTCCCAATCGGACTCTGTGTCAAGCTTCTGCGGCAGCTCCGGCAGCTATGTGCGTCGTCATTGGAAAGATTTACAAGCAAGGTTCTATAATAGATCCTCACAGTCCCAACGACCTGCCACTCAATATGGCGCGGTACAAGGGGAAGACGAGGCGTCGAAATTCTTCTCAAAAGAAAAGGTCGAGAGCTGCGACTTGCCCACGCCCGCCGCACTGCCCGACGTCATGCTGATGCTGGTAACAACGCCGGGGGCGAAGGAGAGCTCGAGACGTCGAACGAAGATCCGGTGCCGTCGGGGCCCACGAAGAGACCGGTACCCGACGTCATCGTGAAAGTGATTGCTTGGGCCTGAGCCAAAAGCAACGAGAGGGTGAGAACGAAGCGCATCATCATCTTGATTGAGTGGATGTGATGTGGAGGGCAAATGCAATTTTTTGAAGCGGGCGGAGGAAAGGGTAAGGCAGTGGGGAAGCGGAGAGAAAGAGTGCAGAGGCGGGGAAGCCGAATGGCGAAGGCGAGCACCCAGGTAGAGCACGTAGGAGTGGGTAGACAGGTAGACAGGTAGCGGGTAGCGAGGCGACTCGACATTGCGGTCTCTCGGAATCCTTTTTTATTATTTTCGTAGTTCCTTCAATCATCCAGCTCCTGCCAGAGCCGAGATGTCATCTGCAAACTTTCACGTCCCGTCTCCTGTACGACAATCTTCACGGAGAGCAGAGGGGCAGCAGAGACGTCGGCAACGTGAGCGAGCTGAGCGCGCCGCCCGTGAAGCTGCTCGCGTCCCTCCTCCAAGACGTAACTCATACTGAACCTGCGACAGTCAGCAGAGGCTCGCCATCCCGCAGCTCGCATGTCCGTTACTGAACAGTACCGCAGCTTTTGCAGCAAAGTACATCACATTTCAGCGGGTCAACGGTTACGGTGGTGAGGACGCGCGCGGAGCGCGCCGCCGAACCTAGTTATTTTATTTGATAGGCTTCCTACACGAGCCCGATCACAATCGATTTAGAACCACGGGGGCTCGTTCAGAACTATTTGCTAGCGGTCCCATCCCGCGCCGTCCTAGCTTCGCGCGGGGCTCAAAGCCTGGTCCCTAATGCCTCGAAGCACGACGGGCCTCCGAGCCTCGATCCGCCGCCGTGTTCTGGTCCCTGGAAGTCGCGACTCACGAGTTACCGTCACATCTACTACCTACATTTTACCCAGGTATCCAGGTTGGAAGTAGCTTACTAGGTACTTGCCTACCTAGCTGGGTAGTACAGATACAGTAGGCGCGCTCCTTGTAGGAGGCACCTTTAACTTGTAGCCACCGCTGCAGCTGAGCCTCCTGCCAGTGCCTCTGGTATCCCTAGGTACCTACTCGGGACGTGACTGAATTATGTGGTTCCATGAAGCACTTGAGACTATACCGAGATGGAGGTCATACTAGCTAGCGACAAGTATGACAAAATTTGTGCCGGTCTCGGACCCGGTGCCGGTGTCTCCGATCACGCCTCCGGCGATCGCCTTGGCGACTCAGATCTCGACTCCGGAGCTCTCGAGTCCCCGCGGAATCCCGGACCGTCTGCACTGCAGAGGTCTGCAATCCTAAGTTCCTAACAGGCAGATTTCCTCGGCCGAGGCAGGAACCTGGGATCCTACCGTAGGCGTGGAGCGTACCCTCATCTTGATACAGGCACTCAGGTAGTGGAGATGATGGTTCTGACGGAACTGCACAAGATTCTCAACGTAGGGGAGGATGCGATGAGATGAGATGTAAAAATGGGTAAAAGCCTAAGCAACGACTCAACTTGAATGCTTTGGAAGGGGTCACAACCGGCGTGCCGCACGCGCGGCCCACGGCGGGGGCCCTCTACGTTTCCCCAACTCATATAATCACAACTGGGCAGCTAGTCCCATGATATGCCTGAATACAAGCCTTAGATTCGAGCCATAGATACAAGCGTAGGGAAATGGGGCATACCCAAGTAGATAGAATTGAGACAAGCAGAAGCTGGCACGCGTACGTGTGCACTCGATGGGTATCAGAACCACTTGTCCGCCAAGTACCACCGCGCCTCAGTCCATCCGGGCTGCAAAGCCGCGCCGACTGGTCCCATCTCCGAAGCAGCGTCGAAACCGGTTTCGAAAGGCTTGCGCTGTACATACCCTTCTAGCTCGAGCGTCTCAATCGCAGTCATCAATTCGAGGAATGTGAGCAGTTTTATGGACTCGCATTCTGCGGCGAGGTAACTCTACGGTTGTGACAAATTCGGCCAATGTCAGTGAATGCCGCTCCCGAACGGTCACCGGCGCAAGACCGAACAAACTGACGATAGTAGCTCCAGCGTGCCGCGATATCAATCCTCGAACCCATGATGCGATTCGTACCCACATACCCAGTACGGTCTCGCCGCGAATGTCGATCCAAACTGCCGGGAAGACGAAAGGCGCCAGCGTCTCGGTGTTCTCGGGATCGCTGGGCTCGTTGGTAACTTGGTTGGGAAGTCGAACGCACCAGCGCGAAAGCTCTTGCGAGGCGATCAGCGTAGGTACCCGGAGACCGGCCCAAAAAGCCAAGGGTGGGATAGTAGAAACCAGCAAGCTGGCGGCGCGTTCAAAGCTCGCCAAGTCCGGAAAGATCGAAAGGAAGTCCATGGCCGCAGTCGCGCTAAGACCATCACGACCAGCATTGACGAGTTCGCCATGCAGCTCGAGCGCAGCTTGCTCGTCAGCGTGCAAGGCCCCGTTCAGTAATTCGCGGGCCTTCGCTAGCTTGGTCGCGTCGTCGGTATAGCCAGAGTGGGGGCGGGAAAGTGGGGTCAAGTCGTTGGCAGCAGTGGGCCGCGCAAAGGTCATGCCAGGTCTGACGGTCACATTGACCTGACACTCGATCGCTTCGTCATCCTTGGTGCGTGTCTGGTAGTCATCGGGATCACGTAGCTCTTGCGTTGGAGATGTGTCGATCTCGAGGGTGGCTAGGTCGAGGGCCACAATCCGGACCAGCGCAAGCATCGCTCCGTCCGAGACGTCGAGGGGGAGGATGCTCGCCTCCTCTTGCACGAGTTCGTGCTCCATGTTCTGTGCGTCGCGTAGGCGGTGAGGGGCAGGCGAATCACCGAGGGCGGCGAGAAAGCGTTCGGAGAAGATGAAGTTGCGTCCTGGCCCCCGACGACTGGAGTCCTTGTTGCGACGGGTGATGACTTGGCCGTGGAGCAGATCGGCGACGGCTTGATCAATGAAAAGCTCGAAGGGGGCCAAGAGTTCTTTTGCCGTTTCCTCGGAGTAGACGGACCGCGACGTAGCAAGAACCATCTGTAGGGCAGCGACATTTCTCGATTTTGCGCATCAGCACTGCGCATCAGTACGAACAGGACAGAGCCCATCTTACCTTCAAGACACCTTGGGCCAGATTGAAGCGATGAAGATCCGGTCCTGCCGCTCCTGGAGGATCATTCGACTTGCATGTAATCGCGAACGAGACGTTGGCCGCTGCTCGTTCTCGAATCAGATTCGCTGCCTGAGACCGGGACCAAAACTCGACCCAGCGCATCGCCGCCGAGGTCGAGATATTGCTCCTATCGATCTCGAATGATGCGTCGAGCTCTTCCAAGGTTTCGGGCAACTCGACGACGGCGATCGGCTTGACGACTGGAGCTCCCAAGCGACTGCGAGCCATGAAAGTACGGAGATGTCTTCGTCAGCAACAAGCAAAGCGATTACGGCAGCCTGCCGAGCGAGGCATGAAGAACACACAGAGCCCGTTTGTCGACATGTTTCCGCAAGAACCTGACGAATGCGACGAGATCAAAATCGGCCGGATCAGTGGGATTAGGGTCGGGGAGATTCCCACCGTGCTCCATCCAAATCTGCGACCAGGATGCCTGCAGCCGGTCGAAGTAAGCCGCATCGGCAGGAGAGGTCTCGATGCGACGCCCATAAACTTGGCGGAGCTTGCCGTAAGCAGGGGCCAGGAACACCTTTGCAAGAGGCGTGAAGATCACCTTGCGCCGGAGGTGCGCGGCACGTGCTTTGAGTATGGCTACGCAGTCGAAAAGCAGGTCGATCTGATCTTCACGCATGAAGTTGCGCGGCAGTCGATGTCCAGACGCGATCGAGGGAACCTCGCGAGCTGGGGCATTCAGGAATTCATTTTGTGGATTGTGCGCCGCCGACGTCGACGGGTTTGGCGATGGCGCAAGCGCACCAGCGTTTTCTGTGTTGACGTTGCCGACGGCGTCCATCGCCTGTGCGCTCGCCTTCGGTTTGCGACGCATTGACTTGAAGGATCGAGGTATGGCATACGGATCCTGACTGGACCGACTGGCGGAGAACACCGCATGCGGCACTATTGACTTGTAGCGAGATGGATCGAGGTGGTCTACGTCGATCGGCGGCAACAAGGCACGAAGCTCGAGCTCGACTTGTCGAAGGTCGATAGCATGACGGCCTGCGGCGCAGAACCGGTTCCTGACGTAGGCGACAACTTCCGGATCGAGCTCGACATTGCTGTGAGTCGACTTGAAGCGTTGAAGCAGTGCGTCGAAGTCGCGCGCACGCTGGGCCTCTGCATCGTTCGCTTTGTTCAAGAGAGCTTGCCGCGCGCCGTACGCTTCCGCCGCTTCCGCCGCTTCATCCAAGTCTTCATTGTCGCTGAGAGACCTTTGCGATCCACCCTCCGCCCTAACGCGCCTTCTCTTGATGCTGCGCTGAGTGCGTTGCACTCCTCGGCCACGACCGCGCCCGCGCCCGCGCCCACGAGCGCTACTCTGCCGTCGATGACGCTTGCCCATGGGGGGCTCACCCGCTACCCGCCCTCGGTGGTCAAGCTTGCGCCAGAACGCTTCCACCACCGGAACGGGGGCGAGCAGATCGTCGGCGACTTGCGCGATCCGCACGCTGTCGTTAATCAGATCGTGGTCGTAGCGATGCAGGCGTGCGAGGAAGCGTCGCTGGTCGGGCAGCAACATGTACTGGTCGTACCATTTGGTCGTGGAGCTGATGTACTGCGCCATGCGCTTTGACGCAGGGTTCGTCAGCGCAAACCCTTTCGCCAGGGTCGCGTCTACGATCGCGGCAGGCGAGGGCTTCGACGAAGGGAATGCCAGTCTCCGCAGCCGGGACCAGTAAGAACGCGCGTCATCGCCCGTCGTAAAGGTGCAGGTGTCGACGAGCGGCTTGGTGGAGGTTGCAAACTTGTACAAGGGAACGAGTCGAAGGATGGTCCAGTGGGTGGCAAACTTAATGCGAGCAGGCGTTCGGAGCGAGGCGAGAAGCGAGACCTCGTCCGAAATCTCCTCGGCTGGAGCCAGGGGTGCAATCAGCTCCAGATCCATCAGCTCATGCAATGTCGCCCACAGACTGGTCCGCCGCTTCGCTGATCGAGGCTCGAGAACGGCGAGGATGGAAGGGGGTAAGTCCTTCAATCGCGTGGTCAAGCTGAGCGCATCTCGGACAAAATCGTCAAGCTCTTCCGATTCCACGGGGAGTTGCACGACTCGAAGATAGTCGCCCAGAGGCATCTCGGTCTCGAACAGCTCGTGCGCGACGATAGGATCGGGCTCCATGGCGAGCACTAGACCGGATGACGTCTGCTCGACTTCGGAGAGCTCACTGAGGTATCTCCACAGCCACGAGTGTAAATGCCGGGCACGGGCGTAACGGCCATAGTAAACCCCGAAGCGAGCGCCCAAAACGCTTGGTGCTTGTCTGAAGAAGTCGCGGACGACCTCTCGCTCAGAGCCGGCGGCGGGCACATCCCTCTTGTCGGCCTGCCAGGAAGCATCGTCGTGGGGCAGTTGACTGTTGATAAGAGCAGTCTCGGTGGCCGAACGCATCACCAACTTGCCACGGTTCGAGCCGGTTCGGGTCGAGAGGTTTGCCAGAAACTCGCGCATTTGCGGTCCATCTACGTCAATTGATGGCAGGTAATAAACCTCAACCCGAGACGCCACACCCCCCGACTGCGCAACAAGGCGCCGAAGCGAGCCCCGGTCGACCAAAGAGCCAAGAAGCCTGGCGAGATGTTTGCGATCCATCATCCCGGTGCGATCATCGCCTGATCGAGACTCGACAAAGTCCTTGATCGCCTGATTGAGCCTGAAGAATGGTTCAGTAATGCCTCCGACGTGTTCGATGTACGACAGGATCTCGGTGCGACGCTTGGAGGTGACGAGGAGGGAAGAGCGTCCTTGTTGCTGGGAGGAGCGGGCCGTCGCAGTCGGAGTCGAGTGGCCGGGTGAGACAGTCGGAGTGCCCGACGGCCGGGCAGCGTCGATACTTGATCGCGCGACCACCTGAGAAACGCGGCGCTCGATTCGCTGCGACGACTCCTGGCATGCGCTCGAGGGCGGAGACGGTTCTTTGATGGCAAAGTCGACGCGCCGCTTCTTTGCGGGACCTTCGTGCGCGTTTGCTGACTGTGCACCTTCATCCTCCGCTGGAGCGTCAGAACGGCCGATGGGTGCATTCGAGAGCACGGGGGTCGCATCATGCGTCGATTCCAAGTCGAGGTCGTCTCTCCCGGAGCGTGTGCGCTTATGAACAACGAGGCGCGAAGGGGTAATAGGTTCCGCCAGCGATGATGAAGCTGCCGACGCCCTCGTCGTCCTTCTCGGGGCTCTGTGTCAATTGGGACCCAATCAGTTCGAGCCGCGCGTATTTGTACTTACAGTGCCATGAAGACTTACGAAGTTGGCTGCTCCAGGAGTGGGGCATCAGTTGCGGAGGCGGATTGTGATTGCTGCGGCCATTGGGGGTCGTCCGGCTCGTTGCGCGGAGCAGTAGCTTGCACTTCACCGGCCTTGTTAGCATCTTTTCGCGGACGGCCTCGACCACGCTTGACCACGGGTGACACTACAGGCTCCTCCACTAGGCTTGACACAACAAAAGATACAACGGTATCAATGCAACGCTCGACCGACACGGGAGACGTCGCGGGTTCGTCCACTGGACGAGAACGAGGCAGGCCGCGTCGCCTGACCGTGTCGCCCGCGGCCACTGTTTCAAGGGTGGGCTCATGCTCGGCTGAAGTTTGGTGCGTACAGGCCAGAGTCTCACCGGTACTACGGGGCTTTTTCGCAGGGGATCGAAGGCCAAGCATAGTTGCAGCCTCCTCGGCTCCGTCGGACGAGGAATGATCGGGGGACTGATCATCCTCAGCCGGTGGTCCGCCCGAGACGGGCGTCGCTTCGTTCGCCATGTCCTTGGCCGATGTTTTGGATGCCGCGCCCTTTCCGGTCCCTTTCAATCTCTTCTCGACTACGGGATCTGGCGAGGGCGTAGGAAGGCCCCTCTGGATCCTGTCGGCCTCCTGTCGCGCTGCAAACTCGACTCGATCTGCCTTGATTTGGTCCCGCGTCCAGCCTTTCTGGCGAGGCAGCATCCCGAGTCGTTGTCGCTCAGCGTCTTCGAGCTTGCGCCTATCGTAGTACGTGAGAACGCCCTCCTCTAGGGGTCGTTTGCGAGGGCGGCCACGAGGACCTTTGAGTGCCGGCGACGATCCGTTGTCACTCGCTGACTGCGTTCCGCCCTCAGCATTGTCATCTGTGGCAGCTGAGGTGAATGTATGAGCACAGTAAAGGTAAGAAACGGGGGTGTACTCTCGTTCAAGTTGTGGATGAAACTCGACTAAACTCGACTAACCTTCACCTCTAGACGCTTTGGCCACCTTGGAAGCCTTGACCGGTTTCGGTAACTTGATCGGGGCACGTCGGGGTGCCTGGACCCTCTTTGCAATACCGGTTCGAGTCCACAACGTTTCCCTCGCTTCCATGGCGTGGAATCCGCCTTTGCCTCGTTTGACTGTGGTCCCGGAACGGAGATCGAGCTCACTGGTCCACTTTCTCTTGCTCTCGAGGGTGTCGTAGCATTGTTCGATGGGTTGCCACGTTCCGACCACGTCCGGGTCGAGCGCATTGTCCCCCTCCCGCACCTCGGCTCCGTCTTGACGGCACCGGGCAACGTATCCAGCAGCCGTAAAGAACCTCGAACGCTTCTCCCTTCCAAAGGTTTCGGTCATCATCTTGACGCAGTAGTCCTTCGTTTGCGCAGGCACCAACGACTCCCTCATCAGCCTCGTCAACGTCTGATCAATCGTCCTCATGTTGATGCCGCCCAGCGCCACCGATAACTCGGCGCAGGTTGCACCTTCGGCGCCGGCTTCGGCAAGAAGGTCGAGCATCTGTCGGTCCAGCGGAACGAAAGTGTAGGCATGGGGCGAGTCATCGTCCTCGGGTCGTTGCTCTTCGTCGAATTCGAACATGCGTCCAGGCTTTTCGCCGTCGGTGTAGGCATCGACGTCGACGAGACGCACGCATGGAGTCTGCGCACCCGATCGACCCGAAAAATCCGTGACCACGAGCTTCTCGATGACGCCGTCCTTGGCCATCATCGTGATGAGGCTGTTCAGTCGTCGTAAATCTTTGCGGGTATAGTGGTACAGACCCTGGTCGATGATGTGAAGGCGCATCCGGCAAGCTTCGTCAGTATTCAGGACATCACAGTGGTAACAGCCTAGGATCCACTGACGATCGTGGGTGCAATCTGCGAATGGGGCATGAAGTGGCCCTCGCGCTTTTTGAGTGCTCGCACAATCCTTTTGAGTACCATCTCCGAGTTGGTATTGATGTGGCGGTGACTGATCGCACTCATTCTCCTTGCCGCGCCGGCCGCCTCGAGGAGTGCGTTCTCGTCGTCGTCGTCGTGCTCCGCGTCAGGTCCCTTGCCGGCCTTGATCTCCTCCTCGTCCTCGGCCGATTCGTTGAGATTGTGGATCTTCCATTCCTTGGATCGGTCGAGGTAGCGCACATGCACGACGCGGTTCGTCCAACTGCCGTGATCGGTGGTGCGGAACTTTTTGACGACGCCGAGTTGGACCGCGACGCGAACAAAGTGGAACGTGCTCTTCTGGTCATAGCCGATGTGCTTGCCGATGGTCACGACCGTTGCGCCATCACCGCGCCCCCGAGAAACGTATTGCAGGAGCGCGTAGACGGGTGGTGTCAACGCGGTCGGTCGGGTCGAGGAGCCCGTGATGGCGAGCCACGCCGTATCGGCGCCGACGACGATGCGCAGTTCCGAGCCATGGCGCTCCATGAGCTCGTCCCTCGAAGGGGTAGTATCGTCGAGGTAGCGCATGGTATGCGTCGGCGTTCCACCTTTGATCTTGGCCTTGCCCTTCTTTTCCGGGCTGCTGCTCGTCGAAGCGGCTTGCTCTTCGGCCACTTCGTTCATCCTTTCGAGCACGCCGACGTGGACGTCTTCTTGTGCGGTGAGGATAGACCAGACATACGACACGAAGGGGTCGTCGATGACCTGCCTGACCTGCGAGGTTGAGGCTTGTGAGGAGGGGTCGAATGAGATGGTCGTGGCCGAAGCTTCTCGGATAAAGGACGTGAGTCGGGTCATGTCGGTCCCTGTCGAACCAAGAGACAGATCAGCGAACAGTACCAACGGAGATGATAGAATCGGGAGAAGATGGGGCGACGGGCAGAGTGACGAAGCTGGGTTTCACCGACGACGGCAAGCCAGTGAGAGCGAGAGATCCACACCGAGAGAGTCCAGTTCTAAGGGGCGCCGGACAAGGACCACGCCCGCGACGGGACTGCTCGTTCAATCCACGGGGACAGTCTCGCAGCATTATGGGGACAGCCCGATCGATCATGACGTCTAAACGCCTCCCCGCCCCGGCCAGCCAGCGCACCCAAGAAGCCCCTCGTCCAAGCCGGGGTCCACTCCACGGCCGTTGGGACCCCCCCCCCCGCCCCACCTGGGCTGGGCTGAGCTGGGCTGGTGTGGTGTGGTGTGGTGTGGTGTGGTGTGGTGTGGTGTGGTGTGGTGTGGTGTGGTGTGGTGTAGTGTGGCCGGTCAGCGTCGTCGGGGAGGAGGGAGCCATGCACTGACCTTCATCGCCGTCCATGGCGATCTCCTCCAAGACGTATTGCACCAGCTTGTCGATCATCTCGTTGCGGGTCTTGGTCTGTGGTCACTGGACGGGGCTGAGTTGCTTAGGTCGGGGCCGGTGGTCGGGGTGCGCGTGTACGCGTGTACGCGTGAACGCGGATGTCGGGAGCTTTATGGTGCTGTTGTGCGTGGGGTGTCGCAGCCGACGGTCCAAGAGGCGGGATCGACTAAAGTCGTACGAGGGCGCTGTTGAGCTTGGTAGTGGGTCAAGGTCAAACAGTCGTCGAGCTCAGTCAAGCAGAGCCGCGTGGGCTGCTCGTGCGCTGCAGGGCTCGTTCGAGCTCGTTCGCGCACCTGACAGAGCTGCATGCACCTGCCACTGGCAGTGGCCAGCCCTGGCCGGCCTGCACTGACAGAGCCAGTTACGGCGGCTTACGTATTACTGCGCCTTATTACTGCGCCAACTCGCGCGCGGAGTCAACAAGGCGTGAATTGCCGAGGCCATTCTGGCTCGTTTAGAATTCTCTGTGCTCTCCGACTGCTCGTGAGCGACCCAAGCCTCGGCGATGGCGCTCGACAGGTACTGCACCTCTATCGATGTTTCACTGCAGACCTTATCGGCATCGCTCTATCCGGACGAGAACCTGCTACAAGCCCAGGACGGCGTCGGCCTCTACGATGGGTCAGTGCAGTCCCCGCCACCCCACTTTATATTGAGCGAGCGATCAACGGGAAGCTGACCCCACCGCACGGCAACGCTCGCAGCAAGGAAAAATCGCCCAACCACTTTGCTGGTCGACTGCACCTCACGAGCCATCGACTGCTGTTCGTCGCGTCGCTCAAGCCGCACCGGTACTCGCTCGCCCTCGACCTCGCGCACGTAAGACAGACCGAGTACTACGCCGGTTTCCTCAAGTCCAGCCCCAAGATCACCCTTCTCTTGGGAGCACCCGATGCAGCGTCCACATCGATCAATGGCACCACCGCCGCCACCACCGCTGCTGGGTCCCTCTCGTCGGGTTCTGCCTCGAGCCAATCCACCGCTCTGACCTCGTCAGCCTCGACCTCGGCGCCGTCCCCACTGCCCGCCGGTTCAATCGCCTCCCCTGCACCAACGTCATCGAGTGCTAGTGGCCGACGCACGTGGATATGTCGCGTGTGTGGCATGTCCAATATATCCTCGATCAAATGCTCGCTCTGCGGCATCACCCGCGACAAGCTCACCACCTCGAGCAGTCAATCCGCCTCCCTCACCGCAGCGGCCTCAGCTCCCTCCCCGTCTTCCTCATTTCCCACCAGTCCTGCTCCATCTTCCCTCGCTCTTCGGTCCGTCGCATCTCGGACAGACTATTCTCGATCGTCGACACCTCCTCCACTACCACCCTTACCTGCCTCGCTTCTTGGCCCCACCTCGCAGCAGATGCCCGACGCCGAAAACTCTGTCCCTGAGCCAGCCGCCCTCACTTTGGTCGACGGCAAGCTCCCCTGCCCCGTCTGCACCTTTCTGAACCATCACTCCATGTCAAGATGTGAGCTGTGTGACTCGCCTCTGCCTTCGCTTCGCCCGGCCCCAACCTTGAGCGCGCCGAGAAGAGGCTCCTTGTCGACCTCGAGGCCCTCGACCCCGGACTCTCTCGCATCGTCGAACGACCACTTTATGCGCCTGAGCTTTCGGACCGGCGGCGAACGCGAGTTCTACAACGCACTCAAGGAAGCCCTGGCCAGGAAAGCTTGGGACTGGCAAAGTGCCAATGCACTGCTCCGACCGTCCAAGTCGAGTAACGGGTCGTCCGAGGCGCGCGCGCCTGGGGCGATCAATGAGCGAGCGGGTGGGATTGGTAGGCGCTTTTCCGACGAGGCTGATTCCAAATAAAGCGAGTTTCGAGGCTAACTTTTTAGTGGCTCTCTGCATCTCTCTTCTACTCACAGATGCCATCATGAAATCGTTTACCTTGGAAGCAGCCGATCGGGACCAATCGCTCGAATCGGCCCTGAAGGATCTCCAGTCGCTCATGTCCAAAGCCAAAGACATGATCCAGCTCGCGCAATCGATCAACAAACGACTTGTACTGGCGAACGCTGGCAGCACCTCTATCGCAGGAACCAGCACTCCTACGGTGTCAACCTCGGAGAAGACTGCGGCGTCTTCCCTCGCGACCTCGTCCCTCGCTTCCTTGGGTTTGATCGAGTTGGCCATCACTCCAGATCTCATCAGCGAAAGTCAAAGGTACCACGAAGAGCTGGCCAAAGAACTCGGCACGCTGTTGAATCGCTCTGATGCCGTCGTCAGGCGGAGAGGTGTCGTCGGGCTGGACGAAGCGTGGTGCGCTTGGAACAGGGCGCGAGGTGTGGGTGAGTGTCGAATGATACGCTTCGGATGGTACCAGATATATGATTTCAAAGCTGAGCGTTATCATGAGTCTCTCGCATTCGGCTTGTGTGCCTCTCCTCTCCAGCCCTCATCTCGCCGAAAGATTTTCGACTCGCGACCCCTTACCTACCGATGCACACATCGCCGATGCTTCAACTTCTCACGCTCCCAAGTGGTCTCACGATTTTGCACACCTCACGATACTCGCTCCCCGTTTTTAGCCAACGGATCTGGGACCTATTGGACCTCGAGCAAGCCATTTTCCTCTCGAGCCGCCAGTCCCCGGACGAACCTTTGCGGATGCAAGGTCTATCGACGATCGAGATCGCTCAATCCGACGACGAGTCGCATGGAGGGGGAGGCGAAGGTATTGGTATTGGTTTGGTCAAAGAGTTGTTGGAGATGGTCGAGACGAGGGGCGAGATTTGTCGGGACCAAGGTGGCGCCGGCGGGGGCGAGAGTGAGGTCAGATGGTTTAGGAATTACTTTGAGAGCGCAGGGCGAGATTGGGATGGAACCAAATTTTGAGCGGTCGGGAAAGGATAGACTTTGTTGTAAGTTGTACAAACAGTCGTCGTCGACTTGTCTGTGCATGTCTGATGCATAAATGCGCGCGATGTCTCAGCCCACGTTGACATCGTTGCAGTGACTGCTCCTAGTCTCGACACTCGAAGAGTTGGACTGAGGCGTCGCGGCGCATGACGTGTTGGTACTGGGCATCTACCCCTGCTGACCTTCGTGAGTCGTTATCAATGCTTCATTTGGAGGCACCTCGGGGATCTTGAGTAAAACTTCGCAAGTCCCGTGACCTGCCCCCACGGACGAACTATGCCTTAGCTTAGTGAATCGCGGTGCTGTGCTGAGCGGCGTCCGTTGCCGGATCTCGGCGATGCCTCCAAGTCGGCGGACCGAGCTCTTGAGTCCTCGCTTCTTTATTCACTCTTTCGCTGCTGTCCATCGACGACAAGCCAGCCCTGACGTACCGCCGTGACCATGCATCTTGCGATAAGTTTGCTCGTCTTCAGTCTGCCTTTCACTATGGCACATCCACATTCCGGCGGTCTTGCTCCGTCGTCATTGCTCGAAGAACGAGAGGGCGCTGGGGCCCAAGTCTTTGCGCGACACCTCGACCGACTCAAGCTCGAGCGCGAACGGGCCGCCGCCGATGACTCTGCTGCTGTACCGTTTTGGAAACGACAGTCGACGACGAGCTCGGGTGAAGGACAGGCCATTTCGAGTGGCTCAAATTCTGCAGAGTGAGTACCCGCTCTGCCATGTTCTCTCCGCACGTTGGTTCACAATGGACCCGCTCAGGTCTAGTGATCGTTGGTCGAGCTAAGGCACTCGAAAGCCCCGAGCGCCGAGCGCATGATCGAGCTTCGGCGGGGCCCGCGGCCGGACGGCGCGCGGAGAGGTGGCAGCCGCTTGGGGTCGCGTCGACCGAGCGACCATGATTCGACTATGATGCTCGCTCAGAAGACTCGCGGCTGACCTCGCGGATGATCATCGATTTTTCTCCGACTCCGCAGAGCTGCAGGATACACCTGTGATGACACTACCTGCGTGCTCCCCTCATGCCATGTAGGTGGTCTGTCTCTACATCACACTGCTTCCGAGCTCCTTGCTCCACAGCTGCTCGCCGAAGGAATTGCCGAGCTCGTCACTGAACTGGCTGCGTGGGGTCCCTGATCGTGATGAGAGTCATGCTGATCGCCACTTTCCCTTGATCCTGCCCACACCTTCCCGATCATTGCACCATCTGTCCCACCAAACTTGGCGCCCGATCAACAGTGCGCATCCGTGAATCCACCAGGGGGACTGAGTCCGAAAAATACCCCTCAATTCATCAGTGAGTCGACTTGCCGCGCAAGCTCAGGGTGAAAATGGATACGATTCTACATGGGAACACAACCGCGCTCGGTGTACGAGACCCTTGGCTCGAGTCCTCGATCACTCACATGCTGTGCTTCTATCCCAAACAATCCCCTGCTCAGCGGTCACCGCCGATGACGCCGTTAACACCTTCACGATCGAGGTGCTTGACTATCTCCTGTCCAAGCGCAAGAACCCGAATGGATGTCAACCCAAGATGACCTACTTCAACTCGGTCAGTACTTGCCACCTCAGTTCCGACCAAGGAAGTTGAGGTCTACTCACTCACCCAGAAAAACTCACAGCTCATGTACAACAATTACAGCATGGTCACGGACTGGTTCGTCGCCGGCAATGAAATCGCCGACCACACTATGACTCATGTTGGCGACCCCCCTGCCGTGAGTGCCAGGCGGTCTACGCTCCCTGCAAGCATGACTGGAGAAATCTTTGCTAGGATTCTTGAAGGCTCACTCCTCGCATGCATGTTGTGATTTGACACAGACCGAGATCAACGGCAACCTCGCTGCGCTAAACGCTTTCTCCGGGATTCCGTTGGTCGAGCTCAAGGGGTTTCGTGCGCCATTGCTCAATTTCTCCAGCAGCACTTTGACGACCTTGCACACGTCCGGTTTCCTATACGACTCTTCGGCGACGTCGGCGAGTCCAGCTGATGCAGCTGCCACGGACGCGTACTGGCCATACACACTTGACAACGGCCTGGCAAACAACTGTCTGGATGTGACGGGGGTATGCAAAGGAGCACTAAAGCTGCCGGGCTTGTGGGAGGTCCCAATGTGAGTCGTGGTGTTCCCGCAATGACAGTACCTTGTATTAACACAACTGAGCATATAATCTCCATCTAATGCAAAGGTATGCCGTTTTCGAAGCGAACAATGCCTCCGATATTCATCTCATGTGAGTCTGCAGGATGGGACACGCATGGGTATTTTCCTCCTTTGCTCACAGCCAGTGCCTTGCTCGGTTTCTTCTGCGTCGCGCACGTGTAGGGATCCGTGGTTGGACTCGGAAGACATGTCGGAGGTACTCGCTTGGCTCAAGTCAAGCTTTCTCTCGCACTACAGTGGGAACCGCCAGCCGTTCGGACTCTACACCCATCCCATCCACCTTGCGGTCAACTATCCTGGTCTGACGAACCCGACGGCCCAGCGCGAGATGCTGCAAGAGTTCCTTGATTGGGTCCAGACCTACCCGGACGTGTGGTTCGTGACGAATCAACAGCTCTTGGCGTGGATGCAAGACCCCAAATCGAACGACCAAATCGCGCAATCCGCCGCGTTGCAGTGCTCCACGCCCGCCGTCGATGCATCGCTCAAGATCTGCAATGGGCTCGCACAGAATGAAGCTGGCCTACTCTTGCAGTGTCCCTTCACCGAATTTTCGTGGACAACTTGCTATGGGTGCCCCGTGACGCCACCAACCCCGCAAAACCCGGTTCCGGCACAGAATACAACGCTCGGTGTCAGGGCCCATTTGCCTACAAACTGCTCTACGCCGTTCTTCGATCCTGTGGGCAATAGGTGCACTTGTGCGGCAAGTTCCTGCGCCTTCACCGATCAAACGAGACCTATCGGCAACTACTCGACCCCGCTGTCGGATGGCAACTCGGCCACCGGTGCCGCGGGTGGATCGACTTCGACCTCCGGCCGAGGCTCGTCGACACAAACATCGATCCCTCGGCAATTATCAACCGCGTCCCAGCTCCTCACTCGAGTGACCCTCGCTGCAGCGTTGGCTTTCGCGACATTCCTGATCTTACTCGGCTGAGGAACAGTCCACGTGCCTCTCCTTCGAATCCCGGCCTGCCCGAAAGCTGTATGATGGATGGCTCCGAGACTCCTGGGACCCCGCTATGTATCTCGCAGTGAACGGCACTTTCAGTCAGATCGGTCGCAGAGTAATAGATATAATGACATCTCACCTGAATGACACTTCGATCGGAACGGCCGCCGGAGCGAACGGGCAAGAGACTGATTTATGATGTAAGGATGTAAGGATGTAAGGACACCTTCCATCTAGCACATAGAATCGGGAGATAAACCTAAACAGAACACAAACTCTTCAGGCTCTTCACCAATAAGTGTGACAGGCTGGACGCGCAACATGGCTGTCCGAGCCGTCCGAGCTCACAGTCGCCGCCGCCAATCGATCAACACGACGTCGCGCAAACACTGGTTCGTCAAGTCGATTTGCACCGGCAGCATGCAGTCTCAATGTCGCACGGCAAGTGCGACGGGCCCGCAGTCCTTCACCTCCGGGCTTGAGATTCGTTCGTCCACGCTTTGAAGCAGCTCCAGACCTCGGGTAGTGTCGGCCAGTGCACCAATTCGGTCGTTAGGGGCCCGCCAGCGTGTCACGGCTTGCCGACACTGGGCTTCACTCCACGTCGTTCCGCGCGTATGTTGCACGAACATCACGCCGAAAAGATTCTATGAACCCGGTTTAAACTGAGGCGCAGGCTTCTCCATCTTTCTCCCTCCTGCTCTTCGCACCTTACCCATCGCACCTCATCCCATCGCCACTCATCCCATCGCCCATCACTAGCAGAACAGACCAACCCGATACATCCGAGTTCAAGTCCCCCCCACCCACGGTTGCTCCCTCCCAGAGACAAATGAAAGGAACATTGAAGATAATACACAGAAAGAAGCCCCAACACAACTCGCGGATGGCGAACGAACAGCTCTGTCAGTCGATGACGTCGATCGACTTGCCGCAATACGGTCCTGGCCCAGGACACGGCTCAGGTAGTTGTCACAATGCTTGGGAAGTGTCGATTGATCGATCTCTCAACAGGGATGCCTCCGTGTAGTAGGTAACGCGAACAGCAAAACGTCTAGGGGAGCAGCCCGTTGACATGATGTCAACCAACCTACCATCCAGCCTCAGATGCAGATATCGAACGGGTGGGCCGATCCGAACTGTTCTCGAGACAAACCGGCCTCGAGCTCGCGACACCCGAAGGGGTCGTCGTGGAAGCTCTGCAACGAATACGGGACAAGTTGCAGCATGCAGCATAGCTACGGATTCGAGTAAGTGACTTCATGAACTGTGCTCTAGGTGTGGGATTGTTCAGGAGCTAATGGAAAACTACCAAACAGCAATTCCCTTCAACACGTCTTCGTTGAATGTCAACCCTCGAGTTGCTTTCCTCCACCATCAATTGGTGACTGCATTCGTGAGTTTCACGTGACATTGGCTGTGCAGGCAGGTATGACGGAAAAACTGATACGAAAAACAGACATTGGATCGTCAGTGACAGGAGGTGACCCTATCCCCGAAAAGCGGGGGCACCCACCGTGGCCTGTCTGGGAAAACGACATCGATGCCCACAAACACCCCATATTCTACAACAACGCTCGCGAAGGAAGCAGGCCACGGGAAAATCCAGCGGAAGAATTGACTTCGTACGGTTGAGAATCCAGGTCCATGGGACACTAAATGTGAGTCTTCACTGTCATTGCTACAGATGGACAACAGCAAGAATACTGACAGTTGTAATAAACGAATCACGCAGAAAAACAGGCTCTGGTTCCGTGGATTGCGGCTCACCATCCCGTGGCAGATCCTCAACGGCTCGGTTCGGGGGAGTGACCGTCGTGTTGGCAGGTGTGTGCCAATCTTTCAAAAGCAAAGCGCAGGGCGGCATGACTAACTGATCGATTGGGCTGTAACATCACAGGGGATCCGAAGCAATGCCTTCCCGTTATTCCCAAGTCATCACCAACCCAAATCGTCGACGCTTGCATCATGAATGGCGACTTCTGGGGGGATCTCTCTGTAAGTAATAGTCCTTGCCTGACTTTTAGACCTATACTAACAACAGCCCACGGTGCGAGCGCAGACAAACATGCGTCTTCTGGCCGCTGCAGACCGCATGACCAAAACGGAACGGGCAAAGGCAATACGTTGATAGGCGAAAAAGTCGAATACTTCCGAGATCGAGCAATTCTGGCGCCCAAAAATTCGCACAGATCAACGACATGGTGCCCAACCTGCTGCCGGGTGACGCTCAAACGTTCTACAGCGCGGATTCGGTCGAAAATGAAGACGGATCACTGTTCTCGATCAAGTACCTTCAGAGTCTCAACATCGCCGGGATGCCGTTGCACGCTGCAAGATTCAAAGTGGAAACTTGGACCCCGCCGCGGGGCTGTGCAACGGCACAAGACTGTTGTCAACTCGGTTACACACCCGCCTGCTCGAGGCCATCATTCTCACAGGAGACCATGCTGGACAGCCAGTTTTGTTGCCACGGATCACGCTGAAGACAGGGTCATCAGCTGAGCTTCCGTTCACTCTGCATCGGACGCAGTTTCCAATTCGGCTGGCAATGGCTATGACGTTCAGCAAGTTGCAAGAGCAGTTGGCACTTGCGCAGGTAGGAGTGTGTCTGGAGACGCCCGTCTTTTCTCACGGCCAGTTGTATGTGGCGTTGTCCTGAGCAACTATGTGGACGGTGTCAGAAACGTCCTGAAATGAAGGCTCTTTACATTTGATCGTCGTCCCGCGGTCCTCTCCCGACTTGGACCATCACTGAACAGTACCGCAGCTGTTGCAGCAAAGTACATCATATTTAAGCGGGTCAACAGTTACGGTGTGAGGCGGCGCGCGGAGCGCGCCGCCGAACCCAGTAACTTAACTGAGATAAAAGTCTGACCCTGACACAATCCCGCATTGCACCCAACGTGCCTTCCTGGCGTTGGTGATGACGGATACTCCCACGTCGAGACCGATCGACTCAACTTGCCTCCAGTTGCATCAAGAAAACCTCCGCCTCACCACGGGTCAAGGTAACATCACCTTGACCCCGGATTAAAGTGGATGTTCGGTGATTTTAAGCTCAACGTTCAAGAATAGACCGCGCGAGAACACGCAGCATTACCAAGATGCGATGGCGTGCGTCGTCAAATATGGAAAGCCTTCGCTGTTCATCACGGTGACGTGCAACCCCGAATGGCCGGAAATCAAGGCTGCACTGGGGCCGAGCGACCAAGCACCGGATCTCATTGCACGAGTGTTTGAAGCCAAGTTGAACCGACTCTGCGACGACGTTTTTGGCAACAAGCAACGGGCAGGCTGTTTGGGCGATGAATGGAGAACTGTTTCTTTGCTGTACTTTATAGTGTGTTTTCTTAGCCTCTGTTGAAATCATGTAGACTGTTCGATTCTCCTGCTATTTGAATACCACCCTCCCGTTAATTTAACGGGTTCCCACTGGTATAAACTACAATCTAATTCATTAAAGCTATTTGCAGCTGAATTATTCGTAGTTTCTCCACTTATTACATGTTCTATTCTATATTATAGTCCTAATTATTACCGTATTGCTACTATTCAGTATTCCTTTTGCGAATGAGCGGACTGGCACTCAGTGAACACGGCTATATTCCTTGAGCGCATTAGCCGGCCGCGACGTGACCGTCTTCATTTCCGTTCTTCACTGCTCGCCGCCCGCGTCGCCTTCGATTCATCGTCTTCCCGTTTGACTGCTTCCAATTCGCGTATCTCCCCCTCTTCCGTGTCGGATTACACTCGAAAAATCCTGCCGTAGGACGATGCTGCGCTCTGGAAAGGCCATTGTCACTACATCGTGGTGGGCTGCCCTAGCGTTGCTCGCGCTCGTCGGTACCGTTTGGGCGTCCGACTCCGATGCCGACGATCCTACGGGTTCGTGAGCGAGCACTTCGTCGTGTGGTGCGACGCGACCGCGCAGGCAATCCCAGCTGATCCATCGTCGCCTTGACCCACCTTTGAACCTCGCTGGAAACAGGCACAATACTCTAGTAAGTATGTCCGGACCCTTCAGATCGTGCATCGCTTCGACGCGTTCAAGTGGTCCGGACGCACCGCGTCGATGCGCCCATGCTGAAGCGGGGTCCGATCGGCAAGCCGCAACGCGCGACGTCAGCGCGGCGTAGAGACGACTTGTCTTTGTTTCGGGGCCGCTTGGACGTTGAGGCACATGGATCATGATGCAGTGGCAGAGCACTATGCTGACTGCGCATGTGTGGCTCATCGCACCTCCTGACACGTGATACAGCATCACCGAACCCGCGTGCTCGTTTTACAAGGTAGGTCGACCGAAGTGGCCTTCAACCCCGGTTCCTCATGTCATGCGCCCTTGTTCGGTGTTTCGCAGTGCTTGGTAACATGGAGGAAAGGTGCCACGGTCGCCGTCAACTGGTTAGGGCCTCCGCCCGGCAACGTTTCGATTGAACTGGTTCCGGTCAAGGGTGGCACGACGTATGTACACCTTCTGCTCGACCGTCGCGTTTGGCGACTTGCGATCGCTCATGCTCGTACGCCTGTATCCTCTTTCCCGCGCTCTCGGCCTGTTGCAGATACACGATCGTAGCGAGCTACCCTTCGATATCTCAAGAGGGTTATTGTGACGGAGGCTATGGTTTGGGAGTCGTCACGCATGGGGTCGAATGTGGAAGGGTCGAGTTCAAAGTGCCGAGCGGATGGTCCGAAGTAGGAAATTGTCCGTGGTAACCCGGGCCCTGCGCGCGCTGTGAATTCTTTCTGACCTGTAACTGAATCGCTCCCAGATTCGATCGCCGTGACTTCGCTCCGGGATGACTCCCTTGTTGGTTACACCGACCTGATCAGGATCGCGCCGGCCAATTCGAGCACGGCCGATGACGCTCCGGATGGGACGTCCGTCTCGTTGCTCAACATTCCGAGCCCAACGTCCACGAACCTCGCGGGCGCTACAGTCTTCGACGGCAAAATCCCAAGCCCAACGGCGATCGTCACCTTCAGTGTCACGACAATCGTCACATCCAGCTTCACGACAACGTCGTCGACCAAAGCAATCTCTTCATCTAGAGCCTCCACCGTATCAGTCGCGCCGAGCCACCCATCTCTCGCTTCTCTGCCCGCAAGCTCGGCCAGAGCAACCTGGGTGACGCGGCCCTCAAGCTCGACCCCAACTTCCGCTGTTCAGAGCAGCTCATGTTCTTCCTTATCTGCGACAGTCCCCATTGTGCTCGGTATCTATGCGGTTTTTTGTTCTATCATTTCGCTGTTTTGTACATAAACGATGCACCTTTACTGAGCGAACTATATAGCTTGAATCGAAAATTGGGTTTATCGCAGATAGACATGTACCATGACTTTTTATGATGTTTCATCGAATTTCCCTCCTCCGTTTGACGTCCCAATTGTAAACACGTGCCACATTGACTTCTGTGATCGTGATTTGTTCGCGCAACCAATCCAGATCCTCCCTAACGTTTCGCAGCGATGCTTGCGCGGTGATGAGCTTTTCCGACAAGAGAGACAGCGCCGCCGAGAGTGGATAAGACAGCATCGTGTTGGCCTAAGTAGCAGTGTCGGTACCGACGTCAGTTCCTCTTGCCGTGGGCACAAACACCTCTAGCCCGAACAGACTGGACTTGACTCACTCCAAGCCAGACGTACACCTCATCCACATGCTCAACGCAGCCGGTGGCGTACAGCGTGTCGCTGAGTTCGAACGTTGTGTCGAATGATTGCTCCGCGTCCTATGCGGCCCACGGACCAAGCGGGAATGCACGAGATCAGCTGACCGCGTCGCTCTGCCACTCGCAGCGCGGGTGTGCGCCGTCTCACTTTCTTGCGCTGCAAGGTCTCGATCATGGCGAGTGTGCGTTGCAGCTCGGGGACCTTCTCCTCCAAGCCTTGTCTCCTTTGCCGCTTGTTGTTCTCCATGAAGCGATATTTACTGCACGCGATCGTGTCGTCGCCTCGACCGCCTTGTGTCAGCAACCTGGGACGGGAGGGGTGCGGTCGCGAGGATTCAAATTGTTTTGGAAGGACTCGAGACTCACGCAAGTGTTTGTTGAAGTTGTTGCAAAGACTGATCAGGATCTGTTCCGATGATAAAGGCGTCGACGTCTTCCTGCAAGCGAGGCGAGCGCGCGATGAGCTTCGGAACACTCGACAAGAATCTGGGGCGACGGTCGAGGAGGGTGGTGGTGGGGAAGGCGCAGTCGGGCGAGGCGCAGTCGGGCGGGGCGCAGCCCCCTTCCGCCCCCATCCGGGCACGTACAATGAAATGGGCTTTGGGAATTCCTCTTGCGTTCATCGCCTGCGGTTGCAGTTGGGGCTGCGGTTGAGCCGCCATGTGAGCGAATGACTTGCTACAGGAGACTCCCGGCGCCTCGCGGAGGCAGAGATGAAGCCAAGAGACAATGCGGTCGGAGGCAGACGGAGACTGGCGGCGAGAGGGCGCGAATACCTGCGAATACCAGATCGGCAGTATATTCGAAGTCCTCAGAGGAAGCCGCTCTCGCTGAGCAGGCGAGCGATCTTTTCGCGTGAGAGCTCGTGAGACTGCCATGGGCATTCCCCGCCAAAAACCTCGCTCAGTGTCTCCGCCTGCTTTCGCCGGTTCCCCCAGTCTCCAGCGGCGGAATTGAGGAGATATAACGTCGGCACGTAGTTTGGAGCACGTCACCTTGAACGCAGCTGCGTGGACACTGGCTACCCCTCAAAGAGGCGCTGAAACCCACCCCTACCACCTCCTTTTGACATTACAACCCCTACCTCCAACCACTACCTCGGAAGCACGCCCGTTCGTTGCCGGCTCATCGTCACCTGTGGGCTCGCCATGGGGTCCGCCGCGAAGGGGAGACGGATGCGGCCCACGCGCACCGCTCGGTCGAGGACCCGTTCCGACAAGGGCAACAAGGCTACGCTTAAGCTTAGTTGCGCCATAGTTAGTTAGTTAACTATGTGTAAAATCCCATCTTCCAGCCATAACTATCTAACTATCAACTATGACCCAATAGTTAGTTAACTAACTATAGTTGGGATAGTTAACTATGCAAAACTATCAAAATGGCCCCTAATAACGGCGCACGCCGAGCGTCGTTGAGGGCTTACCAGCGCAATTACCCCATACGGCTCAGCAGTATACAACAATTGTTTGGTTGTATTGAGCCTATTGAACCTCTGGTTCTGCCACCGACTTATGAGATCCGCTCGATGCCTTGCTCTCAAACTACCCTCTTATGATAGTGTAATAGTATAGTATATATGAACTCGAACAACCGTTGACAACAGTAATCTGATTCTACATGACAGACCTACACATCATCATCATCGAGCTAAATTGTTTCTCTGGCGCGAAAGACTCTGGGGACCAGGCCTCGCTCGCGGGCGGAGTAGTGTGGCATGAGCGCTGCAGCAGTTTTTACTAATTATAATTTGGTACCTGGCGGATACTTCCTGGCTCATCAGGCTCGGGTATCGGAGCTGCACTGGAGCTGTTTGATCGAACACTAGGTGTCTAGGAAATTTGAGACGAAACAGCGTCCCCCATCGACGAGGACTGATGCCAGCAGCTGACGCGGGCCTTGTGCGACACTGCGCAACACAAGCGATGATCATCAATCACCCATCACGGCGGCGCGTGCTCGTGTCGAGCCCGTAGCCGACGATTTCTGTGGCTCTAGATGATCTTGGCCCGCCACGACTGACCCACGACTGCCTGCTTCTTTATTCGAGAGCAGCTCATCGACAGCCCGTCGCAAGAGGAACGTGTACTGAAAGCCCAGCTCGCAAATGTCGGCCTCTACGCCGCCGACACGCTCGGAGGTCAGTGCGCCAAAGAGCACGGACGAACAATGGAGCTGCCATTGGCCACTGGCTGTGTTGAACGGTGAACCCGGGCCCCTACTCGGTGCAACAGCTACCACTGACTCGCACCTGCCTTGACGCATTCGTCCCTTTGGCCTGCAGATGGGAACTGCCTCTTCCGCGCCCTGTCGGACCAATTGTACGCCTGCTTCGAGCATCATTTGCAGCTGCGCCAAAAGGTCAGTCGTCCCTCCGGCGATGGTGCATCGTGAGCACTCGAGTCGGACAGCGACGGCCGAGCGAGCTCCGAACTACGGACTGACGAATGCGGGACCGCATATTACCTCACCTGTTTCTGTGCTCTCACGTACGGCAGATATGCGACTATCTTGTGGTGCACGCAGAGCGTTTTCGCCTCTTCGTGGACGAGGATGAGGGTGGTGGCTTCGAGGGTCACGTGACAAGCATGCGATCCGCCGGTGAGCCCCACATCCCCCCCCCCCTCCCTCCCCCCCCACTCCCCCCAAGCTTCCGCTGACCTTGCACATCACACATACCTTGGATCGTACCAATAGGTACATATGGTACCAACCTCGAGCTTTCCGCTTTTGCGAGTCTTTATCGGCGACCTGTGAGAGTGTTTCAGCCGGGCCTCGTATTCGTCATCTCTTGCGGAGAGCCGGATGAAAAGCGGGCAAAAGACACCAGTCATCAGACTTCAGCCGATCCAACACGCAGCGATTCGGCTCTTGATTCTTCGCTCAACCATTCTCGCAGCGTAGCTCGTCATTCGGCGGCATCGGCAGACGACAAAGCATCATCGAGCCCTGCCGCGACCCTCCCAAGCTCGCGCAGAACGCGCCACAAGGCCGACACACAAAGCCAACAGGTTCCGGGGCAATGCAGCAATGTTTGCTCAAGGTGGGGTTTCCCCCAGCGACGCCCAATGTCCCAGCCGATCGAAGCTGTCAATGTTGCGTGAGTGAATTCTGTCTCCGTACGCCGGGCGCGGCGTTGCGTTCTGCCTGACTCGCAAGGACACGAGACAGATACCACAGCTACGAACACTACTCGTCTCCGCGTCCGGTTACCACAAGCCTCGAATCTCGTTCTTTGAATGTCCGTTCGTTCTATATGTTCATTTCTCGCACCTTGCTTTCCATCGATCTCTGATTTTTCGCGCGTCCTCGCTTTTCTTCAGCATGCACTTTGCGAGTCCCACACAACAACCCAGTCCGACCCGCTGCCCAAGCTGATCCCGGTCACCGTAAATGGTACCCAAATAAAAGGGGGAAAGCAGGAAGGGATTCATCGCCGATCGCTCCTTGGAACCGCCTTGGAGGGGAATGTCGACCATGGTCCTGCCACGCCGTTCATTCTGCGATGACCGAAAGCATCACGAGCGCTCACCATCATCACCATCATCATACAATCTCTCTCGCCGAAGAAGAAGGACGCGATCCTGTATTGAGCCGAATGAAGATCTGATGCAGAGCGGCTCATGCAGCGACTGCAGCGATACGTCATTGTCGAGCCGCGAGGCTAGCTCCGCCGCCCCGTTAAGGGGCTTCGCCAACGATGTCACATCGGCACGCACTCCACTATCTAGTTCGTCATCGAAGGATTGCGCAAAGCAAGCGCTACAGCGCCAGAAGAAGCATCGTTGGAAGGCTTTTGCAGGCCGACCGTCTGCTGGGCGGGGCCTGTCCGAGTCACAGTCGTTCCGTCAAACCCGGTCCACCGAGCTTTCCGGTCAGGTGGCCGTCTTGTATATTTAATCAGATTTTTTGCATTGCATAGCGTTATGTTGCACCACTGTCCCCATCGTCCTCGCCTGTTGCGTAAGGAATGAGCTTCCTCAGGGGTCATGTAGGATGCCGACATTTTCGCTACGATCTTTAGACATTTGTCATTATGAGAGATAACCAGATTCATGTCCCGGAACCGTCACAAGACCTCACCGGCGATCGTCGGCTTTCGTAGCCAGAAGCACCTTTCGAGCTTCGACTATGCGATTGGCGAGTCTCATGACGTTCGCTGCTGCCATGATGACCTCGCTCGTGAGCTCCACTTCGAACGCCTCTCTGATGGCGTAGGCGATGTGCTTTGCGTCGGCGACTGAGTAGATCGCAAAGTCGTCCTTGTCCGAGAAGACCAATCCAGGCCCGCTGTTGTCATTGCTCCCCCGAAACGCCTCTGAAGAAGCTGTGTCGTTTTGGGAACGGTTATCGTCGAATTCGAGCAGGCGAGAAGCTGACTTGGGCCTTGCCTCGGGGTCGGAGGCGAGAGCATGTGCAACAATGACAGTCAATGTCTCGTAAATATCTTGTGGGTCGTTGGCATCGTTGGGCTCCTCGACTGTGAGTGGTCAGAAGCCATATCAACGAGGGCGGCGTAGAGGTGCGATGCAGGAGGTGTTTAACGGACCGTAGATATGTACTGGCTCGACTCGGGTCATGACACTGTGCTTGCCATCATGGTGGTATCTGAGACAGCTGAAACCGTGTCAGTGTCTAGGTATCTCCCCTCGGCAGCGATATCTGTGCAGGGACTGACCGGATCTCGTACGATCCTGTTGACCACGGAAGCCGCGCGCCAGAGAACGTCACAAAGCCACTCGCCAACTCGTGTTTAGAATCCTTTGAGTCCTCGGTGCCTGACCCGTTTGTGCCTTCATATTTGTCTCCCCGCCACTCATGCTCGTGCACTCCCAGCCACCGGCCCTGGCTTGATACGCGCGTCACAAGCTGACCCTTGTTCGCGCATTGGCGATAGATGCCGATCCAATCTTTCCTCGAGTGGTTAAGCGGTGCCTGCCACTGCACCCTGATAAGCTGGCCGAGATGAAAGCTCGGATTATCGCCTTCTGTGCCACCGGACCGTCGGAGCGACCTGGATTGGGGCGCGCTCAACATAAGGCCATACTTTGACGCATCGTACTCATCGAGATCGTGAGCGACACGGCTGCACGAATGAGGGGCAAGCTGAGATCCCTGTACATATTCGAGGCCGCTGAGAGGTACTCGCACCTGATCACCAGGCGTTCACTCGTTTGCTTGAGCAGCACTTTCGTTTCATTGACGTAACCTTTGACAATTGGACCAGCTGTGGAGGGTAAAATGCATTGACAAGGCGCCACAGTCGGACAGATCAGCGCGAGAAGTTGATGAAGATCGAGAGGACTGTCATTTGTACAACTTACAGCGGTTCAGGAAGTCTTCTAGAACGTCGGCGGTCTCGTCGAGTACCTTCTCGAAAGAACCTTGGACCTCCCTCACGCTTCGACTGACGCCACCAAATACATGCGCGTTACGAGCGGCCACACCCCTAATGGTTTTGGTCACTCCTGCGTCCTGCCGAAGCGTGTTGCCATACAATCTGCGCATGTGCGGGCTAGAATGTCCAGCAGCGAAACGTAGACAAGTCGTCGTAGTCAGCTGCGCGGACGGGGCCAAATATTGTTGAAGAGCCACATACTTTTCCACAACACTAAGGAACCACCAATGCGCAGCAACGGCGATCACGGCCTGGGACAGCAGGAGCTTGCTGCCTGAAATGAGCACCATGCCGAAAAAAGCTGCACCGCCCATTGACCGCTCTGGGTTGTTGAGGAATCGGAATATGCCAGTATAGTACAGCTCATGAGGGTAGTCCTGTATAAAGAAATCCCCTATGGCTCGAACCGAGGATGTTTCAGGGGACTGGTCAGAGGCTCCGAATACTGGCTGGGGCAGAAATTGGTGCGGAGCCGCTGCTTTGCACCCCTCTCAGAGCCACAACTGACCGTAGAACCACCCGAAAGGACCCAAAACCTCCAACGTGGACTGAGTTGTCCAAAGGTGCAAGGCAACTAGCGACTGAAGCGACCGCCACGCATTTCAGCTGCTCGCCGGTCACCTCGTCTCGGCCTGGCAGAGGACATGCGTCAGATTAGACTCACGATACCAAGCACGTGTCGAACGAGCTGAGCCCCAACGGTCCAGTCTACTGGAAGACTGTAACATTTCCACGCCAGTGCACCGAACGAGGCTGACAAAGCGTTCGAGTTAAGGAATGAGCTTGATATCGAGGATAACGATGCATCGCGATAAGCCTACCATAAGACATGCACAAACTCATGTTGTACGTGGCCTTCCAATTCTTGAATGCGTCGTCGACAGCCTGGGCACAAATCGATGCGAGCACAGTCAATCTTGCAATCCAGGCCTGTAGGAGCCACCAGCCAACTCGATCAAATACGCCGACGCACCTCTCCTTCGACTTCGTAGTGATAGTGCTTCAGGAAGTGACGGACAATCCATTTGCGCTCGCTTTGCGCCTTCAGCGCGGACCCGAGCCCGAACGAATGGAAGCAGCGCCATGCGAGTGTATGCACGAAAGCGAGCGAAATTTGCGCTTGAGGGCCAAGCGGTGGCATGAAGACTCCAACCGCGCCGTAGAAGACGACCAGGAGGAAGGCCAAATCACGATTGCTGTTGCAAGAAGGCGACGTGAGGGCGCTGATACCGAGCCCAGTTGGATTCACAGGGTCAAAGTCGCTTACCGGAAAACGTCGAGGTTCTTGAAGATGAGGAGGTCGTTGCGGAAGTAGTGGTTGTCGAGATCGTGGCGTGTCGCAACCACCCTGCGACGTCGAACAGTCGGCTCCAGCGTCGGATCTAGAGATGCGCCATATTGGGGCGAGCTACTCGCCTGGGGTGGCTGACCCTGCTTCTTTGGCGAGTGGCCCGCCCGGGATGCCGAGAAAGCGGGAGCTGCTTCGAACTCCGACTCCGACCCTGTGGACGCGTGGTCCGTCAAGTCTGGTGTGGACGGCTCCGTGATTGGGCCATCAGCTACATGGGGTGACACAGCTGGTAACATCGATACTGCTGGCCCAGAGATCGGCGCTTGAGCTGTTCGGGCGGCCAAAGGTTTGCGCTGACCATATGTTCGCTCAATGTCTGTGCATGCGCAAGCTCGTTCGTTAGACGGGCACCGAGCTTGCGTCTGGATTTTTGCTGCGCAAGTTGAAAGCTCACGAGGATTCTCAAAGTACACCAGAAACCCGAATTGACAGGCGTGCGCCAGTATCGAAACAACCAAGACTGTTGGCGAGGCCACCAGTAGCGACAAGCCATAGTAACCCGCATAGCCCACCGAGTACATCGGGTGCGGAGCGAACTGTGGAGTAAGTACATGGTCAAGCCAGCGGTCTTCCACAATCCAGGCCGAGCACGGAGTTCCCGGGGCACATGCAGAGACTTACTTCGAATACACCATCAAAGACCAATTCTTGCAGGCTCAAAAAAAAGGCGTCGCCCCAGTACCAGCTGCGTCGTGCAGTGCTGCAGTCAGAGTTCCGACGGGCATCGAACTCGATAAGGACGTCGCATCGGATGAGACTTACGCATAATCCTTGACAATCCGATGCGCATCGACTTTGACCCAAAGGTTGAACAAGATGAGCGTCACGCCGCCGATCCAACGCAGCACATGGAAGGCGGTCGAATGACCGGGCGGGGTTTGCAGGAATGACAGGGCGAAAAAGAAATACGATAGGAAGTCGTTGAGGAGGATAACGTCGACAAAGTGTCGGAACATGATCCAGACCTGCACATCATGACGTGGCGAGATGAGTACCGGCTACGATCACTGGCGAAAGCGCTTGAAGTCAGTGCATGGCACTCACGTTGAACTCGATCGGTACCGCCTAGTGCGTGGCGCAGGCAGAGAAGAGGGAGCACACCAAACGTGAGCAAGACAGCTCCAAACCATCAAGCATCGGAGTGCCGTCAGAAGAAGCATGCGCCGTGATGGGCGCAGATGGACGACGGCGACATTCCGAAGCGCGACTCACGTCGAAAGCATAATCCGCGCCCATCTTGGCCTTGAGCTCGCTGGTGACCCACCGATGCACGCGCGGTCTACGAGATGGATCCATCCAACCTTGTCTGACCACTGTGCGCACGATCCACCTGTGTTCGCTCTGCCGCTTGAGTACGACGCCGAGCCCGCAGTCGTACGCGAGCCTCCACAATGCGAAATAGCCAAGGAAGAAATAGCGCGATCTCGCGAGCGGTAGCGACAAGAATAGCACCACTTGTGCGGCGAGTAGAAACAAGGTGAGCAGGTCGATGTGCTGCAAACGAGCAAGACGAGACGAGAGGACGGAGAAGACGGGCGCGATTGAGCAATAGAGGGACAGAGGGACAGAGGGATAGAGGGATAGTCCGGCAAAGCGATGACGGTGCATGTGACACATGTCGACGTCAGAATCGGTTAGTGCATGTTTCATCAATTGCAAGACGGAGGCGCGCTTGGAGTCTGGATCCTCAACTCAACTGATTTGGGCAGCCTGGGGTCGAACAAGGACGACAGCATATCGTGTGTCTGAGGAATACAGAACACTGGTGGCCGTCGCCAATCGACGAAGCCGTGGGCACAGATCGTGGGGTATGGTCAGCACTGATGTGTGGTGTGCGGCTGCTGCCACGTCACGACCGGCGTGAGCCGACCCGACCGGTCGTCTCCATGCGCGACGCCATGCGAGATGCGTGACATGTGATAGATGCACGACGCCGTTGGGCTGACCCGCGACGAGCTGAGCACGCAGTACATCGCTCGCATCACTGACTGACCTTTGCCATCCGGGGTTTTGCCTAGTGGAGCGTGCGACTTGTCCGAGTCCGACGACTGGGTTGGGTTCACGGTTGCTTGCGATGGCTGTACAGTTTTTGGCGTGGTCGTGGTCGTGGCCGTGGGCGCATCGTCGGCCGTACCGCCAAGCGCTCGTCGCCTCAGCCCAAACGGGTCTTGTTCGTGATCACGGCTCATAGCGAAGCCTATCCTCTGAGATCTCTCCTGTACGCGCACGCAGGTGAAGTTGACGGGAGGGAAGGGGGGGAGAGGCAAGTCTATGCTACGTGCGAACTTAGGTCGGGCGAGCAGGTGCCAGGTTGAAGCAGGTTGAAGCCTGTTGAAGCTGTGGTTGAGGACCCGGGCACCTCGGGCAGACAAAAGAAGGGACGATCTTAATCGCGCCGCGCAGCGGCGAAAAAAGCCGATCGGATACGGGTGGGCCGCCCCCTGGGGGTGGCGCGCATGCGCTTAGAGTGAAGTAAGGCGAGAGAAATGCCTGTTCGCTTCTGCACCTTATTCGTTTCGCTCGAACGGCAGTGCTCATTGCCTCTACACTCGCGAAACTTTTCAACCCTGTCAGTACCGGCAATGACGACTGCTTCGACCTCAACCAACGACCACGCCGCGACGGCCCCGCAATTGCCCCCGATGCAACTCTCCGGCGCCCTAGACACGACGGCGTGTACCACTTACGATGGCGCTTTGTTCCGATGTCGTGTCTGTCACGACACCAACAAGTCAAGATGAGTCTGAACTATGGTGTGGGTCTCAAGGCGCGGTAGGAGGCGGGTCTGGTCTTCGACGGTTGCCTGCCGCGCACGCATTGGCAGGACGCGCGCTGTTCCTATGTGCTCCTTATCAATGGTCGCCCCGATGACGGCCTCGACTATCGTCCGAGGCGCACAGTTGCCTTCGGAGATGTTTGACCGCCACTCGGAGTCCGTTGCGATGCGGACCTGTGACTCGAACTGGTACATCATGCGGAAATACGACTTGATGGTTCGTTCTTTGTGGTGGTCGGGATTCAAGGTCTCGAAGATAAAGGGTGTCGGACCTCTCGACCAGTCAGTCGATCATGGCTCACGCGCTCGTCTCGGCTGCCCTCAACGTGCCCTCGAAGTGGGCTGAGCTCGCGGCCGAGCAACAGTCATCGTAGGCCCGGGCGATGGAGCGCCCGGTGGACGATCTCATCCAGGCGCGTGGCCGCATTCAAGCCATGGAGGCCGCAACGCTGGGGGACGAGGATTGGAAGCCGATTCTTCCTCTCCTCAAACCTGTAGTGGTGCGCCTGCAGCGGTAGTCGTAACTTCGGTGGTTCCGCTCAGCGCTGCGGCTGCCGCGAGCGGCAGCCTGCACCAGCGTTCGTGAACACGCGTGTTCTTTCTGTAAAGGCCAGCACGAGGCTTATACCCACGTCGGGTCCGCATGACCCAGTTGGCGCGTCTGTATCACCATCCTTTCCCTCTTCTCGTGTCGTGCCGTCACTTCCGCCTCATGTCCGCGTACGTGTAGATGCCTGGTCCCGACGGGCCCTGTGCCCCTTTCTGAGGTCGTTACCTCTCAGGCATCGCGTCGCGTGCCTCCGTTCTCTGGTTCAGGGGTCGAATCCCCCGCCGTTCGCGCCTCCTCACGTCCGCACCCGCTAACCGCTGCTCCGGCGGACTCCGAGCATCACCGAACTGCCCATCCACGGGGTGGGCAGGGCTCCACTCGAACCTGTCGTGGCCGGCAGCAAAGGAGTGTGTTTTGAGTCCCTGACTCGCGAGTCAGTGACACGTCTTTCTCGACTCCGTCTCCGATTCTCGCTCCCGCTCGCCTCGAGTTTCCCGAACGATTCGAACCGCTTCTGCGGCCCTTTGTGAGGTCGTTACCTCTCAGGCATCGCGTCGTGTGCCTCCGTTCTCTCGTTCAGGGGTCGAATTCCCGCCGTTCGCGCTTCCTCACGTCCGCACCCGCTAACCGCTGCTCCGGCGGACTCTCCGAGCATCACCGAACTGCCCATCCACGGGGTGGGCAGGGCTCCACTCGAACCCGTCTTTCTCGACTCCGTCTCCGATTCTCGCTCCCGGCTCGCCTCGAATTTGGCCCTCACCGCACGGTAAATACTCGTTTCCCGAACGATTCGAACCGCTTCTGCGGCCCTTTGTGAGGTCGTTACCTCTCGGGCATCGCCTCGCGTGCCTCCGTTCTCTCGTTCAGGGGTCGAGTCCCCCGCCGTTCGCGCTTCCTCACGTCCGCGTACGTGTAGATGCCCGGTCCCGACGGACCTGCTGGGTGTTGCCCCTTCCTGCGCAGCCGAGGGCTGACGTGCTGGATTTGTATTTCCAGACCCGCTAACCGAAAGGAGACGTCCCGTTCGTGTCTTCAATGCCCGCGCCGGGCTCGTCGCCAGCGCCCGAAACTTCCGCTCGCATGCGAATCATGGCTCGCGAAGTCGACTCGTTCCATGATGCGATGTACAAGATTGTTACGCCGCTCGATGCTGGTGCGTCCGAAGCCAAAATTAAGGCACTCGCAAAGGTCGCGCACGTCGCGCCGTACCTGGCCGCTATACCGAAGCAGATTCGAGAGGGCTTTGATCTCGGCATCAAGGACCCTCCGTCGGAGCGTCACATCGCGAAGAACGCACCGCTCAGTGAGGAGCAACAACTGGTCATGGACGGCGAGATGGAGCGCATGTTCGATCTCGGGTACATCGCGGGCCCGTACGACAAGGACGAGCTCGAGGCCGCGATCGGTCCTTTCCGCACGAATCCGATCAGCTATGTGCCGAAGTCAGTAGCGCCCGGGTCTTACCCGAAGGCGAAACCGATCGTTCGAACCACAGACCCTGACGAAGCGAATCATCCGTCGACGAGCGGGCATGGACCGTCGCAACGGAATGCTTCGTCTAGCCGTCCGAAACTCGTTTCCATTAATGACGACCTGAAATCTGCGGATTTCCCTTGCCGTTGGACGACCTTGCCCATGTTGTACCGCAAGTTTCGCCAGCTTCCCTTGACGGCGGAAGTCTGCGGTTGGGATTTCGCCGATGCGTTCTACCAGCTCCCTTTGCGATGGGACCAGCGATCGAGCATGTGCATCTTGTGGCGCGGCCTCATCTTCGTACGACGAGTCCCATGCTTCGGTGGCAGGACTACTCCCGGTGTCTTTGGGAACGTTGCGGACCTGACCCAAGACTTGGTCGAATGGAAGTTCCCCGGCGTGTCAATCTTCAAGATGGTTGACGATGTTTGCGCGGTCCGAACGTCGGATGCCATATCGCAAGAAGCCATTCTTCATTTCGTACGATCCCTCGGCTGGCGCCTCGCGGAGCAGAAAGGATTCACGTGGACGCAAGCGGATGCGCTACATCGACGCCTTGGTGAAAGGTAGCTGCGCCGATCAGAAGGAACGCTCGGAGGTCGAGTCGGTCACTGGGTCGTTGGGGTATGTCGCCTACATCCTACCTGCATTACGGACCCATCTCAACTGTCTATACAGACAGTGTATCGCGCACGGGGACCGGAAGGCGGTATCGCGGGCGCGTCGCCTGGACCGTCGCACGTACGATCAACTCGAATACTGGAGAAGGTCCCTCTCGTCGGAAGGCCCATTCTCCACGTCGTTCGAGGCCCTCCCGATCCCATCGAAGCTTGCGCTAGCGCGGGATGCCTGTATGCACGGACTAGGCATCGTCATCAACGGATACTCCGCGTACTTCGCTCTCCCCGAGGGGTGGACGGATCTGCACCGCCTCGACACTCGGTCTCGATCACGAACGCAGAGGCGTGGGCGGTCGAGGCGCTGGCCGAGGCTGCGTTACGAATGTCTAAAGACGATAGACATTTTGTTCTACAATGCGACAACACCGGGGTTGTGCTTGGATGGAGGAAAGGGCATTCGATGAATCCCTTGTTGAACTCGTCGCTTTCAAACCTGCGCAGCCTTGAGGAAACTCGAGGTGTGAAGTGGTCGATTTAATACATCAACACGAAGGTGAACCCCGCGGACGTCGTGTCCCGGCAGCCAGACCGCCCGCGGTAGTACGAACCGTTCCCGTTCATGATCGCGCACCCACTGTCGAAGTTTCCGGCGGGGCGCGAGTTGCTGCTGGCGGCGGGAGAGCCCCTGTGGGCGATAGGCTGAGATATCTGACTTCCTTCGTGGAAGGTGGAGCCTCGTTCGTACGGAGTTGCGTATCCCTGTGTCTGCGAGGTCGTGTACCTTTGCTTGTTTGTGAGGTCGAACCCTTTTGCGTCCTGTTTTGTCAATGTCACGCTATCATGACTCAGAGCCGCGCTCTTATGCCTCGGTTGCGGCTGTGCGGTTATCCGGTCCTATCCCGTCTCCGCCGCGAGAGAATCGCCGTGAGCGTAGGCGCGTGCTTGGCACGTTCGGCCTCCCCCCACACTTTGTCAGACGAGGGGGTCGCACGCCGTCTGGAAAATACAGATGTCTTTCGAGGATTCACGAGCTGCGTCGAGGCTTCGTCAACGAGCCGTTCCGTACCCGACGATGGCCGTTAGGGAGCGCGCGTTCAAGTCTGGAAGAGCGCTCACCGGTCGGGCCGACGCATCGAGTTCGGCGCTGCGCGATGGAGCACCGGCTGCGGCGCCACCTCCGATTGTGAAACTAGATTGTAGTCCAGGGACTTGTTTGGGATTCACGTCGACGTCGAACCCAAGATTGCCGATGTTGCGCAGTTCCCATTCGGGGGACATCGTCGTTTACCTACCTGAGGCAGACGGGAACGAGATGGCCCCGATGGCTTCATCCACGAATTGCACGCCGGAGGAGCGGCTGTGCGCCGCGTTCGATTCCCCGCACATCCTGACGTCGTCAGGCGATTTCTCACTCGGATCGCGTTGTCGGGAAATGGTGTCGGAGCCTATAGCGTCAGTCACTTCCGCCGATTCCGTACCGCCCTAGAATTTTGGCACACGACGCATGGGCTGCGTATGAACTATGATCCGAAGATGTGGACGATGCAACTGGCTGCGGCTGCGGCCACAGCTCCAGGCCCCAAACCGATTGGCGGCGACTTTGGACGACCTCAGGTGCTTGGCCGCGGGGATCGATAAGTGCAGTCCGTTCGATACGGCCGTGTTTGCTGCAGCGTGTGCGGCGTTCTTCGCGATGGCGAGATTGGGCGAGTTTACGGCGGGTTCGGCGGACAAAGAGTTCATAGCCGAGCGGCATCTAGCGGTGGCCAATGCACGCCGGATCGATGCGACGAGCGAAGCTCCTCTCCGATGCGAGTTGGACCTCCCGTTCGACAAGGTGCGCCGGCGTGTCGGCCGCACGCTGGTAGTCTCGGCGCGAGACGGCGAGCCCTTCTGCCCGGTCGGTGGCATCGATAACCATTTCCGCCTAAACGACCCTCCACCAGGGCGGTTGTTCTCATATCGGGCGCGCGAGGGAGGTCATCGACAGCTGACCTCCTCGGCGTTCTCGCGACGAATCAGAGACATTCTCGAGGCGAGCGGAAGGGCGCCCTTGAATAACCACTACTTTAGGTCCGGTGGGGCCACGTTTTACCTTCGAGAAGGTGTACACACGGATCACATCCGAAACCTTGGCCGTTGGTCATCGAATGCCTTTGACAGGTATTGGCGGCGGCACAAGGAGATTGCGATCCAAGTGCTGAGCAAGGCTGGCAAGCTTGCATTCGATTCGGTTAGAGCCCGAATGCGTTGTAACGTAGGCATCTTTCGCTGTGTTTCTTTGGTTGTGAATGTGGGGGGCGTGACCTGTGGTACGCGTCCGGCGCCAGGGCGCCTGTCCGAACCCCCGGCGTGACCTGTGGTACGCATCCGGCGCCAGGGCGCCTGTCCGAACCGAGGGCTCGGGAATTGGGGTGTACGCATCATCCCAGGGTCTCGTCCAGGAAGATTAATCATCTTCCTCATCCCAACACAACCAAACAAACCGAAAGATACACAAGGAAGGTCGCAATTCCCTTCCCGCGCTCGAGAACCCCATTGGCATCCGATCGAGACATCGGAGGGGAAAAGCGCGGCATCCTGGGCCGGGAGCAACGTTGCTCCCGACGGGAGCAAGTTCGGCGCGGCAGAAGCCGACACGTCCTGTTCAAGTCCGTTTCGACTACAACAGTTGACCCGCCTGCTGTAGAAGGCTGTATGCAATTTCTGACGGGAGAATAAGATTACATCTTGACATTGTAATATCAACAGAAACGAACGATCTACTTTCAATGTTGACCATTTTTGGACGACGAGTCGCTGTACGTACTACGAGCAGGCTCGCTCGAGCTCAAGCTCAAGCTCAAGCCTGCTCAAGCTGGAGGTCGGTCGAGCACGTGATCCGTCGCTGATAGCGCGTCGCTGTCGTCGCCTCTGCAGCTCTTCGCTCCTCTGCTGCTGCTCACATCGCACGCACGCATCGACCTCGACAACTCGTTCTGCGCGGCACACTCTCTACGAAAAGGTCCAGCCTTCTTGAAATGGACTACCTCGCGTCTACTCGAAGGCTCTGAAACAGAACGTTGGCCACTCGGCTCCATAAGTTCGTGCCGCCGGACGAACTCCGACGCGTCTCAAGCCTGCATCAGGCTCATCAACGCGGGCATGAAGTCAGTCACGTCGTCCGCCAGGTCACAGACTGGGATTGGAGTTACAGCCCCTCAACTCCGTCGTGTCACGTCTTGTTCTTCAGCAGATATGCTCTCTAGCGATGCCCATCGCGACGCCAGCTGTCACTCGCTGACGTACTCTGGGCTTTCCCTTATTAGCCTGTTGAACGGGAGGCACTGCGATGCCCTACAATTCAACGGCGTAGATGGAGCGGACTTGAAGAGGTCTGACATCAATGTTGTGTAGGTGTAGTGATGACGTGACGTCAGTCTTCCCCATTCGTCGTCGTACAATCGTCCCAGACTTCGAGATCAGGCATTCATAATCTCCAACAGTCCTCACGGTCCTTAGCTCAGGTCTCATCTGATTGGGGTACCACTGTGAACACTGAGCATGCCTGTATGAAAAGTTATCATGGGTTACGTCTTTTTATCTCACTTCGACCTCGCTTCTCCAACCAAAACTTGCGGAACATTCTTTATCAACTGCGAAATCGAGCTCGGCGGCAAGGTCCGATATCCGACAAGCTAGTGCTGAGACTACTCCCATCGACTCGGCCTTCTTGACTTACGTAGTGCATTGCTTGCTTCCTTAGATCTACCGACCACCTGTGGTTCCCCCAATAAGTGATATGGTGATGGCGTAAGCAGTAGTCTGTAATAGTACAGTCACTAGTGCAGCCAAATTTGGCGAACAGGAGTAAATCGTCCTCACGTGACCCAAGCGAGATTGCCGTCGGCGTCTGCCGATGTGAGCACACAAGCAGAGGTGCTTCATCCTCGGAGCTTGTGGAAGTGCTTCATACTCGGAGCTTGTGGAACTACTAATAAGACAGTTCCGTTACTCGCTCCCCATGACTGCACATCGGCCCGTTCGTGCGAGATGCGAAATGATTCTACATGAAAGACTTGACCAACAAGTACTAGTGCTGACCAGTAATGCGCGCCGCCGAATCGGTCCGGCATTCAATGCTTTGACTTGCATCTGAAAGGTCCGTTTTTGGACTGAGGGTAGGAGATACCTGAAATACTTTTCAATAAGCGAATGGCAAATTTTGAACATAGCGCGGGCTTCGTAGCATGGGGGAAGTTTTGAGCAGGAAAAGTCTCAGTCGGAGAACAGCCAACGTGCATGATCGCTTTCCGAATGCATCGCTCGGCACCTCGGATGTACACGTCAAACTTGCCGATCGAACAGACATCGATGTAGGGTGGATAATCGTGGAATGGGTGACATTGAGGAGAGGAAGGTAATCTGACACGGACAGGAACAGCGGTTTGGGGTGCAAAAGTCACTCGACGCTCGGCGTCTGCAAGCTGAGGCCCCGAGTGGGACATAGTCTTCCAGGGTGGCCCTCGCACATGCATCTGGAGTCGCGAATCAACCTTGGCTCACGACATGGAATGTATTGTTCCTATCGACCAGACCTACTCACCGATTTTGACGAGGTGCAAGCTTCTGATACTTGAGCAGGTGCCTGCGCTTTGGATGAAAAGTCACTCGGCACCAGTAAGGGAACCTCCAAGCCATGTTGGTCGGAAAAGGCGCTTGCACATACATCCGAAGTTTGCGGTTCGACCCTGTCCGATGGCAAGAGATGTATTGATTATGTTAACCGAATTCACTCACCGATTTTGACGAGATTTCTGTATCGGACATTCGAGCAGTTACGTGCGCTTTGAATGCAAAAGCCACTCGGCGCCAGCCAGGGGAACCGCCGAGCTTTCTGATTTGGGCAAGGCGCTCAATCATGCATCCGAACTTTGCAATTGGACCCTATCCGATGGCAAGAGATGAAAACTAAATGTTGAACTAGTCCACTCACGAGTTTTGACCAGGGTTCCGTTTGATGTACAAGGGCAGGATTAAGGCCTTTGAGTCCAAAGGTCACTCGGCGCCAGTAGGGAGAGGCCTCGACCGACCTTTCTTCTTAAGTATCTGGCATATATCTCTGACATTTGAGGATGGACCGGCCTAACGGCCGGAGAAGTACATTCGATAGTTGACGGCCATCTTCATCAGTTTCAAAGATGGTGAAGTTGCAAATGTTCTGACTTTTGGTGGCGGTTTGGTGGAGTAGGTGCTCGGCTTCAGTGAGGAAGGTGGCTACTTGTGAGGGGGGCAATTCGAAAACCTTCATGAAAGGCTTGTCAGGCGGCGGCAATGGGACTCAGAGCATACGCAAACTACCCTTTTGCATTTTGCGAACTCTCACGAGAGTCGACATCATGTTGTATGAGCGGTAGACAAGGAGTCGAGTCAACAGCCAAGACGAGAAGAAGCCGGCCAAAACGAGAAGAATGCGCCTCGAAAGTGGAGAAACGCAGTCAACGAGACTCTCGGATTCTACGGGTTGCTTTTTACGTTTTCAAAAGCTCTGCCGGTATTGAAATGACGCGCGGCGGCATTATGTGCTCCTAATCACAGGGGCTATACTCATGCGCGGCGATCGAGGTTCAATTGTCGGGGCTCAGGATTAGTCTGTCACTACAAAGATCTGTTCGGCGCCTATCTCAACACTTTCAAGACAGCATCACTATACTTGCAGCTTAGACCGAGTTCCGTCAAATGGAGAAATTATATATCCGCTGATGTCAGCATGTCATCATTGGGCTGTTTGTTGTCGGAGGCAGGCTGGGCTTTATTCATCGCGCACTTGGCAGAGGGCAGAGCATGTCAAGGGAACTCGATGCAGGCACGTGATGACTCGAATTTGACTGTTACAACTGCGGCCGCAAGGAGCAAAGCACATCCCCTGTCTTTCAATTACCGCCAGGGCATAGCCCAAGAGACCCCGAGCACGATCGGGCTGGCCAGTGGCCTGATTGAGATGTGGGGCCGGCTGGCCCTGGCCGCACGGCAGCGAAATGTCCCATACTTGGCGAGTAATCAAATCGAGGCAGTATGTACGGTCTATGATCGTATCAAAACGAGTGATCACATCACTCCTCACCCTGCAGCTCGAGCCTCACTCGGTCAGTGGGTGCTGTGACCGTCACGGTTGCAGCGAAGGCTGCGGCGCGAGGAGGGCGAGCTTCACCGGATCGACTTGGAGTCCCTTCCTTCCTGCACGCGAGGATCATAGCATCCACATGATGTTTCTATTCTTCTCCAAAATATTTCGGAGGTTGAGAACGTCGGTTCTGTTTAAAGTCGATGCGCCAAGGACCAAGCATGCTTGAGTCGTTGCCGCGAAGTTGGGTGTGTCGCGAGTGACAGTGAGCTCGCCCCGTTTAGATCGAATCGCTCTCCTTCTCTTGGGCCGAGATTTGTACATTCACCACCGAATTGCACATATGCTTCAAATTCACATCATCGTAGGCGAGGTGAGTCTCTCGGCGCGATTCGGGCAAGGTGGAGTTGAGCAGGGCCGAGTCTACAGACGACCCCAGTGACCAGTCCTTCGGGTAACGAGGCGACTGCAAGTGTGAGGCTGTGAGCTGTGGCGCAACTCAGGACAAGCGGAGACGAGCGAGGACAAGTTGAGATGCACGATGGGTGGACAGGCTTTGGCAAGTTGTATCACGACGCAGTATAGGCACCGGGCAGACGTGCAGAGCTGGCGGTCTTCGGGGTCGCGTGTGTCCATCGCAAGTCACGTGCTTCGGATTCACAGGCTCATGATCAGCGCGTCAGTGTGCCAAGCTTGTGCCGTAGGCTAGCCAATGAAAGAACATGAACATTTTCCTTGCTTAGTGTCGTAAATTGGAGAATTGACAGTGTCATCCAGACTGCCGAAGCTGATGTCACTACCACACTCGGGTCAGTGTAGTTGATCTGACGGACTTGGAGAGACTTGAGTCCATGGAGTGGGCCAAACTTGCTCCCGGCCCAGGATGCCGATCCGATCGGCTTTTTTCGCCGCTGCGCGGCGCGATTAAGATCGTCCCTTCTTTTGTCTGCCCGAGGTGGACCCGGGAGAGCTCAGCGCGAGTCAGCGCGTCTCGGGAAACGGCGATTTCAGGCCGAGTCATACATCAGGATAAGCTCGTACATTGGAAGACTTCCGAAAAAATGAGAGATTCAATGCAAAGATCGCTCTACAGAAATGTGAAAATCGCTCCGACGACCCGGTACTAACGTTGCGTCACGGCGTCACATAAAACTTAAACGGCCGGCCGCTCGGACCGGCCCGACCGCTTGTCGTTGACTACCTTCGTCTGCGTTTCCCAGTTGCCAACATGCGCATTTCCCTTCCGAATCGGCGCCAAGGACGCTGCAAGGGCTCCATTGAGCCCGGCGGCTGTTCCGATTGGTGAAGAGTCCGGAACTGGTTTGCGTAAGAAAGAGCAGGCTCCCGAATCACGATGTTCGAGACGAGTCCGAGGGATTCGGTGCTCCCAACTCTGCAGTGAGGAATTGCTGGTGACGGCTTCGTGCAAGTATAGCGCACTGTGGTGCATACAGATACCGTGACGAGAAATCTCTCTCAAGTGCAGTGATGGGGTCCGAAATGCAACGAGCAAGGCGCTTTCGGGACTCACCACTGTATCCGAGGGCAAGTCCTTCTCCGTTGCGGCTCTGGATGTCAAATTCATCACAGCTTTGTGTGTGATGTAGTGTAAAGACAACCAAGAAACCTATACTCGACGCACCTCGGGCAGACATAAAAAGTACGCCTCAACACGCGCGCGCGCAGCGCCCTCCCACGCGCCTTCCAAGCCACAATCCCGGCGGGTTGCAACCTTGCTACATCAGCAAACCGGGCACGCGCGAGACCCTCGCTTAAGGATTCGCAGGGTTGTTAACGACGTCGTCCCGCTTAATGCGAGCATTCGCAGCGGGGTTAACGGCTTCCTCCCGCTTAAACATCAGCAACTTTACCACTTCCCGGTCCGCGGCTAAATCTGTCTAAATGACTTTACCGCTCACAAAATGACCGGATCGTCTCAATTGTTGAATTGCATTCTGTCAAGCGTTCGAACACTTCGACATCGGGCCGCCGTTTGACGGGCTTGTCCGCCTTTCGCCTCGCGCCTTCGCCTCGGCGCCTTGCCTCCGCGCGCCTTCGCCTCAGCGAGCCTCCGCCGCGCCAGGACCCCCGAAAGCCCAGCTAGAGGCGGCCCGCGAATTTGGACATTCTGGGGACCGGAAAATTGGCTAGGCAGCCCGCAAATTTGGACATTTTTGGCTCAAAATGGGTCGAGGCTCACCTTAATTTTGGACATTTTCCTCCCTTCGGTCGAACTCTGAAGCGCAGACCAGGCTAGCGGGAGGCTGGAGGCGCAGCGCATATATAGCCGGCCCAGCTTCGCGGCGCGGGTAACAGTCGCGCTGTTTTCGTTTGGAGCGCGTTATATTAGTACTAAGTGTCTGCATATGCGATCATTTATCATTTTTTGGTCGTCTCTCGCTCGGAACGCCGACTTGTCGAGCTACGTCTCCTCTTCTTCCTTTCGATCTGGAAGCTCTCTCGCTGCCGCCGATTGTCGTCGGATGCTTTGGAAGCGATCACCGAAACGGCACTCGAGGAGCTCCGGGCGTCAATTTAGGAGTCCAGGGTCGCCTTGCGTCTCGGTAAATCACCCAAGGGGGTTTTAGTGGGTATGATTCTGATTCAGGGTCAATGAGTCCTACACTACTGGCCTAGCCAGTGTGCTTAATTGCATTTCCTCCGACTTTTCCAAAGACCATCACATGAATACAAAGATGAGATCCTATTGAAGTCCATTTCATTTTGAAAAGGCTCGTTGGCGGTCGCGCGGGCGACGCTCTTGGTGCGCGCGCGGGCGGGAACGCAGTCTGCGCGCACCGCAGAAAAAGTTCTGAGCATTGTACAGCTTGTAGAGTAGCTTTGAGAAATTATACAACACTAGGCGGCCCTCATATTTGGACATTTTCAGTCAGAATCTGGAAAAAAATTGGACATTTTGCCTCAAAAAAGGCCGTTTTTAGACGGCCGCCTATGGCTGGGCTTTCGGGGGTCCTGCCGCGCCCCCTGTCCCTCAGAGCCTCGCCGCATGACACTTACACCCAGCCTCGTTCCTCGACCCATGTGCACCGTTCATCAACCCGTCCACATCCTGGTCCGTCCATCGAGCCCGCACCGCGTCCGTCGTGTCAGACCACGCCTGTGCCGCTTCACCACTTCGCCTATCTGCGCCCGCCTTCGCACGCTGCCGACTTTCCTGATTCCGCAGCCTTGCCAACGCACGGCTCCAATGGCCCCCTGTTCTTTGTCCGAGCGCTCTTGTCAATGCCCTCGCACCCTTCATCATTCGTCCGGCCGTCACCTGCTGAGCATGCACGTCACCGCCCGTTTTTCGTCTCGGCGCCTTCGCCTTCGCCGCCAAGCCGCCGCCCCCCCTGTTCGCCGCCATCCGCGCCAGCCTGTTCAACTCACGCTCGCGCGCCGCCGCCTCCCACGCCGGAACTTTGTCGATCTACCTCTCCTGTCCTTACCGAGCCGTTGCCTCCGCCTAGACACCGTCAGCTTGCCATCACCGCCCTCATGTTTCATCGGCCATCCAGAGCATCGCCCATGCATGACGCCCGTAGTTCGCAACCTTTGGACCTGTCGCTCAGGACTGCCCCGCTCGCCAACACTCGACCATGGTAGATAAGTTTCCCTTCGGAATTAGGTTAATCGCGCGAATAGCAGGGCACTTTGGTCCCGAGGATGGCGACTTTGGGATCACATCGGAGCGGACTTTGGGATCACATCGGTGCGGACTTTGGGATCACATCCGAGGTCATTCTTGTACCACGTTCACGGGGACTTTGGTACCACATAGTGTAGACGCCTGTATCTATTGCAATGTGTGATATATCACTCTGGGAACAGTAGTTTGATGCATGTACAGGTCTATAGTACTTCTGGTCGGTGAGACAAAGCGGACAATGCAGTAGTTGCTACATCGGGATTCTGCCCATGCTTGGCCGCTCCGCGCCCGTGGTGTCAGCGGTCCGGCGCCCGAACCGCCAAGGCCGACACTCCCGAACGTGATTGCGCCGATTAGACGAGAATTGGCACCGGTCCCTCGCTTCTCTCATCCATGAAGAACAGTTCATAGAGATCGAGCGAAGATACAGATTCTAATAAGTCACGCTTCGACATGGGCGGACTTTTGCTTGTATGATCATTGCAGTTGAACGATTATTTCAAACGTCCCCGGTCTCTTTTGCAGGCCCCCGAGCAACGACGGCCATCCGCAGAACCTCCACAACAGGCCGACCTTCGCGGGTTGACTCCAAGCTTCTAGAAGAGTGATGGGCAGTTCTGGACGTCATCAGATCCCCACTGCCACGTCCGACGGATGTTGATGATGAGGAGACGAGCGCGCGTTACCGTAAGGTCGCTCGACGACACCAAGACAACATTCATATTTGCGTGGAGCCCAGTCATGCGTCTGTTTATATATCTCACCAATAAGAGTTAGGTCGATCACAGGACGAAACAAAACGCAGCGCAGCACGCAGCTTCGACACACCTCTTTAGCTATGAACCTTGGGAGCTCCAGCTGAGGACAGGAAGGTTGCTTACTTCTTACGAGGAACGATCGGCCTGAGACGGAGCTCGTTGTGCTCTGCAGTGGTGAAGATTGTGTTTGAGAAAAATGCCTCCGCGCGTCGTGTTCGACAGTTCGTCGGTCTGCGTTCCGCCGAGAGAGCTCGCAGGTATGCCGGTCCATTGAATCTTCTTGTCTTTCCGAGCCAGGAATGGTGCGGAGACGACGTTGTCAGGTAATACCTCCTCTGAGCTGTCTTCTTCGACTCCGTAGTATGAATCGCTTGTCGAATCCTCTTCGGAGTCGCTGGAACAGTTCTTGCAAAAGTTCGAAAGCCCCGAGGCTGAGGAGGTGCCATGCGAGACGTCGAGGACTTGGGGGGAACCGCGACCAAAGCTGCCAAGAGTTTCGAATCGTCCTCATCCTCATATGAATCCGGTTTATCATCCGATAGGTATGGCTCTGGCGAGCTATGTTTTCGCAGCGCAATGGGTGAGCGGTCCCCTCTGTATTTGACTCGCAGTTGGTTCATCGCTTAAGTTGTTGACATGAGCGTACTTGGCGTCGTCTAGAAGGTACCCCATCCAGGCGTTGTTGTGCTCAAAATGGACGAACTATCCGCTCAACAAGGAAGGAAAGGAGTGCTTTGTGTGAGGATTGTATGTGTACGAGTGGGCGAGTGGGGTGTAAAGACGCGGAGCGTACGAAGCTTCATTTATTTTTATTTTTATTTTTAAAGATGCTCGTTTCAGCGGCATTCGTGAGCTTGCCGGTTTCTAATAAGGGTTCTAACGAGTGACAAGGCATAGGGAAAAAAGGGTTTGCTCCACCCTACGATGTTTGTTGCATGCTACGCTTGCTGCCTCGTCACTGCCAGACGTTGGCAGTCCGACAGTCGTCCGGGTTGCAGTGTGAGGACCCGGGATCGCTGACACCACGGCCGGGCGCCGGAGCGGCCAAGCAGGCCGGGGAAGAGCCCCGATGTAGCAACTACTGCATTGTCCGCCTCGTCTCACCGGCCAGAAGTACTATAGACCTGTCCATGCATCAAACTACTGTTCCCAGAGTGACACATCACACATTGCAATAGATACAGGCGTCTACACTATGTGGTACCAAAGTCCCCGTGAACGTGGTACAAGAATGACCTCGGATGTGATCCCAAAGTCCGCACCGATGTGATCCCAAAGTCGCCTCCGATGTGGGACCAGAGTCGCCTTCGACGTGGGCCCAAAAGCCGACCTTATGTGAGCCCAGAGTGACGAGCGATTAGAGCGGTTATGTGTGCGTGCGTTTCCCTTCGTGTTCGCTGTCCAACACAGCCCCTCTCAGAGCCCCGATAGCCCGCTTGGAGTTCGGTTCTTGTAGCTTTGCATTGTGCCTGCCCAGTTCGCCTTAGATCCTCTGCGAGGACCCCCGAAAGCCCAGCCAGAGGCGCATGTGGAAAAACGCCCTTTTTTGGCCTTTTTGTCAAAGTTTTTTATCCTATTTTGGCCCCAAAATGTCAAAATTTCACATGCGCCTCGGAAATATTACCAAAATGTGTTCTCCATGCTCCAAAAATCGCTCAAAAGTCCTCGAAAACGCGTTCCGAGCGTTTGCGGGCGCGCGGCGGCCGATCGAAAGTGGCTTGCGGCGCGCGTCGCTTCGGCTGGTGTCGCGCGTGGCTCCAGGCATCAAGAGGGCCTTCCTTGCTTTACTGGCGGGCTCGCTACTTCGTTGTCAGACTTCCGTTTTCCTGAACTTGAGCTCTTTGTATCCGCGGTGGCAGTTATGCGGCTTGTAGAGGTTCTACCGGCGGTGTCTCGCGGCCCGGGCACGCTCCGAAGGGCGGCAATCTTTGCTCCGCATGTACGCACGTGCTGATTATGCGCTCGTCGGGGTAACATGAGGTAAGGTCCTTGGTGGGACAATATGTAGTCGTTGGAGGGCCTAATGACTCGATGACCTGTCGACCATCAATCATGCGAAACGGCATGGTGCCATCAATGAGGTGAGTGGAATAGCATGCTTGCTCGATGAGGCGAAGCTCCTATGGACAGCGGTTCTTCTCCGTAAGCAGTTTGATCGCAGCTGCATGCACGCCCGAGGCCAAAGCAGATCAGGGATCCGATCTCCAAAGGTGTGGCAGTGGTTACAACTCCGTCAAGCGATCCCAAATGACGATAGCGTTGTGCTAGCGCTCCGTACTGCTTGTCGACGCGACGGCCAAAGGTCGATATCCATTCTTGCGTGCGTTGATCAGAGCATCGGTGGCGAGAAACGCGTCTCTGGTCTGGAGAGTCGGGTAGGGTAGGTCGATTACTGGGTGGGCTTGTCTTTGGACAACTCGGTGTGAAGAAACGCGTCGGCGGGAGCGACATGATACATCGAGGGCGAGGAGCTCGGCGATCGTCATGTTGGTGAGCGGCGATAACCGATCGAAGTCATCGTCCGTTCAAATAGTAGCCCTGGTCTTCGTCGAGAAACAAGCATGAAATCTTGTTGTCGTGCTATGCTTCAATGTCAGAACGAAGTGAAGCGGAACAGAACCGGCGCCGCTTCAACCGTGGGAACTATTGGTACCTAATCCCTAACAGCCATTGCACTAAGGAAGGTGATTACAAAAAATGACTAATGACCTGTACAAGCGCGAGCATCGCGACGCGCGCCTCGAAGCGAAGGCGAAGGGGCCCAAAGTCATGCTGAAGGCTGCTCAAGGTAGGCCAAAACTGCGTCGACCCACGGGAAAAATGTCAAAATCTGCAAAGGCGCCTCGGGGGCAAAACCTGTGTTTCGTCGCAAAATGTCAATTTTTTGCAATGCGCCTCGACGACTTTCAGGATTTTGGGTCCTCAAAATGTCCAAAAAAAAATGCGCCTTCGGCTGGGCTTTCGGGGGTCCTCCTCTGCGTGCCCCCTTTGCGAACCTCGCCCAACTCGCGCGCTCTCGCGCCTCTCTCCCTCTTCTCTATCGTTTCACTCGCCTAGTCAGACTGCTGAGTTTCGGTAGAGAACAGATCGCTCGGCTGCGCCGCGGCCGTCCCTCCAGGCCGCGTCCTCACCGCCTCGCAACCTCTCCGAAACGATCCGGCTCGTGCCGTCACACGAATCCCCAGCGACCTCCGGTCCCAACTTAACATGAATCGTTCTGAAACGTTCTGGAAAGTGTCTAGATCCACCACTTCGTCACACTACTACTCAAAAACCCCGTAGAGAAAGCGCGCCGAACCATTTTCTGAGAAAGTCTAATTCGAAAAAAAATGAAAGCGATTTTCGTCATGGTCGAGTTTCTGCGGACGTTGCAAATTCACGTGCGGCAACCTTTTCTGCCTTTCAAAAATGAGGCGGACGGTCCGTGCGCAAGTGATCTGACATGTAGACGAAGACGCGTCACGGGATAAACCGGAATAGGAGCGTCTGTCGCCGCGTCCTTCCGCGACTCGTTGGCTTAGGGGTTCCTTTCCGACATCCCTCCGACACGTCTTCTCCTTTCGCCTTTTCGTTTCCCACTCCCCGCTCGTAATACTCGGCGTGCAGAGCGTCAATTTCGCCTTTATTAGAGGAAAGTGAGCAGCGCTGCAGCGCTAGTCGCGGCCTCGGGAAGTCTAACGTTGGAAGAGGAGGTCCAAGCGCGAAGCTCGAGCGCGTCTAACAACATCTGGCTCGGTCAATCTCCGCGTCGCGTGCTAGAGTTGAGCGCTCACCTGTAAGGTAGTGTACGATGACATGGTGGAAGAAAGGCCCTATCCGGCGGGGCGTACTCGGCGGAGCGTACTCGGCGGGGCAACACGGGCGAACTTCACGAAATGAGCGCGACAACTCTTTAATAGGGGGCACGGGCGCTCGGCGTTTCACGTGACCTTCACAATCTACATCACGAAATAAAATGAAAAGTGAACAGATCTGTCCAAAAATCTGAGGTTGAGGTCGGATTTTTGAAAGCGCTTCAAACGCGTTTGCTTTTCAAAAACTGAAGCGATCACGATCGAGCCTAACCCAAAGAGGAAGGCGCGAGCGATTTCACAAAGTCTAAACTTCAGAATCTGAAGCGCTCGGACGGTCGTTTGGGGTTTTTGAGTGGGACTACTACTAAGTAGTGGGACTAGTAACTGAAGTAGCAACTTGTGCAATGAATTGTCTTCGCTGTCACGGTCTTACACATACTAGTCAGAGTCCTATACTACACGGCAGGCAGTAGTGCTCATATCCTGATGTAGTCATTGCAAACACAGTCATAATTTTTTTTCCAGCAAGTAGGTGCTATTAGGAGCATACACATTATGTACTGACATTTCAAATGGTATATAGGGGCTCTTTTATTCGTCGGCCCACCCGCCGCACGTTGCTCCGCATCACCGCTCCCTCTGATCTTTGAGGATATTGACAAAACTCTCACCAATATACCAATAGTACAGAAAAGGCATTGAAATTCATTTTCAGGTTTGCCTTGTACAGAAAAAGCATCGAAAGAAATCTGGCCCTCGCGGACTGACTTGAGCGCCGTCCGTCTCAATCACCTTTCGTCCGGTGGGAGGCAGAAGACGAAAGGTGATATCAGGTGACAGCTATTAAGTGGTTAGTTCTGGCTAAAGAGAGTGTTACAGTCTCCAACATTTTCGCTCCGCAAGGCCAAGAAGGGTTGGTCGCGCTTGCCTGCGTCGAGCCCACTGTAAGGCGCCGCTCCGCTTACGCCTCACGACGACCTCGAGCCAACCTCTGCGGCCTCACACTTGCCCTCGCGCGCGGCGCCGCCGCGTCTCTTGACCTTAGTCCTTTTAGTAGTCTTTCTTCGCCTGCGAATTACACCGTTTGATCCTTTCTGTTTGGACTCGGAATCAGTGAGGCTCGAGAGCGATCTCGTGCCTTTCACCCACTCGTATGCGCGCCAAGGGTGCCTCGTGCCCACGTCGACGACTCGTCTCCTCGACGCGCTCGTTGCCGTGCGAAGGTTTCGTTTACTCGCGCCTTTCCCTCCTGCCCTTCACTGCTTTTCGCCAGCTTCACGCCAGCGTCCCCCTACTCGACGCTCTCCTCGATTCTTGTTATCACCCATCCACATTCCAACAGGTCACCGTGATCATGCCACCACGCAGGGTGGAGAGGAGGATGCTCAGGTGGAGGTTGCAGTCGCCAATGAGGCGGCACAAATGAGCACCTAGTAAGTCGGTCCTATACCATCTGTGCCAATAGGCCAGCTACTTTTGATAAATGATCTCAGATAGGCCCAAGCGTAAACGCGCTCGCCCCGCCTCGGCTAACTCAGGAGCTCAACCGTTGTCGATGAACCGGCGTATCGCAAAGTCGGTTACAGTTACAGCGAGACAGTCTGGTTACCACTCACACTGGCCGGTGGTATCTTGGTCTCGTGACATGGCTTACAGCTCCTACCTTGAAGCCTCGATCGCTAGTACTGCCGCCGCCGCCGTCGAGCCTGACTGGGTGAAACCGCTTGCAGCGATGCCAGGAGTCGTATTCGCCGGCAGACGACTTCAAAGGGACGACCTGTCCGACGACAACATCGAGATTGATCCTCTCTTACTGTCCGATGAAGACAATATTTACGAAGATGCTGCTGTTCACGATGACCTTGACGCAGACGATGACGGCGATGATGGTGTCCTCGAGTGGTGCCCAAGGTGAGTGCGCACATCCACAACAACAATTGACTACAGTCGTATATCAACCCAATGCCAAGTGCTAGCCTCTGCTCGATACATCAAATCGCGCAGAATTTCGAAAGGGACAACTTTCGAAAGGTTAGATGACCGTGCCCCCTGAGCTGGCTTTGGGCTTTTGTGACGGACACGGTTAGCAACAGATGCAGGTCCCCGCCGCGTTCCTCCCGCACAAGGCCACTCCATCTCGAGGGCGCCCAAAGCGCGCACCGTTCTTGGTGAGGATGACAGCGCGTTTGCAGTCCACCCCTCACCTTTCTCATCTCACCCCACGGGCGCCATCGCGAAGTCGACGCCATCGTCGATCCGGTCGCAATATCATGTGCACTACCCTCAGCTCACCCCACGGACAGTTGCAAGCTCACCTACTGTTGCGACCAGCCCTGCTCTTCATTGGACGGTGGTAAGCCCTTCGCCTATGGCGGCAAACCTTTCCTCGCTCCGCCCTTGGGTCGTCCGTCACGGAGCCGCCGAACCCGCGCGTTGGACAACATGACGCCAGATGAAGACAAGGTGGCCGGCATATGGTGCAAGCACCAGTTTGCGCAAAACATCCGCCGCAGACCTGGACTGTGGATCATATCCCACTGAAGTCCGTTAATCGTTGGAACAAATTGCTACAAAGCTTCCGATCGCGTCCTTCACCGTCAATGATGTCATCGTTGCCACGGTAAGCCACATGTTTTCCCGGAGATTCAGAAGCACCTGCTGCATCATCAGATCATTCCAACATGAGAGGGTCTCTGACATTCCATGCAACTTCTTGGTGGCTTTAGCTGCGGTGCGTGCTGGGCAAGTTGCTTTACACGGCGGACAAGTTCTCTGCGGAGGTCTACGGACCAGTCGTCTTCAAGATCATGGATCACTGCTATGATGGTTCGTATATCTCGATTACAGGGGTGTCATCGCAATGTGTGTGGACTAGCGTCGCAGCTTGGGTTGGGCACAAATAACTTCGTCGATTGATGGAGGCCCGGCTGACGCCGCCGCTGAAGCGGCTTCGTGTAAGGCAAGGCCTTACGACGGGCCACAGGCATTAGAAATAGAGCTTGCGCGCGCCTAGCTTCTTCAGCTCTCTCTTCATCGAGCTGACACCAGAAGCTAGTTGTAATCCATATAACTTGCACCTGTCATCTTCGGTCACCAGTGAGGCTCCGCTGTCCGAGACAGCGTGCCTTTCACTTTTTTTTTTTTACAACGTCGAGTTCATTGGTACCCCAACGATACGGCCTACGCTCATCAGGTCCGGCCGTACTCGAACCATCGAACCAATCGACTAGCCAGGATCGTTCAAATCAAGACGACCCTGCAGCACTAGCAGCCCAGCGCCCCACCCCAGCCCAGCCCAGCACGCCCGCACCAGCCCCGCCCGCACACGCCCCGCCTCCGCACAAGCCCACACGCACTCCGCCTCCGCAAGAAGACGCAATTCACACGCGCCCCCCCCCCGCCCGCCATGTCCACTCCTGTCCCGCCCACGCACGTATACAAAGCCAGCGACCCACCTCAGCTGCATCAAACTTCGATGGAGGCTCTTCGGGAATACTTCATGCGCCTGGATTACTACAACCGGCGCGTGGCCCGTGTACCCGTCACTTCCGACCACGACAAGATCGAAGGCGCTGGTATGGGGTTGCAAGTCCTGGCGCTCAAAACCTGGTTCTCTCAAGGGTTGAGCAAACACCTTGCTAAACCGTACGCCCAATTCAAGTCGGAGTTGATCCGCCGCGCCGTGCCCGCCGATTTCGTCTGGACGCAACTCGAGGTGTTGCACCGGCAACGCCAAGTGACGGGTCACGATGTGCACGCGTTCCAGGACTTCTCCGATCGAATGCGCGTCCTCCAGATGGAGATTGGGTTCCAGGTCGTCTCGGATCAGGAACTCGCCAAGCTTGTTCTCCTCGGCACCGATCCCGAGCTGTGCCGACTCCTCCGCACGCATGTCGTCTCGTCACTAGCTGGATGGTCCGACCTCTCACTCGAGAGACTCGCTCTCGATGCTCCCGCCCCAGCTGTGGTCTCGGAAACCGACGTCTACAGCGATGCACCGGCGGAGCAACCCGGGGAGTTCGATTATCAAGTATTCGAACGGATTGGACGCGAAGAGTGGGGCGTCATCGCGCAACGCCGAGCGGCCATTGCGACCCAAGTCGCCGCACTCCAACAACAGCGGCCGAACACACGACCGACGGCCTTCGCAACGGCGACGATGCGACCAGTCCTCACCACCGCCCCAGCCTCGGGGGGACCCCGTCCCCGGCTCACCGCCGAGGAGCGCGCCTACCTAGACGCGAACCATGGGTGCTATCGCTGCCGCGCCCTCAATGCGGATCACATGTCGAGCAACTGCCCCCGCTATGCCCCTGCTTCAGGAGCGCCCGCCACCTCGTCGACTCCCCTGTCGACCGCTCCCGCCGCTCGCACTCGTTCTGGTATGGTGGCGGCCATCCAGACGTTCCAAGAAACGGGTGATTCAACCGCGTTTGCTGGCCTCAACAGTGACTCGGAAGACGATGATTACTCGTACGCCCCTCGCTCGTTCCCGCCTTTACCCGTCTCTCTGCGTGGTGCTCATGGTACCCTCACTGCCTCGGCCCTCGTAGATTCGGGGTCGCCTCAAACGTTCCTCAGTGAGGACTTCGTTCAGCGATTGGGATTGGAAAAACGGGCCTTGGAACAGCACACGAAGTACACTCTTGCAATGCAGAACCAAGTTCCCACTGTCTTCACCTGCACGCATTTTGTGCGAGTTCCGGTCGAACTGGCTAATGGACGTTGGGCGGCGGGCCCGACGTACGCCGAAGTGGCGCCCCTTGGGAGGGACCTCAGCTTATTCTGGGAGGCAACTTCATCTATACGCACAAGATTGACCTAGGTCATTTCCCCCACCCCCACCTCACGTGTAAGAATAACCCGGAGGAGCCAATTGACCTGCTTGAACTTGTTGAATTGCATTCTGTCAAGCCTTCGAACACTTCGACATCGGACCGCCGTTTGACGGACTTGCCCGCCTTTCGCCTCGCGCCTTCGCCTCAGCGCCTTGCCTCCGCGCGCTTTCACCTCGGTGCTTCGCCTCCGCGCGCCTTCGCCTTCGCAAGCCCTCACTGCGCCCCCTGTCTCTCGAGCCTCACCGCATGATCCTGCGCCCAGCCTCGTTCCTCGACCCCTGTGCGCCTTTGTCAACTCGCCCACATCTTGGTCTGTTCACCCGGTCGTCGCCTGCCCTGCCTGCACGCCACCACACACCTGCGCCACCTCTGCACCTTCGCAAGCCGCCGCCAGCCCTGCCTTCGCGCCTTCGCCTTCGCACGCCCTCGCATGGCGCTGTCTGTCTTGTCAGTGCACCTTCACTGGCCCGTGTTCTTCGTCTCCGTCCGAGTGCCCCTGTCAACGCCCTCGTACCTTTGACTGCCGCTTGGTCGCCCATTGCGCCCAAGGCCGCCCTTTCGCCTTCGTCTCCGCACCTGCCTGCTCAACTCACGCTCGCGCGCCGCCGCCCTCACGCCCGGACTTAGTCAGCCCGCATTCTCCAGCTTTGCCGAGTCGATGCTTCCGCCCAGCTACCTCCAGTTCGCCGCCGCCGCTCTCATGATTCATTGGCCATCCAGAGCATCGCCCATGCATGACGTCCGTCGTTTGCAACCTGGATCTCGTCGCTGCGGATCGCCTCGCTCATCAACACTTGACCTTGTGGATAAGTTTCCCTTCGTGCCGTCGTCCAACACGACACCTCTCGACGCCCTGATGGCCCGCTTGGAGTCTGGTCCTTGAAGCTTTGCATTGTGTGCCTGCCCAGTTAGATTCTCTGTGCGCTCCCTTGCTAGAACCTCGCCCGACTCGTGCGCTCCCGCGCCTCTTTCCCTTTTCTCTATCGTTTCATCTCATCATTCAGACTGCTGAGATTCGTTAGAGAACAGGTCCGTTGCAATCGCATGATCGTTTCATCTCATCATTCAGACTGCTGAGATTCGTTAGAGAACAGATCGCTCGGCTGCGCCGCGGCTGCCTCTCCAGGCCGCGTCTTCACCGCCTCGCGACTTCTCGACCGGGGAGCACTTTGCTACGTCGTCCTGCCTCGCAACCTCCCGAAACGATCCGGTCCGTGCCGCCTCACGATTCTCCAGCGACCCCCCGGTCCCAACTTAACAGAACTATCGTCCCAGCCGCGCGGCACGTCGCCCGTGGCCGCTATCGCGCCCGTCAACGAAGACGAACAGCTCCGCCTTGCCGCGCTCGACCAGCGCCTGCGCGCGGTTTACGCTGATCGCTTCCCTGACGACATTCCACCGGTTGCCACCTATCAATCCCCGGTGCGACACCATATCGAGCTTGACAACCCGCGCACTGTGATCAACCTGCGCGGCTATCCGGTCGCCAAACGCCATCGCCAGGCATGGTACCTGCTGCTTCAAAAGCACCTCGCAAGTGGCCGTCTTCGCCCCTCACGTTCGCCGTACGCGTCACCGGCGTTCATCATCCCCAAGAAGGGCTCGGATGTGGACCCGACCATTGCACCGCGATGGGTGAACGACTACCGCCACCTCAATCGGCACACCATCAAGGACCGCACACCCTTGCCCCTGGCCGATGACATCCTGTCGACGTGCTCCAAAGCGCAGTTCTGGGCCAAGATTGACATGACCAACTCCTTCTTTCAGACCAAGATGGCGGAAGAGGATATAGCAAAGACCGCGGTTTCGACACCCTGGGGTTTGTACGAATGGACGGTCATGCCCATGGGACTCTGCAACGCGCCCGCCACCCACCAGCGCCGCGTCAACGACGCCCTGCACGGATTACTCGGCACCATCTGCTTCGTCTACCTTGACGACATCACCATCTTCGCCGATACGCTGGAGGAGCACGAGGCCCGTGTTTGCCAAGTTCTGAACGCCCTGCGCCGAGCCGAACTCTACTGCTCGCCATCAAAGACCAACCTCGCCACCTCGGAGTGTGAGTTTCTTGGCCACATCATCAACCGCTCCGGCGTACACGCCGACCCCAAGAAGATCAAGCGCATCCACGACTGGCATCTCCCAGCGACCGTCACGGAACTGAAGGGGTTTCTCGGTTTGGTGCAGTACCTCCGCAGGTTCATTCCGGGCCTTGCCGAGCATACCGCTGCGCTGACCCCGTTGACAATCAAAGGGCTGACATCCATCGACAACCTCTGGACAACTCCAACGGTCCGTCACTTTGAAGCCATCAAGTCCATTGTCGTCTCCCTTGACTGCCTACGCCCGCCCGACCACTCTGCCGATGCCATGCCATTCTGGGTGATGACCGACGCCAGTCTTCAAGGTATCGGAGGTGTGCTCCTGCAGGGCTCGCATTGGAAGACCGCACACCCCATTGCCTACTGGTCGCGTCAATACATCCCAGCTGAACGCAACTACCCTACGCACGAGCAGGAACTCCTAGCTATTGTCGAGGCTCTCAAGGAATGGCGCATTGATCTCCTGGGTGGCCATTTTCACATCCTTACCGACCATTCCACACTTGAGCACTTTCAGACGCAGCGCACGGTCATCTCGCGACGCCAGGCGCGCTGGCTTGACACCTTGGCCGAATTCGATTACGACCTCCAGTATCTCCCGGGCAGGGAGAACATTGTAGCCGACGCGATGAGCAGGTACTCCTTTCCCGAGCCACTTCCCGTCATTGTGGCCAACATTTCGCAAGTCTCGCTCTCGGATGTCGTCAAGCAGCAAATTGTCGACGCGTACAAAACCGACGCATTCTGCCAGCAAGCCCTGAACAACATCGCGTCGGTCGCATCGGAGTTCAAGATTATTGACGCATTGCTGTATTTACGGGGCCGGCTTGTCATTCCACTACTAGCCCCGCTCCGTGAGTCCATCCTTCACGATGCTCATGACGCGCTGGGGCACCTAGGTGATGTAAAAACGTACCAGACTGTTATACAGACGTACTTTTGGCCGAACATGTCCCGCCACGTCAAGCACTACGTGCAACAATGTGACTCATGTCAACGAACCAAGGCCCGTACCACTCGCGTCGCGGGCAAGCTTCACTCCCTTCCCGTTCCAGTGCGCCCCATGACGGACATCGCCGTTGACTTTGTCGGACCGCTGCCAACAAACAAGGGGTTCGACCGTGTCTTGACGATCACCGATCGACTGTCGGGATATGTCCGCCTCATCCCTGCGCGCGAAGCCGACACAGCGGCGGATGTTGCCAACCGCTTTCATGAGGGGTGGCATCGTTTTTTTGGCCTGCCTCAACGGATTGTCTCGGATCGTGACAAGTTGTTCACGAGCAAGTTCTGGTCCGCCCTGCACAAGCGTCTGAACATCAAGCTGCAGCTTTCCTCGGTGTTCCACCCCGAGACTGACGGGCGCAGCGAGAAGACGAACAAGACCGCATTCCAGATCCTACGCTCGCTTGTCAACAGGGAACAATCCAATTGGGTTGAATGTCTCACCGCTTGTGAGTATGCCATCAACTCATCGGTCAACGTTTCGACGGGGAAGACCCCGTTTGAGCTTGTCCTGGGGTACACACCCACCCTCGCCCCGCTTGCCCCTATTGAGGGCGACGAGGAGCTCCCATCGGTTGAGGAGCTGCTCGCACTTCGCTTCCAGTCATGCGAGGAGGCACAAGACCAACTCGCTGTGTCCAAAGTTCGTCAAGCCGCCCAAGCCAACAAGGACCGCGCGGATGAACCTTCATGGGCCGTCAGGGACCTTGTGCTGCTCGACTCAAGTGACCGCAGGAAGCGACTTCACACCCGCAAGCGCCGCGCAGCCAAGCTCATGGACCGTTTCGACGGCCCTTATCGCATTGTTGCGGCGCAGCCAGGGATCTCCACGTACACCTTGCAACTCAACAAGGACGATTCCGCGGTACCGTTCTTCCACACGGGCAAGCTCAAGGCCTACCGCTCAAATGATTCGGAATTGTTCCCAAGCCGAGAACCCGCGCGCCCGGGACCGGTGGACATAGGTGGAGAACCCGAGTGGGTCATCGAGGACATCGTCGATGAAAGGGTCCGAGCGGGGAAGACTCAATATTTGGTCTCTTGGGTTTCATGGCCGTCGCTATCCAGTGTAAGGCAAGGCCTTACGACGGGCCACAGGCATTAGAAATAGAGCTTGCGCGCGCCTAGCTTCTTCAGCTCTCTCTTCATCGAGCTGACACCAGAAGCTAGGTGAGTACTGGTGTTCCCTATCTCAGCACTATCGTATCTTATCGAGCTGACACCAGAAGCTAGTTGTAATCCATATAACTTGCACCTGTCATCTTCGGTCACCAGTGAGGCTCCGCTGTCCGAGACAGCGTGCCTTTCACTTCGTTCGGATTTGCCTAATTTGTGCTCGTAGAAGAACGTAGAGTCTAACCCCCTTCTCTGTATATGCAATGTGATCATACCATTGCACATAACCCTACTTGAATATGTCATAATTGGTCTGAAATGGCACTGGAAATGCTCTGGAAATCCACTGGTAATGCTCTGGAAGCTCTGGAAGCGCTCTGAATGCCTGAATTTCCAGACAAAATCTAGAGCAATCTAATAGTAGCAGCGCAGGGCTGAATGCGCTTTACGCGCTTTACGCCCGGATTGTTCTAGATTGGCTCTGAATTGCTCTGAATTGTTCTGAAGCGCGCGTGGTAAAGTTGCTGATGATTCAGGACTTTGTTCCGCTGTAGCACCATGTAAACGGCATTTGTTCGCTTGTCCTTTTGCAATCCACCTTTTCGACTATCTGGGTATGACCTCTTCAGCTGTCGTACAAAGTTATGCAATATTTGCCATGATACAGTCAGACCTGAAAAAATTTATATCGCCCAATCTTATACCTGTCAAAATTTATGGACTCTTCAATCTCCCGACTTATTTTGGCTGACAGAACCTGTCCAATCTTATACCTTATAATTTATGGGTTTACAGGTCAAATTATAAGATAAGAGAGAGCCGGAAATGAGCGATTGATCAGGAATTGGCCTCTCCTTCGGCGTTCTTGACGAGCCGCCTGCTGGAAGAGTCCGAAATGCCCCGAAACAGCCAAGAAGCGAGCACAGGAGAGCAAAGGCGGCGGTTGACAATTTTACGAACAAGTAGGACCCAAGTGACATCTTCAACATGGACGAAACCGGTCTCTTCTACGCTATGCGTCCGTCTACGGGCCTTGCTCGGAACGGTCGAAATGGTGTCAAGATAAATAAGACTCGCATCATTGCGAGACATGAGGCGTGGAACGACATCCGCCCCGAGACGATTGCCAACTGCTGGCGCCACGCTCAAATCTTGTCTGATCGCAAGAACAAAGGATCGACCGACCATACACCTCTTCCCAACGGTCGCGGGCCTCTCAATGGCGATCGCGGCATCATCAACGCGATGAACACTCTGAAGACGGTGAACGATAAGCTGGTCGAAAAGGGCATAGTTACGAGCAACGAGAAGATGAGTATCCACTTTCTCGTCGATGTGGAGGAGGAGAACCTTGCTGGTGGGGCGGAAATGACCGATCAGGAGATTGTGGACCTGGTCATTGCCGAAGAGTTGAAAGAGAATTGCGAGGGAGAAGGAGGAGAGGAGGAAGGGGAGATAGAGCTCCGACCGGCGGAGCGAACGACGCTGCAGGAGGCAATCTCAGCGCTTGATGTTTTCCTTAGGTTTGCTATGAATGGATACTCAGGTCCAACAGATTTGATTTCTTTTGAGGACGAGGCTAGGAGGATTCGCAGGACTCTTGTTGCCGAGCAGGATGCTGCGAGGATTCAGACGACAATGACTTCGTATTTCCAGCGTCAGTAGGTCAAGATATTGTTTCTTGGAGCTTTCAAAACTTGTTAGGTGTCATCATGCCTCAGTAGAGGCCGTTGGCTGCAATTCAGTAACTCGGGCCTTCTGAATTTCTTCCCCCTCAAAAGTCAATGTATCGACTCAAACGATGCATGAAAATTCTTGATTTGATGTAGGAAGCTCAAGAACGGAGTTTCAGGTCATAATGTAGTGATCTGAAGCCGCACTCTCCAAGCTTATACCTGTCTTAATTTATGGGAAAATCCGGGCCCGTACCCGTGCCGGGGGGTGGGGGGCTGGGAGGAAAAAGAAAAAGAAAGGGAGGGAAAAAAAGGAGGAAGGAGAGAAAAAAAAGGGAAGGTTCGAAAGGGAAAGGAAGAAGAAGGAACGAAAAAGATAAGTGGTACATGATATACAATTGCAATAGGAATAAGAGTGTCTTCACAATGTCGCAGCGGTTTATGATTATGACACTTCTTCTTATACCGAGCTCGACCACCCATCTCAGCCGTGGTCAGCCCCTTGCAAAACCTCGGCGATTCTGGGTTATTCGGATCCCTCTCTTCACTCAAGCCATACATCTTCCCGCAATCCACACATGGGTTTTCACACAGAATCTCCGATCCCTGTCGGGCTGACGCTGATCCCTTGAACTTGCAAGAGGCTTGACCGCAGAACCGACAGTGCCGCATTACTTTCCCGGTGACTGCGCTCACTGAACTGCCACTGGTAGCAATCCCTGCACGCGGACCATTGTTGCTTGTGTCCATCGCCTCGGATGGGCGGATGAATGATGTTTGAGGATTGGACGCTTCGACCTCTGCACCCGTGAGCATCCCCGAGACCGGAGGTTTGTGGCCGAGCAACGGCTTGGCGGGCGGCGGGCTGACATTGCGACCGCGGGAAGGGTCGGTGATCATCGCTTGGGTCGCTTCGACGTCCTTCTCGGCAAGATTCATTGTGGCTTGAGCATTGACCAGAGACGACCATCTGGATTCCCAACTGCTGATGTGTTCTGGCATCTACGTATGAGTTTTCAAGCACTCAGCTTGGTCTTAAGTTCAGAGGCACGACGAAATAGCGACTCACTTCGTAAAATATATCAATGTCGTTGGCATAAGCGTTCCAGCGCTCGACGATTCGGATGGCTCGCTGGTCTCGAGAAGTTGATAGTTCCAGATGGGACAAGATATGCTTGTACAGCGCTCGTTCGGTTGGTGTGTGAACGTGCAATACCGCAAACCGAGTACCTTGGCGTTTTGCAAGCCAGGTGTGACGGAGATTGCGATCGGCTGGCAGCTGGGTTTGCATCTGCTGAAGCGTTCGTCCCATGTTCTTGTGCAGCAAATTGCGCGGCGACCATTTGAGGGGCTCGAAACGGAAAGTGCCACTCTCGACGCAATAGGGTTCGATGTTGTTGGACTTTTGAGCCGCCTCCCGGGGGGACTGCCGAGCTCGCCGATGCCGGCATCGAGGGCAGACTGGGGTCGGTCGAGTGCGAGGCACCGGATCCGGAAGGCACGGCGAACGAAGGGTTTGAAGTTGAAGACGAACTGAATGCTTGCGCAAAGCTGAGAGTTGTCTGTTTCTGGAGTTGATAGCCATTGATATGCGTAAGACTTTATGCGGCCCACGGACAAGACACAGGTCTACGCAACTCACGGTGTACGTTTCGGCAGGGGGAAATTGCGAGGGTGGAATATTAAAATAACCCCAGGTGAGCCCGAAATGAAACAGGATTGAAGGTTTGTCATCACACTAGGCTGCCACACATCGAGCTTTAACAACTGACCAGCATCCTCTGAGTCTGCTCGTCCAAGACGATTTGCCGCTGTGGGGCTCGCTCCACTTCCAGCCTGGTTCGTTTCGCCTCCTCTCGTTGCCGTGCTTGTTCTTCATCTTGTCGTTTCTTCGCCGCTTTCTCTTCAGCGATCTCTTCTGCTTTGGCTTTGGCCGTGTTCTGCTTCTCCTCGTCTGTCTTTCTCGGACGACCCCGAGCTCGTTTCGGTGCAGATGCGGATGCAGGTGGAGGATTGGGTGGTCGGCCGAGTGGTCGGCCGAGTGGTCGGCCGAGTGGGTTTTTGCCTAGCTGGTTGATCGCACTTGGTGCCGAATCTTGCCCATCGTTTGAAAGTTCGTTAATGCGATGCTTGTCGGCCCGAGATTGGGTTGCACTGTCGGGAGTGTCGCGACTGGAACCGATCCCGCTGCCCTGGTTTGATGTTGAGGCTGGCGGAGAAGAGGTAGCGGCAGCGACAGAGCCGTTTCGGTTCCAGGCTCCAGAATGAGAGTGATAGCTGCATGTTGTTGCATGCAATGCATTGCACAAACGGCAAGAAACACAAGAAGGGACGACACGCTCCAGCTCGCGCCGCGTGTCAGCCAGCCTGCGCCAACTGAGGCCCATTGCGCTAACCTCCGATTGCGCTAACCTCGAGGGGAGCGATTTGGCGCAGGGAGGTTAGCGCAAGCGCACCCCCCGGCACCGGTACCGCCCCGAAAATCCGTCCACCGAAAATATAAATCCCTGAAGCTCTCTAGAGCTGAAGGTTTGTTGAACGAAAATTGGGGTGGGCGCGAGCTGGGGAAATTGATGACAATCTCAACATTAGTAATTCTCGTTGGCGGGGGGCGGCTCTGGTGGGGCGGGGTGGGGGGGGGGGGGGGGGGGGGGGCGCGCGCTTGGAAATCGGCGACGGTCTCAACATTAGTAATCCTCGTTGGCGGGGGGCGGCTCTCGCACAGGCCCGCGCGCAAGGCCAGGCCAGTAGCCGGCAGCCAGAAACGGCGCGGAACGGCGCGGAAGCTGAGCATGCCTTCGGCTCCGTCTGATAGCTGTGTACGAACATCAACATCTCAGTAGCTCATGGTACAACCTTCCTCGGGGATTAGTTAATCAGTCACGAACGGTGCTCAGTCGGTCCGATAAATCAGTCATTGGTAACAAGTGGCAATTGTGTTCCCCACCCCTGCGGCGATGTCGATCTCTCCCAGTTCACGTGTCTTAGTCGTGCCTCCCGACGCCGAGTCATTGCGACTCATTGGACAGCATCTGGGAGCTTGGCTTGACAAGAGGCAGTCGCTCTTGCCATCATGGCGAACGAGTTCAGTACACTTATCATGGACTGAACAGATCTGGTTCCTCGCAGTCGCTTGACGAGGATCTACTAACTCTAGTGATCAGGTGCTCGTTGCGACAGCTCGTCTTGTCCAACGTCAACCTTCGTGCACTGCCAGTGTGGAACAACTGCAGATTCTCTGTCAGGCTCACAACTTGCAGGGCTACTCTCTTCGGCGATCAAAGGTTACATAATTGATTTTGCGTGTTCTATTGTCTTCATGCGCTGGGCGTTGTCCAGCATACGAGATTGGCTACATCTTCAAGCGAAGCACAGCCAATGACATTCTGGTCCCCAGCCTGCAGGCCTACAACGTTTGATTTCGAGGAATGGCGTGCTGCCATCACTGATTCGCGTGGTCCATCGGCGGAGCGACCTAAAGGCCACCCCACCTACTACTAGATTTTATTATAGAGGCTGACTCGGGGTACACTTTGTGTCCTCAGTCTCGAGCACAAGCTTGCCTCCGGAAAGGCAGCGGCAGGAGCACTTGCTCGTGGCGTCCGAGTCCGAGGCAAAGTTGCGACTCAGGGCATGTCCAAGTTGCGATCCTTCCTTTTCTGAACATGGGGAAACGGCATAGAAATTGGGAAATACTTAATGTAAGTTGAATCTGTTGCAAAGAAAGACAGAGACCTGACTCCTTCCCATTTCTCACCCTCACCGGCCCGGCCAGCGATCGAATTCAACACGCCAAACCTACTAACGGCGAAGCGGCAGGTGGTCTTCATCCATCACCAGTTGATCACACCCAGGATGTAAGTAGTGATGTATATGCTTGCCTTTGTGTGCTCCAGCGTCTGATGATTGGGCGGACAGACACGGGTGTGTGCAGTCATTGGAAAGATGGAGTCACAGGGGGCGACCCGGTGCTGGACGCCGGCGTGATTCCGCCTGTTCCCAATTGGACCCGGAGAATATTCTCGACCTGCCCGACTACAGTCGATTTTATGCGGGGGTCCGGGAGGGGCTTTTTACCGGTCGCAAGCACGCCAAAGGATATCCCACGCAACTCCCCGTGACTGTCGATGAGCATCCTGGGCCACTTGCACAAGGATATCCAACGCTAGGGAGTGGGCACCCTGGGTGAAGGTGATCTGTGTGCGGTTGTCTGCACCGTCGAGGCTCGCGCTTGGAGGGACAGGTCTTCCGGCAAACCTTTTGTGCATATTGTATGGGCCTGATGTATTTTCCTTGTCTGATGTGCGGCAGATGACACGCCAGACCACGCCCCCGCCGACAGTCCGACTCAGTCCTAGGCGGGTCATTGCCTCTCCTGTCAAGCGTTCGGCAATGGACGCCGAGCTGAATATTGACTTGTCGAGCACCGATGGTCATGAGGATGAGTTCAAGCCCGCAATTCCCACTGAACTTTTTATACCGGCTGATGGGTTTGGTTACTTGGCGTTCAACAGTCACTGACAACAACAAGAATTCGGCTCACGCGCAGGCGAAAGAGGCCGCCGACAAGGATCATGAAGTCTCTTCGGAACGCGCAGCTGGCTCCTACCGCAGGACCGGGAAGGCCGGCTCATGCTTGATTGGTCTCAAGCGAATGGTGATGGAAGAAAGGGTTCCTGGACCTTGTTTGAACAACGAAAACGAAAATAGATATGTTTGAATGAGGATAGGCAGAGAAGAAAATTTAAAATGAAATGCAGTCGAAATTGAATGAAATGTGGATGTCGTTAGAGTCTCTAGCCTTGCCATCTTGCGGTGGTTATTCGCTCGCGGCTAAGTAGGAGGTAGTGCCTGTCCTCGGGCCATAGTTGTGTGAGTGTGACTTCATAGAGGGCACTGGAGGTTCAGGGACTTGTCGCCGCCCCGCGGTGCGTTAATTTTCTCAGGTCTGACTGTAAATTTCACTAAAAGTGCGCTTTTGGCACTAAAGTGCGCTAAATTGCACTAAATTGCACGCTAAAGCGCGAGTGGCAAAGTTGCTGATGCAAGATAATTGAGACGGCGCACACCCGTGCCGCTAGTAATGGCAGAGCGACGCGGTCAGCTGATCTAGTGCATTCCCGCTTGGTCCGTGGGCCGGCATAGGACACGGAGCACTCATTCGACAAAACGCTCGAACTCAGCGCGACACGCTGCGCGCCACCGGCTGCGTTGAGCATGTGGATGAGGTGTACGTCTGGCTTGGAGTGAGTCAAGTCCAGTCTGTTCGGGCTAGAGGTGTTTGTGCCCACGGCAAGAGGAACTGACGTCGGTACCGACACGGCTACTTTGGCCATCACGATGCTGTCTTATCCACTCTCGGCGGCGCTGTCTCTCTTGTCGGAAAAGCTCACCACCGCGCAAGCATCGCTGCGAAATGTTAGGAAGGATCTGTATTGGTTGCGCGAACAAATCGCGATCACAGAAGTCAGTGTGGCACGTGTTTACAATTGGGACGTCAAACAGAGAGGAGGATAGCGATCAATCTGAGATTTAACGTGGATCTTGCAAAGTCACTTGATAAATTTTCCTCTCGGACGAGGCTTACGGATGCTGGACCGAGAGCGAAGGCTGTCAACGGAAACTTCGATGCTGTCGGCCCATTGGAAGACGAGGTGACGGCCTAGTATATGAGTGTGCTCAAGCGCGGCCAAAGCGAATTGCGCATCTCGGTGAGTCGCAAAGTCGACAAAAGCGAATCCTCTCGTCTTGTGATCGAGCTTGCGAGGAAGGCGGACCGATCGAAGCGGTCCGTACGCACTACGGGTGTGATCAAGAACATAGTTCGGAGCGGTTAGAGGCAAGATTGTTCCGGGCGGCGCGCGGCACACGGCACATGGCAGCGACCATGAAAGTACTAACCTAAAGAGCTCGCGGATCTCCTTTCGGGAAATCTCGAAAGGCAGGTTTTTAACGAGCAGCTTTGTGGAGTTTCCAGACCCTGACGGCACTCCTGAGTCTGGCGTCGAACTCTCGCCGTCGCCGCCACGATGCGCAATCCGAATTTCGAGCTGATGGCCATCAAGGAGCAGGCCATCCCGCACGGCCTTTGCGTGTTGTGCAGCAGATGGCGTTCGAAAGCCAACGAACCCAAAGCCCATGCTCAGGGAGCGACCAGGCGTAATGGGATCAGGTTTGGTCTGGACACGCGCGAACAAAAAATCTTGCAGGTGTTCGAACGAGGATCGAAAAGCCTCTGTCGTGGTGGCGAAAGCCAGGTTCTTGACGAAGAGGGTGCTACCGGCCTCGGCGGCCTTGGCAACGTCGTTCGTTTTGAAGACGGGTGCGTTTGGCTTGGCGCTCGGCGCGACAGGTTTTGAGTTCGGGGGGAACTTGGGGGCGCCCTCGCCCAACCCGTCGCTTGAGACGACCGCCCAGATCTCTGCGGGGGCTTTCTCGAGGTATAGCACACTTGACCCAAGCTTCTTGTACGCGAGCTGTCGCCAAGCGGCAGAGGCTGAAGAGGCGTCGCCCATCTCAACAATGGCCATAGTCCCGCTGGGCGGCAAGAGAAGGCGCGTCACTGAGCCAGACAGAGCGAACATATCTTTCAATACTGCGTTGCTTGTTCCGAAGGGGATATTTTTGACGAGGATTGTGGTGGTCGACCTTGGCCCGCGTGAGGCGAAGGACGAGATGTTCACGCCAGCCTGTTCAGAACGTTCGCGAGATCAGTGGAATTGGGATTGGCCAGGGTTGTGGGCCTGCAAACGAACCGACTGGAAATAGTGCTTCGTCTCAGTTATCACGTGAGTTTCGGCGAGAGCGACTCGGACGGCAGCGCTATCCGCAGTGGGATCCAGCAGTGTTGCTTTTGACAAGCCCAGACGATCCGACACCGATGTCATAACGGCATCACTCTGAACGATTATGAGGCAGATTGGCAAAGGCTCAGTGGTCGTGGTCGTGGAAGCTTCTCGTCAAAGCCCCAAAGGCGGCTCACATTCATGTAAAGAGTCGCCCATGTCAGACCAGAGGCGGAGCTTGCTTTGCGAGTTTCGAGGCGCCCGCCTCGCACGCTCCTATCGACGCGCGGAGAGTCTGCGACGTTGGATCGATTGCTCACGGCCGGAATGATGTGGAGAAGACGACCCTGGAAAGACCGGCCGTCCAAAGCCCGAAACGCGGCAGCCGCACAGTCTGGTGCTGTGAATGTGACATATGCGAATCCTTTCGACAACTTTGAGGAGGAGTCAACCGGGACATGGACCTGAAGGCGTATCATCGGATCCAGTCAGGCATGGCATACGTTGTGTGCACATAGCACCCATTCAGATGGAGCTCACGTCGCTGATTTCGCCAAAGCTACCCAGCGCATCGCGCAGGTCTTGTTCGGCCACCGAATATGAAAGGTTGCGCAAAAACAGTCGACCATGCTCGAGAAGCAAGGCCACGCCATCGGTAGAGCTTGCCGAGAGATCCGCGAGATCCGCATTCTGCATGAACGCCTAGATATGGGCATCGAGTCATCAGTCGCTGCACGCGCGCGAGAGGGTACACAGGGTGATAAAGAGAGGCGCCGCTACATACTTCGTGCCGGATCTCTGTACCCGGTGATTGGGCCCGTTCTGGTAGAAGAGTTTGCACCCCGAACCCCTTGCTCGAGTCTTCGTCGTCTAAGCCATTTATCTTTCGACGCGAAAGGTATTCCTGGTCCGAAACCGAATCGTCCCGAACTGCTTCATCGATCACAGATCCGCCCTCGGTGCTCTCGCCCACTCCGGTCGCATGATTGGAACCATGCAGTAAATGTGGCGGACCGACAGAGTCGGAAGTTTTGGTTTCGACTCGAGCTCCGGTTTCTCGCCCAGGCCCAAGCTCGTGAACGGCCTTTGGTTGCGAATTGCCGCTTGTGTGATTCGGGAAAACAGGACCGGCTGGTTGATCCAAGATTTCGACCGCACGATTGCGACGGGGTGCCATAACCGACATGAATTCGAGGAGTCGTGCATCGTCGGCGTCTCGGGCCATGCGGGACGCTGTAGTCGTGCTTGACTCCTCTCTTGCCAATCTTGCCTTCTTGCGAGGTGGAGGAGCTTCGTAGGTCTATACAGAGCGGATATCGCGCAATTCAGCTCTATGTCAGCGGCAGAAGGGAGACACGGATTGGTTGAACGGGACGCAACAACGCACATCCTGTGCCCAGTTAACCTTGACGCGGGCACCACCGCGGGCCCCCTGCACCCAACTGTGCTGGAGCCAGGCCAGCACTCGGTCTGCGTCCTGATGCGACTTGAATCCGAGGAAAGCGAGGCGGCGTGACGTGCCGTCAGGTTTCTGCAGCACCTTAACGTCGGTGAGCTCCGGCGGCGATGGTGGACAAAGCTGCACGTGCTGGCGGAGATGCGCATCCTGGACAGAGCGTGCCAGGTTCGTCACGATGAGCCGCGTCCGGTCCCCTTGTACTGACTGCGAGGCCATTCTGGTTTGCTTCGTAGACTTTGGTGGGAGAGCCGATGTGTGGTATAGTGCGGTTTTAGTGATGTACGTGAACAAGTGTTTGTGCGTCGACGGAGCGAGGGCTGACGATGGCGCGCGACTCGAGGCAGAGCTAGGCCCAGCTCAGCCAGGACCCAAAGCCCAGCCGGAGGCGCTTTTTTTTTTTTTTTGACGACATTTTAAGGGCCCAAAATCCTGAAAATCGTCGAGGCGCATTGAGTTGGTGTGTTGGGAATGAGGGTTAGGAACCGCGCGTTCTTTGGTAATCTGTTTAGAAGCGCTCGTCTGTTTAGTGAAGCCTGGCGATGCGCACCAACCGTTGTCTTCTCTCCACGGTTGGATTACACGCTCGTCAGGTACGCATGTTTAGCTTCACAGCCACTTTCGTTGCAATTAACTGACGGTTGGATTACACGCTCGTCAGTCTCTTATTTGGTAGCGTCTGTATTGCCGCAAGGCACAGATCCGCACGCAGAAAAGACGCAGCGCATATCCAAGATGGCTACGACCACGGTGGATTCCGGGTCCGCCATTCATCGCGGCCTTATGGGCGACTTGTATGGCAACGTCGACGCCACGAATTGGGGAACGGCCAAGGATCGACTCCAACGGGTGTTGGAGGGCGATGGCCGGTTCAAGCACGTCACCACCGAACTCAGCGTTGGCCCAGAGCCCGAACAGTCCGAGTTCACCCGTACGCAAGGTGGCTCCACAGTGGCCGACGTAGCCACGTTCCGTACACAACATCGGATCTACCGTCATGACGTCGACGACCTCGATCAAGCCTTGGCGCAGGCCCGCAACATCTTGTTCGTGTGCCTGGGGGAGGCCACGTTCGCGCGCATTGCAGATCAGCCAACGCACGAGCTGTGGGCGGCCCTCGATAAGGATCTCGGCGCCGCATCCCACGACTTCGCACGGTCGGAGAAACTCGATGCCCTGTTTTCGTACCAAGCCTACGTCGACGGAGACCCTCTCGACCCTTGGTTGTCGCACTTCAACCGGTTGTTCACCGATCTCAACGCCGCGCACGTTTCCCGCGACAAGGCTTACCAGCGCGCCAAGATCGACGGGGTCAAGTACACGCAAGCTGAGTTTGACAAATGGGTTCCGCCGCCTGCGTTGTCGGAAGGCATCCGCATGGACCTCTTGAAGGCGAGGATGCCACGGCCTATTGTCACGGTTATCGACGCCCTCGGCCCTCTCCCGTCGCTCAGTGATGTGGAGGGCGCGATTCGTCGCGCGGCGATGTCTCGCTCTTCCGGCACCGACGTCGCCGAAGCCCTCGCGGCGAAGACTCAGGGTCGTCGCAGGCGCCCCGCTCGTTCGTCCGGCAAACCGAAGTCCAGTTTTCTCTCGGCTTCAAAGGTACCGGGTCTCGTGGACAAGTGGCCGCACGGGGTTGCGCAGAACGGTCGCCTGAGGCTGGGCCCGTTGCAGTGTCGGAAATGCTACGAGCAGGGTCATCTTGGCGACGAATGTACCGTCCCCGCGACCGAACTGTCCCGTCGTCGGGTTGCCGTCTTAGCCAAGCACAACATCTCCATCGGCGCGGCCGACGCGATGGCGCTCGTGGCTGAGTACGGTCCCGACCCATCGGTTGACGACGACTCTTACGAGAATTTTTTTGCCGACGTCGCCTTTGACACCGAAGTCTCTGCGCTGTACTTGCACGACGGTCCCCGCTACCTCCTCGACTCGGGGGCGACGCGCCACATGACCACTCGTCGGGATCTCTTGGTCGATTTCCAGCCTTTCACGACGGAGCGTGTGCGCGTAGTCGGCGCATTCAAGTCCAGCGCCATGGCTGTCGGCAAGGGCACCCTTCGCTTTGACGCCAATGGGGTGCCTCTCGAGCTCCGCGACGTCCTTCTCGTCCCGGGTCTGTCCGCCGAGCTCGTCTCTCTTGCCAGTCTCATGAAGGACGGGTACCAGCTGTCTGGGATTTGCGACGTCGCGGGCGAACACTCTGGTCTCACCGTCTCGGGTCCGGCTTCGAACCTCACCTTCGCTCTCGATCGCAACCACTACGTTCTCCAGGCGCGTCCGGCCTCACCTCCTCTGGCGGATCACCAAGCGCTGACAGCCACCTCCTTGCCTACAGATGTAGTGCTTTGGCATCAGCGTTTGGGTCATCTGTCCTGGGGTCGTTTGGTAGAACTTGCTAAGTCGGGCGACATTTCCCTCGACATCTCTGCTGTAACCCGGGATCAACTTCGTCTCCTTGATCAGTGCGATGCCTGCTGCTCCGGCAAGGCCGTGTCTGCCCCCAGTCGTGAGGCTGCCCACCACCCCACCGACGCACCTTTCGCTCGGGTCTTCGCCGACGTGTGGGGGCCTTCCCCTGTCCCTGCTCTCTCCGGCGTCCGATATCTGTGCGGTATCACGGATGAATACTCACGTTTTCGCTGGGTTCGCGGCATTCGGCTCAAGAGCGAGGCTTCGTCCGTACTCAAGGGCTTCGTTGCGATGTCGAAGATCCAGTACGCTGGCCCGGGAGTGGCGACCTTGCGCACGGATAGGGGGGGTGAGTTCGTCAACAACGACCTCCGGGATTGGCTTGCTGAGCGGGGCATTTTTCACGAGCTATCCACGGCATACGAGCATGGTCAGATGGGCATACAGGAGCGGAGTTGGCGTACGATTTTCAACTCTGTTCGGGCGTGGCTTCATCGTTCGGGACTGCCGTCATCGCTGTGGGAAGAGGCTGCGCAGGCGGCCATCTACGTTATCAACCTCCTCCCGTCGTCGCCTCTGCAGCAGCGCACCCCTGATGCCATTCTGCACGCCGCTGCGGGTCCCGTTACGTCCACCCGTCGTCCCCGCATTGATCGTGTCAAAACCTGGGGCTGCGCCGCCCAGGTACCATTTGCTCCCGAACAGTGTTCCAACAAGTTGGCTCCGCGTTCGCGCCTGTGCTACTTTGTTGGGTACTCTTTGCGCTCTAAGGCCTGGCGCTTCTACGACCCGGTTGGCAACAAGGTCTTCGAGTCGTCTCAGGCCAAGTTCTTCGAAGATCGCTTCTTCCCCGCCGCGGCAAACCCTGTACCTACTGTTGTTGCGCCCGCCGTTCTGTCCTATCCGTCCGCCCCGTGCAGGGTTCCTCCTCCCGACCTTCCCCCTGACGACGACGATACTGTCAATCCTGCGGGCATCGCACCTGCCGTCGCTGCTGCTCCCGCTGTTGCCCCCGCCGCTGCCATCCCGCCCGCGGCTGGTCCGGTCGACGTTGTGGCCCCACCTGTTCCGCCCTCCCTCGTGTTCTCCAACCCGGGTCCGGCGAACGCCCCTCCTGTGGGTGATCGTTCCACTCGTGCTCGTCGCCCCCCTGACTACCTGGGTTTCGCCCGCGCGGCTCACGACTTGGAGTTCGCCGCGCACGCCTCCGTCTCGATCGAGGACTTTGACGAGGATGATCCCGAAGTCCAGCTGTACTCGTACGAGGAAGCAACTGCCTTTCTTGCCAAAGTCGACAAGGACGACGCCCCTTCCGTTCGCGCAACACTCGCTGGTCCGTTCCGTGACTACTGGCTGGCGGCCATGGCGACCGAGGAGGGCGCACTGGCGGCGAAGCAAACATTTTCCAAGCCGCTTCGTCCCCCTCACGGGGCTATCATAATTGGCAGCATGTGGGTCCTCATGGTGAAGCGCGACGCCGAGGGCAAAATCGTAAAGTACAAAGCTCGCCTCGTTGCGCGTGGGGACATGCAGAGGCGTTGTGGTGAGCAAATTGACTCGTTCTCGCCTACTGGCCGCGCCGCCTCCCATCGCCTGCTGCTTGCCCTTGCTGTTGAGAACGAGTGGGAGACCCGGCAATTCGACGTCTCGTCGGCATACCTCAACGGCAATCTCGGTGGGACGGAGATCTACATGCGCCTTCAGCGCGCGCTGTACGGACTCGTCCAGGCGGGTAGGGAGTGGTACAAGGTCTTCACCGAGTGGATTTTGTCGATCGGCTTCACGCGTACCGACAGCGATCATGCCGTCTTCATTTGCAGGGAAGGGGACAAGCGCTGTTTCCTTTCCATCCATGTCGACGACGGACTGCTCACGGGTGACGGCGACCTCGACGGCGTTCTCACTCAGCTCAAGGCGCGTTTTGAGGCTCGCAGCATGGACGAGGTGTCTTTCTTCCTGGGTCAGAGTATAATCCGTGAGGGCAAAACGGGTGCGGCCATCGTTACTCAATCTCATTTTGTGGATGCGATTCTCGAGGAATACAACATGGCCAATGCCTCCCCGCGCCCCACCCCGCTTGCGGCACCGTCGACGCTGAGGAACCGTGTGAACTCTGATTTTGACCCCGCTTCCATACCGTACCGTGCCATTGTCGGCAAGCTTCTGTATCTATCCGGCACTACTCGGCCCGACATCGCTTTCGCCGTGTCCAAGGCTGCTCGTTTCTGTAACAACTTCGAGGCGGAACATTGGGAGGCGCTCAAGCACATTCTCCGGTACCTCGTCGGCACTCGTAACTTTGGCATTCAATACCAGAAAACCCATCAGCCGATGTCAGCCATTTTGGAGGGTTTTGTCGACGCGGACCATGGTGCCGAGCCTGTGACCCGCCATCGGGTTACGTCTTCACGTGCGCTGGCGGGGCAATCTCCTGGATCACCAAATGTCAGACTCTTGTCACTCTGTCGAGCACCGAGGCCAAATATGTGGCCATGTTGTACACTGCTCGTGAGGGGATCTGGTTGCGTCGGCTGCTGGCCGATCTTGGTTTTGAGCAGACATCGCCGACTTGTCTGAGGGGTGACAATCAATCGGCTATCACTCTGGCCAAGCACCCGGCTTTCCATGCTTGCACCAAATACATCGGGATCCATTTCCACTTCATCCGAGATCACATTGCGGAGGGCACAATCGAGATGGTCTGGGTGCCCACGGGCACCATGGCTGCGGACGTCCTCACCAAAGGGCTCGGGACTCAGAAGCACTATCAGTTTGTACACGCGATGGGGCTTATCGATTCATCGCGTGAAGGGGCGAGTTGGTGTGTTGGGAATGAGGGTTAGGAACCGCGCGTTCTTTGGTAATCTGTTTAGAAGCGCTCGTCTGTTTAGTGAAGCCTGGCGATGCGCACCAACCGTTGTCTTCTCTCCACGGTTGGATTACACGCTCGTCAGGTACGCATGTTTAGCTTCACAGCCACTTTCGTTGCAATTAACTGATGGTTGGATTACATGCTCGTCAGTCTCTTATTCATTGCAAAAAACTGACATTTTGGGAAGAAACACACATTTTGCCACCGAGGCGCCTTTGCAGATTTTGACATTTTTCCCGTGGGTCGACGCAGTTTTGGCCGACCTGAGCAGCCTACGGTATGACCTTGGGCCTAAGCTCGACCCCCTCCCTCTGGGAGGGGCTTGCGCATTATTGGCGCGTCAGGCCCGGTTGCCCTTCAAATTCCCTGAGCCAAAAGAGGGTGGTTTGCTGTACAGTCAGACCTGAGAAAATTTATATTTTCGGTGGACGGATTTTCCCATAAATTAAGACAGGTATAAGCTTGGAGAGTGCGGCTTCAGATCACTACATTATGACCTGAAACTCCGTTCTTGAGCTTCCTACATCAAATCAAGAATTTTCGTGCATCGTTTGAGTCGATACATTGACTTTTGAGGGGGAAGAAATTCAGAAGGCCCGAGTTACTGAATTGCAGCCAACGGCCTCTACTGAGGCATGATGACACCTAACAAGTTTTGAAAGCTCCAAGAAACAATATCTTGACCTACTGACGCTGGAAATACGAAGTCATTGTCGTCTGAATCCTCGCAGCATCCTGCTCGGCAACAAGAGTCCTGCGAATCCTCCTAGCCTCGTCCTCAAAAGAAATCAAATCTGTTGGACCTGAGTATCCATTCATAGCAAACCTAAGGAAAACATCAAGCGCTGAGATTGCCTCCTGCAGCGTCGTTCGCTCCGCCGGTCGGAGCTCTATCTCCCCTTCCTCCTCTCCTCCTTCTCCCTCGCAATTCTCTTTCAACTCTTCGGCAATGACCAGGTCCACAATCTCCTGATCGGTCATTTCCGCCCCACCAGCAAGGTTCTCCTCCTCCACATCGACGAGAAAGTGGATACTCATCTTCTCGTTGCTCGTAACTATGCCCTTTTCGACCAGCTTATCGTTCACCGTCTTCAGAGTGTTCATCGCGTTGATGATGCCGCGATCGCCATTGAGAGGCCCGCGACCGTTGGGAAGAGGTGTATGGTCGGTCGATCCTTTGTTCTTGCGATCAGACAAGATTTGAGCGTGGCGCCAGCAGTTGGCAATCGTCTCGGGGCGGATGTCGTTCCACGCCTCATGTCTCGCAATGATGCGAGTCTTATTTATCTTGACACCATTTCGACCGTTCCGAGCAAGGCCCGTAGACGGACGCATAGCGTAGAAGAGACCGGTTTCGTCCATGTTGAAGATGTCACTTGGGTCCTACTTGTTCGTAAAATTGTCAACCGCCGCCTTTGCTCTCCTGTGCTCGCTTCTTGGCTGTTTCGGGGCATTTCGGACTCTTCCAGCAGGCGGCTCGTCAAGAACGCCGAAGGAGAGGCCAATTCCTGATCAATCGCTCATTTCCGGCTCTCTCTTATCTTATAATTTGACCTGTAAACTATGAGAGGTAGAAGCAACGCACAGACCTGCTCAAGCAGTGGTAAGTCTCTGATCGACGGACCAAGGGAGACCAGACCAAGAAGTTGCTTGAGCAGGAGAGAGAGAGTCGCGCGGGGCCAGCTAGCTGAGAGCAAGTGCGCGAGTCTGGCCAGAATGCGGAAGATAGACGGCAAAGCCGGGTCAAGAAGGAGAATAAGGGAAGAGACACAGGGGCCATGATGCTAGAAGGAAATAAGAGAGAATTAAAGTACTTTGAGAATCTCACACCCCCCCGACTTCGAGCATCAGGGAGGACAGATGCCAAGGCGGCCGCGGTGACGCGCAAAGAGGTCGCGGGCCAGAGCCTTGGTGAAGATGTCGGCGGTCATGTTGGCCGTGTTGATGTACTGGACCGCGATATCACCAAGGGCGACCATGTCGCGGACAAAGTGCTCACGAAGTCGGATGTGGCGGGTGCGGGCATGGAAAACCGGATTCTTAGTGAGGGTGTTGGCGCCTTGATTGTCGCCAAGTACTAGAGTCGGAGCAGAAGAGGGGAGACCCAGCTCACCAAACAGTTGACGCAGGAAAATGGCTTCCTTGCCGGCATGCGAGAGAGCCAGGTATTCGGTGTCGCAAGTGGAGTCTGCCACGCGAGACTGGAGGCGCGAGGACCACGAGATGGCGCCACCGGCATAGAGGAACGCGTAGCCCATGGTCGACTTGGAGGAGAGCACACAGGCACCCCAGTTGCAATCAGAGTAGCCAATCATGGGAGCAGGGTCGCCGCGGGAATAGTGCAGGCCGTGCGAGAGCGTTCCAGCGAGGTAACGGAAAGCGTGCTTGACAGCACCCCAGGCAGCTTCGGATGGAGACTGGGAGAATCGAGCCAAGTAACTGACAGCATAGGCCAGATCGGGGCGAGTGCCAGTGGATGCGTACATGAGCGAGCCAATGGCCTGAAGATAGCGGGTGCGGTCCGCAAACGGGGCAGGGTTGATCTCAATCTCAAGGTGGAGGTCGGATTTCATCGGGGTGGCAACCGGGTGGGCGTTCGACATGCCAAAACGAGCGAGGATGTCCTTGAGGTACTGCTCCTGGCTTAGCGTGATCGAGCCGTCGGAGGAATGCCGGATCTGGATGCCAAGGACGTATTCCGCTTCACCAAGGTGCTTGACACCGTAACATCGTTCAAGGCCCTGGAGGGTATGCTCAATTTCGGGTAGGGAGGGGCCAATCATGAGGATGTCGTCGACGTAAAGTGCGATGTAGTGGTGCACGTCCCCAACGGTTTTGATGTAGACACAATGGTCGGACTCAGTGGCGACGTAACCCAACCCAAGGAGGGTAGAGTCAATTTCGTCCGTCCAGATGCGACCAGCCTGGCGTAAGCCGTAGAGGGAACGGTGCAATTGGAGAACTTTACCGGGCAGGGCAATGCCCTCGGGGACACGCATGTACAAAGGCTTGTCGAGCTTTCCATGAAGGTACGCTTTGTCGATGTCGGCCTGGTGAACGTGATAGCCTCGGGCAGCAGACAGGGCCAGCAGAGCACGGATCAAAGTGAACTTGGCAACGGGCGCAAAAGTCTCGTCAAAATCGATACCAGATCGCTGGGAATCGCCGCGGGCGACAAGGCGGCCTTTGTAAGACTTGATCTTCCCGAACTGGTCGCGTTTGGTGCGAAAGACGAAGCGAGAGCCAATGATTTTGGCGTCGTCGGGGACAAGTGATTGGTCGATGGGCGTGAAAGCGGAGAAATCGCGAGAGAGTGAGTCAAATTCATCACGAGCCGCAAGACGCCACTCATCCGCCTGGGGCGAGGCCATGGCAGCACGCCAGTGGGGAGGGTCGCGCGCAGGCGCAACGAGCTCCGCGGGATCGACGGAAGAAGTATCGAGGAGGGCGGCAGCAGTGTCCGCAAGGTAGCACACAGGCGCAGGCGAGTGAAGGGTGTCATCGACATCATCAGAGAACTCCGGGGCAAGGCACAGGGCGGAGAAATAGTAGGAGCTGGGCCGGAGTCGAGGAGAGGGACAAGGCGTAGAAAGTGCCGAGTCGGGGCTGCCCTGGTCAGGGGCGCTGCCTTGGTCAGAGGCGAAGGGTGCGGGCAATTCCTGGTCAGGGACATTACGAGCAAGGGCCGGCGAGCCTTGGTCAGAGGCATCAGGCGCGGGGGTAAGCTGCTCAGCGCGAGGCGCAGGGGAGCGGGGGAGGTCAGCCTGGTCAGGGTGTAATGCAACAACATCCGGGAGAGGATTGGCCGGAGAGAACGAGGCGGGGAACTCGGATTCATGGAAAAGGATGTTCCGGCTGAGGAGCACCTTGCGTGTCGCCGGATTGAACAGGCGGTAAGCCTTCGAATGGTCGTCGAGGCCAACGAAGATGAGAGGCATGGCCTTAGGGTCGAGAGCAGAGTGGGACGCCGAAGGAAGGCAATGCCAGGCACGGCAGCCAAAGGTGCGAAGAGAGGAAACATCCGGTGCGTAACCATACCAACAAGCGTCGGGGATTTCGCCACTGACGCCGGCATGGGGTGTCATGTTCTTGCATCGGACAAAGTACATGGCCGCTTCACCCCAGAGTCGCGAGTCGACACCGGCCGAGTAGGCAAGGGCAAGGATGCCCTCCTTGATGGTGCGGTTGGGGTGCTCAACCCGTCCATTTTGCTGTGGCGTGTAGGGTATCGTGAGTTCTCGACGAATGCCCTTGCTGCAGCAGAAATCGACGAAACTGCGCAGCGTGAATTCGCCGCCGTTGTCGGAGCGAATGGTCTTGACGCTGTCGCCGGTCACTCGCTCAACCTCAAGAATCCAATCGCGAAGGCGCGGGAAGGTGTTGCTCTTGCGGGCAAGGAGGATGCATCAGTGCTTTCGGGTGTGGTCGTCGACGATCACAAGCATGTAGCAATGACCACCGAAGCTAACATGTGGCATTTGGGCAAGGTCGACATGGATCAGGCCGAGGCGCTGCGAGGCAATCAACTTGGAGCGAGCGAATGGGAGGGCATGCGCTTTGGAAGCGAGACATGCATTGCAATTGAAGGTTCTACACTCCTCGTCCGAGTAATCCCACGCCACACCGGTAACCATCCCTTTCTGAACGATTATCTTGAGAAGGAGGACAGGGAGGTGCGCGAGGCGGTTGTGGAGGGTAAGCAAGGACACCTGGGAGGGCGAAGCAAGCAGAGCGTGGGGCGTACAAGGTGCAGCGGCGAGGTCCAGAGTGTACAGGTCGTTTGCGATGGCCCGAGCGGTGGCGACAGCGGTGCCGGCGGCGTTGCGGATGGTGGCGACGTTGGAGCCGAACGAGACCGTGAAGCCGAGGCGGTCGAGGCGTCGAACGGACAACAAGTTGCAAGGCAACGAGGGCACATGAAGAACGTCAGTGACGGCGACGCGACCGGAGGTCGTGTTGAGCTCCACGGAGCCGGAACCGGTGGAGGGCAGGGAGCCCGCAACACCAGCAACGTGCGGTCCCTTGACGGGCTGCAGGTGCGTAAATAGATGAACGTCGTTGGCCATGTGCCAATTGGCGCCGGAGTCCAGGAGCCAGGCCCCCTTGTCGAACGGGGAGGAGGCGGAGAGGAAGCAGGCGGCGTAGGTCGCGGGCGAGAGGTGCTCGTCGGCGACAGCCGGCGCGGCAGCGGGAGAGGCAGCGGGCTGCGAAGACTTGCGTTCGCCGGCGGGCTTGTTGCCGTTCTTGGTGGCACGACGTGCGCGGAAGGAGGCTGCCCAAGCGGTGTCGGGACAGTCCCTGAGCCAATGCATCTTGCGACACTTTGGGTTGGGGCACGGGGAGCGAGGAGCGCGGGCGTCGCGAGCGGACGATCGAGCAAGCGCCGCGGTGGGAGCGTCGACTGGACGAGCGCGAATGTCGCGTAGGAGGCGATCGAAAATCACCGAGACAGACGGCAGGGTCGTCGAATCACCTTGGTCGTTGACAAAGGTCGAGCGCCACGACTCGAGGGACGGCGGCAGTCGGGAGAGGAGGTGCGAGGCGACCAGAGAGTCGACAGTGACCTTCGACGAGGTGTGCAGACGAAGCTGGTTCTCGAAACTGTCATGGAACTGTAGGAACGAGTCCGTGGTGGCGGGGAGCTCCTCGGTGCTGAAGAGCGTGATGACGGCCGGAAGCAGGTCAACAGCCGAGGTGGCGCCATACCGAGAACGGAGAGCCTGCCAGATCTTCGGCGCGCCGTCGCTGTTGTCGAGGAAGGTCGACAAGCCGGGGAGGACCAAGCGAGGGTCGACAGACGAGCAGAGCGAGGAAAGGGCGTAGTGATCCCATAACGGAACGAGCGAGGGGGGCCACGAAGCGCATGGCTCACCGCTCTCCAGGTACCGGAGGACACCGGCCTGCAAACGCGAGCGGACGACGAGGAGCCAATCCTGGTAGCCCGCCGAGTCGCGGAGGAGTTCCGTCGCGGCAAATGAGGCCGGCTGCTGCGGTGGACGAGCGACGATAGGGGCGATGGCGGCCTCAAGGGCGGCGTCGGGCTTGGAAATAGCGCCGGGCGCGGACTTGGAAGGCATAGCGGGGGCGGCGCAAGCGTGCGAAGTTCGAGAAAAAACGAAACGGACGCGAAAGCGACCGTGCTGGTAGATTGTTTGGGCTTATAACCTATGAGAGGTAGAAGCAACGCACAGACCTGCTCAAGCAGTGGTAAGTCTCTGATCAACGGACCAAGGGAGACCAGACCAAGAAGTTGCTTGAGCAGGAGAGAGAGAGTCGCGCGGGGCCAGCTAGCTGAGAGCAAGTGTGCGAGTCTGGCCAGAATGCGGAAGATAGACGGCAAAGCCGGGTCAAGAAGGAGAATAAGGGAAGAGACACAGGGGCCATGATGCTAGAAGGAAATAAGAGAGAATTAAAGTACTTTGAGAATCTCACATAAACCCATAAATCTACATCTACATAAAAGAATGCACGACTTAAATAAGGTTCTCAGCCGCGCGCGCACGCGCGCTGATCTTTCTCTCCCCCCCCACGGTCCGGGAGGTGCGGGCGGAGCTCGCAACGACCTCCATTTACGCAGGGAGGTGGGCGCGGAGCGCCCCCCGAGCCCTAGTTATAAGGTATAAGATTGGACAGATTCTGTCAGCCAAAAAAGTCGGAAGATTGAAAAGTCCATAAATTTTGACAGGTATAAGATTGGGCGATATAAATTTTCTCAGGTCTGACTGTAGCTCGTTTTCTATAATCTCCGATGGGTCACTAAATGACACACTTAAAAAAAAGCACTTAACTTATGGTCTTTTCGGCTTTTGCTGCAAGGATTTGACGCGCCGATTCAGGCTCGCGCGCACGGACCCTTTCTCCCCCGTGGATGCTATAGCTAGTGGCTATAACTTTACATCAGTCCAACCCCCCTTTTCAAGAAACATTATTTTGCATAACCGAATATGTGAAATCTAATCAGGCTTGATACAAAAAAAAATATAGCTGTGCTTCCCACACACGCGGGCTCACGGGCGGTACTCGCAACGCACGTCCCTTTTTGGGCCTTCACTGCGTTGTCGATGTTTCCTTACCAGCTTCTGTGGCTGCGTTCACCACCTGTAGGGACAGGTGCGTTCCTCACTCCCAAGACTACCTCCCAGCTGACGAGGTCGCTGATCGAGAGTTCCATCTTGCCGGACGTTCACAGCTGCTAGCACCTCGTTATGAAACCCTCGACGTGGCTCGCTTAGAGTAGCTCGGGGTAAGTGCTTCGATACACCCAAGCTTGTTGCACGGTGTACTTTGCACTTGGATCCCTGCAAATTCTTTGTGGGGGCATTTTGCTCCGGGCCCTTGTTGGGCAACGAGCTAAATCGCATATCTCTCAGCAGACCCTTTGCCGTCCTTTGCACCAACCGCGCCCAACTGTCTTTATACAGTGTCTTGCCTTTGTCGCAAAGGTATGCTGAGACGATCAGTGGACTTGCTCCATCATCAGTTGCAGCCGACTGACATCCAGAAGCTTGGGTCGCAAAGCTCCCATTTGTCATCCCGCCCACCATCCCTGTGTATCACCAAGAAGTTCGGCCCACCTCTGCCGTTTAGATCAATCTCTTGCGGTTTTCCCCAGAAGGCTGGGTTTTCGCCGCTTGAGGTATTTGTTTAACAACTCCTACACCACCAATGTTGTCCTTCGTCTTGCTGCAACTCGAACCACTATTCCGCTACGACTCGCGCGAGTGGTCAGGAGAGTCGAAGTGCACTTTGTGCAATTTAGTGGGTTCCGTGCCATTTTATAATGCTTTTGCAACAGCAACCTGATTTCAGTGCTATTATGTGTATAACCGCGCTTGAGCGATCAATGCCTGGTAGTACTGGTATATGCTTGCATTCCACTCATATTACGCAGTGCTAAGTACTAGGCTACTGCCAGCCAAACAATCTATTCTGAGTCCTCTTCTTACGTATCATTCGGCGCCAAGTGTTCCTAAAGTGCCAGGCCTCCGGGCCTGCCTCGAGCGAGTCTTTGGCCACTGCTTCGCCACCTGAAAACGGAAGCATAACCAACCCCCCCCCCCCCTGCCCGCTGCGGAAACAACCCGTGTATGTCGCAACATCTGATGATTGAGAATTTGAGACTCACCGGAGAACTCCGCAATCGGGGGCATCACATCAGCAACTTTAACACGCGCGCTTCAGAACAATTCAGAGCAATTCAGAGCCGATCTAGAACAATCCGGTGTAAGGCCCGTGCGCCTGGGCCTTAAAAGAGGGGGCGCGCGCCTGGGCACTCTTAGTCTCTCCTCAGCGACTAACGTAGAGTGTCCAGGTGAGCCCAAGTGGATCAGGAGGCATTGTTGTAGTAGCGACTAACGTAGAGTGTCCAGTGTCAATCCTACATACTTTGGTCCTGTGATCCTATCGTCGTCGCTCCGGTGTACACTCCTACGGGGTGTATTACACTTTTTTTTTCACATCGGTCAAAGACGCACACCGCCACGTGCGCCGGAGAGACAATTCTGAAGGTGGCCAAGCTGCAGGAGCCGTTGGAAGTGGTGTTGGGGTTCAATTTTCTCACGAAGCACAAGGTGAACATCGATTGCGAGAACCACCAGATCCGGGTCCCACACCCTGACACTCCCAACGTGACGATCGACCTGCTCGCGCCGATGTTTGGACCGCATCCCCAGCAACGCACGGAAAGGGGCGCCAAGCGGAGCAACAAGGCGCGGATCAACTGGAATGCTGTCATCACATACATCGACGGGGTGCAACAAAAGGAGGCGGAGCGCGCGGCAAGGCTACGCTTAAGCTTAGTTAGTTAACTAACTACGCCACCGCAAATAGTTAACTAACTATCCCAACTATTGAGGCATAGTTGATAGTTAGTTAGTTCTGGCTCGGAGGATATCATAGTTAACTATTGTAACTATGGCAACTATAGGCCCCAGTCGAAGTGCTGGAAGTGCAACACCAAATTTCCTAGACACCTAGTGTTCGATCAAACAGCTCCAGTGCAGCTCCGATACCCGAGCCTGATGAGCCAGGAAGTATCCGCCAGGTACCAAATTATAATTAGTAAAAACTGCTGCAGCGCTCATGCCACACTATTACTCCGCCCGCGGGCGAGGCCTGGTCCCCAGAGTCTTTCGCGCCAGAGAAACAATTTAGCTCGATGATGATGATGTGTAGGTCTGTCATGTAGAATCAGATTACTGTTGTCAACGGTTGTTCGAGTTCATATATACTAGGGAAAAGGACAAAAATGCCCTCGAAAGATAGCGAAAGGACAAAAATGCGCTTCTTTTCATGAGGACAGAAATGCCCTTCTCAAAAGGACAAAAATGCCCTCGGATTCCAGACTTCTGTAATACTCGATATATCAGCTCAGAACCAAGAGGGTAGCTTCTTGTAGTCTTTGTGATCAGCGCCGTATACTCAGAATCTCCAGAGGTGCCGTGAGAAGTTAGTTATCACGGTCGCAAAGGCAGGGGCCTATTGCGACTGAAGCGAGGCCCCGTTGAAAGCGATGGGTATAGACCGCAGTGAATTACCATATGAAACAGACCAGCACGCCTTCAACGTGTAGTAGTATTGACACTTTTGACACCTTATACTCAGATTCAAATGTTCGATCTATCTATCGCATGTAACTCGGTTGTGTCCGGGCCTTTTACAGAGGCCACAGATCGTATCACGCTTGGCCCTCTCGTCCGCACCCCGGACCCTGCGCTTGGTTGGACGTCCTGTACGTCTGGGAAATTGTGGCGGAATGATAATGGCACCTTCTTCTTCGCCAGTCGAGTCACTATCGTCCTCATCATCCGTGACCTCGTGTCTTCCACACGACGTGCCAACGACGCGTGTCAGACTTACGGAACGTCGAGCTGGTTCTGGTCATCAAGCGCATATCAATAGCCTGCATCCGTGAGCTCCTTCTTTTCGTAGAGATTTTTCCCCTTCTTAAAACAATGTTCCATTGTCGAAAGTCGGTGGTGACTTCGGCGTCCGGGCCGGGGGCGAGATGCGGAAGGAGACCAACGTCGATGCGTGAACTCGCGCGCCTCGACGCGTCGACGATCGATGAGGCCCCTGACTTTTCGACCGTGATAACTGACTTCTCACGGCACCTCTGGAGATTCTGAGTATACGGCGCTGATCACAAAGACTACAAGAAGCTACCCTCTTGGTTCTGAGCTGATATATCGAGTATTACAGAAGTCTGGAATCCGAGGGCAATTTTGTCCTTTTGAGAAGGGCATTTCTGTCCTCATGAAAAGAAGCGAGGGCATTTTTGTCCTTTCGCTATCTTTCGAGGGCATTTTTGTCCTTTTCTCTATATACTATACTATTACACTATAATAAGAGGGTAGTTTGAGAGCAAGGCATCAAGCGGATCTCATAAGTCGGTGGCAGAACCAGAGGTTCAATAGGCTCAATACAACCAAACAATTGTTGTATACTGCTGAGCCGTATGGGGTAATTGCGCTGGTAAGCCCTCAACGACGCTCGGCGTGCGCCATTATTAGGGGCCATTTTGATAGTTTTGCATAGTTAACTATCCCAACTATAGTTAGTTAACTAACTATTGGGTCATAGTTGATAGTTAGATAGTTATGGCTGGAAGATGGGATTTTACACATAGTTAACTAACTAACTATGGAGCAACTAAGCTTAAGCGTAGCCTTGGCGCGCGGAACTGCGACGGCGGGAAGCGAAGCTACGAGCGGAGTTTGCGGATCGATTCCCGAGCGACATCCCACCAGTGTCAAAGTACGAGTCACCAGTCCGACACCGCATCGAGCTCAAGCCGGGAGCGAAGAAGCCGAACTTGAAGGGTTATCGCACACCGCACCGTTATCGAACAGCATGGAAACGACTTCTGGACCAGCACATCGCCGCCGGGCGTATACGGAAGTCGTCATCCGAATACGCGTCGCCATCGTTCATCATCCCAAAGAAAGGCATGGAGAAGGACGAGTCGATCTTACCGAGATGGGTCTGTGACTACCGTGAGCTCAATGAGGGAACTGTTCAGGACCGCACCCCCCTACCACTTCCAGACGAGATTCTGTCGGTCTGCTCGAAGGCCTGATTCTGGGGGAAAATTGACATGACTAATTCGTTCTTCCAAACCAAAATGGCGGAGGACGACATCGCAAAGACGGCGGTCACAACGCCATGGGGCCTGTTCGAGTGGACCGTGATGCCCATGGGACTCTGCAACGCGCCAGCAACACACCAGAGGCAACTAGGGGATCTCATCGGGGAAGTGTGCTTCGTGTACCTCGACGACATCACCATCTTCGCCAACACGTTGGAGGAACACGAACGGCGAGTACGACTGGTCTTGGACGCATTGAGGAAGGCAGACCTGTATGTCTCATCCAAGAAAACGGAACTCTTCGCGGACGAGTGTTTCTTCCTGGGCCACCAGATCACGCGCGCAGGCATCAGTGTCGACCCCGATAAGGTACAACGTATCCAGAACTGGCCGCGACCAACGACCGTCAGGCAACTTCGGGGTTTCCTGGGCTTGGTGCAGTATCTGCGGAAGTTCATCAACAAACTCGCGAACTGGACGGCGATCTTGGTCCCGCTGACGCGGAAAGGGGCGCAGGTCGATAAGGGCTGGACAATGGAGCACGAAAAGGCCTTCAAAGCAATCAGGGCAATTGTTGGCGAGCTACCGTCACTGCACCCAATTGACCGCTGAGAAGAAGGCGACCCACTGTGGCTGATGACGGATGCAAGCAACCAAGGCATCGGCGCGGCGCTGAGTCAAGGTAAAGAGTGGCAGACGGCCATGCCGGTGGGCTATTGGTCACAACAGTACAACCCGGCGGAACGCAACTACGCGGCGCATGAGATGGAACTACTGGCAATCGTGGAGGCGCTCCACCACTGGCGAGCGGACCTGCTGGGCGTGCGCTTCAACATCCTCACGGACCATCACTCCCTGGCGGGTTTCATGAAGCAAGGGAACCTGTCGCGCCGACAAGCCCGGTGGACAGAACGACTGGCAGACTACGACTTCGAGATTGTGTACGTGCGGGGTCCAGAAAACACAGTTGCTGATGCCCTGAGTCGCTACTCTTTCCCGGGAATCAACGACTCAGCCAACGTCCTGGCGGAAGCCCGACTTGACCCAGCATTCCTTCGGGCGCTCAGGAAAGGATATCGAAAGGACTCACAATGCAGACACGCGATCAGGAACATCGACTCCACGCCAGGATATTCACTCAGGGACGGGATCGTGCGATTTGAAGGTCGAATTCTACTGCCAAAGACGGGCGACTTCCGGGAGAAGGCCATTCACGACGCACACGACGCGGCGGGCCATTTCGGCTTGCACAAGACGTACGATCACCTCCGCCGCAACTTTATCTGGTCGGGAATGAAGGAGGCGTGCAAGGAATACGTTGAGTCCTGTTCTGTCTGTCAGACGATGAAGATGCATGGCACCGGTTCTGCCGGTCGGATCCACAACTTGAATGTGCCTGACCGGCCAATGCGGGAAGTTGGCCTAGACTTTTTCGGGCCACTTATACCTAGCAACGGTAATGACGCACTGCTTACGGTCACAGATCGCCTCTCAGGCTATGTGCGACTCATCCCAGCCAAAACGACGGACGATGCGGCAACGACAGCCGAGCGGTTCTTTGACGGGTGGCATCGACACTTTGGCATGCCGCGTGTGCTAGTCTCCGATCGCGACAAACTCTTCACAAGCGACTTTTGGACGGCATACATGGGGCGGATGGGGACCAAACTTGCGATGTCAACGGCATTTCACCCACAAACCGACGGGCGGAGCGAACGAACGAATTGAACGGTGATCCAGGTCCTGCGTACATTGGTCAACCGTCAACAAACCGACTGGGCCAAGCACATTGCGACCGTTGAATTCGTGATCAACTCGAGCCTGAACAGATTAACGGGGAAGACTCCCTTCGAAGTGGTTTTGGGTTTCACTCCTGAGCTGACTCCAATCATCCCCGTGGAAGGCTCAACGGTGTCACAAGCGGTCGAGAACATGGTCACCCAGCGGGAAGCGGCAGCGGCAGAAGCAAAGGACAATATGGCAATTGCGAAGATCCGACAGGCCGAACAGAGCAACAAGCTGCGCAAAGCAGACCCGGAGTTCGCGGTGGGGGACAAGGTATTGGTTGACTCGCGCGACCGGCGGCTCCGGTACAAGGCGGATGATGAAGCTCGCTCGGCGAAGTTTTTCCCACAATTTGATGGTCCTTACGAAGTGCTGGCAGTGCGGCCCGAGACCTCGAACTACAAACTCAAGCTGAACCCGGGTGACAAGACGCACAGCATCTTTCACGTGTCCAAACTCCGACGTTGGGTACCAAACAATGGGGACGCATTCCCAGGACGACACGCCGCGGAGCCACCAGCTGTCATTGTCCAAGGGAACGAGGAATGGGAGGTAGAACGTATCGTAGACGCGAAGGGGAAAGGGAAGAGGAGGAAGTACTTGGTAAAGTGGAAGGGTTGGGCAGACAGCGACAACACTTGGGAACCGCGGGCACACTTGGAGGACACGGTGGCGTTGGAGAGGTGGGAAGAGAGGAGAGGAGAGGGTCAAGATCAGGAAGGGGAGGGTGTAAGGGCGGGCGGGGGTTTAGAATAGGTGGTGGAGAGTGTAAGGCCCGTGCGCCTGGGCCTTAAAAGGAGGTGGCGCGCGCCTGGGCACTCTTAGTCTCTCCTCAGCGACTAACGTAGAGTGTCCAGGTGAGCCCAAGTGGATCAGGAGGCATTGTTGTAGTAACGACTAACGTAGAGTGTCCAGTGTCAATCCTACATACTTTGGTCCTGTGATCCTATCGTCGTCGCTCCGGTGTACACTCCTACGGGGTGTATTACATCCGGGCGTAAAGCGCATTCAGCCCTGCGCTGCTAGATTGCTCTAGATTTTGTCTGGAAATCAGACATTCAGAGCGCTTCCAGAGCTTCCAGAGCATTTCCAGTGCCATTTCAGACCAATTATGACATATTCAAGTAGGGTTATGTGCAATGGTATGATCACATTGCATATACAGAGAAGGGGGTTAGACTCTACGTTCTTCTACGAGCACAAATTAGGCAAATCCGAACGAAGCCGCTTCAGCGGCGGCCTCAGCCGGGCCTCCATCAATCGACGAAGTTCTTTGTGCCCAACCCAAGCTGCGACGCTAGTCCACACACATTGCGATGACACCCCTGTAATCGAGGTATACGAACCATCATAGCAGTGATCCATGATCTTGAAGACGACTGGTCCGTAGACCTCCGCAGAGAACTTGTCCGCCGTGTAAAGCAACTTGCCCAGCACGCACCGCAGCTAAAGCCACCAAGAAGTTGCATGGAATGTCAGAGACCCTCTCATGTTGGAATGACCTGATGATGCAGCAGGTGCTTCTGAATCTCCGGGCAAACATGTGGCTTACCGTGGCAACAATGACATCATTGACGGTGAAGGACGCGATCGGAAGCTTTGTGTAAGGCCCAGTCGTGGGGCCTTGCAAGTAACAGGATACGAGTATGTATTCCAAAAAATAAACTGATCAGAAGGGAAGAGAGGGTCTATTTCCCGACAAGGCTTAAAGCCAGACGCGCGTCAGGCCTTGAGTAACTACGGAGTATTACAGCGAATGGATCTATCAGAATAGCCCCTGTCATGATTTTGGTCAATTGAATCAACAGTATAGCTTCAGTCCTTCGAGAGTAGATTATAATACTGCAAACAGGTGTTGAGAGCAAATCATGTCTTTATGTATCTATTGCAGGTCGAGTACTTGGTATACTGATACCTAGAGTTTGTAATAGGAAGAATAGCAACCAAGGTCCTGACATTGTTACACCTCACCACAGCACTCCTCCAAATTTTAAGTGTCAACTTCATCAAACTTTGCTAAGTTCATCAAACAGCGCCATTTTTAGCGCCATTTTGTGCCATTTTGTGCACTTTAGCGGTTTAGCGGCTCGAGATTTATTTAGTGGCGTTTAGCAAAGTGGCAAAGTTGCTGATGCGGGTGGGCTCGACGCAGGCAAGCGCGACCAACCCTTCTTGGCCTTGCGGAGCGAAAATGTTGGAGACTGTAACACTCTCTTTAGCCAGAACTAACCACTTAATAGTCGTCATCTGGTATCACCTTTCGTCTTCTGCCTCCCACCGGACGAAAGGTGATTGAGACGGACGGCGCTCAAGTCGGTCCGCGAGGGTCAGATTTCTTTCGATGCTTTTTCTGTACAATGCAAACCCGAAAATGAATTTCAATGCTTTTTCTGTACTATTGGTATATTGGTGAGAGTTTTGTCAATATCCTCAAAAATCAGAGGGAGCGGTGATGCGGAGCAACGTGCGGCGGGTGGGCCGACGAACAAAGGAGCCCCTATATAGCATTTGAAATGTCAGTATATCATGTGTATGCTGCAATCAATGGCACGCACTTGCTGGATAAAATTTATGGCTGTGTTTGCAATGACTACATCAGGATGTGAGCACTACTGCCTGCCGTGTGGTACAAGACTCTGACTAGTGTGTATAAGACCGTGACAGCGACGACAATTCATTGCACAAGTTGCTACTTCAGTAACTAAGTGTGACGATGTGGTGGATCTAGACACTTTCCAGAACGATTCAGACGATCCGGTCATTTTGTGAGCGGTAAAGTCATTTAGACAGATCTAGCCGCCATCGGGAAGTGGTAAAGTTGCTGATGTTAGTGATACACAGGGATGGTGGGCGGGATGACAATTGGGAGCTTTGCGACCCAAGCTTCTGGATGTCAGTCGGCTGCAACTGATGATGGAGCAAGTCCACTGATCGTCTCAGCATACCTTTGCGACAAAGGCAAGACACTGTATAAAGACAGTTGGGCGCGGTTGGTGCAAAGGACGGCAAAGGGTCTGCTGAGAGATATGCGATTTAGCTCGTTGCCCAACAAGGGCCCGGAGCAAAATGCCCCCACAAAGAATTTGCAGGGATCCAAGTGCAAAGTACACCGTGCAACAAGCTTGGGTGTATCGAAGCACTTACCCCGAGCTACTCTAAGCGAGCCACATCGAGGGTTTCCACTGAGGGCCGTTGAGAGCGGGGAATTCCACCCTCAGAGGGGAATACCCGAGGTCTCGTCTGGTATTTACAAAAGCGCGCCTGGGTAATACCCGACAGCCTGGTATTTCCAGGGCGCCTGGTTTTAGCATCCATGCATAATGCCGCGAGCAAATGGTGCAATTACCAAGTACGCGCGCGCGTTTACCCCCGAAGCTTGACCCATCTACCCAGGTAGTAAGGTGCAAAGTTCACTTACAAATGGTGCATTCTTCGCGCAAGTTTGGTGCGTTTGCCCCGGAAGAAAGGTGCGTTTACCAATTAAGGATGGTGCATCTACCACGTAGCGGGGCAATCCGCTGTATCTCGTGTAGTATGCCATGTTTCACACTGAAACTTGACGAGCTCTCTTACAAGATCATCAAGTACGTCCACCCTTGGTAAGAAGCACTCTCATCGGGATCTCATGTAGTTGAAAATCGTGCCCGTACTCCCTCCGAGTCCCCCGGGCTCGGCGAACTTGACCCCCACTGCAGGCATCGAAATATTCACTCTTCCTTTTACTGGGTACTACAACGGGTCAAGTGATCCGAGCATGCGTGCCACTGCCCATGCAAAGTAGCTCTGCATCCACTGCACAGCTGCGCATCGCCGCATGCGACCTTGGTCAATTTGTCGGGGTGCAGTGCATGCAGTGACGCGGACTCACTGCAATGATCTGTCACGTGACTCACGTCTCCGGGTCACTCCATCCGACTCAACCCTCTTGCCGCAATTTGGATGCTATGCTATCCAACAGGTTAGGTTGTCTGACTCTGACCGCTCAATCTGAGGATTGCTTCGCGATTCGCCCAAACTGAGTGAGCATAGTGATATCGCCCGCGGGTTTGGATACGGACCGGTGGTCATTCGCAGCCTGCCTGACGCGTCGCGTCGCGCCAATCGACGACTTCTACTTCCGACTCATGCTCACCGCGCCACGCCAGTTCCTACCACCCGTTGCCCTCGACCGATACTCGCCTTGGTTGCAATGATCGTGTCGCATACGTCATGTCCAGTCAGCAGATGAGTGCATCCCTCCAGAACAAGGGTGGCCGGCCCCGCATTAGGACCCGACCAATCGACGTGACCCACCTGCACGTGGCGCCTCCGTGACGTCCTCGACCAACGTCTACCCAGAAGAAAGACTTGTGTGAGCCGTCACCTGATCTCATTGGCCAATCTCCCTCAGTGACGCACTCCAATCAAACCTCAATGACTCCTGAGGGCTGCTCCGACGATGTCGACTCGAACGCCGACTCAGACCCCGCCATCGACGACTCCGAAGCCAGCTCCTCCGATGGCGGCGAAGAAGCCATGGATCGACTGCGCCAAGTCGTCAACCTCCTCGAAAATTGTGCACCCAACCATCTACAGCTGGAGTATGACACAATGCAAGCCAAACGTCAAGCGATCATGTCGTCGAACCGCCTCTGGTCGGCGGAAGAGAAAGCCGACTACGGCAAGGGCCGCTGATTCTTGGCAACCGAAAGAAAGCAGACGAATGTAAGCTCAAGGACACCAGACCAATTCTCGAGCTTCCTTTGTACATAGACACCGAAGTATGTCGGTGGTGGTTCCAGGCATAAGCAGTCATTGGTGGCTAGTCGAAGTTGCCGAGTGGAAAGCAGAATTGACAACATTCTTCCTCAACAATCCCCCTCCTATCCTTCATTGAACCAACCGGAACGAGAGCATGAATGGACAGCGTGCAAATAGGAACGTTGTGTCGCCGTAGTAGAAATTCGTCACGGTGCTCCATCGATCTCTTTCTTTCAGCATCCGGCGAATCACATGGCATTGATCGAATGGCACCCGCGGATCGGCGAAAATTTGCAATCCACTTGGAATAAATCACGCAAAGAAGTGCTTCGCATATTGCACCAGTGCTCGGGCGCTTGCATGCGCTACACTTGAGACGATAGGAAAATATACTACAATGCGCGGCCGAAGGACAAAGATATCGAGCGCGAATGCTCTTCACCCTTGAAGGTGAGTTGGCCAAAACTTCAGACTTAGAGATCCTTCGTTTGCTGTCTTTGGGTTCGTGGCTTTTGCGCATGCGCTGACACCCATTTCGTTACCTGCACTCTGCTTTTGTAAGATTATGATTCCAGCCAGCAATGTCTCGGTCGCCTTGATCTACAGACTTGGCAACCATGAGGGCCGGGTGACTCTAGAATCGGTCAGGAAACCGGCCACGGTTATGCGGACTATCGCTCGTCAGATAGTGCTTCGTTGTGGCAGCACCCGTAACACTGCGTTCCAAGGTGAATCACAATCATCATGATGTGTCCAAGAGAAAGCTGTACTTGTCTGCTGATCGCATCGCTGACTCGGGTTCGTTCACAATTTACGCGAGAAGGTGTTGTCCGACTATTGCAAGAAGTGGGAGAAGATCCACCGGGTCACTCGCCATCCTAACCGGGCCATTTGGGCCAAGCAAATCAAAAGACGCGCGTACGTGTTGGACGTTGTTGTACATACTCGCTTGCGGTGTGACATGGAGTCGGAAGCAAACTCTGAGCCCACCCCCCCTCCCCTCCCCTCCCCTCCCCTCGGTTTGACGGAGGGGACTGAAGCTCCTCCTCCAGCTCCTCCTCCAGCTCCTCCTCCAGCTCCTCCTCCGCTTTGCGGTCAGGCATTCTACTGTTGATCTCAATGAACTGATCTTAATGACAGTTCAAAGTTGCTTTATATTGAGGCTGACACTCATGTGTATGCCTCAATATAACCCACTCGCGCTCAGGGAGAGTTTGCTGGAGCTCGAAATAAAACCCCTGGGATCGCCCAAGGTTGAAATTTTCGCGCCTACCCCCATCCTAATTGATCCTTCCATCGGCACGATGGACACCACTCATTCCAATTTCGATCCTCAACGTATCACTCCGTTGGTTTCGCGAAACCCGCGAAACTCCCCAGCACCGTCAAGCGCAACGATTGGTCTGATGCCAGCTACGCCACCAATGAGACTCCAAAGGGTCGTAAAAGGTCGACCCTACTCCCTCCCTGCCGGTGTCCGAGCCACTCGAGGTCGTTGGTTCCTTGTCAAGGTATCAAAGACGTACACTAGCCGCCCGGTCAACTATCCCTATATTGTTGGAATCAACGATGATTCCGAAAATGATCAACAAAAGAAGAAGAACGGCTGGACCAGGAGTCGAACCTGGGTCGTTTCCATTAATCGGAAAAGCTTTGACCTCTAAGCTATCCGGCCCCTGATATCAGTGCAAGGTCTACTAACACCTTCAATACTTCCCCTTAGACCTTTGCACTGCTGCCAGGCTATTGCAATGCGTCGACTCTAAGTCCCAATTGGACTCTGTGTCAAGCTTCTGCGGCAGCTCCGGCAGCTATGTGCTGCGTCATTGGAAAGATTTACAAGAAAGGTTCTATAATAGATCCTCACATATATCCGCAAGCGCCCAAGTCCTTGCCAATCGAAGCGCAAGAGGGAAGAACCCTCTTTCCAAGCTGCGCGGTTTTGCTCAAGCCTTGCACTTAATGTCGGGCTCGCAAGACGAATTTGATGCTGAAGTCACTTGCTCAAGGTATAGGCTCTTCCCAAATTGCAGCGGATCCTTGTCACCAGAACACTCACACTCACATTGGTCATGGTTTAGTGACTCCTTGAGCAGCTGCAAGAAGAAGAGTGAGATCGTCGATCCTAAGCCGTGCCATGATGAGTAGAACTGCAGGAAATGTACATGCTGAGGTGATAGTTGCAGCTAGTGACCATTGCGAGAGCTCTTGGTGATGTGCTAGATAAACTAGGACAGGTTCGATGATATGAAGAGGCAATCAATGATCTTCGTTGTCCAAGTTGCTGGGGCTAGAAATCATGCGGCAAGGAATACTATACTACAAGGTGTCCCATGCCATATGGACAGATTCAGCAGCACCAACATGATTGGTGCTCTTAGTTTGGTAAGAAGAAAAGGTGGCTGAACTGAATCCGGGGGCCTTCGCCGAACTTAACCCGGGGGGATTTGTTACTCGGTCCGGACCATGGCCGCGGCCGGGACGAGGGCCGCCCTGCCAGTACGGGCACGATTTCCAACTACATGGGATCCCGATGAGAGTGCTTCTTACCAAGGGTGGACGTACTTGATGATCTTGTAAGAGAGCTCGTCAAGTTTCAGGGTGAAACATGGCATACTACACGAGATACAGCGGATTGCCCCGCTACGTGGTAGATGCACCATCCTTAATTGGTAAACGCACCTTTCTTCCGGGGCAAACGCACCAAACTTGCGCGAAGAATGCACCATTTGTAAGTGAACTTTGCACCTTACTACCTGGGTAGATGGGTCAAGCTTCGGGGGTAAACGCGCGCGCGTACTTGGTACACATGCGCGCGCGAAAATTATGGCACCCTTAAGGCATCCCTACGGCTCCATACGGCGCCGCCATACGGCCTTCCTAATCATTTAGGCGAATAGCCATATGGCCCATATATGGCCAGCCCATAGGGCACGAATACGTGTGAGCCATATGGCAGCCGTAGGGCGGCTTGATATAGCCCCCCGAAGGAAGCCATAGTGAGACGATAGGGTGGCCTTACTGTAGAAGCATGGACGCAATGTGGTACACGTAGGGTATGAATGAGGAGACCAGGTGGACGCTGTAGCAATGCTGGACCAGGTGCTGTAGGTACATATTGCTCTCTTCTTGCTCCTGTAGACTTATTACACGAAGCAACATTCATTGCAAACACTAAAAACATGTTAATACAAGTCTAAAAAACCCCGTCACCCCAAGTCGCGCCCAAGTCCCCTTGCACACGTCGAATCCTTCAGAGAGCTTGTTCGATAGCGCGTTGCTTAGGGTTGCCCGTCCTCGATCTGCTTCTCATCTTTGGTGGTCTTGGTCTTCTTCGTCTTCCTCGCCTTTCCTGAAGCAAAACCCATCTCCTGGACTGCGTCCTGTGTTCGCTCCGGGGATCGTTCGTCAGTCCAAGTTCGGCATGTGGTCGACTGAGGGCGCCACTCACCGCTACGCGGCTTGCAAAGCTGAGGTTGTTGGCGGGATCATCGACAACTTCAGAACAGACCGCTTGTATCGTGTGTTCGCTGAGCGTATTCTGGCCTGCCGTGCGGATGCCGGAATGTCGCTTCATCTTGACCGTGACCATGTCGAAGAGAAACCTTGTACGCGCCAAGAAAGTCGCCAAGTGTCAGCATATTCGATCATGCCATGTACCTCACCATGAAGCACGAAGCTCACGTTTGATGATCAAACCCCCCACTTCTCTTGTAGCCGCCCGCGAGGTGTGCTGTCGCGGCGTCTTTGGCGAGGCTGTCACCGTAGCGCTTGAGCTTGTTCGCGAAGTTGTTGGCCTTGGAGTCTTTTGGGTCGAAGATGTTTGGAGCCTTCATTGCCTGCCACTGGTATCGTGATTACAAGCGCAGGTCAGGATCGAGGGTGGAGGCGAGCTCTTCATATATACGCACCAGTATACTCCACCAGATGACGTGTCCTTGGGTTATGGCAACCTGTTGGCCTTTGTACCATTGCTGCATGGTACGGCCGAGAGTAGCTTTGTCCTTTTGAGCTTTATTGATCTGGGAAGAGTTGTAATTTTGTCAGGACCGCTCGGAGACCACAAGACGCGAGGCGTCTGCTCACGTGTCGGAGGAGATCACTACGACCCTGCACCAACAGAGCCGGAATGCTCGAGAGCAGGTTCTGGCGGAACGTGAGGTTCTTGCTGTACGCTTCGCCGGGGACGATGCCGCTTTTCGTCAAGACCATCTGCGGGTGATGAAGCCTTTGTGAGACAATCGTGCGCTGGTACCGAAGTGAAGGTCACGTACTGCAAAGGACTCGGCCGAGGCCAATTGCTTGTAAAAGTATGGGGTAGCCACAAATACTTTTACAGCGGGTGGGAGTCGGTTCTGCCAATGGTTGTGGAATACGTCTCGTCAGTTGGATCTATGTTTCGCGTCCTCGCACGTGGAGATCACACGTACCTTAAGATGGTCGATGCTAGGCGTGTTGATGAACACAATCACTGGCTCTAGCATGGCGCGTAAGGCCTGGAGCTCGCGCCGTATCTGGCCAAGCTCATCCTCAAGGCTCTTGGCATCACACTCTTCGGTCGAGGACTGTAAGATTGGCAGGCCAACGACGGTCGATGCCAGAGAGCAGTGGGTCATGACTCTTGTCAGTGGCGCGAAGCGTGGCGGATGATCGCATCGGTCACAGCTCACCTTGCAAGGGTTATCCATATGCGCTTGTGCGCCTTTCAACTGGCGAGTACAGACCTGCAGGAGACGCAATGGCAGTCAGCAGGATGCGGATTCCTCTCAAGGCACACAAGAGCGCACCTCGAACGTGTCGTCGGGCTCGTCGTCAACGTCCGAGCAGACGACCTTCGTCTTGGCTAGTTTGGACCAATCTCCACCTAAGGCCGTCCCGGATGGCACGTTGTCATCCTTATCACTGCCGTCCCCGTCACCAGAAGCTTCAGAGCTCTGTGCGGGTTTACACTTCGTCAGTGTCGTCTTACTGCTAGACTAGAGGAAAGCCAGGCCGGGCTCGGACGTACGTCGGATTCCGAGCTTAGATTCAAGCGAGAGGAAGATGAGTCGGGCTTGGTATCGACCTTCTGCACGTCCAGGCGTTCCTGATTGGCGGGAGGTTTAGCTTGGGAGATTTAGCTTTTAGACGAGTATCTGTGATCTACCTTACCTCTGATTCTGGATTGACCTCATCGACCTCGTCGGCAACTCCCCAGGCACGTTTGCGCTTGGTTCCGTTCTCTGAGGGAGCCTGTTTGCGCTGCACCTTGAACAAACGACAGGACGTCAGCCGAGACTAAACCAGATCACAGAGTCGTATTCTCAGCTTGCGCGACATACCACCGAGTCCTCGAGGTTGAGGCCATGCGATGCTTCGGGTTCGAGGTGCGCGGAGGCCGCGTGGCGAGCGGATGGGCCGACAACGGCGACATGGCTCTTTCCATCAGAAATCGGCTCAAACAGAAGTGAGGCACTGTTTTTCGCGGTAGTGGTGGCAGCCGTCAAGGTCTTCGTGTGAGGGGTGGGGACGCCAAGTGGCGGCGTGATGATGGTGGGGTTCTCGTACGACGTAGTGGTAGTGTCGTCCGCAGGCTCATGTTGGGACTTCTTGGCTGGATCCTCGTTGGTCACGTCTTTTAGTGATTTGCCCGTGGTCTTGGGAGCTGCCACCTTCTGTTGCGTCGTTTGGGGTCGTCGAGCAGGCGCACGCTGGAGTGGACGTGTCGGTCAGCCGGTGTCGACCCAAGTCGAGTGCGCCAGAAGAGGTCGAATGGAGCACGTGGGGTATGATCTTGAAGCACAGCGGTGAAAAGGACCTACCATGATGTCGGAGGCAGCGCCTCGAGCGCAAAGACGCCTGTGGGTGATCGGAAGTGGGTGGCACGACGTCAAGAGGCGAATCAGCCGAGGTCACGTTCGCCGTCCGGGCAAAATTAGCGCAAGGCCTGACGTCGACTCCTCCATAGTGCGCGCTGTTTGTGGCGTTTGTTTTAGGATGGAAGAGTCGAGTTGCAGTGATAAGAGAAAAACCCGCACTCCGTAACAAACGGAGGGTTTTCTAAACAGGAGTTATGAACAAGTAGGGTGGGAGGGAGGAGCTCAAAAAAATGGTCGATCGGCTTTGCTCAAAGAGCGCAGGTCCGATTAGTAACTAAAACACTGCAACTGACTTGGGGGATAGGGCATACCTTTGCTCGAAAAGCGCAGGGCGATGGCAGGGGAGGAAGGCGACGCGGTAGGTAGACGCGGCCAAACGAGGTCTGTATACAAGGTAGCCCCATGAGTCAACTTGCCCAACAAGGACAAGGAATTTGGCAACATGCCCAACAAGGACAGTCGTGATCCGGAATGCGAACCTTAGCTAGAAACAGCGAGCCGCGATAGTGCGAGTCTCGAAAAGTTCGCCCTTGCTCTAAGCAGTGGGTGCGATACGACCTTGCAAAGCAGCGGGTACGGCGGCTGCTTACAACGTAGTGGCAGGCTAGCTCATCAGTCCAACTGTCCAACAAGGGCAGAGGGCTTACGAGGGATGTTACCCACTTTGAGTGAGTAGAGACTGGCAGGGGGGGTGCCGGAACCACAACACGAAACGCTAAGGCGTGCGGGACGACGAGGGAGAGGGAGAGGAAGGGCCCGCGCGCGCCAGCGGGTGAGCAAGGCGGGAGGCCCAAGGGGGCCGAGAAGAGTGCGTGCTGGCACAGGGTCCAAAGAATGCGTGTTCGAAGAGTGGAGCGCGAGCGGGCCCCGTTAGGCCGAGACCAGCGCGCTTGAGCTGTCCGCGTCAAAATCTTGCAGCAAAGGCCGAAAAGACTATCAGCCCGCAGGCCGCTGCGTCGCAGCAGGCTCTGCTACTGCCCGATCGAAGGTCTCGGGCGCTGCAACCCGTTTGACTGACGCCTAGTGGAACTGTGGAACGCACGACGGGTTCAATGGATCACGATCGTCATGAGTGGTTTTTGTGTGCTCTTCAAGTTGGGCATCTTTGGCTCCTGGGCCTCGATCATGTCGACAGCGCGGCAAAATTGACGAATTCGCGATAGAGCCGCGTGCGTTGGATCAAACGCCTTCTCGTGTACGAGTTCGTGTTCGACGACATTCACAATGGCAGGACCGCACGAGAAGGTATCTTGTTGTTAAGGTGCCCTTGTCGTCGTACCGTGATTCACATCGATGTTGAGATTAAGTACTTTGAAAACTTGTGCGTCCAGAGCGTAAGTTAGAGCGGCGACCGTGAGCTTCCTCGAGGAAAGTGAATTGTGTATGGACCAGGCTCCATGTTTCACAGCAATCCTTCCCAGGAACCAGTGATTTTCGTCACAGATTGGCAAAAACCAGACCGAGTCGGGGTGTGCCCTGATGAACTGGGCGGTGCTCGCGATCCCGACGCAGTCGTGCCTTGCCCAGTCGGCTAAGCCACAATTCCAACTGATATTGTCCAAGCAAACGTTGAACATCAGATGAGTAAGAGTGGGCGTGAGAAGGGTGAACTTACTGAGCAAGTTCACAAGTCGCTTATGCCCAGCTGAGCTCGTTCAAGTTGCCCAAGGCTGGCACATCAGCAAAATGGGCACTCGGCGCGCACCGCTTAAAGGCGCTTAAGCCCCGCTTAAGGACGCTTAACAAGACGCGGGGCTTAAGGACGTCTTGTTAAGCGTCCTTAAGCGTCCTTAAGCGGGGCTTAAGCGCCTTTAAGCGGTGCGCGCCGAGTGCCCATTTTGCTGATGCACGCACGGTAACTCGTGCCACGGCAAGTTTAAAAGTGCTTCCTTAGCCTTGCTGATGTAAAATTCGTCGACTACGCACTTCTTTTCGACCATCTTCATCCACTCGAGCGCGTCTTGGATTCTCCTCCGCGCTTCGCACGAGAGGGGTCAATGAAGGCGTTGCAAATTGCTGTGCCGGAAACGGTTCAGTCAAAGGCATTCGACCATTGACACAGAATCGCAGGGACCTACCGCAGCGATGTAATCGCGAGGCGACACCACGTGAAGGGAGCGTCCGTGAGTCCTCCTTCGTATACTGGCGGGGCTTGAAGAGCGGAATCTCTTTTTCCAAGTTGGCCAGAAACTTTTTGACGGAAGACGCCGCAGGAAGACCCTGCACGCCGAAGGCCTTGGCGAATGCAAGCATGTCGTCCAGCTCTTGCACGCCGACCCGGCGTTTGTGGGATCTGAGAAACACGACGATGATCATCAGCTATGTTCACAAGGGGGTCAGCTCCTGGCCGATCGCGTGATTCCGGAGCAACGAGAGTAGATCGGCGCACGTTCTGACTGGGGAAGGGATACCAGGGATGCGACGAATCGGGCACGCTTGTGTAGTTGCGCACGCTCAGCCGTGTCCGCATCGCGGGGGTGCCTGTCACCACAGCTACATACAACAAGTTGGGCAATACTTGCGTTGGTGGGAAGTTCACGAGGGGCATTGCATCATTGCTCGTCCCCGCTCACTGGTGGAGCCCGCGGTGGCCCAAGTCTGCACCCAGTCATCCGACTCATCTTCCTCCGCCTCGCCATCGATCTCGACCTCGCTGTCGGACTTGGAGCCAGTGCCCTGGGAATAGGGCGAGCAATTGCCTTCTGGAACGAAGAGGGCGTGGTTGAGAGCGGAATCCTCCTGATCACTTGGCGGGGACGGACTGGAAGCAGGCACGCGTTCAGACGACTTGATGATCTCGCCAGCGACAGCAAGCAGAGAGTGGCCTACTGTTCCGGTCTCTGCCGGATTTTCATTGAAATCGACCAAGTCGGCCTCGTCGCTGCTCGAGAGCGCCTGAGGCGTGGGTTACAGTAATCGGTTGGCCCAATTGACAGCGGCTCGACTGTTGTACGCGTCAAGGTACTTCTTGGTCGTGGCGTGCCGAACGGCGCGACGATACCACATGCGCTCGCCACCACAGTACCGGCACACATAGCCGGCAGAAGTTCGCTGAGAGGACCATTCCAAAACGAAGTCTGTGGATGATGGCGATGAGGATGATGACATGATGAAAGTGTGCGCGTCAACGCGACTGCCACGAACCGGCGGCTGGGCGTGGGTCCGAGTGCCGCAAGGAGTCAGTGCTACCACCCAGGTCGGCCGGGAACCATGACGTAGTTAGCACCCACCATTCTCCATGACTTGTTCCAAATCCCTCGACTGAACGGACATCGTGTTCGCTGTCGAGGGGTGTGTTGTGCCCGGGATTGTCAAATGGGCAAACGAAAGAGAGGGTGGGGCTCCGCGAAGGCGCCGGGGCCGTTCCAGCTGGCTCCTCTCGCCTCGTCTCTCACAACCGGTCGGGTCGGTCTCAGCCACCGCCCCCGGCACGGCCGGAGCCACCCGCAAGCCGCAGACAAGCTCCGAGTCGCCGCTCGGAGGCTGCTCGGCCTCGTATGCGACCTTGAGGTTGAGAATGAAAGAAAACATAGTCGTGTGACACAAGGGTGAAAACCCACTGTACCATGATCAGCCCTGTAGCCCGGAGTACTATCTGTGACCGAACGCAACTCTTGGGCTGACAACCATGGCTTCCGTATGGCAGCAAATTTATTCTACTGTAGTGCGACCTCATCGAGCCCGTACGGCATCCCTGCGTGTGCCATATGGCTCGTCGTTATAGAGCCATAAAACGATCCCTATCGCTCCCATATAGCTGCACGCCGGCCGCCATAGGGCTCCCCTACCCCGATGCCTGAAGGATTTTCCCGATGGCCGCCGTATGAAAGCACTACGGTGACCGTATGCGCGCGCTAGGGGCAAATCCTTATGGCCCCGCCGTAGGGAGGCGCTAGGGAAGCCCTACGGGGGCCTTAAGAATGTTATTCTTATCGAGGCATTACAAAATGCCTTATGGAATCCCGAAACTTGCCGTACGGACCCCATAGGGCAAAAGCTGCCTTATGCCCTCCATAATTTTCGCGCGCGCATGTGTAATTGCACCATTTGCTCGCGGCATTAACCCATTTTCCAAATCTGAAGCACAGCCAATGACATTCTGGTCCCCAGAGGCATTGCGTACCCCGCCACACGGTCTACCGGCATAAAAGATTGGAGTCGTGTCAAGCAGAACTGAGCAAGGAGATTTGGGAACGAGAGGAAAGGTCATTGACAGAGAATGCGACTCAGAACAGACGACGAGCGGCGACCAACAATGACAGACGCCCTGACGACGACACACGGCTTCGCCGAACCACGACCGCTTCGCAGGCTGAGCGGTCCTCGCCCTATACTCCTGCGTCCGCCCGGCTAATGAAATCAGTACTTCACAGATGCCGAGAAGTCAGGACCACTGTTCAAGAATCAGTCCGCAAGCGGCAGAAAGGCCGACGACGAACAAGATCGTCGTGATCGACGAGACAGGAGCAAACGTCTTGTGGTAGTCGATCCCCAGTCGTGGAGCAAAGCTTTGGACGACTAGACGAGCCTTGTAGCTGATGATGTTGCCTTCGGCGTCTTCCTACCAAGTAAACACCCAACGATAGCCCAGTGCACGAGCCCTGGTGGGTAGCCTCGAAAGCTTGAAAACCTTGTGCAAGCCCACGGAGTTGAGTTCCGTGACGGACGCAGCGTACCACGACTCAGCCTCGGGCGAAGCCATCGCATCCTTGAAGGTCTTGGGAAGCGGTGGGTGACGAGTTGAAAACGACGCGATGAGCTCTGGTTCGCGACGAACGATCTTGCGCGTGCACACAATACTGAGGGCGGCGACGCGACGCTGAGCACGCGTGCGAACCGGTAGAATGTTGCCCTCGTCAATGTTCTCGAGCAGACCGGGATTGCGACCGACACGATAATGCCGGTACTCGTGACCATCGTCAGGAGGTAGAGGTGGAGCACGCTCCGCAGGGTCGTCATCTTCGTAACTGTCAATAGCCTCAACAGCCACCTCGCGTCGATGATCGATAGGCTGCTCTTCGTCTTTAACCCCTTCGGCCAACGGGCCGACAGCTGGTAAAGGAATAGGAGCAACCTCGCCATCGTCCGCACGTTGAAGACGAGGAAGTGGAAGCAGCGCTGACGGTACAGCCACACCAGGCTCGGGAATGAGAGCAGGCCGTCATGCCCGACCCGCCTCAGGGATGGGAGCAGGCCATAAAGCTGGATTCTGCTCACAGCCAGGAACACGCAGTTGAGATACTAGCTCGTACTCCTGTAGAGGTTCGACTTCGTACATGCGGGGCTCGTCAGCCGAAGAAGTCCGCCTCACGTGCAGGCGACGGCATCAATGACTTCGGAGCAGAGGCCGCCGACAAGGATCATTGTGAATCTTCGGGACACGCGGCTGGCTCTTGAATGAAACGTGGATTTGCCGTTAGAGTTTCTAGCCTCGTCTTGCGGTGGTTATTCGCTTGCGGCTAAGTGGGAGCTACTGCCTATCCTCGGGCCATGGTTGTGTGAGTGTGACGTTATAGAGGGCACTGGAGGTTCAGGGACTGGTCGCCGCCCCGCGGTGCGTTAATACCATCCTGCTTTGGGCAAAATGCCACATTGCTTTGCATTCCAACCCACATCCAATCGCTCATCGTTCCCCACCGCCCAGACTCCCCTGTACGACCTTATCCCACATCCCTTGATTCAAACTGACCGCCTTCACCAACTGCATCTTCAACTTTTCAATCTGCTCCTCCAACTCTTGCACCTTAACCAACGCTTCCGAACCCCGATCCACTCCAGTCGCTATCGTGACTTTGTCTCGAGAGCTCACGGGCGTACGTGTCCTGAGACTGGAACGATGGCTCAAGTGATAGCGGTCGGCTTGTAGTTTCGTGAATGCTTACCTTCTCCCTGGGTTCTACCTTGATATTTATGTGCGCAGGTCTATGTCACCCAAATTGGGACTACGGCTACAACTGGCGATAACGCGGCTACGGAGACCTTCCAATTTGTCTTCCAGACCATCCGCATGGATTACACGCCAGCCTCGAATGGCAAGATCCCCAAGACCGCGACCCTCTCATATGACGTGACAAAGAACACAGTCCAATAGTGGTCCAACACTGGTCCGAGTTTTGTAGCTCTCGGGGTATCTCTTTTGCGTTGCTATTTGGATGACACATCTTCAATGTCGCGCCCTGAATTGGTTGCCTTCGTTGCCTTGAGACTTTGATTCGAATAACGCAGGGGCGCGCTCCTTCTTGGAAATTGCTTTGTCTGTCGAGGACCTGCCTTTTCTGAAGGCACACAAAAAGTGAACGTTTGACCGATGTGACCCCGTGCAACTCACCCCCGTTGAGCAACAGCCTCGGGCATTCAGAGGACCCACTGTTGTTCTCAGAATGGCAACGAATCGAGTTGACGTCTGGGACTTCGACTGCTACGCAGCAAGGACCTAGCACCACGGCCTTGTTCAAAAGTTTGATGGGGAATTGATGCGAGTGGTGCGCGCTACGACTAGAGCCCCATCGCCGCCGCACGGACGCCGTTGGCAGGGACGTTGCCTCCCATTGTTGCAGCGGCGCCGCATGAAACAGGGGATCATCACCGCGCGCCCCGGTCCGAAGCTGCACCGAGCACCATGGCGCACTAGTATATTCCGGACACCCACGCTGTCACGTCCTCATCCATCATCCTTGGAACAGTCATGCGCCTCGACCCCCCATCAAGTGTCACTCCCTCATCCAACCTGTGGATGCTGGACTACAGATGACGGACCTCAATCCGCAATTCTCTTCTTCACAGATCGTCTCCTCCCCCTTCGCCCGTTCAAGTCCTCGTCATGTTACGTTTTTTATCCCTTTCGAGGGCCATGCTCCGCAACCACGCGCTGCGCTCGGGCGTCCAGCCGATGGTTCGCCATGTTTCGACCGCGCGGACTCCGGCGGCGACAGCTCGCACGTTGCGCGCCCCTAAGTCGGCGGTCTCCGCCCCCCGCCGCCGTTTGGCAGCCATGGCGACCATGGCAACCTCAGCTACCCCCATTCCCGCTTCTGCGACAGCGACGCTGACGACGAACGTCCCCTCCGCCAAGTCCGAGCTCCCCGAGTTGCTCGATGTGCTTCGCATCACCCGTGAGGCCATGACCCTCGACATCCCGACGTCGCTCCCTGAGCTTGCGAGCGACGGCCTCGCCAACATTGTCTTCGGCCTAGGTGACTTGAGTGTGAAACCTGGATCGCCTTGGGCGCGCGAGAACCTGACGGCGTTCGGTCAACGTGAGGCGAATCGCATCGCTGCCGAAGTCGTTCTCCTTGCGATGCAAGTTCACAAAGTGGAGACCCAGCCGGGCAAGAGGCGAGCGAGCCTGGCTACCTTGTGAGTCGACATTGCGGGCGAAGCTCGGCATGTGTGCTGCCTAAATCGAAGCTTGAAGCGCTGCATATGCATCGATACTGATCAAAGATCGTCCTTCATACCCTTACCTTTCCCAGGTCGCAACGCATGACGAAGAATCGCATATTCGCCCATTGGGCCAGAGAGGTCGGCATCGTGGAGGAACTCAAGCGCTTCGGTGGACCTACGGCCAAACCTTTGGTGAAGACTCTGGCCGCGAATCTGGAGACGTTCATCGGCGCGCTTAGTCTGGTGCAAGGCTCGTCGGCGCCGACTTTTGTCTTGGCCCCCCTCATCTTGCGCGAGTACAAGCGCATGGTCGGGTTCGTGGATTCTCCCACCGCGGACTCAGATTCAGTCACCGACGGTGCTCGTGCTCCTTTCAAGTCGTGGGTTCCCAATACTATCTCCGCGACCGACTACCAAGATATTCAGATGGCTCTCCAGGACTTGAACAAGTCAGGCGGTACCACCAAAGTCCGTACCCCTCGTGCCAAACGCGCCGTCAAGGAACCCGCCGCGGTAAAGACCTCGGCTTTCAGTGTCTCTCGCGCTTTTGAGACGATCAACGCTCTCTCGGCGTTCAAGACCATGTACGACGTCTTCGTTCGCATGATTGAGATGCTTGGTGATAACTAGGTTCTCGAGTCTCAGGCCGCTCCCTTGTTTTGTTTGGTTCACATTGTTCAGATGACTTGCAAGAATGATGTTGCTCTCTGAAGTGTGGAGTATGGAAAGCCCTTTGAGACCGCCATTGAAAAGAAGCATCAGCTCAGAAGGCTCGGCGACCCACCGTGAGGTTTCCGAAATTTCCCATAGAACGGTGCCAAGTCAATGCACGGTGGGTCCCTCCACCAATCTGAAGCGGGTACACAACCCTCACACCTTTCCTAGGCGCGCAGTGCTGGTCTGAGTGATCGGGGCAAACTTTGAACCTTGCATACAAGCGCCGATCGAGGCGTCAGCCAATGTTCACACTGTCTTGAATTCTTACAATCATGTAGAACAAAATTCTCAGCAAGATACACGAAGCATCTCGAGGGGCAATCTAGTGCTTGGGAATCATTGCCGCGTTCACAGGGCCGCAAGGTTTGATTTATTCTCGATCAATGTTCACGCAGTGCCTTGAGACGACCGGGAAGAGACTAGGTGATCATCGAAATAGATACTACAAGCGAGACGGACTTTGAATACGATTGATTCGACAAGATAATATCTGCACTACTCGCAGGGTAATCAGGAAGAGCGGACTGGGGAGTGGGGAGCCGGTGGGGGTGGGGGGTTCTCAGTCCCGGCGCCCTGCGCAGCGAGGACAAGGGGCCCAGTGCTGGTGGGCGCTGTCCGGCGACTCCTAGTAGATACGACGAAGGCTCAAAGCTGTGATCGGAAGAGAACTGCCGTTGATGCGCCGAAAGCGGAACTTAGCAGCTCGACCAGGACGGGGCCGCCTGGGGCCACAGTGGTGGGTGCTCAAATTGGCAACATGTCTACTACTTCACCCGATGCTCCGGAGAGGCCCAAGCCTCGGGCTTTGTCCAATACTCTGACGAGGAACCGATGTGAGGGGTGGGACCTACGTCTTTAGCTCCTTCATCGACGCACGGACGCCGGTTGCGGCGACCACGTCTCCCATTGTCGCAGCAGCGCCCCGCCGACGGCATGAAACAGGGGACCATTGCCGCGCGCGCCGGTCCGAAGTGACAACCCGTGCCGCAGTGGCCTCGTTGCACTATGCCGATACCTTCACTGTCACATCCTCATCCATCGCAATCCCAGAAGCCTGAGGCCACAAAGTTCTTGTGTCACTCCCTCATCAAACCTTTGGACGAGTGCACGATGTAGCCCCGGAGCGCATTTAAATCACCTCGATCTCAAGCCCTCTTGTCTCCTTCTCTTCTTCACAATACACCATCTCTCTCCACCTCATCCACCTCTCCAACCATGATGCACATCACCCCCCGTTCCAAGCTCGTGATCCGCAATCAAGCGTTGCTCTCGGCGTTCCAGACCAAAAACCGTCGCGCCTCGACCTTGAGTACCCCTGCCGGCACGCCCTGCTCGCGCGCCCCTGAGTCCTCGCCTGACGCTCCTCGCCGAGCTTTGGCGACGACGACGACGATTCCTACTGCCGAGTCCACCGATATGATGTCGCCGATCACTCCGATTGACTTGGACACCGTCATTCCCGAGCCAGCGATCAGCGAAAAAACGACCTCCACCTCCGACGAGCTCGAACTGCCGTCGCTGCCTGAATCTTTCCTCGTTACGCGGCACGCCATGTCCTTTGGCATCCCCAAAATAGTCCCCTCCCTCGCCAAAAAAGCACTCGCCGAGGTCGTTTTCGGCCAAGGTCGGAAAGGTCTGACACCCGATTCGCCGTGGTACCCCAATAATCTCGCCTTATTGGGCGATCGTGAAGCGAGTCGAGTCGCGTCGCAAGTCATTCTGCTCGCGCTGCAAATGTTGGAGAATACTCGCAAGCCCGGACAAAAGACCTTGAATATGAGCCAATTGTAAGTCATCTTCGAGAATAGCCTAGAACAATAAGCAAGATAGAAGTGCTGAGCCACCCCTTCTACTGCTTTATTCAAGGTCAAGCGCAATGACAACCAATAAGATCATGTACGAGTGGGCTCGCGAGGTCGGCCTAGTCCAGGAGCTCGAACGCAAAGGTGGGATGAGTGAAGGCCAGATCAAGACCATTTCAATCAAGAAGCTCGCCGACCACTTTGAAACTTTCCTCGGCGCTCTTCACGTCGATCAAGGTACCGCAGGTCCGGACTACTTCTTGGCTCCCCTTTTCGTGCGCGAGTATAATCGCCTGTTGGGGGTCAACCTCCTCCTCGATGGTGCTTGTAGCGAACGATCGCCTCGAGCTTTCAAGGCTTGGATCCCCAATGCGATATCGCTCGAGGACTACAAGCATATGCAAGGCGTACTCGAGGCTTCGAACCGAACGACGGGAGAGACGGATCGATTGAACACCAAGAGAACTGATGAATCAACAGCGACCGCTTCGTCGCCAACTTCGGTCCCGTCCAAGCCGTTGTTCCCTTCCAAGCCTTCGGCGACTGTCAAGACAAGCGGACCTGTGTCGAAGACACCCAAGTCCAACAAGTCCAAGAAGCCAAGCATTCATACGCCGCCTTCGGCGTCCTCGTTGAAGAAGAAGGCCAAAGCGAACGAACCCAAGTCCACGCTCCAGCCTCAAGTCACGCCAAAGAAGCCGACAATGCGCAAGTTGCCCCAGATCAAGCCCAAGAAAGTCTCGGTCGTAATGGCCAAAGCTTCTGTTGTCGAGGCCAGGGCGATTCCGACGACGGCAGTTCAGTCGGGCAAGAAGGGTAGAGGTGCTCGCGCCAAGGCCAAGTGATCGCGAGTGGGTCTTGCGTGTGCTGCGTTTTCTCCGTGCCGTTATCTCGAGTTTGTCTGTCGGAGCCGTATCTGTCTGTCGCTGCCCGTCGATCCGTATCTACCTCTCTTGGTCCTTCTTACTTCCGTTTGCAACCAAATGATTGTCATCATCTGTCACCGCGCTGATCGAATTTGCACTGGGGTATACATTACATGCGGATCGCTTCAATTACTCTGACGGTGTCGACGATGCCTGTTTTGAGCCCGAGTGTTGAGATGGCAAGAGACCGGCTTTCCTAACGGCATCTCGTATCCTTCGGTCGTGGGAGATGGTTCTTGTCCCTGCGTTGACCTGGGGCAGGACGGCCATATCTGAAGTGCCCGAGGAGCGGAGAAGCGAGTGAGCTCGACGTCACACCAACCCGCCCCAACCCGCCGGCTACGAAGGCCGAACTGTGAACTGACCGAGGATGCCAGCCTTGACCAAGAGCTTCTCGGCGGCCTTGGTCGGTTTCGCGCCTTGGCCCAACCAATACTTGACGCGATGTTCGTTCCAGACGACCCTCTTCTCCCCCGCTGCGACGGTCGCGGCCTGAACCGATTCGACACGTGTTGTAGCCTTGTGGGAGGACGCCGATGAGGGAGAAGGCAGTTGCAGTGGCGGACCCCATAGTTTGGGATCCCTGATTTCTCCGTTGGGCGAGTGAGACTGGGTCGGTACAGCGACGGGGATCGGGGTCCAGGTGCCGAGTACTTCCAAGGGACGGGCATTCGGTCGCAAGGAACGACGCGTGGCGACGAGAGAGTAGCTGGGGGCGTTGCGGGTCAGGTGATGGCGCGAGAGGCGTAGTCGGACGGACATGGTGGGTTAGAGGGAGGAGTGGACTCTAGGGAGGAAGGTGGCAACGCGGCAACGCGGCAAGGCGCGTGAGATGGGCAGACTCGGAGCTGAGGCCGGTAAGTAATAAGCTCGTCGATTCGCGCTAGTTATCGTTATTAGTTCCTGCTATTGTCTGCTATTGTTCGCGCTCGTGACCGAGTTGGGCTGCGAAAACGGTCGCCGCGTCTCTTCCGCTTCCTGCCCCTCACTGCATCACTGCATCACTCTGCACCCACACCCACACCTTTTCAGTTCACACATCATACATGCCCACACACGCTCCTTTCCTCTTTCCTTACCGCATCTCTTGCCTCCAGCCACTCGTCGCAGCTCGTCTCCTGTACCCACCAGGTCAGTCCGTCCCCCTGCACAGAGCTTTTTTTCCTGACAATGTCTCATAATGTGGATCCCACCACACTCCTCTCCACACCCCACGACCCCAATCAAATCACCTGATGATCTTTACAAAAACTTAATGGATAATTTGCGACTGAATTACAACATCTACATCTACACACACACACACACACACACACCAACCGCTGCTCTGAAAGGAGGTTCAGTTTTGTGTGTGTCTGGGTGGGTGGGTGTGACTTGAGTGATACTCTTTGCATGTCTGATGATTGATTTTGCGCACTCGATGGATAAACGACCTACATATCTCAGACCATCGCCATGCCTTTCGGTGAAACTGACCCTGAGGTTTCTTTGCGCTTCCTCCTGTACAGGCTCTCGCAGGGGGTACGAGGAGCTCGACTTGCATTTGTGTACACATCTTGATCTGGCCCTCCTGCAAAGAGTTAAATGTTCAAAAGTTTCAAGTATCACTCTCGAGAATGCTCTACTCTGCAAAGTCGTCTCCTTCCAATTTCTCACCGCAGAATACCATTCTGCTTTGGGCAAAATGCCACACTGCTTTGCATTCCAACCCCCATCCAATCGCTCATCGTTCCCCACCGCCCAAACTCCCCTGTACGACCTTATCCCACATCTCTTGATTCAAACTGACCGCCTTCGCCAACTGCATCTTCAACTTTTCAATCTGCTCCTCCAACTCTTGCACCTTGACCAACGCTTCCGAACCCCGATCCACTCCAGTCGCCATCGTGACTTTGTCTCGAGAGCCGAGCGTGCCTTTGGAGAAATTCAACGTACCCGACTTTATCCGAACGAACGCACCCACGTCCCTAACCAACGGTACCCTCATCTCCACGACCCTGCCCTGACTCCCACCTTTTAAAAACTCTTCCCCCCCATTCCCCCCTGTAGTATTCAACACCATACTCCTCCCCAACCCATGCACGAACAACGTCCTCGCCCCTTCAGTAGGGTTCGTCGTAGTGGACGTGTTGGATCCTAGGTTCGAGGGACGGAGGAGAGTCGTGAGGTAGGTTATGGCGGAGGGTGGGGCCGTTGAAGGGGGAGGGAGTATGATGCGTATCGCGAGCAGCGACGGCAGGGATAAGAGGTGGATTTGCGAGGTCGAGGTTCCGACGAGCAAGGTCGGGGATAAGGAGGATAGCGAAAGTGCTGTGATACGGTCACTGAGGATCGGAGCGAACGATTCGCCGATCAGCGAATAGGATCGCACGGAGGAGGTAAGAAACTCGGCACGTACGAGATAGAATAGATGTTCTGCTCCACGACGGTCTGCACCCTCCCATGCTCGTCATTCCCAACCAAAGGTTCGACCGCACTCGCCAGGCCATCCGAACTCGGCGCTGGATTGTGGTACAATGGAACCTTGACGACGCGGTATTGGGTCGAGTCGAAAGGGGATGCGGGGTCCGGTCCCGAGGCGAAAAAGTAGCGCTCCAGAGGGTCCCAGGCCAAGAGTTCGATCGGGCTTGCGAAGGAGAACGTGGCGAGGAGAATCGAGGGGCAGGTCGAGATGTCCCAAACCTGGATTGAAGTGCACGCGAAATTCGTGTGTCAATATTGTGCAAGGAGAAGCCCACCGGCAGCCTAAATCGACAGGGGCAACGAACCTTGACGGTCGAGTCGAGAGAAGCAGTCATGATGCGACATTTGGGGAACGAGCCCAAACCGATCGCAATCGAGGTGATGGGTAGTGTATGGTCCGACAGGGTGGCGAAAGGTGTGGGTGGGTTCCGAGGGGATGCGTTCAGTAACCTACAAGAATGGAGCGAGCCTCGTCAGCTCAATCTGGCTACGGACGGAGCAAGGAGGAAGGCACGACTTGCCTGCCCATGGCCCAGACTGATACACCCGAGTCTTCGGAACCGGAAACGAGCGCGGCGTCGTCGGAAGAGAAGTCGAGTACGGAGATGGCTCGATAGTGGGCGTCGATCGTCAGGAGGAGTGAACCCGAGGAGGTCTGGAGACGAGCCGACGAAATTGGCCGAGATGGAGGTGGTCCAGATGAGGAGGTGGTGTGGAGTGAGGAATTAGCTCACGAGCCGAGCCTATGTAAAAAAATTGATTCGATCCTACTGCGACTCACCTCCCACAAGAATATGCGACCGTCGAGGGTGCCGCCGGCCAAGTACAATCCCGAATGAGCAACGGCGATCGTGGTCAAGCGCACCGGGGGGATCAGGCGCTGAACGACTTGTGCCTATCGAGCGGTGAGGGGTGATGGGCGATGGGTCAATACCCAGATCTGAAAAGCTTCCAAACTGCGATCGTGCTGGAGCTACCTTGTGCAAGGACCACACATTCATTCCCGACCTGCCATCCTTGCCTCCAAGCCCGATCAGATAGCCACCGACTCCATTCGACGCCGCAGCATATCCAAACGACTTGCGATCCGACAAGGCCAAGCTCGACCCAGATTGAATCGGGTCTTGTTTCCCTGAGCGTGTTGTCGAGGTGGTCGTGGACGAGGAGGAGGAGGAGGAGGAGGAGGAGGAGGAGGAGGCGTTTGGGGATTTGAAGGAGAAGACTTGGGCGCCGGTCTGGACCGAGTGGAGCAGGGTCGTGGCCAGAGGTGAGGCCGGTGAGGCGGGCGAGCAGCTGGTGGAGGACAGGATCAGCTCGCTCGGCATCGAGGTCATAGTCATGGCTGCGATCCTGCTCGAGCCCTTGAGTCGGTTGAGGCGATGTAGAGTGAAAGCGTGAGAGACCAACTGAGCCGAGGCTGCTTGATTAGATGCGCCGCTGCGGTGATCGAGACAGTATCGAGACTGGCGCGTGCGAAGTGCGGAAGGGGTCGAGGTGCGGAGCTCGAACACCCTCAGCTTGCGAAGGCCGAACCACCCCGGGTGCGCGTATAGCTTGGTTCTCGTACACCGACAACCTGCCTCATTTCAAAGCATGACCCGGATAGAGAATCTTCCCCAAGTCAGCCCCCCCTTCTCCACGCAAAGGGGATCATCTGGCCCAGCTGACTCTCCGCGACTCTCCGCGACTCTCCCACCCCCCCCCTCGCCCGCGCACGTGATCTCGCCAGCACAACGCCCAGTACGGCACACAGGCCTACTGGGACGAACGCTACTCGAACGTGCGCCGATCATATATCCGTCCGATACGGAAACATCACACTGGCCTTAATTGCTCATTCATTCGGTCTCTTCCCCTCACAGGAAGCCGAGGACGCGAGCTTCGACTGGTTCCAGACGATCGACCTCGTGCCGCTGGTCCAGCGCTTCGTACCCGATACAAACGCTAAAATATGCATGTTGGGCTGTGGCAATTCACGTAAGTCCATCGTCAGTACCAACGATCCAGATATGAATCTCAAATCTAACCTATCGTCCCTCGCCTTTCACCGTCGAGCAGTCCTCTCGGCGAACCTCTACGATAAAGGCTACCACTCCATCGTCAACCTCGACTATTCGCCCATATTGATCGACAAGATGGAAAAGATGAACTCGGCGACAAGACCCGAAATGACGTGTAAGTTCTTCATACGACAGGACCCCATCAGGTTTGGGCCGTCGGTTCAAAACCCCTGTCCAGACTTGAGGGAACTGATCAGGACACTCCGTGCTGGCGCCCGGCTTGCATCCCTGACAGGGCAAACCGCCGATGTTCGAGCATTACCTTTCGCCGACGAATCCTTTGACGTCTGCATCGACAAAGGTGCGTTCCAGAGTGTTGTACTTCAGCATCTCGTATTGCCACCGAATGCTACTAAAAGGACCCTCCGAGTCATCAGGCACGATGGACGCGATGATGACCTCCATCAGAGACCCTTGGAATCCACCCGATCAAGTGATCAAAGATTGTAACGATGAAATTGATCAAGTTGTCAGGGTGCTCAGCAAACCGAATGGGGTGTTTTTGTACCTGTACGTAACCCGGTCTCGAGCTTGCAGGCGGATCTCGGCCTGACTCAACAATCTTACTTCAAATAGTACATGGGGTCAACCCCACTTCAGGAAGCAGTACCTCCTTCGAGAAGGTTGGCAACTGGAGACCGTCGAACTAGGCGACGGCTTCTGCTACTACCTCTACGTGTTGCGCAGGAAAGATCGCGATGACAGGACAAAGGCGCCGTGAAGAACGATCGCCGAACGATAAAGTTCGTTTCTTTGTACGACAAAGTCGAAATACTGCAATTGCACACGCGCACAGAATATGCGGGAAGGAAGGATCTTGCGAGATTCGACAGACGGGTTCGCCAATGTGCAAAGAAGATGAAAGGGTCGCTACACGCTGTCCTCCAAGACGAGGCGCGGCGCGATGTTCATGGCCATCAGTTCCTGTGAGAGCGACGAAACAAGGTCAGGATGCATGATACAGGGGAAAACACCTCAACATCAACTTACCTGGAACAAGAGTTTGCAAGCGTACGGCACCGTCAACTTGACGACCTTTTTGGCGCTCTTGCACCGCATGCACCACCCATTGTAACCCATGAAACCGCAATCCTGGCAAACGTCAACCTTGAACGCATCGGACGAGATCATCAGACGTTCAAGCAAGAGTTGCGAAGCACCGTGGGCGATGAGGCAATCTCGTTCCATTTCTCCGAGACGAAGACCACCGTCGCGCGATCGACCTTCGGTCGGTTGACGCGTCAGGACCGCTCGAGGTCCCTTGGCTCGTGCGTGGTACTTGTCGACAACCATGTGCTGTAGATTATTAGAAAACATATATTCAGTTAGTTGATTTTCTCCGACTGCACTAAAAAATGAGCACAGGACCCACCTTGAGTTTTTGGTAGTAGATAGGACCCATAAATACATAACTCTCCAACGGCTGACCGGTAATACCTGAAGTCAAGTAATCCTTGCCGGCGTACGAGTAGCCCGCCTCGATCAAGACCTTGGACATGTCCTCGGCCTTGCTACCTCCGAAAGCGGTACCGTACTCGAACTTGCCCTTCAACACACCGGCTTTGCCCGACAACAGTTCCAACATCTTGCCGACCGTCATACGCGAAGGGAAACCGTGCGGGTTCATGATGATGTCGGGGCAAATACCGGCGTCGTTGAAGGGCATGTCCTCCTGCGGCACGATCAACCCACAAACTCCTTTCTGTCCGTGACGGGACGAGAACTTGTCCCCCAATTCGGGTCGTCGAGTCTGTCGAATCAACACCTTGACCAACGTCGTGTCCTGATCGGTATCGGTCAACAAGACCTTGTCGATGTAACCCGGGATCGGACCACGGTACGTCAGACCCGTGTTCTTCCACGTTTGCGCACCCGCCGCGGTCGAGTTGGCGACCGTCTGTACGTTGTTGTCGTTGGCTCCAGAGGGCGTCTGCTTGTTGATGTAGATCTGCCCATTCTCGACCTGTTCGCCGACGTGGGCAAGACCATCGTTGTCGAGCGCATTGTAACGAGCCATGACCGTGCCATCCGTCTCTTTCGGAGGATCGGCAAGTCGATCGTACCTGCGGGTAGCTCGCGGTCAGCAATCAGAAATGACACTCCCCCCCCCCCCCCCCCCCCCCTGCTCGAAGCGACTCACAATCCATTGGGATACCGCTTGATCAAAGTCGAGTACTTTCGGAAGACCTGACACCTCCCAAACCCACGATCCAAACTTGCCCGATTCAAAATCAAAGCATCCTCGATATCGTACCCGGAGAAACTCATGACCGCGACCATGGCATTCTGACCGGCGGGTAAGCGATCGTAGCCGACCAACTCGATCGTACGCGTGCGACACATCGGCGTTTGAGGATAGACCATGAGGTACAACAAGGTGTCGATACGTTGAAGTTGGTTGTACGCGATCGCACCGATCGCTTGTTTACCCATGGCGCATTGGTAGGTGTTTCGAGGGGATTGGTTGTGATGCGGGTAAGGGATGAGACCGGCAACGGCACCGAGGAGTGTGAAGGGCTCGATCTCGAGATGGGTCGTCATGGGGATGATGTCGTGTTCGTAAAGAGCGATGTAGGCATCGTTCTCTTCGTTGACGTCGAGGTATTCGATCAGGCCTTTTTGCAAGAACATGTCGAAGGACATTTTTTTCTCGCGGAGTAGCTGAGGAAGATCAAGTCAGTCAAAGAGCACCATGGTCATCGACGGAGGAGCCTGCAAACCACTCACCCTCATATGAACCTCCTTGACTCGGCTGCGCTCATTCTCCACAATGATCATAGGTCGACAGATACGTCCACCATCTGAAGCGATGTGGATGCATCGTTGCGTGAGGTTGACGTAGATGGAGACGAACTCGTTGATCTTGCCCGTTCGACGCAGCAGGCGGAACTGACTGACGAAGCGCGTGCCCGTGCGAGTCAAACCCAGCACATTACCATTGAGGTACACGATGTAGTAACCTTCGGTGTAGATCTCGTTTCCATCGAGCGTGTTGATATCTGTAGAGGAGCATGAAGTGGTAGCCCAGTCAGCCTCCCGAATTATGGAGCACAGCCGAGAGCATAAGCAAACGCACCTTCACAACCAATGAGGAAGCAGATATTCCAGATCGGCTGCTCCTCCACGTCGGTCGTGATGTGAGTCATGAGCGCCAAGTTTTTGACCAGTCCACACGCCTCTCCTTCGGGTGTATCACTTGGACAAAGCATACCCCACTGCGAAGGTTGCAGCGCACGAGGACCCGAGACCTTCCTCGTCTTTTCAAACTGCGACGAGATACGCGTCATCATACCCAATGCCGAGATGAAGGACAAGCGCGATAGGACGTGGGTGATGCCCGCCCGCTCCATCTTGAAACGTTTGAGGGACCAGTTACCTGTCGAGATCGCTCGGACGAAACCTTGCGTGATCCCATCACCGTGCAGTTGGAACTGCTTGATCGCGTCAAACTCGGTCGTCCGATTCGGCTTCTTCAAGATCTTGTCAATGTTGAGCTTGAGGTCGTGGTTAAACTTTTTGAACAAGTCCTCAAAAAGAAGTGACAAGAGCTGACCGGCCAACTCGAGACGCTTGTTACCGACGTAATCTCGATCGTCGATGCTCTTGGGGTCGACCATGGCCATGAGCACACGTCGCACCATCATGGCGATGTAGATGGCCTTGGGTCGGAAGTTGAGGTCCTCGACGGGGACGTGGGCCAATACGACGGTGGCGAGCACCTCGATCGCTTCTTCACTCGCCGGTCGTCGCTGACTCCACGAAGCACCGGGTCCCGTCCTCCGAATGATCTTGACCCTCGAACCAATGTAGTCGAGCGCCTGCTGCTGCGTCTGCACGGGAATCTGCTGCCCAGACTTGGTCTTGAGGTCTTCGAGCTCTTCGATGTTGATGGCGAAATGCGAACGGAACTCGTCGTCGTTGCCGCAGACGAGTTGCACGATCTCACGAGACGAGACGACACCGAGCGCTCGCAAGACGATCGCGACGGGGATGTCTTCGTGGATCGAGTTGTGCTTGAGGTAGATCTTGCCATGCTTGGTCAGGATGTAGGTCTTGGACTTGCGTTCCAAGGTTGAACTGCAAGGGCCATCATCGGATCAATCTTCGGTCGACGGCATCAAAGGAATCTTTGTCACACTCACCTCGTCACGGAAGCTTGCACAAGCCCCTTCTTGGGCTCGGTCTCCACTATGATACGGTTTTTGGATAGCTGCTCTTGCACGAGAATGACCTTCTCCGTGCCCTTGACGACAAAGTATCCCCCGGGGTCGAGCGGGCACTCGTTCATGCTCGCCAGCTGGGACTTGTCCTTGCCCGTCAGAACGCACTTGTTGCTCCTCAGCATGATCGGTAGTCGCCCAATACGGATGCCTTTGCTCGACACCTCCTGCCTGCCGCGTGTGTACCTGATGTTGACGTAGACGGGGGCCGAGTAGGACAGGTCGCGTAATCGACATTCGTGAGGGGTGATGCTCGAATTCATCGGGTTCTCGTCCGATCGTTCGGGTGCGCCGACGCGAATGTCCTCGTACTCGAGGTAAAAGTGAGGATCGACATCCGAGGTGATGCGGGCGTTGGCGCGGAGGATGTTTTGCAGGTCGACGTCGACAAAGTAGTTGAACGAGTCGATGTGCTGCTTGACCAAACCTTTGACGGCCAAGAATGCGGGTAATAGATCCCACTTGTCCTAAACACGCACACGATCATGAGAGAGAGAGAGAGTCAGCCAGCCAGCCCGAGCGTGACGGACTGAACCATCACAGAAGATGCCCCGGTCAATTGGGAGGTTGTGGCAAGGAAAAATCACCTCAACAGCCTTGATCGGATCCGCGAGATTCTTGCCCTTCCAAACCTGTTTCCCCATAGCCTGCAACCCATCGCCCAAGGTCTGCAAATCACCGACATTCTGCATCCCCTTCATCTCCGGGCCCGAGCTGCTCTCGGGGAAAAGTTCCTTGGCCTTGGCCTTGCCCTTGAGTCGAGCTGAATCTGATCCGGCCGCCGCTGCTGCTGCTGCTGCTGCTGCTGCGGTCTTGGCCGTCGCTGTCGATGCGGTCGGGTACACTTTCTCGTCGTTCTCGTCCGTCACGGTGGGTCCCTCGACTGGGTCGGCCATCTCGGTGTCGCCCGTCCCTTCCTCGACGGTCTCGTCCAAATCCATCGGCTCCGCGGGGAGAGCGACCGCGGCGGGGAAAGCAGCGGCATCCTTGCCCGTCGAAGTGGATGCGAGGGGCTTCACATCATCGGTGATGGTCGCTGAAGTCGCATCCGAGAGCTGAGCCTTGTCGTCGTCCTTGTCGGGGTTGGCAGCATCGGTAGCAGCAGGAGCAGGAGCAGGAGCAGGAGCAGTCGCCGCCGCTCTGGCTTTCTGGGCCGCCCTCACTTTGGCGAACGACCGAGGTGGCATCGTCGTGGCCGGAACAGCGAATGGGATCGCTGAGCTGGAGCTTTCCCACCACTTTGAGGGCTAAACCAACTGCCGCGTCGACAGGGTAGTCTTGGTTCGATTCGCCAGCCGAGCCCGAGGATGGCTGAGCGCGAGTTGCGAAGTCGAGCCGCTGCCAATTCGAGTCAGCCGCGCTAATTAGAGCGAGTTCACCTTGGTAAGGGACAATTTCAACACGCTTTCAACTCGTATTCCGCTCTCTTACTGAGAGAAGTACTATGCCTAGGATCTCATGCACTGAACATTGCGCGTGATATAGCGATGGAGAGAGAGAGAGAGAGAGAGAGGAATGAAAACGACGAAAGAGTAGATCATCCACAGAGACAAGAGACGCAGTCAGAGCAAAAGAGCAGAGAGAAAAAGGGTTCAAAAGAACTTTGATGAAAAGACGATGCAAGTCCGCACAAGAGCAAGAAAGGAGAAGAGAGGAAAGGAGAAAAAGGAACAGGGACGTAAAGAACAGCAGAGAAGATCAGACGACGTATTGCGCGCAAGGCTCGCCATTCTGCAGGTCCATCAGGAACGTCCCACCGCCGTTAACGATGTTGCCTTCGACCGCCATCGATTCGATCAATTCGGGGACACTGCAACACAAACACGCATACATCAGTTCTATATTTCTACTCGGGTATGTCTCTTCACCGAGAACTCACTCAATCGAACCCGAGTCGGGCCAGCCAGCGACGACCTCGCGATGGATCTCGTTGATCGGGATCACCGCATTGCCGTACTTCTCGAACAGGCGGAAGTAGGTCAACCGTGCACGGTCACGCACGATCGAATGACGGTCGGGCGTGATCATCGGCGTCGGCATCGCAGGAGCACCCCAGATTCCCGTCGAGAACGGCGACGACCATTCGGCTCCTGGCACCGCAGATCCAGGTGGGCCAGGTGGGGGCTGCACATTCGAGGCGCCTCGCGGTGGCGGCACGACGATCTCGTCGTCTTCGAGCAATGCCGATGAGCCAAATACCCGAGGAGGGGGTGACAACGAGCGTTGGCTCGAAACGGATGACCCGGGGCGACCAATCACTCCGCCGATCGGACCGACGTGGAGCGGACGAGGGCTCGTCGCGTTCGACAGAGACGGTGGTGCTATCGGAGCGGGCTGCGAGAGCGATGGCATACCGTTCGGGCGAGTCGAAGGTGGTACAATTGAGGACATGTTTGAGCCACCCGCCGAGAGCAGTGCCGGACCGATGGCGGCGTTCCGTCCCAAGGCGGCAGGCGAGACGAGCAGATTTGGGTGCTGCTGGGCCGGCGGCGACATGAAACCTCCGCCGACCATTGACGGCTGTTGCTGTTGACCATGCAGACCACCAAACAGCTGCGGCGAGGGCCCGATTGGTGTCGGCGAGAACAGGCGCGACGTTCCGGTGGCGGGAGAAATGCCATTCGGCAGCTGCTGAGGCACGGTCGAAGGCAATCGTTGCCTAAAGGGGGGCATTGCTTGCTGCGGCTGTTGTGGCTGCTGTTGCTGTTGCGGCTGCTGATGCGGGGTCCGCTGCTGCAACGGCGTCGGCTGTTGCTGAGAAAGCATCGGCGGACCCTGCTGCGGTTGCTGGTGCTGTTGCTGCAGATGCTGCTGCAAGCTCGACGGCATGCTCGAGATCGAAGGTTGCCTTTGCGTGGGCATCTGGCCAGGTGCAGCGTTCGACGATCGCATCGGTTGCTGCCGAGTCGGAGCGGACGAGGACGGCGCCTTGCGGGCACCAGGACCATTAGGAGCCTTGGACGGGGATCCAGGGGAGGCTCGAGTCGCATTGGGCGATTTGGACCGGGAGGCGGCGGCGGCTTGAGCAGCAGCGGCCGCAGGTGCAGTGGCCTGCCGTTGCTGTTGTGCATGCTTGGCACGGGCAGCTGCTTGACTAGCAGCTTTGGCCTCTTGAGCCACACGCTGCCGTTCACGCTCAGCCTCCGCTTCCTTGGCCTCTCTGTCCAACCGAGCCTTCTCCTCCTTCTCCTCACGCTCCTTCTTCTCAGCCGCCTCGCGTGCCTTCTTCTCTTTGACCTCTCGCTCGGCCGCCAATCGTGCCTCCTTGACCAAGCGCGCCTTCTCTTCCCTCAACCGACGCTCCTCCTCCTTGAGCTGCCGAGCCCGTTCCTCGCGCTTGAGGCGTTCCTCGTCCTTCTTGCGACGTTCCTCTTCGCGTTTCTGGCGTGCCTCTTCGCTGCGACGACGCTCTTCTTCGAGTCGAGCCTCTTCGGCCTCGCGCGCGGCTTTCTCGGCTGCTTCGCGTTCGGCTTCCTTGCGTAAGCGCTCCTCTTCCTTCTTTTGCTTTTGATCCCTACATGACCGAAAAATATGTCCGCCCGTCAGCATCCGTGCAAATGAAAAGGGAGAAAGTGGAAACCCACTTCTTCTTGTCCTTCTTCTTCTGATTCTCTTTGGCCTTTCTCGCCTGCGCCTCCTCGGCCTGCCTCTGCTCAGCCTCGAACTCGCGCAGCAACTGGTTCTGACGTTCGTCGGCCAACTTTTCGCGATACGCCGTCAAAACGCGTTGTTCGAACATCCTCGCCGCAAAGATCTGGAACATGCGACGCCCTTCCTCCATCCTCTCCGCCTCCGTCATGACCTCATCATCATCCTCATCATCGCCTTCATCGTCCTCATCATCTTCCTCATCGTCGTCGTCGTCTTCCTCTTCGTCCGAAGGGTCCTCGTCCTCGTCGTCGATGAGCATCGTCGCATCGCGTTCGCGTTGGATCCGCTTGTCCGCGAGCTGCTCCATCATTTCGAGGAACTTGTGCCCATCGTTCTTGAGCAGGTCGTCGGCGACGGTGAGGATGCCTCCTGGTCGGTTCGCAGAAAGGCAATGCAAGAAGAAGATGAAGATGCGATTAGCTTAGCACGAGTTCTCTTCGTGGGCGGGGTAGGTGGCGATCGAAGAAAGAAAGACGTACCTTTGACGGTGAGCGAAGAGCCGAACCCGAAAAAGTCGGCGTCGGGGTTCTTCTTATTCACCTTCTTGGGCAAGTCGTCCCGGGGTAGATCATCGTCGTCATCGTACTGTGCGATGAGTATGGGTGAAGGATCAACAAACCCGCATTCGCCTTTAAGCACTGGGAAAATCCCAAACGCACCTCTTCGTCCTCCTCTTCATCGTCGTACTCATCCTCGTCATATTCTTCCTCATCCTCCTCATCCTCCTCGTCGCCCTCCTCCTCATCATGATGATCATGCTCGACCGCTGCTCCTTTCGCCTTGGCCTGAGCCGTCGCCGGTGTGGTCGGGTTCGTATGTCCATGATGATTGTGAGGGTGGTGAGGACAGCTAGGCGAATGCGTATGACCTGGTTCGCCATGCGCAGGTCCATCATGGTGGTTATGATGATGCGGATTGGTCGCGTTCGGCGCCGTCATAGGCGGCGGTTTCTTCTTGGCCGCCAGTCGAACGTTCTTGTGGTCCCGCGTCGGTTTGACGATCGCTCCTGTCCGACGAGCGACCTGGGCCGGTACGGCCGGTGTCGAAGCCGCGACGTCGACTGATCCAGGGAAAGGACCCGGACCGGGAGGGGGTGAGATCGTGCCCGGTGCCGAAGTCTGATAACGCTGCTGATGCAGAGCGTACGACTCGAGTTCGTCGTAATAAGCATCGTACAACTGCTCGAGCTCATCCTCGATCGCGGACCGCTTGCGCCCACACACCGCGCACGAACATCCCGTACGTTGCTGCTCCTTCATCTTGCGCAGCACGGCTTCCTTCTCGACCTTGACCAACGCCCGTCGCTCGTTCTCCTTCAGGCCCAACCAGAAATCGCGAATTCTCTCCCTCTCGCTCGACGGCCCAGCTTGGGGAGCGATACTCGGCGTTGTGCCGGCGGGAAATCGAGCTTGCTTGTTGCTGTTGTTCAGGTTCGCGAGGGGCGCGGTCGTTCGTCCCGGATTGACCGCCGCTGGTGGGGCCGGCTTGGGCGCAATAGTGCCTCGTAGTGCCGGCAAGGGCGGCATATTGGGCACCTGGTAATTCGGGTAGCGTGCAGCAGCGAGTCGGTACTCCTCGGCGTGATCAACGACGTCGGTCTCCCTTCGAACCAGCTCGTCCACATCGCCGCCCGTCGCATCGGCAGTGTTGTTCACCGCTGCGGCCACGCCCGTCTTCTTCTTCTTCTTCTTTTTCTTCTTGGGAGAAGGCGTCGTCGCTCCGTTGGGGTCACCCGCACCGGGGCCGAAGTCCTCGTCCTCGGTCTCGTCGAGGTGGGGTGGGTCATCGTGGTGGTGATGGTGGTGATGATGCTGCTGCTGCGCCTGCGCCTGTTGGAGTTGTTGCTGCTGTTGCTGAGGGTGGTGATGGGGATGAGTCGGATGGGGCTGGGGTTGCTGCGCCACTGGGTTATTGAGGACATCGGCACCGAAAGCACCGAGTTGACCCAAATTGCCGAGCTGACCCAAGGCGTGCTCCATCTGTTCACGCGTCGGCATCGAAACGGGGAACGCACCAAGCGAGATGGTCGCCCCGTTCGCGGTCGTTGTCGTCGTTGTCGCCCCACGGTTCCCGTTCTGGCCAGTCCCATTCTGTCCGTTCCCTGCCCCACCTCCGACACCCGGCATCGGGCCCAACCCGAGCTGACCCCAGTTCGAATTGACAACTTGCGCAAGCTGTTGCGCCGCCGAGGATAGCTGCTCGTGGGTCAAGGGTGGTAGGGATTGCCCATTGACGCCGGTGACGACCGAGCTGAGAGCGGCGAGGGTGCCGTTGACGTTGGGTGGTAAGGAGCCATTCGGCAACGGCTGGCCGTTCGGCAGTGCGGAGCGGATGAACTGGCGCAGATGCTGGGGCAGCGAGGTCCAGTACGCGTCATCGGTCGGGATCGCGTTGAGCTGGTTGTTCTGTCCGTTCGGGTTGGTGTTGGCGCCGTTGTTGTTGTGGTTGTTGGAGCCAGGTGGGGGTGGGAAAGCGGCGGCGGCAAAGGACGGACGCGAAGAGGCGAGCGACGCGGCGGCCTCGATTTGTCGGTACAGGTCCGACGCGGTCGAGAGCAGGTCCGAAGGTGTCGCTCCGGGGTGGGGTTGACCATAGGCCGCATAGGCGGTCGCAGCATTGGCGACGTGGGCGTTGTGAGGGCCCTGATTCGACACGGCGTGTGCGTCTCGCGGGTTGAGGCCCGCGCCGGGATGCTGGTGCGGGTGTTGCTGCTGTGCCGGGTGGAGGTGGTGGTGGTCGACGTTCTCGAGCGGGGGCAGGTCGTCGTCGTCGAGATCATCGTCGAGATCGTCGTCGTACTGACGGGTCGCCGACAGTTGGTGCGAGGTCGGCTCCTGCGCCTGGAGCTGCTTCTTGCTCTTGGCCTTGGCCTTCTTCTTCTTGTTCTTGGTCGAGCTCGGGGCCGACGAAGGTGCGGGCGCGGCGATCGGGAAGGCTCCCGGTGGTCGTGTACCCGACATCTAGGGTGGCAGCACATGGGTCGAGCGGTCAGCTACTGGATAGTTCGCCGCAGGAGCAAGCAGGCCGGCGTTGACAAGGCGCGATCGTCGTGCGACTGGTTGTGTGCGCGCTGCGCGGGCGGGAGGGGGAGCGGCTGGTGGTGGTGGTAGGGAGGGTGGTGCTGATTGAAGCGACTGCGCTGGGTCGGTGGCGAAGCTGGTCGTAGGGTCGATGACGAGTGCACGATCCAAGGTCGCTTACCTTTGTGGACTGAGGCTGCTCGGTCGCACTGGAGCTCTCGATGGACCAGGATGTGGGAGCGAACGGCGGTGAACCGAGCCACCGTCGTCAAGGTCCTCTCACCGCGCTCACCCTCACACTGCCCGCAACAGCCCGCAACTGGCAGTAGCTGGCAGTGCGCGGGGTGTCAGCTGCCCACAGGCTGGCAGGCTGGCACTCGGCTGGCCTGCTCACGCGCTCCCGGTGTGCACGCCGGCCGGCGGTCGACCTGTGTGGCCCTCTGTCTTCAAAGTGCTTGTGCTGGCGTAGAAAGGTTCAGTGTATTCCAAGAGAAGCAGTAGAAAACCTCGAGAAGCCTTGGAATTCCACCCTCAGACCCAGGAGAGTCAGGGGAAGCATTCGCCGGAAATGCCAAAAATCGGACTCTGGGCCGTGGTCCTCGGATCGCACGCCGTCGACAGGGGGTTCACGATGCCAGGTTTTGGACCGGGGTCAAAATCCCACGAAGGCCCCTGCGGTCCAGTCAGACCAAGAGGAGAAAAAAAAAACTTGGGTGGGGGGCGTGGCTTTTGGCCGCGCGTGAGTGTGAGCGCGCGCCAGCTCGTGGCTCGTGTGCCAGCCGTGGCGCATGGCCCAGCTGAGCCCAGGCGGCCACAAGCCCCAAAAAAGGCCCAAGCAAGCCAGCTCCCAGAAGCTCCCAGTCGTCGCGCCCGGGCCAAAGTGGTCGAGTTGGTGCACTCGCGCCTTGGCTACGTTCTTCGCACATCAAAATGACCGCCGGAGCACCCAGTCAGTACAAGCTCGCACGACGATCCGCTCGATCCCTACTGACGTTCTTCCACCCTGGTGGCCACTGCCCACAGTCGTCGTTAGCAAGGTCTACAAGGTGCGTTGAGAGCCGTCGAAGCATCCCCGGGCCGGCCGTTTTTCGATTTTGCTCGCACGCCCTGCCGCTGGCGGGCCCGTCGGCGCTGGGTGGGCCCGCCCGATTTCGCGTGCTGGGGCCAAAGCAGCGGCGGGCGGCGACAAACACCGTCGAGCGTGTCCAGATGTGTGGCAGCAGCTGACTTGACTTGTTTCTTTTCCATCCTTGCTTCTTTCACCCTTCTTTCACCGCTCTTGGGCTGCACCTCGTCTCTCCGCTGTATCGACGCGCTGGTCTCGCTCGTGCCCACCCACCACGCCCACGCCCACGCCCACGCCCGCCGTCGCACCCGCTCGCACCCACCGTACTCGCACTCGACCCGACTGCTCCACCGTCCATCTGCCACCGTCCACGCGAACTGCGCATACAAACCAATCCCGACCAACTTGACCTCCCATCAGGTCCCCCGTCGCCCCTTCGAGTCTGCCCGCCTCGATGCCGAGCTCAAGCTCGCGGGTGAATACGGTCTGCGCAACAAGCGCGAGATCTGGCGAATCTCGTTGATCCTGTCCAAGATCCGTCGTGCTGCCCGTGAGCTGCTCAAGCTCGACGAGAAGGACCCCAAGCGTCTCTTCGAAGGTACGTCGGGGCGCAGTGGTCGAATGTGGCAAGATGGTCGCCGCGGCCTCCTACTCTCTGACACGCTGCTTCATGTCTTCTTGCTCGTCGACAGGTAACGCCCTCATCCGTCGATTGGTGCGAGTCGGTGTTTTGGACGAGACCCGCCTCCGTCTCGATTACGTCTTGGCGTTGAAGGTCGAGGACTTCCTCGAACGACGACTGCAGACCCAGGTCTTCAAATCCGGATTGGCCAAGTCGATCCACCACGCCCGTGTCCTCATCCGCCAACGCCACATCCGGTACATTTCGACAATCTAGACTGGCTACTTGAACCGTTTCTCAGCAGAGGGATTGACTCTCGAGCTCTTATTTCCCACAGCGTCGGCAAGCAAATCGTCAACGTGCCCTCGTTCGTGGTCCGCCTCGACTCGCAAAAGCACATCGACTTCTCCCTCACCTCCCCGTACGGTGGTGGACGTGATGGCCGAGTCAAGAGGAAACGCGCCAAGGCCGCCGCTGCCGGTTCCGGTGAGGCCGAGGAGGAGGAGGATGATGAGGTACGTTCTGGGTTTTCGATAGGCCTTAGGGCCCCAGGCCGAGAGAGGGAGCAGATCGCTGACCTTCTGGTCCGTTTTACCGTACAGTAAACGCATCAGCACTTTAAAACCTTGGAGGCTTTTCGGAGATTTGAGGAAGGGCATCAGAAAGGTAGATCACACTTGGTTCCTTTCATGCATCTTTTCTCTTAGATCTGAGACGTTTTTGAGGCAATGGGGAAAAGGCCTTCATTCACGAAGTTCGTTTGAGTTATGCAGAGAACGGGAGAAGATGGGAAAAGAATACACAATATACCCGATTCGATTGCAGCTGATTCACAATGATGCTGACACGAGCCGGTGCGGTTAATAATATCTGTCCTGAGACCGCTGTCTTGTTCATTCTATGTCTTGCTCCAGAGTCCTCAAGACACTCCTCGCTCGCTCGCTCCTCATCATGCAGACCCTTCCTCGACGAATTGCTTCAACCAACCATTCTAGAAGTTCCTCCGCTAAGTCCATTCGACAACCCGATCCGTTGCTTGTCCGACATACTCGGTCCACTTCGTTCGCGCAGACGATAACTTGCCTTTCGGCCCACCACCGTTCAGGGGACTCAACGGCGTTCGAAGCTTTGCCGAGAGAGATGAGTTGGTTACTGATTGAGCTGGTGTGGTTACTCCATGCTGGTGACAATCGAGGTCCATCTCATCGGAGCACTTGATGTGGCATCTTGAGAAGGCAAGGTAGGCGAAACGGGTAAAGAATGAAAAAGTCAACTTCTGCGCTCTTGTGGTCCATCAGAGACCCTTGCGCCCATCTGGCCAGAGGAAAAGGATCACTTACTTGATCGTACAATCATCACACTCCAAATAAGCCCTCCAACCGAACGTCCCAAAACCCTTCTCGCAATAAGCGCACTTATCCTCCCCCACCATCGGCGAAGATCGCAGATTCGTCGTCTGAGGTCTCGACTGTTTCGGTTTTGAGCCCGAAACGAAGGCCAAGAGTTTCGTCGGTTTGGAAGGCTCGATCGTAGGAGGTGGTGCTTGGCCGTAGGTCAACAAGGCAACCAAAACTTTCTGGAATCCCGGTTTGATGAGAGTGAAACGATGGGGTTGGGCGATCAACATGAGCGAGGACGAGGAGGTTGGGAGGAGGTCACTTGATCGAGCCGAGGCAAAGTCTTGCGCGTGGCCTTGAATGGTCGAATGGAACACCTCGCCGCCGGATGTTTCCGCTTGTTCTTGCGCTTTGACCCTCACCTGAGGCTCAGCGGGGATCATTTTCTCACTTACGATCTCCGAACCGGGCCCATCCGAACGCTCCGACATCCCCGAGCCCTGCCCTTCCTGAACCCAAGTATTGATCAAAGGTCCCAAATCCACCTGTTTCCGCTGCTGAGCCAACCACGAAGCAGGCAAAGACGCCAACGAACCCGACGACGACGCTGCCATCGTCGACGATCTCACCCGACCATCGCTCTGCGCAGTCATTTTCAGCGGCGGCGCTTTGACGGTCAAGGTGGACCATTCCGCCTGCCGTTGTCCTTGGCAGAGGAAGGAACTTCTTTCGTGAGACTTCCATTCTTGGTTAAATTCGGAACCGGTGTAGAGGTGATCACTGTCGAGTTCAAGACCAGCCCCACCTCGATGATGAGGTCCATCGGATCCCATGTCAGCCAGATCGAGTAAATTGATGTCGTCGAGCTCATCGGTGGTTTCTTCTTCGTCTTGAACCTCTTGCGCCTCGACACCCTTCGCCATATTCTCACGAAGGATCGAGGAGCCAACCACACCTGATTGCCCCTGCGAATCCGAGACCCGGCTGCCCGTCCGAGTTTTAGGCACCTTGACCTGTCCATCCCAACTCGGTAAACGAGGTGGACCCGCCGGTCGATCGAGCGACCTCGAATCCTCGACCCTCGCACCGACCCATCGAGCGACCGAACCTCTTTTGATCGTACCCGAGAACGACAAACTTCCCACGTTCAGTGATCCACTGCCACTGCCACTGCGACCACCACCGATCGTCGACGATTTAGACAGCTCTTCCGCTTCGGCCGCGAGGACTTGGGTCTCGATTCGACGAAGACGACTTAGTACGTCCAGCGCACTGGGTCGACGCGTCGGATCGAGTCGAAGACATTCTAGAGCGAGGTCGAGAAAGTCGGGTGGGTGACCGAGCGATGCTCGTTCACGCACTTCCAAGGGGTCGATACCGAAGGTTGGCATGAGGCGCTGAGAGAGCGTAGTATAGGGGTAAGCGCAGTCTGTGTCGGACGGAGCTCGAAGAGGCATTTGAGACTCACCGGAAAGATTTCGTTGTTGACCAGCTGCCTTGACAAGATCTCGATGAAAATGACACCCAGCGAAAAAACTGCCAAGACGACCCAAATCACACGGTGAGCGGACGCCCTCCCCCGACACGATGATACGCAGAGCCCCAGCACTCACTATCCGTCGGCAAACCAAACTCGTCACCCAACAAGATCTCGGGACTCATGTACCCATCTGTACCACAATAACTCATCCTCTTCATTTCCTCATCCGTCTGCGCCGCCAACCTCGCGAAACCGAAATCGCACACCTTGAGTCGTTCATTCGCCGTACAGAGCAGATTCTCTCCTTTCAAATCACGGTGCAAGCATTGACGTGAATGGAGGTAGGCGACCGCTCGAGCGACGTCTATGGCGAAGGAGAGACGGAGACGCCAGGGGAAGGGGAGGCAGCGATCGTCGATGTATTGGCGCAGGTTGCCGCGAGGGAGATATTCGGAGATGATGAGGATTCGTTGTCGAGAGGCGGCATCACCGTCGTATCGAGGTGGGTCGGGAGGGGCGAGGCAGAGTCCGAGGTATTGGACTGTCTCGAAGATTATATGGGATGAGTGACTGTGTAGTCAACATCGGAATGACTGGATCACAGGTCATATAACTGACCAATGTTAGGATGTCTCGCCTCGGCCATGATCTTGCACTCGCGCCTGAAATACTTGTCAACATCGTATTCACCGCTGGGCAAGACTTCCTTAATCGCGACCTAGAGTCAATCGGGAATCGAAAACACCATAATTTAGCGACCACTCGAAGCACCAAAGGCAATCACCCTGAATATCTCGCACCGCCCTCCGAGGCGCCACTCTGTCCTCGTCCGTTCAGGAGCCTCGGCCAACTCACTTCGAGTCCCAGGTATTCGCCCTTGTACACGCATCCGAACGAACCACGGCCCAATCGAGTCCATTCACTGTATCAAGTACCAAGTACCGAAGAGAGCGTAAAATGAAAAGAGTCAGCTGAGAATTCTCGTGCACGTGCCTCGATGACTCCCACGGCGATTGGGCGATCGAATGTACATCGTATCGTATCGCCCCTCGCCGAAAGGCGCTCCGAAGTGCGGTGAACGTCGACGGTGGAGCTCTCGTCGTACGGCGTTGAGTAATGTGGGAAGTAGGTACTCACGTTTCGGGTTGTAAATGCTCATACAAGATCTTATCGAAGCGTTCGATGGTAGTCATCTTCTCCAACAGCTATCGCCGAATGTTCTTTAGACGAGATCCGGTGACCCGTCGTATCCGAACGACGTTCCGAGTTGAAGCTTTGAAGGAAACGAAGCCCGAGCGACAATTCGATCGTGGTGAAACCTGCTCGTCGTGAGTCGGGACGATGTAAACTCGATCCCAACAATCGAATCGGATCGGAGGGTCTGAATAGTTCGAGAGTAAGAAACTCTCAAGGGGCCGTTACAACTCGGCGACTCGAATCGACAGCTCGGCAGCTCGGCAGTCGGCACTGAGAGACTCGAAGAACGCCGACTAGGGGGGATGAATGACGAACGCGCGCGTGCGCCAACGCGCGATCGCGACCGCGAACGCTCGAACCCTCCTTCAAGCTCGATCGAGATTTATCATTCATATTTCATATGAGCGAATGCCGACTGCCGTTTTTGGTGAAGTTCAGGGGCTGGAGTGAGAACAAACGTCCGCTAGGCACCTTGTGAGCATGGAATTTGAACCCCTCTTTTGCTCGTGAGCAAATTGACTCCGTGCGTGCGTTCCTGAAGAGACGAACGATGATCTGCACCGTTCCTCTTAGCTTGGAACAAAGTGGCACATTCCTCAAAGGGTCCAACATCATCGAACAACACCGCAGATGAGGAATCTCGAATCACCAATGGCTTCCGTGAAGTAGAGAGAGCAAAAGGAGGACGAATGGATTGCACAAGCGATTACCGCTGTCCGATCTACTCTCCTTCTTTCATCCGCTCAAAAAAATATCATGCGTGGTTGGGTTGGCGGTGGTGAGAAAAGACAAAACACACGGGGGAGAACACCATAGGACACCAAAGGGGAGAGATGAAACCAAATAGAACGATCCCTTTTGGGGGGTGTAAGCAAAAGGGGTAGGGGTTTTGGGATCGTTTAGATGGTGGTGTCTGTAGAGTAGAAGGGACAGAGCAAAGTCAGGATTTGTTTGCGACTGAGAGGTGGTGGTGGTGTTGTAGGACTGACCGTAAGGTTGAGGTGCGAGGGTCTGGGGGTTGTTGTCGGCGGTCGAGACGGTGCGGGCCTCTCGGGGGGCGAGCGGCAAGCGCTTGAGGAGGACGGTCTCTGCAAGACATCGAAACCAGTCCAATCAGCGCTGGTGCGTCGCAAAGAAAAATCGCGACGATTCGATTACTCACCTCCCTTGGCCTTGGCGTCCTTCTTGGCCGCGGCGTTGGACTTGACTCGGTTCAAGAAGTCATCACGGCACTTGGAGTGCTTGACGTGCTCGACGCGCAAGTTGACTCGCTTCTCCATGTAACGGTTACCGACGACCTTGTAAACGATGACACCGACCGAACTGGCGGTGACGTTGTAGACGATGCCGGTGCGGCCGTGGTAGTACTTGTGGGGCATACCCTTTTGTTGGGCGGCGTTGGCCTTGATGTCGACGATGTCACCGACGCGGTACGTTCGGAGAAAGGTCGACAAGGGGATCATTCCCTTGGTCTTGAACCCCCGCTTGAACATGTCGCGCGTTCGCGCGCGCATACCGAAGGAGTGAGGCATTGTGGAGGATTAGGACGGGTGGGGGTGAACGGACTGTGAGATCGGGAACGGAACGGAAAGAGGGATGGTCAGCAATCTGTTGCGAGCTGTCCCCACATGGGGGACGGAGTTGGTGTGGTGTGTGAGGCAGAACGAAGAGCAGGTGTCGTCGGTCGATGCAGCGAGAGAAGAAGGATAACGGAGGTCGATCGACGAGGGCTCGGGGCGGGTGTGCAAGCAGCGGTACGACCCCGTCCCGCCGACCGAGCATGCCAACTCCATCGCCCCATCCCATTCTAGTGCATCTGATCCATTATCCTCCCCCAGAGGTCCGTGCAGCGACCATACGAGCCCAGCTCGGCGCGCCGATCCGCCAGCTCGTTCGACGCTGGGCCGAGTCGGGGATTCGCACCGTGCCAGGCCCAGGCTCGAACCAGCCAAGGCAGGGCCCCGACCTGCCCACCAAGCCCGCACCACCCGCACCACCCGCACCACCCGCTCCCAAATCCCAGGCTGATTCCAGCGAGGTCATCCCTAGATTCGATGCTGCTAATGCACCTCGCTGATCGGCCGTCGTCGTCGTGTCAAAGCCGTTGTACGCTTGCGAGCCGAACCGCAAGAATGCGTTCTCAACGCCGCCAGCGCGCCATGCGACCCCATACACCCCAACACCTTCCCCTGTACCCAATCATTCCAGTCGAGGCGAAGGACCACAAGTCGATACGGTAGATGATGAGGTCGAGGTCGTCATAGGCGTTGCGTCGATGGTCGTACAGGTCGATCACACGATTTTGACCACCACGGCGCCGTGAGCGCCTCGTCGACTGGCCCGCGGGTAGGCGCAGCGACCCAGCCGAGGGCGGCCAGCGCAGAGGAAAATTGGCCGCGACGAAAGGGCGTCCGGCCCCTCCCCCGCCAGCTGCGACGACCAAACCACGACCCACCCACGCTCCAACGCCTCCACGAACCCACAGACTGCACGACGGAAGACGGAAGACGGAACAAAGAGACTTACGACTGTGGTCGACACGAGTGAATGATCAGTTCCTGTGTGGATTGAAAGGACGAGCGAGGTAGGTGCTTACGAGGGGGTTTGGGTGCGCGACGGGACCTTTGCGAGACACGAGAAACACAAAGCCGTTCACGCTCGTGCGCCAATTTTCTGAGCGGGGAAATTCGAAGCGGCCTAATGCACGATTAGACCTTTGACGAATTGCTAAGAGTCGAACGGTGGCTCGGGAGATTGGGTTCCTACCCGTGCACCCAATCTCCCCGCCCCCCCCCCCCCCAGTCCGACCCAGATGTAACAAGCCGAGTCTGGTCAGAGCGCTTTATCCAATGTCATGGACATCATCCAGAATCTTCGTCGTTGCCCGCTTCGGTGGCGAAAAATCTCTCTCGATTCTCCTCGACACCGATCGCGGCACGAAAGCTATTGCCTAACCTCTTTTCCTTTCGATATCGTTCTTCTTTTCATCAGGTCAGGAGAGGAAAGGAAAAAGAGAGAGAGCATAGACCAAACCGAACCCAAAAGCACCCGAGACCGAATCCCCGATCCGATCCTCTCCTAGAAGATTATTCCTTCGCTCCACTCGACTCCTCCCCTCCGCTCATCTCCGTCGTTCTAGGGCATCTCTCTAATGCTTGCCTTCAACATGCACGTCAGCCTCGACCTGGCGCAAGTAGTCGTCCGCACCGAGGGTCTCGTCCGACTCGGTCACGCTCGACGACGAAGCCTTGGGAGCGTCGACGGCGGGGGCGTGGCTGTTGGAAAGATCAGAGCACGGCGGGAACAGGGCGTCGTGGTGGAGGGGCCGTTGCGACAGGTCGTAGATCGAGGGCGGTGAGGATAGCCAAAATGATTGGCATGAACAGAGCATGCGAGGATGGAGATGTGTAACAGAACGTAGGAATGTCAGCGACCCACTCCGAACCGTCAAGACAAGCTTCGGTCGCCCAGCCAAGCCCAACTCGGCCGCTCTGGACTCCTCATTTCCAAGCTCCGAATGGGAATGGTTTCCCTCAAAGAGGTGTACCAGGAAACTCACGAATCGTACTCCTCCAACTCCTTGGCCAAAGCGGCGGCGTCAGGGACTGCCGGGGCCTTGGGTGCGGTCGGGGTCGAGTACGACTTGACCGAGCCGGCGGCGGAGGGCTGTTGCATGGACATATCACGTGTGTGAGAGGGAGTGTGCGTAGAGTCAGTTGAGGGGTTTGGGGAGGAGGGAAGAGATCGCGCAGGGGTGAATGGATCCAAGACGCACGGCGGGGTTGGGCTTGTACGCCTTCAACTCTTTGAGGTACAACTCTTGCACAAAGTCTGTGTGATGCACCATAATCCAACGGGAGATAAAATTAGCTCGGCGTGTTCATCTCGTTGACGTAGAGACGGACGAGTCGATTGTGGTTCGGCGGAAGCGGGAGGACGCGGAGGAGCGGCGTTGCGCGACGATCGAAGCCCGTCCCATCGGTCCAGTCGGTCCGATGACGGTGTCCACGGGTGTGGATCGAGCTCAAGTCGATCGATCATCAGAAGGACAAACTGACCCTTGCGAACGGGCGCGTTGACCGAGAAGGATCGAGCCAAAGGTCGGGCCTGCGAGACGAGATGAGCCGAGTGGCCGAGTGCGGAGGGGCAGCCGAGGGGAATCAGCCGTAGTTCCCCAATAAAGACGGGGTGCGAATGAACGCACCGACTGTTTGATCAAAGTGCGAGCGGCGAACATGCTAGGGGATGCGATGAGGGGATGATGACTCGGGACGTGATGGACAGGGACCGGTCGCGGCGGTGGAGACTCGCTCGCTGACCGGAGGGCGTTCAAACAGGTTCAAACTGCCCAAAATGACTGCTCGGGGGCCAAAACCCAGCCAAAACCCGGCCAATATTCGACCCGCGCAGACCGGCGCCGAGTTGTTCGGAAGAAGGCTTCCGCTTCGATGTGCTTGCTGCTATTACTGCCCTCCACCACCACCATCACCACTATCACCACCACCCATCCACCCATCCACCCATCCACCCACTCAGACCAGCATGTACTCTGTCGTCCGCACTGCGTTGCCCCGCTCCTCGTTCGTCGCTCAACGTGCGCTCTTTTCGAGCTCGACCTTGGTTAGGTGAGTGCTGCATGAACTGCGTACAGTGAGTGGTGCGTGATTAGGTGCAGGGCCCCGGATCGAGCAACGTCATCACCCCGGGCGTAACCGGCAGCGACGGCATCGTGGGACATCACTCCTCCGATCGATCCCACGCGTTCGTGCACCGAGGTCAATCATGTACTGCACCACGTACTTGACGACCGGTGACGATCTGTTCGCAAAAACCGCGGTGGAGAGTGACTTTCCACTCGCTTCTTCCCCCCCCCCCCCACCCCCCCGCCGCGGCAACCGAGCCGATCTGTTCGCCACCGAGTCCGATCCCGCCCTCGCAACGCGCTCCCTCATCCTCACCCAGTACTGATCCATATCCTTGCCGTTCATCGCTCATCACCTCAATCAGCCAAGGCTCGGCAACCAAGCCGTTGGACAGTCGCGAACGGGCCGCCGAGGAAGCCTACTCGCGCGATAGGGTAAGGCAGAAATTTGACTCTAACATGCAACCGTATACGGACGGCGGGCTCTTACAGGCAAGCAAGCCATACTCTGTTTTCTACAGGAGAACGAGAAGCTCAAGGCGTTGAAAAAGTCGATCGAGGCGAGCAAGAAGCACCTCGAGCAGTTGGAGAAGGACCACGCCGAGCTCGAGTCGTCGCAGAAGAAGTAGCCGCTGCCATGGGATGCACTGAAATCCCAAACACAACGCAATCGATCTAATATTCAATGCGTCACCTCGGGTTGAAGGACTCGGAGGCGGCCGAGCTTTGTCTTGAACTACCAAAGACTTTGCTCCGTCGTGCGGGAGGCAGCGGGCCGATAGTGTAGGGCCAGGAGCGGAGCCGGTTCGCAACTCTTGACATGTGATCTTATCTCTCCCCAAGTACACACCAGGCCATGCTGGGTGTGGAAGCGTCCATGCAGCGAGTCACTGGACCGGCCCATAAATCTAGCCAACAACCCCCCGAGAGTCTGTAGTACACACCACTGTGGCTACAGCGAGGGACGTGGTCCTCTAGTCTGAAAAACATCAGGTGACCTGGGTCTTGCTAGAACACCCTCCTCCGAGAACCTTTTTTCCGAGACGTAAATTAGCGGCGTGGAAATTCCCGTCGAAAAAGTTCAATGATCGATCCTCGTTGACGCTGGGGCCGTTTCGGAAGTCTCTCGGACCGGTCCCGATCGCCTCGTGCGCAAAAAATAAACCAACCACTTGCTCCCGCCACACACACTCGAAACGCTCTCGGCCGCTCCTCCACCAATGGCGACGACCAAACCCACCAAGACCCATCGGCCTTCCCCCGCGATCCAAGCCTATCTGATCGCCTACAACCTCGCGGCCATGTCCCTGTGGGCCTACGCCCTCCTTCGTCTCGTCCAGCACCTGCGCGGGGATGGGAAGGTCGATGGTGCAGAGTATGGGCTCAAGGCTTGGTTGGGGTTGCAGAGTCGGTGGGAGAAGGTGGAGAAGAGGAGTAGGGCTGGCTTTGCAGAGTGAGTGAGCATGGCTGGTCGTCGGGCGATGAGGCTTGCTGATGCTGTGCTCGGGCTCCACTTGTAGTTTCGGGGAAGCGGTCAAGTGGATCCAGACGTTCGCTTTGTTGGAAGTCGCTCATGCCGCCTTGGGACTCGTGTAAGGTTACAGAAGAAACGCTCTCGAGCAGGAAGGGGGGTTTCACCTCACGCTCATGCTCTGGATTGGCTATCGTTCCAGTCGTTCCGGTTTGGCGACCACGATCATGCAGGTCTCTTCGAGGGTCTTCATGGTCTGGTACGTGTGCAACACTTGGCCCCAGGTAAGTGTTTCGAAACGCACATGGAGTGGAGTGGAGCCGACTCGTTGCCCCGAACGCTCCCCAAAGCTGATCCATCCTCGTGATCCCCCTCCCCTGAACAACAGGTCGCCGCCTCGCCCTTCTACTGCTCGATGGTTTTCGCTTGGTCGGTGACGGAGGTGATCCGTTACGCCCACTACGCCGCCGGCTTGCTCGGCGTCAAGGTCTACGTTCTCGAATGGCTTCGGTCAGTCGTCTCAATCTTTCGGAAGCGGTTTGGCCGACAGTATGACGGAACTAATTCCAGAGTGCAAGTGCTTGCACAGCTACTCGCTCTTTTACGTGCTCTACCCCCTCGGAGCCGGATCCGAAGCGACCTTGATCCTCAAATCGGCCGGGTAAGAGTAGAGTAGCTCTACCCGACCGACCCAACGATCGCTGAACCAATTTGTTCCCCCCCTCTACACCAGTCCCGTCCGCCACCACTTTGGCTACGTCGGCTTCTTCACGACGGTGACGATCCTCTCCGTTTGGCCTCCTTCGTTGTTGATGATGATGCAACACATGCGTCGACAGAGGTACAAGCACTTGTTCTCCCATGATCATGTCCGCGCAGGAGCGAAGGCCTCCCAGGCGTCCCACAAGTCGCCGGATGTGAACAAGGTAGTGGGGGAAGGGGTGCAGAAAGTTGAGCAGGTGACTTCGAGTGCGAGGGACGATGCTGCGAAGATGGTCACGAGGAGCCGGAGTAGGCAGAATTTGAAGGCTTGAGAAGGGTGCAGGCGTGGGAGAGAGTTGGGGTTGGGGGTTAGCGGAACGGATGGAGAGGAGTCAGGAATGGAGGTTGATTGACTTTGGAGAGCTGTGATGGATGGCCAGATGGGGGAGCTGGCTACGACATTGAGACGGCGTTGGGGAGATAAAGATTCGAAGCAGGATGATGTCATGGCCGACTTCACTGTGATGGTTCTCGGCGACGGCGAATGTGCCAAGTTTGCAAGGTTAAATATGTTTTGCGTGTTGTCTGTGTTGGCAATGAATGAAGCGGCTCCAGATCTCGGGATCCTCGTAGAGCAAAAGCCACTCTGACTCGATCCAAGTCCTCAAAGGGTTCGTGCGAGTTGAGTCGAGCCGTCTGGCGCTTTCTGGCGCGTTCACGTGTCGCCCGCGAGAAGTCGGTGTTCTGACGTAGCAATGGATTTAGAATGACCTCGTGCCCAAGCTCCTCGAAAGTTCTCGTCAAGCTGCTCGAAGACTCACGTCTTTTTGTTGAGGTCGTTGGGGGTTGTCGACGCCATTATAGCCATTGAAGACTTGTTGTGAGGCCGGCAAGGGTGGGCAAAGCATGAGCCTAGATCACTCGTCGGTCCAAAAGCGGCTCGAATAGTCGGCAGTGACTTACAGCGTTGTTGCTCTTCCTGACCTGGGTTCCGTCACCCTTCGTCTGAATGACATTGTTGCCGGAGACGTGTTGATTCTTGGGCATCTTGGGCAGTTGAGTTGAGCGGGTGAGCGGGGGAAGGAGACTTGATTGATTGCTCGCGTTTGGCTCAGGGTCGTAGAGAGGAGGAAGAAAGCCTGCTGGATCTTGAGAGCGGTGAGAGAGCATTGAATGGCGTGCGCCGGGGAACCGAGTAATTTGACCATTCATTCATTTGCTCGATTGGTGTCTACCGAACCAGCGACTCCCACGGCTTGCTCCCGCTTCCGACTTCACGTCCGCGTGGGCGGGCCGGTACCCCTATCTCGAGGTATGTGCTTCGTCAATGCTGCCGCTCCATGCTATGAAGTGGTCGTGAGCTAAAGCATGAGCTCAGCTCTCTTGCGTCATCATACAAGACGACTTACAGAAAGAGTGGACTCTGTAACGCGGTTCGTCTTTCACAGCGCAGCTCCATGTTCAATGATGGCGACGCAGCTAACCGCGGCGATGACGCCATCACGCGCATCACCTTCCCTCCTATCTCCGTCAGCCTAAGTGTATCCGACCCTCTTCCGCTCCTTCTCCTAAAGTTTAAAACATGATCGCAGGAAACACTTCTGGCAAGGATCTCCGGGCCCAGCTGTAGCACGCGGTTTCGGAAATCGATTACGGACTTGAGGCTCCTGAGCACCAACACCGAGTTCTGGCAAGGATCTCCGAGCCCAGCCGCAGCACGCGGTTTCGGAAATCGATCACGGACTTGGGGCTCCTGAGCACCAACACCGAGTAGCGAACAGGCGGTGTGGGGATCATTTCTCAGCTTATATCTGGCTTTTCCTGGATTGGTCAAGTCAGAGGAAGTCACGAGGTGTGCACCAGTGTGCACCGAGAATCCGCCGTCTCAGCCCCGAGACCTGTCTCCGTGGCTTTGGGTAGGCCTAAACGCTGAGCGTACCGTACTGTGATCAACCAGAAGCAGAAACCAGTGTTCCCCGGGCAAGACACCTGTAACTCATACCCCCACGAATAAACGTCGCCGCCCTTGTACTTGACTTGGAGATCGCGCAGTACCTGTACGATGACGTTGCGAGACCGGCGAGACCGGATGTCGTTGGATATGTCTCTGGCAGGTGACGCTTGAATCTCCCAATCATTGACGAGTTTCTCGTCGCTCTCAGGTATGCCGATCCAAGCAGCCCTCTTAAACCTGAAAACGCCATCGCAGATAGCGAGGTGCGTTCCATCGCCAATGGACGAGACCAGTGGAATCTCACATGATTGATACTTGGACATGGCTAGTGCAACTGGCCACGGGAATTGATTGTCCAGCGACTAGTAGCATGTCAGTCCCAAGACGCTCGCTGGCAGATTTAGTCAGTGCTACTACAGACAGGATGCCTGTGTCAACAACGGTTACGAGGTAGAAATGTGAATGATTGATGTTACAGCACGGGAAGCGAGTATGGGTAAGACATAGACAGGTTGCGAGCTTCCATTACCTGGGATTAACTGAGACAGTCATAGCAAGCGTGCCCTTCGGCAGCATGACTGGGCACAGGCCATATTTCCAGAGCTCCAATCGCGCGACTAGAGGCGTGACAGAGGTCTTGGACGTTTAGGCCTAGACTCTGTATGAGCGTGGAATTGATGGCAGGATGTCGAGGACAACTCCCTTCGGAATCTGCAGGTCGATGCTGGAGCCGGCCAAATTTCAGGGCTTCGCATTAGATCAGATATGCGCGTAGATATCTTTTATCTATTTATAATTTTGCCTTTTTTCGGGCTATCTATAGATCTGTCATCTACAGCAGAACAGATAGATGAAAGATATATATCTGGTGGATCTCTACGTAGATAAACGCCACTTGATAGATGATGACTAGATGTGTGGAGGCATGCATAGATGTGCGTGTATAGATATGACAGGGCGGACCCTTGTTCCCTTGTGCTCGACACAAAAGGCCTTTGCAGCCATGACAAGATCTCTCCAGCTGCCGCCAGAAAAACTCGACGAAGTGGCAGAATGGCAGCCGTGCTTTGTATTCTATTGACAGACGACGGAGAGCAAGTGCAAATGAGGGAAAGCTAGAGGACTCGGTTGAAAAATCTATGAAGGGGCAGAAACAGAGAAACAGAGAGAAAATATGTTGTTGAGGGTTTATTATGTACATGGGAGAAACGAAGATTTACTCTGTTGCATACTTGGGTAGCGCTCAAGACGATTTTTCGTCCGTGTCTGAGAGTTCCAGCTCCTCAATCGGCGAATTTTGCGAGAGCGAGGTCGATCGCGAGGATTCTCCAGTGACGTTGTGGCGCTGCCGCTTATTCGCTTTGTGGACTGCCGAAGAACTTTTCTTTGCCACGACACGCTTCGATGGAGCACGGAGCTTGCCTGCAAGAAAGATTATTGGGTCCTCAGTCGCTGCAAGGGCTAGCATGACTCTTCTCATTTGAACTCACTTGCGATGATGGGTCGGGCATGACGAGCTAAGCCCTCGAGGGTGCCCCCGAAGATAGGAGCGGTCGGGTTAGCCTAGCTACCGAGACACATCTTGGCGTTCAGAACTTCGGCGGAGGTGCTGTGCTGCATATAGTTGATCGTCCGGCGGCCGGTGGAGAAAGCGCGTTCCGCATCGCACGCAGTTGGTGGAATTGTGATGAAGTCAATTGCCATCTCGGCAAGAGCCTTCTGCCCTGGAATCGCACGTTGTGTCACCCAATACTCGATAGGGCACCCCTTGTAGGCGTCGTTCTTGTTCAGTCTGACGCATCCCCTAGCCCAGTACTGGAGGAAGGCATCTGGCTCGTAGTAGTTGTGAGAGCCTTGTGTGTCACCTCCTTCATCACCATACAAATCGTGGTCGGAGCAAGCATCGGAATCAATCGGGGACGGAGGACCAGCTTAGGGGATGTCCTCATAGAGAGGAAGGTACACCTTCTTGTAGATTTCATGGAGCTTCTTCTGCTTCTCATTGATATCGGTTTCGGCCCAAGCAGTTCCAGGTCGCTGAAAGAATCGCAGATGGTGACGAGGATGAAAGAACATCGACCCAAATGCAGCAATCGAATCGTCGCCAACCTTCGAGTAGTAGTTGCCCAAAACAATCAAAGCGGACTTGGCTGCGATGCGCACCATGGGAGAAGCGGTTTGAGCCTTGTTGTCAAGCATGCCTTCAACTCGTTCGAACTCGGCGATGACATCCCAAGTGCGAGGCGTTGCATCTTGGAACTGAACCGTCAGGGTCTTGAGGTATTCGCCAATGTCAAGGAGCTCTTTAACGATATCAAGTGCGTCATCAGGAAGGGCGAATTGGTCCACGATGTTCGAGGGTGTGTCGTCGCGCGCCATATAGTAGTCGATGGCACTCGAGAACAGAACATGGCTCTGAAGGCAGAGGTGAATAGAGTTCCAACGCGTCGCATGACCATCATTCCTACGATCGCCGATTTTGCACAACACGTTTCGGGACTGAGAGTCAAATCCTCCGACAAACACAGATGGCAGCAGTCGGTCGTTGCCACCGCCAAGGACCGACCCGATTCCAAGGCGACGGAGCTTTCCCGCAAAAACGAGAAACCCTTAGCGCTTATCTTCTTTCTCCAACTATCTTTACTATCTTCATCGGCTCTCGTACTTACGCACTTCGTGCCTCGGCCTCAGGTTAGTTACTGTGCAATTCTCGAACTATCTTTACTATCTTCATCGGCTCTCGTACTTACGCACTTCGTACCTCGGCCTCAGCTCGTGAAAGGTTATGAGCCCACCTAGCCTATCAGCGGCGGGCGACCTCGACGTCCACGGTGACATGGCATCAACGCGTCCACCACCGTCATCAACGTCGTACCATACCAACGACGTCGCCTCCACTACCTCCGTCACGCTCACTAAAGAGCAATTCGACGAGCTGATCAGGAACCAGCGCCCCGCACGGGACGACGACGCATTCTCCATGCGTCAGCGCCTACCCCCAGCCAACCCTCCGGTCTTCCCCGACGACTCGAAACTTACGGAGGACAATTACGTTGACTGGGTCCCCACGATGCCGCCATGCCCGCCCTCTTGGGCTGGATTCAACGCTCGGACGAATCGAGCGACGGTCCCCGTTGCGAAGGCGGTCGTACCGACCAAACGCTCTGCACCAGGCAAGAAGGGAAAATGGGATCGTTCTGGTCCTGCCCCGAGCAACTGCCCAGCTTGTGGTCAAGGCAAACACTGGCTCGACAAGTGTCCGGAATCGCGCAAGCGAGCCAAGTACCTCGAGCTCAAGAACGCCATGAAGGAACTCCAAGGCTCATCATCGCCTGCGTCCACGTTCGTGGCCACCGAGGCAGCATCCAAGGATCAACACCTGTCCGTCGTTTCTTCTGCTACGTTTGTCAACATCGGGCCACCGGCGGAAATCCTTCTACTAGACTCGGCGTCGGCGTGCCACGTCGTCAACGATGCGTCCTTCTTTGACGGCCCCCTTTCGCCTACCCCGCAAGTCCTGCAAGGTCTAGGGGGAACGGTGAAGGCCTCGGGAATCGGCTCGGTCAAGCTCGTCTCCGATAATGGTACCAGGTTCACCCTCAACGACGTGATCTACGCCCCCGAGAGCCCTGCCAACCTCATCTCAGTCCGGGCCTTCGACCGCAAAGGCGTTCGCATCACCTTCGAACACGGACAAGTCGAGCTCCGCACGCCGCAAGGGTGCATCGCCACAGCATCAGCCATCGCGTCCTGCGTTTACAAACTCAACGCTTCGGTCCAAGCTGCCAGCAAAGATGCGCGACACACGCTCGTTTCCACCAAGTCCAATAGGCTACCTTTACTTACCCTTCACCGGCGCTACGGCCACGCCTCTGTCCAGACACTTAAAAAACTGGCGGCCTCTGGCCAGGTGGAGGGTTTAGATTGGCCCTATAGTGACTTCGAGTGTGATGGCTTCACCTGCAACGCGTGCCTTGCCTCCAAAGCGCATCGTTTGCCTTTCCCCTCTTCGTCGTCGCATGCCGCGGAACCACTCGCATTGGTGCACTCGGACGTCTTATCTTTCCCCGAGGAATCCTTAGGCCATAAGCGATACCTCGTCACGTTCATCGACGACTTCTCGAGGAAGACTTGGGTTTACCCCATCGGGCACAAGAGCGAGGTCCTTCAGACATTCAAGGATTGGCTTCTGGAGATCGAAAACGCCACGGGTCGCAGGGTCAAAACACTTCGCTCGGACAACGGGGGCGAGTATGTCTCTACCGCTTTCAACGGCTATTGCGTGGCCCGCGGAATTCATCGCGAATTGACCATACCGTACACACCCGAGCAAAACGGTCGGGCTGAGCGAGCCAACCGGTCGATCGTCGAGGGCACCCTGGCTCTACTGTCTCACTCGGGACTCCCACGATCGTGCTGGGACGAGGCTGCCATGTGTTACATTCACGCCAAGAACCTCTCGCCTCACGCGGCCCTTGGTGGAGCCATCCCAAACAGTCGTTGGTCGGGCCACACACCAAGCGTAGGGGGTCTTCGGGCATTCGGTTGTCGCGCTTGGACCACCGTGCCGGCTCACCGACGGGACAAGCTCGACCCAAAAGGGATCCTCTGGTCTTCGTCGGGTACGATCGACACGCGAAAGCCTACCGTCTTCTCGATCCTTCCTCCATGCGTGTGAGTCTGGGCCGCAATGTGACGTTCGTAGAAACCGAGTTCCCCTTCGCTATCGCGCCCACCCGAGTGACGCAGCCGTCCATCCCGGGTTACGCCCCCCAGCCCCCACCCGTCGAAGCTCCAACACCCGTCGAGCCTCCCCCACGGCCACCGGCCCCAACGCCTGTCGAGGCACCCGCGTCGCCCGCATCGACCAGCTCGGCCGACAACGACGACGCCTCATCGACCACGAGCGCAACGACGGAGTCAGCCGTGAACCCGCCGCAACCACCTCCGGATCCAGCTCCACTCGCCAAAGTCAAGCCGAGTTGGGAGTACGGCGACGTCGCCAAGGTTGGTCCCGATCCAGGGAAGTACGGTGAAGTCGACGCTCGAAACATCATTGATGGCCCCCGGACTCGCCGCCAACCCGTTCCCACCATGATCACGCGGGAACAGCCAGTCGACGGCACCGACGGACCCACCGCCTCTTTCAAGAGCCTGCTCCTTGCCTTCGCATCCACCAAGGCCGGCTTCGCAGATCATGACTTGTCGGTTGTTCGCGATCCGGCAAATTGGGGCGACGTCATCCGATCGGGACAAGAGGACGTTTGGGGCGCTCCGGCACAGGATGAATTCGATTCGCTTCTGAACGATTACGAGGTCTTTCAAATCGTCGAATCCTGTGAGCTCCCAGCGGGTGAGATCCTCCTGCGGTCGGGCTGGGTGTTCCGGACTAAACGCAACCAGCATGGCGACATCACCGATCACAAGGCCCGACTTGTTGCTCACGGATGTGCCCAACGCCCTGGCCTTGACTTCGAGAAGACCTATGCCCCTGTCGTCAAATTCACGTCCATTCGAGCTCTCATCGCACTCGCCGCGGCCAACGGCTATCACGTCCATCAGGCCGACGTCAACAAGGCGTATTTACACGGCAAACTTGACAAGCCTCTCTACATGCGCGTCCCTCAGGGCATAAACCTGCCAGGCAAGATCCTCAAGCTGTCCAAATCCATCTACGGCCTTCGCCAGGCCGGCACCATCTGGAACGCTGAGATCGACTCGACTCTGCGGTCCCTCGGATACGTCCCCACCAGGTCTGACATCTGTATCTACCGCCGCGAACACGACGGGCACTCACACTATATTGCCTTGTACGTCGACGACTTGCTTTTGGTTGGTCCCTCTACCGCCGAAATCGAGCGGGTGCTGGACGCGCTGGAACTCGCATACGGCATCAAACGTCTCGGACCTGCCGAATATATTCTAGGTATCCAAGTCAAACGTGGACAAGACGGCTCTATCACGCTCTCACAAGAGCGCTACCTTCGGGACATCCTTGCCAGGTTCCAATTCACCGATGCCAAGCCGGCAAGTATTCCAATGCAGCCAGGTGTCGTCCTTGACTTCGAGGACTTGGCGGCCACTCCTCAGGATCGTACGCGCTACTTGCAGGCCATCGGTTCGTTGATGTACGCCGCAGTTGGAACTCGTCCGGACCTCGCCTTCGTGGTCAGCTACCTCGCTCGCTTCTCCCAGCAGCCTGGCCCGGAGCATTGAACAGCCATCAAGCAGGTCCTCCGTTACATCAAAGGCACGCTGGACTTGGGCCTCACCTATCGCAAGACCAGCCAACCACTCCGTGGCTACTCGGATGCGAACTGGGGAGCCTGTCTAACGACCTCACGATCGACCATGGGCTACGCGTTCATCTTGTCCGGAGCCGCTATTGCTTGGTGCTCCAAACGCGAGCACAGGGTGGCCAAGTCCACTACCGACGCAGAGTACCTCTCTCTTTCGTACACAAGCGGTGATGCCATCCACCTGAGCGAACTCCTGGCTGAACTTGGCGCTCCGGTCTCCGGTCCAGTCGTACTCTACGGGGACAACCAAGGTTCGCTGGCTCTTGCGCAGCACCCGACCAACCATCAGGGGTCTCGTCATGTTCGCATCTCGGAACATTACGTCCGCGAGAGGGTAGCTGAGAAGGAGATCGAGGTCCGCTACATCGCCACCGGCGACATGATTGCCGATATTTTCACCAAAGCCTTGGGTCCCAAGCCGTTCATCTTCCATCGGGAGAATTTGGGTTTGCGAGGTGCAGTGGTATGACAGCACGGGGGGGTGTCAATATATTGCTGTTTCATCCCACTGGTATTCCCGATTATGATTAGTTACTAGTTGTTGATATTAGTCGCCCCGCGCGTCTCGAGCCTGCCTCGCGCGCGCTCCCTTAGCGCTTATCTTCTTTCTCCAACTATCTTTACTATCTTCATCGGCTCTCGTACTTACGCACTTCGTGCCTCGGCCTCAGTTCCTGAAAGCTTGTCGGTCGGATTGAAGTGGCTCGAATAGTCGGTAGTGACTTACAGCGTTGTAGTCTTTCGTGACCTGGTTTCCGTCACCCTTCGTCTGAATGACATTGTTGCCGGAGACGTGTTGATTCTTGGGCATCTTGGGCGGTTCAATTGAGCGGGTGAGCTGGGGAAGGAGACTTGAGGGGTGCCGCGTTTGGCCGAAGGTTGTAGGGAGGACGAAGAAAGCCTGCTGGGTCTCGAGAGAGGTGAGAGAGCATTGAACGGCGTGCATCGGGGAACCAAGTAATCTGCCCGTTCATTTGCCCGATTGGTGTCTACCGAACCAGCGACTCCCACGGCTTGCCCCCGAGTTCACGTCCGCATGGACGGGCCGGGACCCCCCTATCTCGAGGTATGTGCTTCGTCAATGCTGCCGCTCCATGCTATGAAGTGGTCGTGAGCTAAAGCATGAGCTCAGCTCTCTTGCGTCATCATACAAGACGACTTACAGAAAGAGTGGACTCTGTAACGCGGTTCGTCTTTCACAGCGCAGCTCCATGTTCAATGATGGCGACGCAGCTAACCGCGGCGATGACGCCATCACGCGCATCACCTTCCCTCCTATCTCCGTCAGCCTAAGTGTATCCGACCCTCTTCCGCTCCTTCTCCTAAAGTTTAAAACATGATCGCAGGAAACACTTCTGGCAAGGATCTCCGGGCCCAGCTGTAGCACGCGGTTTCGGAAATCGATTACGGACTTGAGGCTCCTGAGCACCAACACCGAGTAGCGAACAGGCGGTGTGGGGATCATTTCTCAGCTTATATCCGGCTTTTCCTGGATTGGTCGAGGAAGTCACGGGGTGTGCACCGAGAATCCGCCGTCTCAACCCCGAGACCTGTCTCCGTGGCTTTCAAGGTAGGCCTAAACGCTGAGCGCACTGTGATCAACTAGTAGAAGCAGAAACCAGTGTTCCCAGGGCAGGACACCTGTAACTCATGCCCCCACGAATAAACGTCGCCGCCCTTGTACTTGACTTGGAGATAGCGCAGTATGATGACGTTGCGAGACCGGATGTCGGTAAATATGTCTCTGGCAGGTGACGCTTGAATCTCCCAATCATTGACGAGTTTCTCGTCGCTCTTAGGTATGCCGATCTCATCCAAGCAGCCCTCTTAAACCTGAAAACGCGATCACAGATAGCGAGGTGCGTTCCATCGCCAATGGACGAGACCAGTGGAATCTCACATGATTGATACTTGGACATGGCTAGTGCAACTGGCCACGGGAATTGATTGTCCAGCGACTAGTAGCATGTCAGTCCCAAGACGCTCGCTGGCAGATTCAGTCAATGCCACTACAGACAGGATGCCTGCGTCAACAACGGTTACGAGGTGAAAATGTGAATGATTGATGTTACAGCACGGGAAGCGAGTATGGGTCAGACGTAGACAGGTTGCGAGCTTCCATTACCTGGGATTCACTGAGACAGTCATAGCAGGCGTGCCCTTTGCCCGCATGACTGGGCACACGCCATATTTCCAGAGCTCCAATCGCGCGACTAGAGGCGTGACAGACTCAGAGGTCTTGGACGGTTAGTAGGCCTAGACTCTGTATGAGCGTGGAATTGATGGCAGGATGTCGAGGACAACTCCCTTCGGAATCTGCAGGTCGATGCTGGAGGTGCACGTCATGATCTTGACGCGCCCAGGATTCATACTATGACATCGCATGGCAGCTCGATGAGCCGGCCAATCATACGTCGAGTTCATGGAAGCTGACAGTCTCATACTTCAACGCCTCCGTGGGTTGATGTTGATGTGGTGTGATAACTCTGATGGCTTGAGCGTCTCGTGATATAGCGACAGTTGTGGTAATCTCGATTGGAGTGACATGACGGGAGTGGGTTTAGAATGAGCTCGTGCCCGAGCTCCCCGAAAGCTCTCGTCAAGCTCCTCCAAGACTCACGTCTTTCCGTTGAATTTGTTGGGTTCATTTAAGAGGTCGTTATAGCCATTGACGACCTGGTGTGAGGCCAGCAAGGGTGGGCAAAGCATGAGCCTAGCCCACTCTGTCGGCCGGAAAGTGGCTCGAATAGTCGGCAGTGACTTACAGCGTTGTTGCTCTTCCTGATCTGGGTTCCGTCACCCTTCGTCTGAATGACATTGTTGCCGGAGACGTGTTGATTCTTGGGCATCGTTGGCGGTTCAGTTGAGCGGGTGAGCGGGGGAAGAAAACTTGAGATGGTCGCGTTTGGCTGAGGGTTGTAGGGAGGAGGAAGAAGAAAGCGTGCTGGGTCTCGAGAGAGGTGAGAGAGCATTGAACGGCGTGCGTCGGGGAACCGAGTGATTTGCCCATTCATTTGCTCGAGTGGTGTGTACCGAACCAGCGACTCCCACGGTTTGCTCTCGCTTCCGAGTTCACGTCCGCGTGGACGGGCCGGGACCCTATCTCGAGGTATGTGCTTCGTCATTGCTGCCGCTCCATGCTATGAAGTGGTCATGAGTGATATCAGCTCTCTTGTGTCATCATACAAGACGAGAAGAGTATACTCTGTAACGCGGTTCGTCTTTCACAGCGCAGCTCCATGTTCAATGGCGACGCAGCTAACCGCGGCAATGACGCCATCACGCGCATCACCTTCCCCTCTATCTCCGTCGGCCTAAGCGTATCCGACCCTCTTCCACTGCTTCTCCTGAAGTTTAAACCCGATGATGTGAGGAAACAGTTCTAGCAAGGATCTCCGGGCCCAGCTGCAGCACGCGGTTTCGGAAATCGATCACGGACTTGGGGCTCCTGAGCACCAACACCGAGTAGCGAACAGGCGGTGTGGGGATCATTTCTCAGCATATATCCGGCTTTTCCTGGATTGGTCGAGGAAGTCACGGGGTGTGCACCGAGAATCCGCCGTCTCAGCCCCGAGACCTGTAAGGTATGCGCCTCTGATGTGCATAAACTACAATCTGTCGCCATGACCGCTAGGCTAAAAGCAAGTCGTAACTAGAACTCGACAGTTCTAGCTACTCAGAGGCTACTTATGGGGCTGTTCTGTAAGGCATCCCCTTACAAGACCTGTCTCCGTGGCTTTGGGTAGGCCTAAACGCTGATGCAAGGCCTGAGGCCTTTGCCCGAGGTATTATGGAAGGCGATGGAGTGGTGATGGAGTGGCGATGGAGTAGGATGGAGTGGCGATGGAGCTTTGGACTTGGTTGAATAGCTTGCGCGCGCCCAGACCCTCCCTTGGCTTTCGCCAACTCACTGACCGGAGGTTCTAGGTGGGTGCCCCTTTTCTCATATGTGTAGTATTACGAGCTCACTGACCGGAGGTTCTAGACGTGTTTTACCACTATTTGATCCTGTTCATCGTCTCTGGAGCACGGCTGCACGCAGTGTTTCCATTTTTTGTGTGTGACAACGATCAAGACACGTCAGCATTCCCGCCGTCACTCGCGCCGCTGCCAGGTTGACTAGAGCCTTCGCCACACCCGATCCACTGCTCATACCTCTGCCGTTAAGCGACTCGGAGAGCACCAACTCGGGAGCCTCCGACCCCGCATCCGCCGTTACCGTGACCGACTCCGACTCAGGAGTCAGACCACGACCGCCGCCGTCCTGCCGCGCGCAGGATGAGCGAACCGCACGAAGACGCACCCCGGGCCCTCGCTGGAAATTGCACGCCCCGTCCTACCTTTGCCGCGCCGACCGTACCTTATCCGGACTTCGACTCTTCTGGTCTCGCAACGAACGACACTTCAAAAAAGAGAAGATCGAGACAGATGTCGACAAGATCGACATAATCGGCCAGCTGCTCCTCGACCCAGAGCTGAAGGTGTGGTATTCCAGTGATGCCGCGTCACATCATGTCAACAAGAAGTACGGCGCATTCCAACGCGATTTGACACTTCGCGCGTTGCCGTCCGATTACATGTGGCAACACTACCGACGCCTCGACAACAAGTTGTGACAGACGGGTGACTACCGAGAATTTTCAACGGCCGCTCGCCATCTGCAACTGGAACTGGGCGTCAGTCTTGTCAGCGACACCCAGCTGGTCCGCCCGCTCCTGCTCCACATGGACGAGGAGCTCTCCCAGCGACTCCGACTCTCGGAGGTGATCAAGGGGACGGGATTGTCGCCCGACGAACTCGACGCCTCCATAGTTACAGCCGACTCGACCACCAGCCCCGTAGCCTTCGATTACCAGACGTTCGACGCAGAAGCTAGGCGACTCTGGCGAGTCATCCGTGCCACCCGCGCTTCCGTGAAGGCGACAGCTCAAGCCTCAGCGAGAATCGTCCGCCCCACGCCTACGCTGCGCACTACCGCCTCGCCAGCTGCCTCGCCGTCTACGCCGCCGCCGTTGTCTTCCAAAACCCGAGCGCCGCCGATGACCGACCGTGAGCGTGCTTTCGTCAAGAGCAATCAGGGCTGCTTCAAAGTGTCGCAAGATCAATGCTGGCCACTTCAAGGACACGTGCACTACCTGGGCGACTTCGGCTTGTAAAGTCCCAGCGGGTTCAGGCGACAAGGCACCGTATCCCCAGAACAAGTTGCGTCCCTATCCGACGTCGTAGACGAAATTGTCGACAAGGGCGAAGAGCTACACTGCCTGTGCGATGACGAATACCACAACGGCACGGATGACGAGAGGTGCGAACCCATTTCCCTTTCTATGAAGCTCACAACAGATGATGGACCTGCCTTGCGAGCTCTAGTTGACACGGGTGCTTCCGCTTCTTTCATCGCAGATAAGGAAGTGGAGAAACTACGGTTGACACGGGAGGAAGCTTCAGGTACCCACATCTGTTAGTGTTGCAATCCAAAGCCACAGGGTCTCGCATCCCGTCACTGAATTCGTGTGTGTGCCACTTCGTACCCTGACCAGCCGATGGTCTACCCAGCACGTCGTTCTGAAGATTGCGCCATTGACGTCGTTGAAAGTGGTGTTGGGGCGACCGTTGTTAAAGCGACACGATATCCTGGTCGACTGCAAATGGCGTCGAGTGCTGGCCCCCGATCCAACCCTACCCCGGCAAGCGTATCGATCTGATGGACCAGGCGGAGAAGGGGGAATGGTCGGAGAGTGCGGTTCAGGCGAGCATCCGGGCCTGTCTCGCTCATCTTGAAGAGCAGCAAGCGGAAGAGTCGCAATTGCGAGCACTTGAAGTCGCATTTCGCAAGGAGTTCTCGGACCGATTTCCGGCAGACATCCCGCCGGTCTCGCAGTACGAGTCAAAGGTCCGCCATCGTATCGCGCTGAAACCTGGTATGAAGACTCCGCGGCAACCAACCTATGGCACTCCGATGCGCTGGCGTGCAGCGTGGCGACGCTTACTGGATGAACACCTCGCGGCCGGTCGTCTTCGCCCATCATCGTCGGAATACTCCTCGCCGGCCTTCATCATCCCCAAGAAGGGTATGGACACCGACCCGTCGATTATGCCGCGTTGGGTCAACGACTATCGGATCCTCAATGCGGCCACGGTACCGGATCGCACACCGCTTCCCCTGCCGGACGAGATTTTGGCCGTCTCAGCTCGGGCGCGCTTCTGGTCCAAGATCGATATGACGAACAGCTTTTTCCAGACGAAGATGGCCGAGGAGGACATACCAAAGACCGCGGTGGCAACCCCCTGGGGACTCTTTGAGTGGGTCGTCAGGCCGATGGGCCTGTCGAACGCGCCGGCGACGCATCAACGCCGGGTCAACGAGGCCCTGTCTAGTCTCATCGGCAAGACCTGCTTCGCCTACCTTGACGACATCACTATCTTCTCGAATACCATGAAGGATCATCAAAACCACGTCAAGGAGGTACTCGACGCGCTGCGTCGGGCCGATCTGTATTGTTCGCCAAAGAAGACCGAACTTTTTCGGACGTCTTGCGACTTTTTGGGGCATGTCATTTCGCAAAACGGGATTGCAGCAGATCAGTCGAAGGTGGAGCGAATCGTGGAGTGGCCGTGTCCGCGGACTGTCACAGAGCTGCGGGGGTTTCTGGGCCTCGTTCAGTACTTGCGCAAGTTCATCAATGGTCTGGCCCAACATACCAAACCTCTGGCGGGTTTAACTCCGAAGCACGCCAATGTCCGACTCATGCGGGGTGCCGAGCAAGAGCGACACTTCAACGCCATAAAGGCCATCGTCACCTCGCTGCCATGCCTCAAGCCGATCGACCACACGGATTCCGCTTCTCCCTCCTCGGTTATGACGGACGCAAGTAACGTTGGGATAGGCGCCGTTTTGCTTCAGGGGCAGGATTGGCGCAAGGCACACCCGGTGGTGTATTGGTCTCGACAGTACATCAGCGCGGAGGTCAACTACCCGACCCATGAACAGGAGCTTTTGGCGGTCGTGGACGCCCTGCGTCAGTGGCGGGTCAACCTGATGGGCGTCCACTTCAGTGTCCTTTCTGACCACGAATCGCTGAAGTACCTCAAGACGCAGGAAAATCTATCAAAGCGTCAGGCTCGCTGGGTCGAACGTCTAGCCGACTACGATTTCGACATCACCTACATTCCGGGAGGCGAGAACACCGTGGCAGACGCGATGAGTCGGTACTCTTTCCCGCAGAGGGAGCCTGATTCCGTACAGGCGGTTTCGGAGAGGGACGTCGACACACAGCTGCGGGGCCGCCTTGTGGAGGGCTATGACTCCGATCCCTTCTGCCAGCAAGTCAAGCGCAATCTCGACTCGTCGCCAGGTTTCTCTTGTGTGGATGGGGTGCTGTATTTCGAGGGTAGGATGGTTGTACCTGCGGTGCCACAGCTTCGGGAGGACATCTTACACGACGCTCACGACGCGCTGGGTCACTTCAGCCCGCGCAAGACCTTCCATCAGGTGTCTCGGACTTTCTTCTGGCCGCGGCTGCGAACATCATGCGACCGCCTATGTTTCAACATGTGATGTGTGCCAACGTACCAAAGCAACAACCACAGGCGCGTTGGGGGTATCACATGCGTTGGCTGTGCCGGATGGGCTGATGCAGGAGGTGGGTCTCGATTTTGTGGGCCCCTACCCAAGAGCCACCTATCTTTGAGCGAGTGGAGTGTTGGTCAAAAGGGTTTGTGCTTGAGCTCATCCGTCGTTTTGAGGATTTTCAGGTCGCTCCGGAGGATCAAGCGCTCCACTTGCGCAACTATGGGCTTGACAGAGGCCAGAACTGGCGCGGCCCGGACTCGGTACAAGTCTGGAACTGATGGCATGATGTCGAGCATAACTCCGTCCGGAACCTCCAGGTCTATGGTGGAGACGCACGTTATGACCTTGACGTGCGAGGGATCTATAACGATATCGGACGGTAACCGGATGAGCCAGCCAGTTATCTTGATTACCTCGTCGAAGCTGTAGGTCTCGTAATTGAGCTTATTTGCGGGGTTCAGATGAGGGTCCAGCTGTGACGGTTTGATCCATGACCGATCAGGTGAATATGTGAAATCTAATCAGGCTTGAGACCCCCAAAAAAATAAAAAATAAAAAATAAAATCGCTGGGAATCTCGAGCGAAGCCACTTCGTGTAAGCAGCCTCGGGGACCATCATCGCCTTTGCTTTGTGCATCCATCTGGGTGCGCGCTACACGTCCCTAGCTGCCATTGGTTGTTCGAGAACCGACTCGTCACAAGCTACAGCCAGAGCTCGGATTTGGTTCAGTGCAAGTGTGTTTGGCTCGTCAAGGTGCCGACTCCAGGCGGCGGTCGTCGTCATCGTCGTCATCGTCCAAATCGCCCGGAACTCAACAGCTGCACGACTCGCACCGCACCACAGAGGCCACCTCGGCTCTGATTCTCGACCCAACTGAGCGGTGCTGGGTCGACGCTGGTCCAAAGCCTTGATGAGGCCATCGCACGATCGCGTGCTCGTGCCCGTGCTCGTGCCCGTGCTCGTGCCCTCCCCGACCTCTTCGGCCGCTCGGTCCAGCAGCTCGTCGTCCCCACCTTCCCCACCTTCCCCACCTTCCCCACCTTCCCCTTCGAATCCGCCCTCTCCGAATTCGGCGAGGGACGTGCCTCTTCTGCGATTGGATCAACATCGCTCATCTGCCGCTCAAAACCCCCCTCCGCAAGCGACGTCAACTTCCTCCCCCGTTCGTCGTCAGCCGACCATGCACGCCGCCCCCTCAGCCTCTTCGGTCTCCTCGTCCTCTTCCTCGACCCATCCGACCACATCAAAGTCGACGCTCCTCCAGAATAACCCCAGGGAAAGGAAACAATCCAATCCTCTACGTCAATTCAGATCCAACGCTTCCTTGGGCCCGAACCCCACCCCGACCACACCCTTCAAACAGAATACCACGTTGGCCCCTTCCTCCCGATTCGGGTCAGCCCATCTTGGAACGGGCCGGGACTCGAAGGGGAAGGATCGGTATTCGGATGCACCGGAGGGAGGAGCGACGGAGAATGGGCATGGACGTGGAGAGGGAGAGGGAGAGGACGAGGAGGAGGAAGAGAGAGACTTGATGACCAAGGGCAGACCGGGCATGAGGGGCAGGGGGGAGAGTGAAGGTGGCTTTGATGAGGGGTGGACCAATGATGGTCTGCAGCAACAGGAAGAGGAGGAGATGGGTTTGTTGGCCGGAAAGAAGGTGCGTCTTCGAATGCCTCTCGTTTGGGTTTCAAGAGAGGGAAATTATTGATCACGGACCCCCTCATTCCGCAGAACGGCGTTTGGTCACGACAAGGCTCCGTCGCCTCTACCCAACGAGCACCTTCCTTCCTGAAGGAAAGCGCCAAACCATCCAAAAAATCACGCACGATCCTCTTCAACTCGCGCGGCGTCTCTGGCGCACCCAAGTATCCTCCAAACTTGGTCAAAAACCAGAAATACAACGTCCTCACCTTTGTGCCGATGGTCTTGTACGAGCAGTTCAAGTTCTTTTACAACCTCTACTTTCTACTGGTCGCGCTCAGTCAATTCGTGCCGGCGTTGCGTATAGGTGCGTTGACGCATGGGTACGAGCGCTTTGGCTCGTCCGCGCCACCGCGCTAATGCCTCGCACTTTGTGTTTGCACAGGCTTCCTGGCGACGTACATCGTCCCTCTCTCCTTTGTACTAGCAGTCACCATCTCCAAGGAAGCGTTCGACGACTACAAGCGCTACCTTCGGGACGCCTCGGCCAACGCGACCAAGTACAACGTCCTCGTCGACGCCGCGACCTCACGTCGAGCGTACCCCAACTCGCACCACGCCTCCGAAGCCGCGAATGAAGGTCGTTCCTCTTCCTCCGCGCCTCTGAAACCGACGCCCTCCGCCAAACTCAAAGTAGGCGACCTCGTTCACCTCGAAAAGAACGAACGCGTACCCGCCGATATCCTCCTGCTGCGCACCTCGGACCCTTCGGGTTCATGTTTCGTTCGAACGGATCAACTCGATGGTGAAACCGATTGGAAATTACGACTTGCCGTTGAACGAACGCAGCGATTATCGAACGATTCGGGTTTGCTCAAGATCGAAGGAGAGGTTTACGCCGATTCGCCGAGTAAGGACATTCATAACTTCGTAGGAACGATGACCGCTCGCATACCCTCGTCGAGAACGGAGTCGTCGATGAACGAGGACGAGATCGATGCTTTGGAACAAGGGGAAGGTGCTCAGGCGGAAGAATCGATCAGGACCGAACCCTTGACCGCGGAGAATATGTTGTGGGCTAATACGGTGTTGGCAGCGGGAAGCGCGGTAGGCATGGTGGTGTATACGGGCAAGGAGACGAGGGCGGTGATGAATACCAGTCAACCGGGGACCAAGACGGGGCTTTTGGATGATGAGATCAATAGGTTGGCCAAGGTGCGTTCTTAGGAGGTATTCGCGTGTTTTGGAGTTGACTTTGCTAAAGGATGTTTTTGATTGATTGTTGTGCAGATCTTGTGCGGCTGCACGTTCACACTTTCGGTCATCCTCGTTGCTCTGAATGGGTTTAGGGGCAATTGGCCCATTTATGTCTTTCGCTTCCTCATTCTTTTCTCCTCCATCATTCCCATCTCGTGAGTGAACCTGCCTCGAAACAACTTCACGATCATCCCAAGCTGACTTTTAGGAGACCCGATTCCAACAGTCTCCGCGTCAACCTCGACATGGGCAAGACCGTCTACGCGCACCAGATCATGAACGACTCTGAAATACCTGAAACGATCGTGCGTACGTCGACGCTCCCGGAAGAGCTCGGCAGGATCGAGTATTTGCTCAGTGATAAGACGGGAACGTTGACGCAGAACGGTCAGTTGGGGAAGTGGTTCGGTGCTCGAGCTCGAGCTAGAGTGAGTGCTGATTGGACCTCTGTTTGGTGGGGTGAGAAATACAGAGATGGAGTTGAAGAAGCTGCACTTGGGTACCATGTCGTATGCTGTTGACTCGATGGATGAAGTCGCGCATCAATTGTCGATGGCCTTGGGTCTGACTGATGAAGGTAAGGGACATCGTGTCTGAAGTTGCCGTGCATGAAGTCTGAACCTTCTTGGTTTCGCCTTACAGATCGACGTGCGGGAACCACGTTGACGACTGGCGTGGCGTTGGCGATGAGGGGTCGGCGAGATATGTCTTCGCGAGTCAAGGACGTCGTGCTGGCGCTGGCTTTGTGTCATAACGTCAGTCCCTCGACGTCATGCTACTGTCAACGGGTGTCATTAACGCGGCCCCTCTTCTCTGCAGGTCACCCCCGCGGTCGACGACGACGGCTCCATCACCTACCAAGCTTCCTCACCCGACGAAGTCGCGATCGTGCGCTGGACCGAATCCGTTGGCCTGACGCTCTCCAACCGGGACCGAACCTCCATGTCCCTCCGCACCTCGACAGGCCAAGCCTTTTCCTTTGATATCCTCGAAGTGTTCCCCTTCACTTCAGAATCCAAACGCATGGGCATCGTCATTCGTGATCGAAAGACGGGCGAGATCTTTTTTTACCAAAAAGGTGCTGATGCAGTGATGGCCAAGATTGTCGTCTACAACGATTGGCTCGAGGAGGAGTGTGGCAATATGGCGAGGGAGGGGTTGAGGACACTCGTGATGGCTCGCAAGAGGTTGTCTGAAGAGGCATGGGCGAGGTTCGATGAGGCGCATCGCGAGGCCAAGGTCGCTTTGGCCGATCGAGCGGCTTCGATTCAACGTGTCATTGGCGAACACCTCGAACGCGATTTGGAATTGCTCGGCGTGACGGGAGTCGAGGACAAGTTACAGGACGACGTCAAGATGACGATCGAGCTATTGCGCAACGCCGGGATCAAGATTTGGATGCTGACGGGGGACAAGATCGAGACCGCGACTTGTATTGCCATCTCGACCAAGCTCGTCTCGAGGAACCAGTTCATTCATCAAGTCGCCAAATTAAAGTCACCTGCGGACGCGAGGGACGAATTGGATTTCCTTCAGACCAAGTTGGATTGTTGCCTCGTCATCGATGGCGAATCCTTGCAGTTGTGCATTGAACACTTCAGGGAGGACTTTATCGCCCTCTCGACGAAACTGTCGACCGTCGTCGCGTGTCGTTGTTCACCTACGCAAAAAGCTGATGTCGCGCGTCTCATTCGTGCCTACACTAAGAAACGCGTCTGCTGTATCGGTGACGGTGGTAACGACGTTTCGATGATCCAAGCCGCCGACGTCGGCGTCGGCATCGTAGGCAAAGAAGGTCGTCAAGCTTCCCTCGCCGCCGATTTCTCCATCAACCAATTCTCCTACCTCACCAAACTCCTCGTATGGCACGGTCGGAATTCGTACAAACGCTCGGCCAAACTGGCGCAATTCGTCATTCATCGCGGTTTGATCATCTCTGTCATCCAGGCCGTTTTCTCGTCGGTGTTTTACTTTTCGCCTATCGCGATTTACCAAGGCTGGTTGATGGTTGGGTATGCGACGGCGTATACGATGTTGCCGGTGTTTTCCCTCGTCTTGGACCGGGATGTGAATGAGGATGTCGCGTTGTTGTACCCCGAGTTGTACAAGGAGTTGACCAAGGTGAGTCCATGACACCGCGGGAACAGCGCCTGGATACAAATTGATGTTCATCTTCCCTTCTTGTCAGGGTCGAGCCCTTTCGTACAAGACCTTCTTCACATGGCTCATGATCTCCATCTACCAAGGTGAGAGTCATCGACACGCATATACCCCTTGCGTTTCCAGACTAACCCGTCTCCCACTCCTTGTCCCAGGCGGAACCATCATGATCGCCTCCCTCGTCCTTTTCGAATCCGAATTCCTCAACATCGTCTCCATCTCCTTCACCGCGCTCGTATTGAACGAATTGATCATGGTCGCTGTGGAAGTCACGACGTGGCATACGTTGATGATTCTTTCCGAGGTGATCACGTTGGGGCTTTACGTTACGTCGATCTTGTTCCTTCCGGAATACTTTGGTGCGTCTTCCTATCCGTTCGGCCATTGCAAAAGTACAAGGTGCACTGACCTCCTCAAGCTCGTTTTGCATCAACAGATCTCAACTTTGTCATGTCGCTCCCCTTCATTTGGAAAGTCGGCTTCATCGTCGCCGTCTCCGCTGCCCCCTTGTGGATCATCAAGTTGTTGAAGGGCAAGTTCGCACCGACGCAGTATGCCAAGTTGAGGGATTTCGCTGCATAGAGTAGGAATGAATTGCAATGACATCACTCTGCTCACGTGCTTCGATCGTTGATCGCATACTTTACCTTTTCTTGGCTGGGAAAGAAGTTTTCCTCCTCGCCGAGTACTAGACCCGACCTTCCTCGCTTTCCACTCCCTGATGCGATTGGTCGTTTTATGGATTACAATCAACTATACGAATCTCCATTGGTTCGATCAGTTCAACCCCTCGCCGCCCATCCCACCCCCCAACTGCCCGATCTGCGCATTCTCTCTTTCCCTGTTCAAGCGCGCGGTGTACGATCTCGAAACGACGTTGACTGTCGCCAAGATGATACGGGCCAAAAAATAATATAATAAAATAAAATAAAAATCGATGATCAGGAGATTGAAGAGGGAATGAAAGAAGGAGAAGGGGGAACTTACACGCTTCCAAATATCGTTCCGTGCAGCGCGCGAGACAGCTCTCGTCCGAACTGCCGAGGCTCGTCGAAGGTTTGGGGATGCATTTGGCGAAGCTGGGAGTTTTGAAAAGGGGAGGGGCAATGAAAGGGAGGGTTAGGACTGGGTACGGGAGTGGGACGAAGGACAAGTCGGGTCGGGGGTGGGGGGTGGGGGGTGGGCTGCGATGAACCATGCCAAGTGCGAAATGGGGTGATTTTGATCTGCTCACCATTTCTCGTTCATTTTCTGCGTAGGATCAACAACGGCGATACAAAGCATGAGTTACTCGACCTCGACGAATTACCACCTCCTCCGATCGGTGGGATCCAAGCGACGTACGTTGATCAGTTCCTGGGCGTTGGCGAGCGCGAGCTGTTCCCTGACTTGCTGCATCACCTGCTGTTTGCGTTGTTCAGACTCTTGCGGCGACAGGGCCGCGGGCGCAGCCGAACGGGAGAGGAAGGACGACATGGTGCGTCGTCAAAGTGTGGTGTGGTTGTTGAGGGAGGAAACAGGTGAGAAGGGTTACGAGGCTCGAATCGGTTGCGAAGTCGAGACGAGGCGAGTGTGGAGTGTGACTAAGTCCGCGCGTGTGTTGGGAAAAGTACCTGGAGGGTGAATGGAATGGTCAGTGCTGCATAGGTTGGGTAAGAGCGGCGACATTGATGGGTGACGCACTTGAGAGTTGCGGTTCAAACGTTGAGGTTGCCGAGATGAGCAGCGCAACGGCTGAGCTCAGGCTGGAGGCTGGCAGGCGCTGGCAGGCGCTGGCAGGCGCCGCGGTGACGCGCAGACCGGCTCGGCAGGGCAAGGCAAGGCGACGGGCGACGAGCTTGCCTGGTCCGAGCGGCAATGCTGTGCGACCCCTGAAAATGCTAATTAAGGCTTTGTCCAACTCCCTCGATAGGATGTTGACGGCTCTCGCACTCTGCCACACATACTGCAATATCAACTCGTGATCACCATTCCCTTTCAGAATATACATCACGCACAAACTCCGCCATCCTACGAGGCATGCACCAGCAGTCCGATCCTCGAGCATCATACTCTGTTCCTTGGGTCCGACGCAGCACTTTTCCTCGCCGAGCTGAGATGATCTCGCCCTCATCTCCTTCTGTCTCCCCTGTTCATATTTACAGAACTTCTACTCTTACTTGAGCTTGAAACTCCCATCTTCTTGGGAGATACCGTAGTCGGGATCGATCTCAGGGGTCAAATTCGAGGAAAACACAAAATGGTCTCTGATTTTTGGTCGTGCTATTCATAGGGAGGATATCCTGGTACGGGAGTAGTGCACCTGTCCACTTAGAACCCATGCAACAAATGCAGGGTGTACCAAGGACCTCCTTTATTCGAGAGAAAAGAGGATTGGCGGCGGAAAGATCTGCGAATAACTTCCTCGATGTTTCTTCGCCGAGTTTCCTCCCATCGTATACCAACTTGGCTGGCTGGTGTCTGAACTCTTCTTAGTGAAACACGACAATCGATTACTGTCAAAAACCAGTTGCTCGGGTCTCAAGTATCTGGGGTGAGCAGGACAGAGCAATTCCAGCCGTCTGCCAGAGTGAGGATTTTCCGGCCCACGAAGGTGACTCAGGAGCTGTGTGTGATACCTCGTGATACAGTCCAACCGAACTAAGAAGTTTGATCAAGAAAAGATGATCGGTTCTGATACCTTGAGGCACAAATGGAAGTACTCAGATTGAAGCACTGGACTGCGGATGATGACATCATGCCACACACAGTCGGTCGCACTAGGCTTTCAGCATGTGGATGAAATGACACTGATGCAGCAATGAAGCCCTGTGAAACGGTGCTATGAAGGTAGAATGCAAGCCTTGGAGCTCATGTGCGAATGCTACTCGAGAGAGGAGGTAGATTCTGCCATCTTCAGCGGGTGGTCGCCGAGCCGTCAAGCCTCGCCCAGCTTCTCGAGTTTCTCTTGAGCACTCTGCTTGGCCTCCTCGGACACGTTAGGGTTGTGGATCGCGGCTTTGAGACCGCCGGCGACGCGGTGCTGGTGCTGCTGCTCGTCGGCACCACTTCCACCACCTGATCCACCACTTGCTCCTTCACCGACGGAGGCCGCGTGCGACTCTTCGAGTTTCTGAATCATCTCTTCGGCGTGCTGTGAGGACGAGCGCAATATTGGGTCAGCACATCATCGATCCATTTGTTACAGAGATACAATCTGTCCAAGTCCGAGAGGGAGGCTGAACGCACCTTGCGGGTCTCCTCGGGCAAGTTCTGCTTGTGGGCGGTGGCCTTGTAGCCACTGAGAACACGGACATAGTCCTTCTCGGCGACGACTGGGGAGGTGCAAGCGGCGGTAGATAGGTCAGCACGTTGACAGAATACCTCCGCCTTCAAGCTCGAGATCGGTCAAGCCCCGCGAGGCTGATACGCTGACGACGGCGAGGGCCAACTGAGCTGACTTTGGTCTCCGACCTTCTCCAGGACCTTGTCGCCCTTGACCAAAGTGGTGTGCTCGGCGGACATGTTGCGCTGTGGGGTGTGGGGTGTGGGGTGTGGGGTGTGGGCTGGGTGGTCTGATCATGTCCAAGATGAAGGCAGGGTGGGCCGATCAGCTATTGGTGTGACCGACGACGTGTGGGGATGGCTGATGGCGATCGGCGCCCACACAGCTCCTGACTCCAAGCAGCTCGATCATCGATCATGGACTCACATTGGCGTGATAGGGGGGGGCTCGGAGAGATGTACCAGCTGGTCGAAGCAATCGAGGTGTTGGTACGCCGTTCGTCTTGGATGCTGGGCTGTCGCAAGTAGTGAGGTGGAGGAGGGAGGGAAGCAAGAGGAGAGCGAGCCGAGCGCGTCAATTTTGGTTGGAAGCAGCGGCGGTTCCGACTTTTGGGTTCCGACTCTTTTTGGCCCCTAAAGCAGCTAGTCCGATCGAGCGATGAGCCAAAAGCTCTTGGATTGTCCAAGACTCCAAGATCCCTCGCAATCTTTGGCCTGAGCGGCATCGAACACGCACTCCCTCTTGCAATGCAGTGTGTTAACACGGTGCATCTCGTGGCAACAAGTGGCTGCGATGTTCTAAAGTTCGAATGATATCCTGCTGGTAGTACTGCTACGTCATTGCAACTCTCCGTAGTGGGAATTACAATTTGATTCAAATGATAGTTTTTCCCGAAATTCGACTGTGCTACCACAATGGGGCAATCCCTCGAGTTGAAGTATCTGCGCAGCCACTTGACGTGCTCAATTTTCGGGCGGCCGGGCGAGGTGAGAAGGGGTCCGTGCGAGCTGGCGCCTGTTTTGAGGCCACGTCGAAGGCCGACTGTTTCGAGCGTGTGTGCTCGCGAGTGGCCTTCTCCCAGCCCGTCCCCAGCCCGCGCCGTGTCACGTCGGACCGATCGTCGAAATGGTGAGTTCATCGTATACCGGAAAGACTCTGGACATGCGCTGATGCGTTGATGTCCACCTCTCCTTGTCGTGCCGTTCGCCCTGTACCGCTCGTCGCGTTCGAAACACGCCTACGTCCTATGCCGCGCCCATGCGCCTCACGTCTCCCCACGACGCCATGTCGTACCGCTCCCCCTCTTCCGCCTTTAGGTCGTTCTCGCCGCATCAATCGTCACAAAAGGGGGCAAACGTAAGTCTCGTCCCCACCTGCTTTCGACCGGTCGTGCGAGGAGCTGGCCTGCGCTGGGGAGGCACGTTGACGTGGACGCGGACGCGGTCAGCGGCGACCAGCGCCTGCGAGCGCACACCCACTCGATCCATCGGATCCTCCAGCATATGGAGCAGTGATGTCCTGGCCGTGGTCAGCTCGACGTGTCCGCATAGTAACAGGCGTACTGGGACGATGGCGCGTGCCCACCCCCGCCCCGCCCCCGGCTCGCCTCGCCTCAGCCCGAACGAACCACATCTTTGCACCCTAACGAACGGAGCTCGTTGCACTGACCTTCCGGAGATTCCCATTATCGACCACAGCATTATTGTCTCGGCAGTTCCTCGGCTTGCCGCGATCGAGGCTCGAGTCGCTGCTCGCGTCGTTCCCTCGCCTGGTGTCGCCGACCTCGGAGCACACCGTCGTCGAAGCTTCCGGCGCACGATTCGTCTACACGCCCCTCGAGGACCTCTATGTCCTCCTCATCACCAACACTCAGTCCAACATCCTGCTCGACCTCAGCACCTTGTCGCTCGTGACCCGCATCGCGACCGAACTCGGCTCGGGCGGGCGCGGCGGAGCGATCAGCGAGATGGACGTGATGCGCGTCAGCTTTGAGATCCTCAGTGCGTGGGACGAGGTCATCTCGTTGGGATGGCGCGAGAACGTGAGCTTGCAGCAGGTGCGGAGTATACTCGAGATGGAGTCCCACGAGGAGAAGATCCAGGAGATCATTGCCAGGGTCAGTTCGCCATTTGCTCGCTGTTTTGACTTCTTATACGAAGCGGGAAATGCGTGCTCAACAACCTTGAGAACGTACTTGGTGCTACGACAGAACAAGGAACACGAGGCAAAGGAAGAATTGAAGCGACGTGCCAAGCAACTCGAGCTGCAGCGCCGCGAAATGACTCGCCGCGGTCAGAACCCTTATTCGACCAACTCGTCTTCGGGCTTCACCTCTCCAAACAACTCGTACACGCCTTCGGCCCCCTCGTACGACGCACCGGCACCGCAACGATCATACGACGAGGATCATGCGCCGGCACCGACGACCAAGCCGTTCAAGACCAAGGGAATGCAGTTGGGCGCCAAAGGTGGCAAGAACAATACCGGCCTTGCACAGGCCTTGGATGGCCTTGATGCGGAGGAACCCCTTTTGATGCAACGGCAGGCCGAGGAACCGCAAGAGCAGCACTACTCGTCCGCACCTTCGCCTGCCCCGGTTGCCGCGCCTGCATCCACCGACGTTTCACCTTTCGAGGTGCCAGAGCAACAAGAGTCAGTCCACGCCTGGCTGGTCTACATTCGAGCGAAAACAGGAGCTTGTGCTGATCTCATTGCTTCCACAGTGTCCACCTCGTCGTACGGGAAAGCCTCACACTCGAGCTGAACCGAGATGGGGGCGTCGAATCCCTGTCGCTCAAGGGTGATCTTGATCTGCGCATTGCGGACCCGGCCAAGGCCGTTCTCGTGATCGCCCTCCCCCCGCCATCATCATACGGCAAGGCGAACGATTTGCAGTTCAAGACCCACCCGAACGTCGACAAAAACGCATGGACTCAGCGAGGCGAGATCAAGCTCAAGGAGGGCAAGAAGGGTTTCCCCGTCGGGCAGGGTCTGGGCGTGCTCAAGTGGCGCATGACCGGAACCGATGAGTCGGTCATTCCTATTTCAAGTAAGTGCGAACTTTGATTCACTTCCGCAAAAGAAAAAAGGTTTTTTTTGGACCCCTGTGTGCTAAAGCCCCTTTCCTTCGACCTGTCCCGGTGCGCAGTCAACTGCTGGCCCTCGTCCGACAACGGCATCTGCACCGTCAACCTCGAGTACGAGCTCGAAAACACGTCCATCGCATTGCACAACGTCCTCATCTCAATCGCCTTGCCACCAGGGTCGCAACCTGCGCTGTCGGAGGCCCCCGCGAACGGCTCCTACTCACTCAACCCCGAGACGTCTCGCCTCGATTGGGTCATCGACGAGGTGTCGGTCGCGGCCGGCACAACAAGTGGCAGTCTCGAGTTCGAGGTCGACGGTGACGATGTTGATGCCTTCTTCCCCGTCGTTGTCGACTTTGTCAGCCAAAAGGGTCTCAGTGGCGTTGAGGTGAGCATCGCAGTCTCCTTGCCCCCCCATCCTAGCCCGGGCGTTCGCACGCGGCGGCCATGATCCTCGATCCACACCGTGATTCTAACGCTCATTCATTCCACTCCATCCCATAGATTCTCTCCGTTACGAGCCCAGCCGACCAAAGCCAGGTCGACTTCTCGATCGACTCCTTGCTTGCTGTCGACAAGTACGAGGTGGTGTGAGCGCCGCATCTCCTGCGCGTGCGCGCGAAGCCACCCGTAGCCCCGGCTGGTTAACTACTTTTGAGTTTTGATGATACGATTGAGGGTGTTGGAGTTGCTTTTATGACGATGGGTTTTGGTGAAATGAGATTTGTATTTTCACTTTATCCTGCGCGCTACGTCACTTGTCATTGAGAGCTGTGCGAGACTGCCCTGCGAAGGCGGTTTACCACTTAACCCGAGATTCCAGATCACCCCAAGGTTGTGAACGTCAGAAAGACGAGATCTAATTACCTTTGTCAACAAAAGCCCAAGAGGGACAATATCTCGTCGGCCATCAACGGGAAAAGACCATGTGCGCCATGAGGGTCGGCTCGCCGGGGAAGGTCAAAGTTCGATTTCTATGATAAGCTCTGATAGTGGCCTACGACCATTCACTCGGGTGCGCACTTTGTCAGGTCACAAGTAAAGCTACTCGACCTGTGGTAGGACCGAAAGAGGCTGGAATTCGTGAAGGAGAAGATGGTCGTGCGAAGAGCAGGCATCGTCCCGCTCAAGCCTAGTCTGAACGTTGTCAAGAGTTGACGATCATGTCTTTCCACAGCAAGCAATCCGACACGCGGTCGGGCGGCTGAGTCGTCACATTGATTACAAGCGTTTCTTTGCATCTCAATTTGTCTCACACTCCGGCACTCGCACATGAGCGTCACGCTCTGTTTCCTGGGTGTGCTTCGCCTATAGGCGAACACTGGCTTGCGGTCGCTTCCTTCCGCTTTTGGATCGTGCACTCGGCATTTCCAAACCCCAGTGCCCGGGGCCCAGGGCCCAGGGGCTTACCACCCCGCACCTAACTTCGGGCAGGAACCGATTTCTAATAGCATGTAGAGGCCTTAGAGGTCCCTACAGGTACCCAGTGTGGGACGCGGTCGTGTCACGAGGAATGATCGGACTCGGAGCAGGTCGGTCGAGCTCCATGGAGATAGGTTGCGCGCGTACAGGAAACGAAAAGATCTCGGAACTACCCACGCCGGCGGCGCCACTGGCAGCTCCGCGGCGGCGCCACTGCGCCCCTGAAGCCGGAGCGGATGACCGCAGACGGCCGTCATCGTTGCTCTCTCCGCTGCCGCTCGTTGCTGCCGGGCTTCACTATGCGACTGTTGACTGTGCGGCTTCTTGACATGATCATTCATCTCATCTTGCAAAGTACCGGCTCGCATGCGCACACTTGCCTGCTCGATGATCCTCCCATGGCGTGCACGCCGCCTCGAGGAGCTCCGCCGCGAGCTGAAGGGAGTTCCAGCTTGGTCAGCGAGAGGTTGGACAATGTCGCTACACGACTCCTTGACATACTTGGCACTACAGCCACAGAATATATGGCCATATCTCAACACGAGAACGCCACGGCTGGGCTACACGTAGGCTGCTTGAAGGCGGATGGTGCGAGTATCGGATGCACAACCACGCAACGATCCCTGGCATCGGCCGCGCCATCCGACTGCTGGACGTCGAGTCCAGGTGCGGCATCTGGCGGGGACAGGACGTACTTGCACGGCAGAACCTTGGAGAAGTGGCGCCATATTGTGATATTGATCCAGTGGATGGCCTCTGATCCCCCATTTCTTGTTGTCGCGAGCGCGCCAAGTCGTGATCATGACGGAGAAGTCTCGGCGCGGTTCGCACGCGGCGCGTCGCACCTTTTTGATTGGACCCAAGGGAAGGGACACCAGAAGGATCCCGGATTGGACTCGAAGGACAAGTGTATTGGTAGGCGTGTGCTGTAAGAGAGAAATATAATCTACTTGCCTGCGATGAGACGGGTAGTCCTGACCGCCGGCGATATACAAGCCGCTGCCGCTGGTTTTCGGGCATCTTCTGCGGGCGCGTCCGGGCCAGTGGCTTTGTCATGGTCAAGTGATCGCTCCATGCACCATTGAGCAGGGGAGCAAGCGTTTGAATCAAACACCAAGTCACTATCTCGGCGTCTCTTAAGTGCTCTCGCATTTGCCACTTTAGGCCTCGAGCAAGCTTAATCAACCAAGGTGGACCGTGCGCGAGCGTCCGCCCGGAGGTCACGTGCTTTTCATCGCTTACAGCCCTTCGAGTCTCGTATCGGCGGGACGCCCGCCCGTGCATCGGAAAATCGGAGATGGGCTGCGGCATGATCGAGGATCGAGCCGCAAGATGGAGAGTCGATTCTCTATGTTGCTGCCACCGCGTCGGCCTAACCTGTTAAGGCGTCCTCACTTCACGACTCTCCCGTCCTCGCTGGGGCGACTGCCACTCACCGATTGGCTGCCAGGAAGGCAAGCACGTGCTTCCAGTGTATGCAATACAGGATAATTGTTGACCCTCAGTCATATTTCAAGCGTCTGCTCAACCATGAACGAGTGTTGAAGCGCAGATGAGCTGCCGAGAGAGAAGGCCCCGGGCCGGGGAGATCTGCGCCGTGTGAAAGTTGGTACCGCCTCGTACCGCGCCAAGCAAGCTCATGCGCTGAGCTTGCAATTTTGTCCCAAAGGCCCTCGCGCGCGTCCGCTCTCCTTCATAACGAGCTGCAACGATGCAACTACAATAGGCACTGAGCGCAGCCGGCTCAAACCTTGCCCTGTAGGGGTAACACGATGAAGGAGTGAAGTGGATTATCGATGAGTTAAGGGTGAAGCACTCAGCGCACAATGGTCTACAATGGTTGGGCTCAGACGAGACAGGAGCACCCCTTCAGGGCTTCATCGAGACGACTTTCAGGAGCTTATGCCTGTCGCTACCTCGTCGGTTCAGAAACAAGGCCCGCGCACGGACAGGCGCGGGCGTCGGCGCTGCTCGGCGCTGCTCGGCGCTGCTAGGCGCAGCACGGGGCGGGTCGGCACTTGCGCTGACAACGGTCGTCTCGACCCCTTCATCCCTTCATCCTTCACTCACTACTCTGCCTTCCCCTGTCTCTGGACTAGTTTGCGGCGGAAAGAGAGCTCGACCGTCCTCTCTCTCTCTCTCTTTCATTCCTACCCTTGACATCCCCACGTCTCGCTACGTCTCGCTGTCGTCTTGATTTACCCCATCGCTTAAGTTGCCCGCCCTCGCCCACTCCCGATCTCGCGCTTCGGCCGATCGTTGCTTTCTGCAAACTCCGCGGTATCCGGAATCCCCGCCGACGCTCACCCCCCCGTAGTCGCGTCGCCAGACACTCTGAATTGTCACCATGCCTGCTCTATCGCGTCGATCCCACCGAATCAACTCCAACAAGTCGACCGCCATGGCTGTTGGCAGCGTGTCTTCATACAGCACGTCGTCCTCGTCGGCCTCGGACAGCAGCTCGCAGCCTCGCTCGGTCCGATCACGCTGCTCGGTCGAGTCGTCGAGCACCCAAGCAACGTCTGCAATACTACCGAGTGATCATCAACATCATACCGAGCATGTCCGAGCATCGACGAACGCTGCGTCAACGCCGGACGCGATGCCTGCCTTCAAGGCACGAACGGTCCATCTCCCGCTTCAACTGCCTGCCAGCCCTCGGCCACTGGCCGACGTCGACTGCACAACCTTGGTCGTCGATGCCGAGCTCGCGGATGTACCCATTGGATACGTTCTCGCGCAGATGCGTGCCATGGGTCAGTTCTGCTCTTTTTCTCTTCTGTGTCTTCCTGCCAGCACTCCACGGCGGCTCTCGAGTCTCCACTTTCGGGATCTCCGAAACTCTGATAGTGGCCCCGGCGAACTAGTTCGCGAGTGTCGCGAGGCTCATGTTGATGACGCTACTGCGGATCGCCGCTTCTTGGGATCTGAGCCCCCGCTATCGAGTTGGAATAATCCAAGCTGACCCTCTTCCTTCCTACCTACCTGGCTGTGTCTACCCTCACCGGAAATTCCTTCTCATTCGCCTCGAACAGGCGCCCTCCTCCTCAATGCTGCGACCCATGTCTCGATCGAGATCCCGAAGGCGTCTCAACTGCCATCCTACCTTTGGGCGACCAGTGATAGTCGTCGGATCGCATCCGAGCTCGCACATTCCTCGTCGCGAACGCCGATTTGCCTGCCCCCTCCGCCGACCCACATCCTCGCGGTCCGTGCCCCCGACGTCGAACGCGTCCTCCTCGTACCTGTGCATGGCCTCCTCTTCGCCTCGCGATCCTCGTCCTTGTCGATCCTGTCGTCTGCGCCACATTTCCAACCTGGCTTCCCCGACCACCCCGCCTTGCCCTCGTCTCTAACCCCCACAAGTGCCGACGACAATCCCGATCGAATCGCCCTGCCCGTCGTCGAGCTCAAGCTCCCGTCCGCGATTGCCTTCCCTCTGCTCCTGACCTTCATCTATACGCAAAACAACAGCCTGCTCCTCTCCTCACTACTTCCGAAACCAATGGGCGCCGCATCCGAGGCCTTCTCATCCCCCACTACAGCTACCGAGCTCGCCGAGGCCCTCCGTTCGTGTCCCGAAAAGTTGCTCTTGCACCGAGTTTCGCTCGTTCATGCGCTGTGGCAGGACGTCGTCGCGCTCAGCATCAACGATGAACTTCTCTGGGCGACGATGAGATTCGCATGGGCCGTTTTGGTGGGAGCGATGGCATGCCAACGAAGGGATGAGGCACTCGAACGAATGGATCGCCAGGTTTAGGAAGGTCACAGAGGAGTCGTTGAGATGGGAACGTGGTATTTGATTCCAGGATTAGTCTGTTGCTTCTCTTTTTCCCTCCGTCCTTAAGTAATGTTGTGGACTTAGTTCTTTAGTGTATGTTCTCCAACTTTTGCGGACTTAATTATTTGTGTACGTCCTTCAACTTGTTTGATTGTAACATGTCAGCATGGTCACTCGGGGACTTTCTCTATTCGATCGACCGGGACGGGAGGGAGTTGCGAGAGAGGAGTAGACTCGACGGTGCGACTAGTGTGTTGCAGTATGTGACGCACCTCGATTGACACTCGATCTTACCAACCCCCTTCCACCCCGCTCGAGATATAGACAATCCGGACGTAAGGGGATCTACATCTACCCTCCGACTCCGACTTTGGGATCAGCGGAGGGGCTACAGGGGTTTACCAACCGGATAACAGGGGAGCACAAGAAAGCTGAGCCAAATTCTTTGGACGGCGTTTACGAGGTTTTGATTCCTGAAAGTCATATTTCGCCGCTGCGCCCAGGGCTCGGAGTCTGTCGGAGTGCCCTCTCCGCACGGCTCCGCAGCCGGACCGAGCGGGACGGCGATTCAAACTATTAGGTTCCTTGGCCTCGCTATCCAATTAGCAAGGGGTCCGTTGAAAGACCGACCCATTTCTACTTCCTCGAATCGCATGCATCGTGGCTTGAGAAATATCTACCGTACCATGTCGTCAACCTCCGCCGCCTCGTTCAGCTCGAGCAGCTTCAGCACCGTTCGGTCGCCCGTGCTTAATCATCTTCTGGCTGCTGTCGAGCGATTGACACCCCTGCAACTCGCGGGATCATGGGACAATGTCGGCGTTATGATCGAGGCACCTTATCCTCGTCAGGAAATTAAGGGAAAGAAGCAAGTGTTGACCTGTATCGACCGTGAGTGAACTCTCGACGTTATCGCTCGCACATGCCTCCTGTCAGTTTCCCATGCACAGCATGCTGAGCTATCTCACCATCGTCTACAGTGACAACAGCCGTGACAGAAGAAGCTCTGTCGTCGTCATCGACCGCGGCGGTGTTGACGTACCACCCGCCCATCTTCTCTGGCCTCAAATCCATGACGCTCGCCGTACCTCTCCAAGCATCCCTCCTCCGACTTTCAGCACAAGGGATTCCCGTTGTCTGCATCCATACCGCTTCCGATTCGTCGATCGGAGGCGTCAACGATCATATCGCCAGCGCCTTCACGTCGGATCTACGAGCGACGAGCAAGGCGATTGAGGAGAGCAAGGAACAACCAGAAGGGCACGAGGGTTGCGGTTTGGGAAGGTTGGTCACGCTCGATCACGCGTTGGATAAGGACGAAGTGGTGAAGAGGATCAAGGACACATTAAATTTGGAACACGGTGAGTGCAGAGTTGCCGGCCCGGGCCATCTCATTCCGAAGTGGAGGCTTGCGAAGTGGTGGTGCAAAAGCTGATCCTGATGGAGGCCTCTTCATACTCTTTTCGCTCATAGTGCAAGCGGCATGGGCACCGAATGGAGCTGAAAAGATCAAGACGATCGCCATCTGCGCCGGTAGCGGTGAGTTCGTGGACCTTCTCGATCCTGCGACTGGACTTGCTCGAGACTGATCCGCGAGCCCCATCGTCTCCTCTCCACATCCAGGCTCCTCCGTACTCTCCGGTGTCAAAGCGGACCTCTACCTCAGTGGTGAATTCGACCACCACGCCACCCTGCTTTGCAACGCCAAGGGCATCCATGTCATCTTGACGAACCACTCGGCGTCTGAACGACCGTGGCTCAAGCCTTTTGCCCCTCGGTTGGCCAAGGCGATGAATGAGGAGGCTGGAAGGGACGAATATGAGGTGCTTGTTAGTAAGGCTGATATAGAGCCGCTGAGTGTTGTGTGAGATGAAGGCGTGCAATGCAAGTCACAAGTCGTAACCGAAGCCATTTTAATCGAAATCCATCGGCCGCGGGGGTTTTGTTCTTGACATCGCGGGCTTGCTCCATCCGAATGAGACCGTGAGTAGAGTACGCGTAGGCGTTGAGAGTTCGGTTCTGAGCGGGTTGAATAGTTTGATGTGATCTGACGGCTTCACCGCACATAATCTTGCGCGTGATACGCGTTCACGAATCGACCCCCTCTGCAGCTGGCTCGAGAGCGAGACACGAGCGGCGCCCCACACGTGGTGGCGCGTGTCTCACTTTTGGCGCGTGCAAGTGGGCGGGGGTTCTCGGACGTGGCCCACGCTCACGGCTTTTCTCCTCCCCACCACGTCGCACCCGCCAAGCTCAACCACTCCAACGCACACAAACACCACTCAACTACTACCATACCATGCCCAACCAACCCAACCAGTTCGTTTCCGGTGATTACGTCGTCCAGACCAAGGGGGATGGCTCGCACGTCGTCAAGGACTACAGCAACGTAGGTGGCCCATCTCCGCCCGCTCCGCGTCTTGTGCTCGTCATACCCCACTCGTGCCCGAGGCCCGGGTTCTAACTTCTAGCTAGCAGTGCTGGAAGCCACCTATGATCAAGTGAGCTGACCCATGATGCGGCGGTCGTTCTAACAGGTTCAACAAGGCTACAACGGCTTGTACAACAACCCTCAACACTCGGATTTGAAGGACGTGAGTCGTTCGCCACGCTGCGTGCCTCGGATCCGATTCTCTTGTCAGCCCGAAAGCTCACGCGCTCCTGATATCTATCGGATCCTTCAGTACGCCCAAGCGCAAAGCCACCAGTTGTCGCAACAATACTACCAGCAACATCAACAAGGTGGTAATTCGTCCGGTCGCAAGTGAGGAATGCCCATTCGTTGCGCTTCGCTGCGACCGGCATCGCGATCAACACGCACCTGGTGGGGGTTTGGAGGGTCAGGGAGTGTCGTTTCTATGGGTTTGATTAAAGTGCAGTGAAATCAGTTGATTCGTTCAGTTACTCGTGTTCACCTGAGAGGTGACGTGCTGGAAGTAGAGAGCATTTCCGGGTCATTGAACAGGAGAGCTTCGGCGTTCAAGCCAACCCAAAGCCATGGAGACATGTGTGGGACTGAGACGGCCTAATTTGGTGCACACTACAGTCAGACCTGAGAAAATTTATATCGCCCAATCTTATACCTGTCAAAATTTATGGACTTTTCAATCTCCCGACTTTTTTGGCTGACAGAACCTGTCCAATCTTATACCTTATAATTTATGGGCTTACAGGTCAAATTATAAGATATGAGAGAGAGCCGGAAATGAGCGATTGATCAGGAATTGGCCTCTCCTTCGGCGTTCTTGTTGACGAGCCGCCTGCTGGAAGAGTCCGAAATGCCCCGAAACAGCCGAGAAGCGAGCACAGGAGAGCAAAGGCGGCGGTTGACAATTTTACGAACAAGTACGACCCAAGTGATATCTTCAACATGGACGAAACCGGTCTCTTCTACGCTATGCGTCCGTCTACGGGCCTTGCTCGGAACGGTCGAAATGGTGTCAAGATGAATAAGACTCGCATCATAGCGAGACATGAGGCGTGGAACGACATCCGCCCCGAGACGATTGCCAACTGCTGGCGCCACGCTCAAATCTTGTCTGATCGCAAGGACAAAGGATCGACCGACCATACACCTCTTCCCAACGGTCGCGGGCCTCTCAATGGCGATCGCGGCATCATCAACGCGATGAACGCTCTGAAGACGGCGAACGATGAGCTGGTCGAAAAGGGCATAGTTACGAGCAACGAGAAGATGAGTATCCACTTTCTCGTCGATGTGGAGGAGGAGAACCTTGCTGGTGGGGCTGAAATGACCGATCAGGAGATTGTGGACCTGGTCATTGCCGAAGAGTTGGAGGAGAAATGCGAGGGAGAAGGAGGAGAGGAGGAAGGGGAGATAGAGCTCCGACCGGCGGAGCGAACGACGCTGCAGGAGGCAATCTCAGCACTTGATGTTTTCCTTAGGTTTGCTATGAATGGATACTCAGGTCCAACGTATTTGATTTCTTTTGAGGACGAGGCTAGGAGGATTCGCAGGACTCTTGTTGCCGAGCAGGATGCCGCGAGGATTCAGACGACAATGACTTCGTATTTCCAGCGTCAGTAGGTCAAGATATTTTTTCTTGGAGCTTTCAAAACTTGTTAGATGTCATCATGCCTCAGTAGAGGCCGTACATTGGCTGCAATTCAATAATACGGGCCTTCTGAATTTCCTCCCCCTCAAAAGTCAATGTATCGACTCAAACGATGCACGAAAATTCTTGATTTGATGTAGGAAGCTCAAAAACGGAGTTTCAGGTCATAATGTAGTGATCTGAAGCCGCACTCTCCAAGCTTATACCTGTCTTAATTTATGGGAAAATCCGTCCACCGAAAATATAAATTCTCTCAGGTACTGTAGTCTCTACCTCGGACTGAGTAAAAGATGGCCGATCCAGAAACCCGAGAAATGAGTTCCGCACTGTGCCTGTTCGCTTCTCGGTGTTGGTGCTCAGGAGACCCAAGTCCGCGGTCGATTTCCGGAACCGCGTGCTACAGCTGGGCCCGGAGATCCTTGCTAGAACTGTTTCCTCACATCATCGGGTTTAAACTTCAGGAGAAGCAGTGGAAGAGGGTCGGATACGCTTAGGCCGACGGAGATAGAGGGGAAGGTGATGCGCGTGATGGCGTCATTGCCGCGGTTAGCTGCGTCGCCATTGAACATGGAGCTGCGCTGTGAAAGACGAACCGCGTTACAGAGTATACTCTTCTCGTCTTGTATGATGACACAAGAGAGCTGATATCACTCATGACCACTTCATAGCATGGAGCGGCAGCAATGACGAAGCACATACCTCGAGATAGGGTCCCGGCCCGTCCACGCGGACGTGAACTCGGAAGCGAGAGCAAACCGTGGGAGTCGCTGGTTCGGTACACACCACTCGAGCAAATGAATGGGCAAATCACTCGGTTCCCCGACGCACGCCGTTCAATGCTCTCTCACCTCTCTCGAGACCCAGCACGCTTTCTTCTTCCTCCTCCCTACAACCCTCAGCCAAACGCGACCATCTCAAGTTTTCTTCCCCCGCTCACCCGCTCAACTGAACCGCCAACGATGCCCAAGAATCAACACGTCTCCGGCAACAATGTCATTCAGACGAAGGGTGACGGAACCCAGATCAGGAAGAGCAACAACGCTGTAAGTCACTGCCGACTATTCGAGCCACTTTCCGGCCGACAGAGTGGGCTAGGCTCATGCTTTGCCCACCCTTGCTGGCCTCACACCAGGTCGTCAATGGCTATAACGACCTCTTAAATGAACCCAACAAATTCAACGGAAAGACGTGAGTCTTGGAGGAGCTTGACGAGAGCTTTCGGGGAGCTCGGGCACGAGCTCATTCTAAACCCACTCCCGTCATGTCACTCCAATCGAGATTACCACAACTGTCGCTATATCACGAGACGCTCAAGCCATCAGAGTTATCACACCACATCAACATCAACCCACGGAGGCGTTGAAGTATGAGACTGTCAGCTTCCATGAACTCGACGTATGATTGGCCGGCTCATCGAGCTGCCATGCGATGTCATAGTATGAATCCTGGGCGCGTCAAGATCATGACGTGCACCTCCAGCATCGACCTGCAGATTCCGAAGGGAGTTGTCCTCGACATCCTGCCATCAATTCCACGCTCATACAGAGTCTAGGCCTACTAACCGTCCAAGACCTCTGAGTCTGTCACGCCTCTAGTCGCGCGATTGGAGCTCTGGAAATATGGCGTGTGCCCAGTCATGCGGGCAAAGGGCACGCCTGCTATGACTGTCTCAGTGAATCCCAGGTAATGGAAGCTCGCAACCTGTCTACGTCTGACCCATACTCGCTTCCCGTGCTGTAACATCAATCATTCACATTTTCACCTCGTAACCGTTGTTGACGCAGGCATCCTGTCTGTAGTGGCATTGACTGAATCTGCCAGCGAGCGTCTTGGGACTGACATGCTACTAGTCGCTGGACAATCAATTCCCGTGGCCAGTTGCACTAGCCATGTCCAAGTATCAATCATGTGAGATTCCACTGGTCTCGTCCATTGGCGATGGAACGCACCTCGCTATCTGTGATCGCGTTTTCAGGTTTAAGAGGGCTGCTTGGATGAGATCGGCATACCTAAGAGCGACGAGAAACTCGTCAATGATTGGGAGATTCAAGCGTCACCTGCCAGAGACATATTTACCGACATCCGGTCTCGCCGGTCTCGCAACGTCATCGTACAGGTACTGCGCGATCTCCAAGTCAAGTACAAGGGCGGCGACGTTTATTCGTGGGGGTATGAGTTACAGGTGTCTTGCCCGGGGAACACTGGTTTCTGCTTCTGGTTGATCACAGTACGGTACGCTCAGCGTTTAGGCCTACCCAAAGCCACGGAGACAGGTCTCGGGGCTGAGACGGCGGATTCTCGGTGCACACTGGTGCACACCTCGTGACTTCCTCTGACTTGACCAATCCAGGAAAAGCCGGATATAAGCTGAGAAATGATCCCCACACCGCCTGTTCGCTACTCGGTGTTGGTGCTCAGGAGCCCCAAGTCCGTGATCGATTTCCGAAACCGCGTGCTGCGGCTGGGCTCGGAGATCCTTGCCAGAACTGTTTCCTCACATCATCGGTGTTTAAGTTTCAGGAGAAGGAAGAGGGTCGGATACGCTTAGGCTGACGGAGACAGGAGGGAAGGTGATGCGCGTGATGGCGTCATCTCCGCGGTTAGCTGCGTCGCCATTGAGCATGGAGCTGCTCTGTGAAAGACGAACCGCGTTACAGAGTCCACTCTTTCTGTAAGTCGTCTTGTATGATGACACAAGAAAGCTGAGCTCATGCTGTAGCTCACGACCACTTCATAGCATGGAGCGGCAGCATTGACGAAGCACATACCTCGAGATAGGGGGGTCCCGGCCCGTCCACGCGGACGTGAACTCGGGGGCAAGCCGTGGGAGTCGCTGGTTCGGTAGACACCAATCGGGCAAATGAACGGGCAGATTACTTGGTTCCCCGATGCACGCCGTTCAATGCTCTCTCACCTCTCTCGAGACCCAGCAGGCTTTCTTCGTCCTCCCTACAACCTTCGGCCAAACGCGACACCCCTCAAGTCTCCTTCCCCAGCTCACCCGCTCAATTGAACCGCCCAAGATGCCCAAGAATCAACGCGTCTCCGGCAACAATGTCATTCAGACGAAGGGTGACGGAAACCAGGTCACAAAAGACTATGTACAACGCTGTAAGTCACTGCCGACTATTCGAGCCGCTTTTCGACCGACGAGTGATCTAGGCTCATGCTTTGCCCATCCTTGCCGGCCTCACAACAAGTCTTCAATGACTATAATGGCGTCGACAACCCCCAACGACCTCAACAAAAAGACGTGAGTCTTCGAGCAGCTTGACGAGAACTTTCGATGAGCCTGGGCACGAGCTCATTCTAAATCCATTGCTACGTCAGAACACTGCTTATACGAAGTGGCTTCGATCGAGATTCCCAGTGATGTTCCTGAACGGTCATGGATCAAACCGTCACAGCTGGACCCTCATCTGAACCCCGCAAATAAGCTCAATTACGAGACCTACAGCTTCGACGAGGTAATCAAGATAACTGGCTGGCTCATCCGGTTACCGTCCGATATCGTTATAGATCCCTCGCACGTCAAGGTCATAACGTGCGTCTCCACCATAGACCTGGAGGTTCCGGACGGAGTTATGCTCGACATCATGCCATCAGTTCCAGACTTGTACCGAGTCCGGGCCGCGCCAGTTCTGGCCTCTGTCAAGCCCATAGTTGCGCAAGTGGAGCTCTGGAACTACGGAGCGTATTCAATCAAGATGTCAAAGGGCACGCCTGTCACGACTATCTCGATGATACCCATATGCATTGAAACCGAACAGAGATGCGCTGAACAAGTTGGCGGCAGGGCCGAGCCAATGAGTTCGTAATCAAGTGAAGAAGAAGAAGCAAAGACGCAAATAGCGGGCGCGACTAATACAAAGTAGAGACGCGAGTAATGCGGATTTAGGGCAAGAGTAATTACTTCAACAATATGACAACTCGCATTCTGTCCACGTCTCACCCACATTCGCTTCTCATGCTGGATCAGTCATTCACACCACTGTTGGCTCAGGCACATTCGCTTCTCGTGCTGGAACATCAGTCATTCACACCACAGTTGGTTCAGGCACAATCACATCCTGTCTGTAGTGGCATTGACTAAATCTGCCAGCGAGCGTCACGGACCAGGACGGTCCGTTGGGACTGACATGCTACTAGTCGCTGGACAATCAATTCCCGTGGCCAGCTGCACTAGCCATGTCCAAGTACTATCAGTCATGTGAGATTCCAGTCTCGTCCGTTGGCGATGGAACGCTCCTCGCCATCAGCGACGGCGTTGTCAGGTTTAAGAAGGCTGCTTTGCTTGGATCGGCATACCTGAGAACGACGGGAAACTCGTCAATGACTGGGGGATTCAAGCGTCACCTGTCAGAGACATATATCCAACGACATCCGGTCTCGCCGGTCTCGCAACGTCATCGTACTGCGCTATCTCCAAGTCAAGTACAAGGACGGCGACGTTTATTCGTGGGGGTATGAATTACAGGTGTCCTACCCTGGGAACACTGGTTTCTGCTTCTAGTTGATCACAGTGCGCTCAGCGTTTAGGCCTACCCAAAGCCACGGAGACAGGTCTCGGGGCTGAGACGGCGGATTCTCGGTGCACACCTCGTGACTTCCTCTGACTTGACCAATCCAGGAAAAGCCGGATATAAGCTGAGAAATGATCCCCACACCGCCTGTTCGCTACTCGGTGTTGGTGCTCAGGAGCCTCAAGTCCGTAATCGATTTCCGAAACCGCGTGCTACAGCTGGGCCCGGAGATCCTTGCCAGAAGTGTTTCCTGTGATAATGTTTTAAACTTTCGGAGAAGGATCGGAAGAGGGTCGGATACACTTAGGCTGACGGAGATAGGGGGGAAGGCGAGGCGCGTGATGGCGTCATCGCCGCGGTTAGCTGCGTCGCCATTGAGCATGGAGCTGCTCTGTGAAAGACGAGCCGCGTTACAGAGTATACTCTTCCTGTAAGTCGTCTTGTATGATGACACAAGAGAGCTGATATCACTCATGACCACTTCATAGCATGGAGCGGCAGCAATGACGAAGCACATACCTCGAGATAGGGGGGTCCCGGCCCGTCCACGCGGACGTGAACTCGGGGGCAAGCCGTGGGAGTCGCTGGTTCGGTAGACACCAATCGGGCAAATGAACGGGCAGATTACTTGGTTCCCAGATGCACGCCGTTCAATGCTCTCTCACCTCTCGAGACCCAGCAGGCTTTCTTCTTCCTCTCTACAACCCTGAGCCAAACGCGACACCCGAAACCCCTCAAGTCTCCTTCCCCAGCTCACCCGCTCAACTGAACCGCCCAAGATGCCCAAGAATCAACACGTTTCCGGCAACAATGTCATTCAGACGAAGGGTGACGGAAACCAGGTCACGAAAGACTACAACGCTGTAAGTCACTGCCGACTATTCGAGCCGCTTTTCGACCGACGAGTAATCTAGTCTCATGCTTTGCCCACCCTTGCTCGCCTCACGACAGGTCGTCAATGGCTATAATGGCCTCTACAACAACCCGCAACAACCTCAACAGAAAGACGTGAGTCTTCGAGCAGCTTGACGAGAACTTTCGGGGACCTTCGGTTCGAGCTCATGGTGTCCCGCACTGGGAACACTCGTGTCGGCTTCTGGTTGATCACAGTACGCTCAAGCTCAAGCTCATCAACTCGGTCAACAATACCACGCGCAGCACCAAGGGGGCAACTCGGCTCAGGGAAAGCGCTGAAAGGATGAGCTTTGGCTGCGTCGATATTCGGTGTGGGATTGAGTGGGTGTCTCAGACGTGGCATCGACGAATGTGAAGAGGAGTCAGGGGTTTCCTTTATCCTAAGCTTTTGTCTGGTCCTTGCTGCAATGGACCGGGTTTGACTTTCGATATAGTGACAACATTATGTCTCAACGTCGGGGCCTACGGTATAGCGTATTCGCTCGCTAAAGCATGACCCAGGGCTGCGCACCAGTGGTGATCCTGTCACTCGAGGATCGCCGAGCTCGAGTGGGCGAGCCTTTTTCGCTGTGCCATTGCACACACCTTCCGATTTAGCATCTTGCTACATCAGAACAGCACATGCAATGTTTAAAAAATTGAACAGCCTCTTTTGTGGCCAATGCAAAATTTCATGTTTGACTACAGCTCCACCTAAGGGCGAGCTGTTTGTGGACGAGCCCGGGTGAGGCTCTACGGTTTGGGCCCGCGCAAGGGGAACAAAACCCCTAACTCGTATTCGTCCGTTCTCCCCCCATTTCCTCTCTCTGTCCCCGGCTTCCAACTTTGTCCTCGATCGACGGGCTCTCTTTCGGACTTATCGCCGGCATGCCGGCGGTTCTTTGCGCCGCGGGCATTCAAGAAGCTTCCCACTTCCCTGGCTGCACATTCCGTGCGCCGTCGGATGTTGCAATCTACTCATAAAGAGTGAGTAGAAAGACAGGATAGAGGAAGTAGACGTTGCGAAACCCAAGTCCCAAGCTTGTGCCTGACCCGTCCTCAAACGCCAGAAACGCCCAACGACGCCCTCAGGCGTTACACCCGCAAACACATCGCCCGCCTATCACCCGCCCGCCTGCCTAATCGGCATCGGTAATCGGTACCGCCTGCCCGCCTAACCGCCTCCAACTGCCTCCAACCGCAAGCGCTTCCCAGCCCCCACTTCGTCGTCGATCACCCCCTCTCGTTTCTCCTTTGTGCCTTCCCGCCCTCGGTTCCTCCGCCGACGTTCCCAATGGCTCGTCGACCCCCCAAGGCCCAAATCGTGAGGGAGTACTACAACGGCAAGGTCGTCATTCAGGTCAGGGATGATGGTACGGTCACGGAGAAGAACTACAACCATGTGAGTCGGGATGATGATTAACAACGTGGACTAAACAGGCCGGTCGGGCCTTATGGGACTGGTTATAGTGAGACGCCGGGGAGTCGGCGTGTTCGGCCAGAGAGGGTTCACATGCTACCCCTGCCTCGGGCTTCACAACAATTCTGACTTACTTTCCTCATCGTACATGGGAAACTAACTCATCCCTCCCTACGGTGTTGCTTCCTTCATTACAGGTCATCCAAGGCCTGAACGGTCTTTACAAGAACCCCAAATTCCCCGAGATGAAAGATGTGAGTACCGAGCCCCTTGCTTGCTTTCATCGTTCTAAATGGAAGGAATTTTAATCTTCTTTCGTTGTCCCTCCCCGGTCCTACAGGACGCTCAAGATCGGATGTACCGCCTCGCGATGGACTATTATCGATATCACTAGAGACGCTGAGCACACACACACCAAGAGAAGATGTTGATGGATGGAACCCTTGGATCAGGTCGAGGAGTTGGAGGATGGCTGTTGGGGAGGTTGGAACGAACAAGATGCGGAGGCTGTCGAACGTATAGTAGGCTGAGAGGATTCGTCGAGTCATTCGGAGGATCTCGGACTAGTCACTCCCCTAAAAACGAGAGCATATCCCTAAAGAAATACAAGGCGATTTCTTCAAAGGCGCTCATTAAAGAATAGAAGCTAGAGAGATGGTGTATGTGCATGTGAAGTTGCAGATGATCGGTTTGTTGGCTTTCCGGGGAGAGCTCCTAGCGCAAAAGGGGCTCTCGAAGCTGAGGACGTGGAGGGAGATGAAAGACGGGCACGAGGCTCGTCGATAGGATGATAGCTGGTTGGTGATAGTTGCGAATGAGATAACACGAAAACCCACGCCTAACTCTACATCCTGCTCAACCTCTTCCCCCTCTCCAAGATGGGCTTGACGTGTTCCCTGTACATCCTCTTCCTCTCCTCCTCATTACCGACGTTCGCATCCAAGTCATTCTTGGCTCTTTCCAACATCACCTCATACGCCTTTCCGTCGTATCGACCTGCGGTGGAGTCGAGTTCCCAATCGGAGAAATTGAAGGCGTCGACGAGGCCGACTGCTTCGGGAAGGAGGGCCTGGGCGTGCGAGTTGACCAATGCTCGAAGGGCTTCGACGGGGGAGTCCAAGGTCGCTGAGAGGGGTGGTGCGGGGGCCAGGATACCGAATTCCAACAGGGAGGGGAGAGCTTGTTCGATCGTGTGTAGGTTGAAAAAGTGGACGACTTTGGCGAGGACTTTCTTCTCGTTCGGTCCGGCACCTTGGTTCAGAAGACCTTCGGATGAGTTGGTCACGGCTTCGATCATGCGTCGGACGAGGAAGGCTTCGACGACGGCTTTGGATACTTCGATGCATTCGTGCGAGAGGTCACCGAACTTCTTGCCTGTTCGGAGAAGACGTTCGAGACGATCGACTTGGAGGGCCGCGCGGAGAGAGATGACTTGCAATTGGGTCTCAAAGGATTGCCACGACGCCGAGGTCCCTTGGATCGGAAGAGAAGGTTGACGCTTGCCTCCCAAGGCGGAAAAGTAAGCGGAGGAAGGAGAGAGCTTGGTTCCGGACGGGTTCTCCCTGTACGCTCCGTAAGTCTTGAGTGCTGCTCGGGCGACTTGGAGATGAAGGATAAAGTTGTCGCCTTCGTATGTGACCGAAGGGAGTTCGGAAGCGTAAATCCTTCCCACACCCGAGGCGTCGAGGAAGCCATGACCACCCATCGCACGACGAACGATTTCAATGCCATCGACCGTACCCGCCGAAACGTAGGTTTTGAGCCCCGACGAGACGGCATGCGTTTCAGCGAGCAAGGTCGTGTCCCCTTCGGCGAGTTGGGCCGCCATCGAAGAGTACAAGTTGGACATGTCCTTTCCAGCGGTAATGAAGACGATCGATCGAGCAAGTTGAGGCAGGATACGCATATACACACCGGGGTAGGTGATGACTTGACGTTCGATGCCGAAGCCGGGTTCGCCTCTTTTGAGTTCGGGATCGGCGAATTGGCGTCGGGTGTGGAGGTAACGCGTCGAGATGGTCACGGCTTTGGCGAGCTTCCAGGCGAGGTTGCCGATCATTTGGGCTCGGATGAAGATCATACCGCCGTAAGAGAGCTTGTCGTGCGGCGGCTTCGAGTACTCGCCCTCGGGCGAGACCTTGGCGAATCGGTTCAGCATCTGGTCACGAGGGATGCGGACGTGGTCGAAGCGAGCCCCTAGAGGTTATATATGCATCCCAGAGTCAGTACGATGATGACCCTCTGCACTTGAAGAGATGCGATGGAGAGAATACTCACATCCATTATCGACGGCGGCCATTCCCTGATGAACTTTGGGGCCGATCTCCCCCGCCTGAATGCCCGGCATCAACGAGTGATCCTCCAACGACCTCAACTGGGTCAAGAACAAATGAGGCCCATAGTTCTCGCCATTGATGAACAGCCTTGCTTGAACGACACCATGGGTCGCCAAGAGACCGAGGGCACCGATCCACCATTTTGTGGAGGAGATGGTGGGGGAGTTGAGGATAAATTCTTGGGTTTTAGGGTCGTAGGTCGCGGTCGTTTCGAGTTGTTGGACGTTGGAGCCATGGCCTAGTTCGGTTTGGAGGTAGCAACCAATGATCTGCACGAGATGGATATGAAGGAAAGAGGTGAGCTTCGTGAATGTCCGATTCGAAGGGAAAGCTTCGCTTGGGTGAGATGAGACGTACCTCGTGGTTGTAGCACTTGGGCAACCAGATGGCTTGTTGTTCATCCGAGCATTGCGCCGCAATAACGGGTTGGAAAGCTAGAACGGGACGGAAAGCAATCAGCTAAGGGATTTCTCATTTCGAGCAGTTTTTCAGCCCGGGATAGAAACTCACCGACTTCGTGGAGGTAGATGCCGATAGGTTCATCGACGCAAGCGAGGGCCTCGATGTATTCCATGTAATCGAGATCGTGTTCGTCGACGAGGTCCATCAACCTTCGCGTGACAGCCAAGCCTCGTTCGAGGCGCTGAGATCGCGACATGTACGCCCTGGCGATCGAGGCACGGGAGGATCGGTCAATATCATTCCTTTCACAACAGCGTTCCCGTGAGGAAAGGTGATCACTTTTTCGACTTGTCAAAAGCAAGGTCTTCACTGACGATCTTTGCGACGCGCGCCCTCATCTCAGAATCCCTCGACCCCTCATTCAGGACCTTGTTCAAGATGGTGGGGTCGAACGTCATGCGCGATCGAGCCTCGGTCAGATCTTTCGTTGTTTGCGACATGATGGCTGGTTTTGGAGTAAGTTGCCCGATAGGAGGAGGTGACGGAGACACGGGGGTATCGGTGTGAGTGGGGTAAGGGGGTAAGGACGAGGAGAAGGGAAAGGCAAAGAAGGCGAACATAAAAGCCGAGCTGTGGGTCCTTCCGGCTAACGACTTGTACGCTTCGAGGCGCGGGCGGCATTGATGAAATGTGGAGAAAAGGACGGCGCGCCTGTTCAGCCAAAGTTGCATGCCGGGGGCCGAGGCATCGACGAAGATGGGTGGCAGCTTGGCGCGCTGTCCGGCGCGCGCGAGTCGCCGTGCTTCCCCGGGTGCGCGGTCAAATTATGGCAAGTGGTTTGCCTTTTAAGCGGCTTCAGGTCAATGCGGATGATGGCCTCCTCGTGAAATGGTGCGAGTCAACCGAATGTCCGAAAAGTCGCCTCGACAACTCGGATGCGAGGATCGCTTGGGGCGTCCCAGACGATTAAAGTCGATCGGATTTCGTTGGAGAGGGATGAGCATGTGGGGGATGCCAAACTGGAATGAGATTGCAAGGATGACCCTCCGCCTTTGCGCAAATCACGTGACTCATCTCCGATGACCGTTGCTCGACCTTCTCATCTGCGGCCGCCATCTGCGGCCGCCATCTACTCTGACATTTCATCCTCCCCCTCGGCGCTACCTTTGTTCATCCCAGGGAAGAGGTGCTTGAGGCTTCGACTCGGTTTAGCGAGGTTGGCCGCCCATGTACTAACGGCCTGTAGAGACGGGCATAGAATCGCGAGGACCAAAGTCAGTCTCTCTCTCTTGTCGTTCATATCCCAACGATGCCAAGCAACTCACCTCCTCCATAGCCCCCTGCACAACCTTGGCGCCCTCGACCCCCCACCTCAGCATCTCCTCGAACCTGCCCACTCCGAGCCTACTCTCCAACCCAACGAGCGTAACCTTGCCACTCCTCGGCAAGACCGCCACCGTCAAATTCGGTAAAGCCTGTTCTTCCGCCTGGGTCAGATCCAACAAGGTCGTGGAGCCTGATCCTCTGGAGCGTTTGGGGTCGTTGGAATGATGTACGGGCGGGGAGGTGAGCTCGAAGGGGGGGATCTGGGGAGGGGCGAGGGGGGATATGGAGGGGTAGGAGGCGAGGGAGAGGGAACAGATGTAGTCGGTTAGGGGCAGGCCGGCGGCGATGAGGGCCAAGGTTGTGGCGTTGATGGCGGCTTGTAAGAGGGCTGTCGAGGGGGAGAGATGGAAAATGGTGGGAGAAAGTTAGCGGTGGTTTCAAAGATGAAACTTGGTTGGAATCGCACCTCCATCGACTTCGAGCACTTGAATGTAAATGTCGATCGAAGACCGTGGGTAGAGGTGGAGTAGGAGCACGGGTTCGAATGTGGCCTTCAGGGAAGCGGCCAACTCGACGGTTCGTCTGGAGGAGATAGGGATAGGGGTCCTAGTCAGCTCTTGGCCTGGTTGTGCGGTCGTGCCACATTGCAAAGACATGGAAGAAGATGCACGATTCCAATGCACTGACCTATCCTTGGCATTGGCCCTGATCCCACTGGGATGTTCCTCCGTCCTGGCCTTCCTCCCCAGTCTCTCCGTCCAAGCGGCCACTCCAACCTCTACGTTGACCCTCGCTTTGTCCCCACTCCTAGCGCCGTTCCCATGCGTCGGGCCGCTCGCCGTGCCTGCCGCCGATCCGCCTGCTCCTGCTCCTGCACCTCCTCCAGAACCAGAGAACGGGCCCGATCGACTCGGTTCGCGGGGGCCCAGAACGGAGGAAGAGACGGTGGTCAGGCCGTGGGAAACGAGCGCGTATCCGTCGGGGTTCGAAGGAGCCGAGAGGGCGTAGGACGTCGACGGGACCGTCGGCGGCGAGGGGAGGATCTCGAACGAGAGCGAGCGCAGTTCGAGAGGGAGCCGAGAGTCGAGCCGTAAGTCTGAAGGCGTCAACAGTTGCATGCGTGCGTTGGAGGTTGAGGCCATCGTAAAAAAAAAGTCAAGGTGGGCCCCAGTGTAGAGTGTAAAGCTGAGCCGCAGCGTCGTGAAGGGGAGCGTGCAGTCGAGCTGAGCTCTGGCGCTGCGCCCTGCTGCGCCTCACTTCGCAAGCCCGAGTCGGTGCTTCCAATTGCCCATTACCGATTTGAGAGAGCTTCGTTTCTCCGATTCTAATAGCAAATTGTCACTCGCTCGAGTCGTGGACGGCGCTCCGCTTTCCCGCTCCTGCACCGCCCACTCCTCCTGCGACACTCGATCCCCACACATCGCAGCTCTCACTGAGATTGCACCCACCGATCGGCCATGGCAGCCACCACCACGCTCCGTCTGGTCGCCCAACCGGGCAAGACGACGCCGCAACCTTTTGGCGTGCTCGCCACCGCGCTCGCTTTGCCCTCTTCGTCGAGCCACTCTGTCAATTTGGAATGGGTTCACTCCTTGCCCGAGGGAGCCAATGCGGTGCAACTTGTCTTGGATGGGTCAGTGTCTGCTCCTACTGGGTGGGAGGGGGAAAGGAAGCAATAGGATCAGCTAGCTAGCAGGTGGCCTATCTCGTCGACGGGGACCGTGGACTTGCTGTGCAACCCTCATTCCGAGAAACTCAAAACTGACGTGCTGTACGCATTGGACAGTAAAATCACTCTTGGACCGATCGAAGCCCAACAGGCACTCGCGAACGCTTTCGCACCCGAGGGCATCTACGGTTCCGACAAGGACGAGTCCGCTCAGGTCCGTCATGGACATCTTGCATTCCGCTCACACCTCTCCATCGCCTGATGATCGTGTCAACAACCTCATCACAGATCACTGCCCTGTTGCTCTCCCTGCCTCCCCACCCTCCCGCACTGCCGACCGCGCTCAAACTCCTGTCCGCGCTCGAGCGCCGTCTCACCCTGCGTACCTACCTCGTCGGCCACACCCCCACCGTCGCCGACTACGCCGTATGGGGCCACCTCCGTGCGAACCCCATCGCGCTCGGTGTGCTCGCCAAACCCGGCGTACCCCACACCGCGCGTTGGTACGCCCACCTCACCAACTTGGACCCCTGCCAAACCGCGGTCTCGACCATCTTCCAGCAGGCCAAGCTCAAGGCGCCCAGTGCGAACAAGGCCGACGACAAGAAGGACGACGGCGCGAACGCGACCTTTGAACTCGGTCTCCCCAACGCCGTCAAGGGTCAAGTCGTCACCCGTCTTCCTCCCGAACCTTCGGGATACCTCCACATCGGTCATGCCAAGGCCGCTATCCTGAACCAATACTTTGCGCGCATGTACGAAGGCCGTTTCCTCATCCGGTTCGACGACACGAACCCGAGTAAAGAAAAGGCCGAGTTCGAAGAGTCCATCATTGAGGATCTGGCCCTCTTGGGCGTCAAGGCCGATGCGACGAGTTATACGTCCGATTACTTTGATGTGCTGCAGAGGTACTGCGTGCAAATCATCAAGCAAGGCAATGCGTATGCCGATGATACCGAGCAGGAAAAGGTGCGTTCAGGCGGGAGCTCGTTCAAGTAGGATTTAGAACTTCGGACCCTGAGCCTACAGTCGTCGCCAATACCCACAGATGCGCGATCAACGCATGAATGGTGTCCCTTCGGAGCGTCGTGACGCCTCAGTCGAGGATAACCTCGCTCATTTCGCCGAGATGGCGACCGGGTCCGACGAAGGTCGTCGGTGGTGCATCCGCGCCAAGATCTCGGTCGACGATCCCAACAAGGCGATGCGTGATCCGGTCATCTATCGCTGCAACCTCCTTCCCCATCATCGAACGGGGACCAAGTACAAGATGTACCCTACCTACGATTTCTGTTGCCCCATCGTCGATTCGTTGGAAGGCGTTACCCATGCTTTGAGGACGAACGAGTACAGGGATCGTAACCCTCAATACCAATGGATGTTGGCCACGCTCGGATTGCGTCGCGTCGAGGTATGGGATTTCGGTCGTCTCGCCTTCGTTTACACCTTGTTGTCCAAGCGCAAGCTCAAGTGGTTCGTCGAGGAAGGTCACGTACGAGGATGGGACGATCCTCGGTTCGCGACCGTTAGGGGTATCAGGCGAAGGGGGATGACGATCGAGGCCTTGACGCAGTTCATGTTGATGCAAGGTCCGAGTCAGGCCTTTACGAATCTGGAGTGGGACGTGTTTTGGTCATTGAACAAGAAGGTCATCGATCCTATCGCACCGAGGTTCACGGCGTTGGAGAAGAAGGATTTGTGCGTCGATCTTGAAAGCGGTTTGTGTTGTGAAGGTGTTGGTTCGACTGACGGATATCCTGTTTGTTTTTTTGACATCCGATAGGGTCAAAGTCAAGATCACTGGGGGTGAAGGGTTGCCCACGAATGGGCCGGAATCCAAGTCGATGCCTAAACACAAGAAGAACGCCGAAGTCGGTGAAAAGACGACTTGGTTCGATTCGACGATCTACGTCGAACAAGTCGATGCCATCACCTTTGCGCAAGGTGAGGAAATCACTCTGATGGATTGGGGGAACGCGTTCGTTCGTTCGATTCAACGTGCCGGTGGAGCGCCGGAGGGGAAGGTTGAAACTATCGAGATGGAGTTGAACCTTTCCGGCGATTTCAAAAAGACGAAGAAGAAGATCACTTGGTTGGCATCACCTTCCTCCAACGACGGTTTGCGAGCGTTGACGAAAGTGACCTTGTTGGATTACGACTACCTCATCTTTAAGAAAAAGATGGAAGAGGACGACAAGTTCGAGGATTGGTTGACTCCTCAAACCGAATTCAGGACCGAGGCGTTCGCGGATGTCAATGTCGCTGGATTGGAGAAGGGGACCATTATTCAGTTCGAGAGGAAGGGGTTCTATATCGTTGACAAGGCGGTCAAGGACGGTGGGGAGGAGGGGGCGGAGTTGATTCTGATTCCGGACGGCAAGGTGTCGACTGTGGTGAGTAAGCACGAGGCGGCGTTGAATGCGGCTGCGGCTGCTTCAAAGCCCAAGGGTGGGGAGGACAAGGCGGGCAAGGCGAAGAAGGAGGACAAGAAGGCCAAGGGCGGGGAGAAGAAGCAAAAAAAGGTTGAGGCGGCGACGACGACGACGGCGACGAGGGGTTTACCTGATCTGGCACCGGAGGAGCCCAAGGAGAGCGTCTTGCTTTCGGATGGCAAGGAGGGGTTCGAGCAGAAGGTGTTTACCAAGATGTTCAAGGTGCCTTCCGTTTGTGAGTCCTGGTTCCACTTTCCTTTGCGCGTGTGGGGAACAAGATCAGAACGGCTGATGGATTGCTTTCTTGCGTCTGCCTAGATGGGGAGGACGGCGTCGATGCCCCGGCGACGACCAAGATGTTTGCGGTCAAACCGGTTTACCAGCAGTAGATCCTCGACGTCGAAATTTTGCTAATGAAACCAGAAAAAGAGAATGATCCTGCCACGAGTTTTGTCACTAGCGGGTCCGAGATTGGAAGAGACCGGCGCCTAGTAATCGCCGACGGTGCCTGAGATCGAAATCGAGAGCTACTTTTGGTGCTTGACGGATCTTCACATTTGTTTTGGAGAGTCTATGCGTAATCGGAACTGATTAGGTAGGTACCAATCGGAAGACTGTTGGGATGCCGGAAAATAGCCCGCGAGCACGAGCGCACGCCCTCGCACGCCCTCGCACGCCCGGCCGGCGCCAGGTGGGTTTCTGCACTCCCGCCGGGTGGCCCTCCTTCGCCGAGACGACCTTCGAGGGGGCTCAGCGCCCACCGCCCACCAGCCTCGATGTCGTACGCTGGGCGTCGTGGTGAAGGCCCACCCTACATCCGACCTGTGATCGTCCCCGCACCTTCGTCGTCGTCGTCGTGGCACTCGCCCTCGCCCTCGCACTCTCACTCTCATCCCGGCTCGTTCCCTCCTCCGTCGTCGCTCTCGGCTAACGGCGGCGCAGGCAGTGCTGGCTCCGCATCGTCCTCGACCTCGACCTCGGCAGCCGCTGCTGCTCTGGTTCCTCGGCCGCACGTGCTGGACCAATACCGACTCCCATCCCTGGCAGCGACGTTCTCAGCCGCCTCGGCCGCCGCCGCCGCCGCCGCCTCGGGAACCGGTTCGTCGTCGCATCACTCTTCGCCTTCGTCGTTGCGCTCGCCTTGTTGTATTGGTTTGGATTGCCGACCGTCAGCGTCAGCCTCGGCCGCGGCGGCGTCGTCTCCCGGCCGCGCGCCTTTGCCCTCTCTGGCGCAGTCTTGCTCGTCGAGGTCCGGTTCGATGTCCACTTCAACAGCGGGCAATCAACCGACGACCCCTAGTTGGGCTGTGACCCCTTCGAGTTCGACTTCCACTTCGCGTAACAACGCGCGTGGCCAAGGCAGCGGCGGCGGTCAGAAACCCGAGTCGTCGATCGAGCGAGAGGACCCTGTCTCAGGCCGAATCGACGCAGCCGAAGAGACTGACGATGAACGCACCGGGGTCGGTTCAGGTTCAGGCGACGACCCCAGTCGGAAAGGGGAGAGAAGAGGATCAGAGTTCAAGAGGGAGGGCTCGTTGAGGTTTTCGAGCAAGAAGAAGAGGGCGAGGGTCGTGCTTAGTTGTGAGTCCGCAACGGGGCTGTAGCGAATGCGGTGCGGTCGATCAAGTGAGCTCATGTCCCCGGATGAGTTGTGTGTGATAAGGCACCATGTGTGTTCGTCGCAAGGTCAGCACTGCTTGGCTCCGAGACTGGCTCCGTAGACACATTTGAGCTCAAGCCTGGACACACACACCCCCCCCCCCCCCCCTCTCACCGGCGCTTTCCCCGCTCTCCTCTCCCAAAAAACAGACCAAATGCGACAAGGTCGTACCCTGCAGCGCTTGCGTAAGACGAGGAAGTCCAAACGATTGCGTCGTCGAAGGAGTCGACGAAGTAGCCCCGTAGGTCTCCAGAGTGGTTTAGAGCGACTCCCGACTCCGGGGTAGAGCTGATTGGAGCCCGAACCGTTCGCTGCCCAGTCAACCATTCGCCCTCAACGAAGAGCTCGTCGCGCTCCGGAGTCGCGTCAACACACTCGAAGGACTCGTCAACTCGTTGCTGACCGCATCGAGAACGTCACCAGCGACACAACCCATCTCTTCACCGAGCTACATTTCCGCCTCGACCCCGACCTCGCACCTCCTGCCGCACAAGGCTGAGAACGACGAGGCCCACGTCGCCGAAGCGTTACAGAGACTGAGCGAAGGTGTCACCAACGATGTGCGATCGCCGAATGGGATAGCCGCGAGATTGAATGCGAGCTCGAATCATTTCCGATCGAGTGGATCGCCCGAACTCGATCATATCCTGTCCCTGATCCCCGAACGCGCGATATGCGACCTCTTGCTCGAATCGTACCTCCTCCGCGTCGACTGGCAACTGCACATCCTCCATATCCCGACGCTCAAGCACGACTATCGCACCATGTGGGACAAGTTGCGATCACCGGCGCCCGCGATGGGACCCGAATCGCTCGAGGCTTGGGTTCCACCGAGGTTGGGGACGTTCTTCATGGTCCTTGCGTTGGGCATGTATTTCGTCCCTCCGGAACTGTCACCCTATTCGGCCGTCGAGGCAGCGGCGATGCCTTCCAAGTGGTTGGATGCGGCGGAAAAGGCCCTCGGTCTCGCGGATTGGTCCGGTCGACCCCAACTAAGGACGGTGCAGACCATCCTGCTGATGGGACAGTTCTGGCACCACTTGGGCGAGATCGATCGTTTCGTCATTTGGATCGGAGCGGGCGTTCGAGTCGCGCAATCTTTAGGTCTGCACAATGCCGAACAAACGGGAATCCTTCATCTCCCATACGACGATTTCCCCATCAAGACTTATGCGCGCGATTTTTTTTGTCGCGAGATGGGCAAAAGGTCCTGGTGGAGTCTCTGCGCGGATGATTGGGATGTTTCGTATAGGACGAGGAATGTGTCGGTGTTGAGGACGCAGGACTTCTCGACGCCTTCACCGTTCAATTTGACGGATGATGATTTGATGGATGGGCCGGTGCCGTCGAGGAATTTGACGCAGCCGACGAGTGTGACGTTTCAGATTTGTTTTTCGGTGAGTTTTTCGTGGGAGAAGCAGATTGTAGAAGAGGTTGCTGACGAGGGATTTGTGCGCACATAGGACCTGATCTACCTCTCGCAACAATGGCGGCAGCCGCATCGCGAGATGGGCAATATTGGCAATCTCAGTGTCGAGACCGTTATTTCACTCGACGAGATCGTCCGCGGCATGTCGGTACGGTTCCCTTTCTACCTGCAGTTGGAGAAGAAGGACGACCCGGCCGTCAAGGCGCTCGAACAGGCGCATCCATTGGTCGCGATTCAGAGGTTGCACCTTGCGAAGGAATTGCATTGTCGAGTGAGTTGCGTGCGATTGTTGATGGATTAGAGAAGCTGCTGATCTTCCCCGAGTTCGCCCTCACAGTACGTCAGGTTGCATCGTCGAGCCTTGTTCGGCGACGACCTTGGCACGGCCCAAGCACGCGTCTCTCGTGCGACGTTGCGCAGCTCGGCGAGCACGTTGCTTTCGATCGTGGCCGAGTTCCGCGCCAAGACGGATTATGCGCACAAGTTGTGGTGGGTCAACTCGTACATGACCCTCGCGGCCGTGGCGTTGTTGTTCAGCAACATTCAACTTCTCATTTCTTCACCTACGCCCGTGGCTTCGTCCGTACTCAACGATGCTGCTTCGAAACGTCACGAGGTTCTGACGACGCTCACTCTGACACGAGGGACCCCACCTCTGAGTCCTCATACGGTACAAGGTCTCCGTATCATCGACCTCCTGCTCCAAGAAGAGAACGTCATCATCGCCAACGCCAAACGCGCCACGGTAGGCGGTCGTCAATTATCCGAACGCGACGCCGAACGCTACTACGCCGCGATGGACGTCGTGGCCAAAGCGACGATGTGCGTCGCGGAGAGGGAGACGTTGAGGTTGAAGGATTTGGCGGACCATTGGAACGATTTCGAACCGAGACCGCAGAGCGTGCTGCAGCAGCAACAACAGATCGCGGCGCAGGGGGGGCAGCAGCAGCAGGTCGGACAATTGATTCCGCCGTCGGGGATGCAGCAGCAGCATCATCAGCTGCAGCAGCAGCAACAACAACAACAGGCGACAGTGACGGCTACTCAAAATGCCACGAGTCATATGGGAGTAGAAGGAGGTGCACCGATGCTCGTCGTACCTTCCCCGAATGGAGGAGGCGGAGGAGCAAACTACGCCACTCGATCGAACAACGGCGGTTCCATGTCGGGGATGCAAACACCCAACAACGGAGCCATGTCTCAACAGCACCATCAGCAAGCCGCGAACTACCACCTCTCCTCCTCTCCGACGAGTTTGGACTTTTCGCACCCACAAGCATGGGGCACCACAGCTGCAAGTGGGGCACCCCAAGGTTACGCGAATACGTCGGCTGGAGTGGCAGTCGCTTCTACGGGGAGTAGTGCGGGTGCGGGTGGACTGGGCGGTTTGCAGGCTTTCCAATTCCCCTATGATCCGTTTTGGACGCAGGATGATGGCTGGGACGATATCTCGCGGTTGGTTTGAAAAGAGGGGAAGGAGGTTGAAGGAGGTTGTTTGTACTGTAGCGTTGTTTTCCGTTTATCGTGTTGTTTTGGATTAAGGAAAGGGGAGGAGGGAGTTCATAATATATGGCATTGCAACTGATAATATATATGGCATTGCAACTGATAATATATATGGCATTGCAACTGATAATATATATGGCATTGCAACTGTTGTCGATTCGGCCCGGTCAGAGTAGGTCAGAGTCTAGTCGGTGGAGGTCGGTGGCGAAGTGGGGGAGGGGGAGTTGGCTGCGAGCGCGCCAAGTTGGCCCTTGTTTTAACTCCCTACCAGCGCTCGGAACGACGTCAAAGCGAGAGAACGAGTCATTCTTCACTTCGTCGCAAGTTCGAGAAAGGAGTGCGACCGATCGGCATTCGTTCGTGCCTAGCCCGTCTCGGGGTTGCTCGGGCTGACCGTCGACGTCACCTCTGCACCTCGGAGGGCAGTGGGACTAGGTTTGGACTACCACGAGGACAGAGTCAAAGAAGTACGAGAACCAAGGTTCGAATATTGGTGAGTGGTCTCAAGAGAGGGTGGAATTCTAAGACGGTGTGGTCACTGGAAGCGTCGGCGAGACGGCGACTGTGCGAGGGGCTCTACGCGAGCAGGCGTGAGATCGCCGGCCTTAGGCGGGGTGAGACGGGGTCGACGATGAGAAAGTAGCACAAGATAAACTATGCCTGGTGATGGGGGGATGTCGCGTTTTCCTTCACCTGGCGCCGTGTGGGCAATGACGACTGAACCCCACCTTCCTCCGCTTGCAGTGGCCCCCAAGGGATCTTCCTCTGGAAACACCACACCAACCATGTCCTTCCTAGCCCGGATACGCTCCAAAATCACCTCCCGTCTGTACCCCACAACATCCGAAGCCTCCCGGCTGCGCGCCTCCCTCATCCGTCGGCAAAAGATCCTCACCCAAGTCCGAGCCTTGATCCCTTTCCTCCAAGCTGGACTCATCATCGTCGGCTTCTTGTACCTCTTTGCCATTCCGACGCAAGGCTTGGGCAGGAGGCATTATATCAGTGAGAATGCGTTGCAGCCTGGTCAGGTGCGTTCGATCGTGCCTTTGAACTCTGGGCCGGAGAAGGGGAAGATGCTGAGAAGAACTTTCTCGCGTCACTTTTTGGGGACGTCAGGTTAATACGAATTGGAATTGGGCCGACGTGCACATCGCGGACGAGTATGCCAAGCAGGTCGAGGCGTGGAGCGCGTTGCCTTTGCAGCAGTAGGTCCCACCTGATATGCGGCATTGGCTAGAGGGGAAAAGGCTGATCGGAGATTTGTCGGCCAGACGGACGCAGGAGCTGAAGAAGGCGTTCCAAAAGTTGGGCTATGCGACGGCGACGCAGGACTATGTCTTTGAACTAGGATCGAGGAATAGTGTACGTTCTGGGGCGGTTCGATCGTCAACATGCTAACGATCGAAAGACTGACTGCGCATGATCGGGACCTGTAGACTCTGCAAGGCACGAACGTCTACTCGATCCTCCAAGCTCCAAAAACGGACGGCGCCGAGTCGCTGGTCCTTGGGGCTTCGTGGTTGTCTAGGGCTCTGCACCAGGACACCAAGGAACAGAGGGTGAATGTTCGAGGCGTTGCGAGTGTTTTGGCTTTGGCCAACTTCCTCAAGAGTGAGTTTGCACGTGAACGATGAAATGATAGCAGGCCGGCTGAATTGAGTTCGGTGCAGAGTATTCAATGTGGTCCAAGGACATCATCTTCCTCGTCTCGGACGACTACATCGCTGGCGCTCAAGCCTGGATTGACGAATACCATGGCAACCAACAGAGCAATATCCGAGCCGAACCTCTTTCGCTCACGACGGGACCGATCTGGGCTGCTCTGAACCTAGACTATCCTTACCACTCCTTTTCGCACCTCGGCCTTTTTTACGAAGGCATCAATGGCCATCTCGCGAACCTCGATTTCCTCAATTCGGCATCACACATCACCAAAGGAATGGGCGTGCCACCCGTCTTGCATGCTGATGTCGAGCTCGCGGATTTAATGCCTTCGATTTTCTACGATACGCCATTGAGTTTCTTGGACAACCATGTCGTGAGGACGTATACGAGGGCAGCAAAGACGGTCTTGCATCAGGTCGCGTTGACCGCTTCGGGGAAGGCACAAGGGCCCGAAGCGGTGTTTGGCAAGTACCGCATTGATGCGTTGGCGATGTTTGGTGTCCCTGCGGAAGGGCCGTACGGGTTTCATGTCCTCGGTCGGTGCGTCGTTTGATCCTCAACATGGCTGTACTAGGAAGAGACCTGTACTGATGTTGTGATCGTCATCGACGGACACAGTATCGTCGAATCGACGTTCCGCTCGCTCAACAATCTCCTCGAACGCTTCCACCAATCCTTCTTCCTCTACCTCATGACCTCGGTCGACACATTCGTCGCGATAGGCAACTACCTCGCTGCTCCGGTGTTGATCTGCGCGGGTATGACGATCATGGGGTTGAATGTGTGGGAACAGGCGGGGCTTTCGGTCAAGGGGGAGAGAAGGGAGAGGTTCGTGGGGAAGCCGATCACGATCATTGGATTGACGCATGCGATTGGGTTTGGGTTGTTCTCGTATGTCAGTGGGTTGGATCCGATGGGAGATCTTTCGGTGAGTTGAGAGTGGTGCGTGCGTCGTTCGAAGATTAAATGCTCATGTCAAAAAAAATTCCTAGTCCCGCCTCCCACCTACGCTCGTCTTCATCCTCCTCTTTGCGCCGCTCATCCTCTCGACCGTCTTCAAGTCGCGTCGCCGAAAAGGTCGAGCTCCTTCATCGATGGTGCTCGCCTCGCTGTCGTTGATCCTCGGTGGGATGACGATCGGCGTCGTCGCGTGCCTCAACTTTGGCGCGTCCGTACTCCTATCGTTCTCCCTCTGTCCTCCCTTGACGCTGGTCAAACCGCGGCAACATCCTCTCTCCGAACGAGTCCAACAATTCCTCGTGCTCATATTTTCACCTCCGGTAACGTGGGCATTAGTAAGAGCATGGAAGAGGGAAGCAGCGGATGCGTGGGCGAGGGGGTTGTTGCTCGATTGGCAGATGATGGGGACGTGGTCGATGCCCTTTACGTTTGTCGTGGTGGTGCCGTTGGTACTGCAGGCGGGCACGGTGGGTTTATTGGAATGATCGACTAGAAGAGCCTGGGTGTTGTTTACTAGAGTGAGACGCGTCTGTTCTCCTTTATCTGAATTTGTTCTCGGGAGCGCGCCGAGGAATTTCCCGGTCTGCTCCTCTCCTACTCCTCTCTCCCCGCCCCCCCCCCCCCCACTTGCACTTGTCGCGCTCTCGCAGCCTTGGCCGTCATCGCCCCGAATGGTGTACTGGTCCTACCTCCCGCACGTGACCCTATCCAGTGCCGACCCCATGACTCTAGGCCAACGCATCGACTACTACCTCTCGCAAGTCCCGCCTGCGCCCCAAGCGCTGCATCACCGATGGGCCTCGTTGCGAGGTGACCGATCGGATTGGACGATGCTGGCGTCGATCTTGGTGCCGCTCTTGGCGGGCTGGGTGTATCTCAAGGTCGTGCATGTACCTTGGGATGAGAGGGCGCGTAAAGTCGAGTGGCTCGTACCCGAGGAGGCTTTGTGAGTGTGCTTCTTCTCCAAGGGCGGAGGCGGAGGGTGGTGATGAGTGCGGCTCTGAACGCAGCTCTGAACGGGGATGATCACACCCGTCGTTGGGGGTTGATAGGCCATCCTGGAAGCCAGCAAAGGTCTTGTCCCACGCCTCGATCAATTCGCATCAATCGGACCCTTCCCTCGTCCCAGCGGAGCACAAGTCCCAAGAACGCACCTACATCACCTGCTACGCCCCCGCTTCCGGAGCGCACCTCGCGACCGTCCCTTCCACAACCGCGGCCGAAATCGACGACGCGATCCTCCGAGCCGAAAAGGCGCAAAGAGAATGGCGCACCAGTTCGTGGAGTCGAAGGAGGAGGCTGATGAGGACTTTGTTGAGCTGGTGTACGGTCGAGATGGAAGGGATCGCCAGAGTCGCGAGTAGGGATACGGGCAAGACTCGTACGTATTATCCTCCCAGAAGGATTCATCGTCCCGTACTTGTGCTCATCATTCGTTCCCGAAATTCCTGCAGTTGTGGACGCGGCTTTTGGGGAGATCTTGACCACGTGCGAAAAGTTGCGATGGGTTATTGCGAATGGGGAGGAATGCTTGAGGCCGGAACCGAGGCCGTCAGTTTTGCGGGGTTTAGAGAGCCACAAGGGTGTAAACAACACAGCTGATCACAGCCTTTTTTCCACAGTACAAACATGGTCTTGGCGCACAAAGTGTCCAAGGTGCACTACGAGCCGTTGGGCGTCGTTGCCGCGATCGTCAGCTGGAATTATCCGGCGCACAGTCAGTCCAAATCCCCCCTTCACCGATCACAAGAGACGGCGCAGCAGGAACTGATCCTGTACGAGTCTCGACCTGCTCTACAGACGCGCTGTCACCCATCATCGCCTCCCTCTTCTCCGGCAACGCGATCGTCGTCAAACCCTCCGAACTCGTCGCCTGGTCCTCGCACCACTTTGTCCAAGCGGTCCGATCCTGCCTCTCCGCCTGTGGTGAAGACCCCAACCTGGTACAAATCGTCGTTCCCCTTCCCGACACCGTCGAACATCTCACCGGACACCCTCGCATCAGACACATCACCTTTATCGGCTCCGAACAGATCGGTCAAAAAGTCGCCATCAAAGGTGCCGAAGCGGGAACGCCCGTTCTTCTCGAATTGGGCGGTAAAGACCCTTGCATCATCCTCGACTCGGCCGACCTCAAAGCTTTCGAAGATACGTGGATGCGCGCTGCTTTCCAAGCGGCCGGACAGAATTGTATCGGCGTGGAAAGGTTCATCGTGCATGACAAAGTCTACGATCGGTTCGTCGCTTCGATGGCTTCTCGTGTCGAGGCTTTGAAAGTGGGCGATGTCTTGGCCAAGGATTTGGATCGGGACGCTACGAATCGCGTCGATGTAGGAGCGATGGTTTGGGATCGTCTGTTTGGTGAATTGGAACGACTCGTCCTTTCAGCCGTTAAAGATGGGGCGAGATGCATCATCGGTGGTAAACGGATCGAGGAGCATCCTACCTCTCCCCAAGGGCATTATTTCCAACCGACCCTGTTGGTCGACGTGACGACCGAAATGGAAATCGCGAACCAAGAGGTCTTTGCTCCCGTGATGACGGTGATGAGGTTCAAGGAATTGGACGAGGCGATCGAGTTGGCCAATTCGACGAGGTATGGATTGGGCGCGAGTGTGTTTGGAAGGAAGCAGAGGGATTGTAGGTACGTCGTTGAGAGGGTCGAGGCGGGGATGGTGTGCACCAATGGTACGTTCTTTCGATGGTATGCGTTAATTCCGGAGCTCCACGACTGAGGAGCTCCTTACGTTGATTGCAAACAGATTTTGGCGTCTTCTACCTCAACCAAGCCCTCCCCTTTGGAGGGTGCAAAGCCTCGGGCTACGGTCGATTCGCCGGTAAGGAAGGCCTTCGTGGCCTATGCAATCCCAAAGCCGTGACGGAGGATCGGTTTCACGGATGGATCCAGACGGGAATCCCTCCTTTGCTTGCGTATCCGATCAATTCGGGTCGGGGTGCGTGGGGTTTCGTCAGTGGTTTGGTGGGTGTGATGTATGCCGATGGGGTGTGGAACAAGCTCAAGGGCTTGGTCGGGCTCGTTTCGGCCAAGTGAAAAAAAACAAGGGGGCGATAATTAGGAACCAAGTCCTTTGCCCTTCCCTAGGAATGAAATCACACAAGAGTCTAGTAATTCAATGCGCAACGCTCCCTCTTGAAAAAACCTACTCCTCATCATCATCCACCACCTGAACCAAACCCTTTCTCTCCAACGCCTCTTGATCGGTCAATCGTCTCCAAACGCTCCATTCCTTAACCCCCTTATTCCTTTCAACCTTCTTACCCTCCTCCGTCCTCCTCCTAACAGCCTCCATCAACCTCCTCTCCCTCTCCCTACCTCTCTCACCTCCCTCCAACTCCCCTTCGACGCCTTCCCCACCTTCGCTTCCAAGGGAGGAGATCTCATCTTCGGTCAGACGGAGAAACATAGGACAGGAAGCGAGGTGAGAGGTCATCCAGGTGTGCAGGGCGGGAACGTCGGTGATGGTGTAGAGCAAGCCGCCGGGACGGAGTACGAAAGCGTATTCGGCTAGGAGGGTCGGACTGTGGCGTTGGGACGGGTGGGGTGGGGGGGAGTTAGTTTGGAAGGGTTTGGGGATGGGGGATTGGAGAGGAGAGATCGTACGATATTATGCGGGCCTTGTGCTTGCGCGCTTTGAAGTGCGGGTCGGGGAAGAGGAAGAACATCTTGGACAACTGTAGTCGTGACGAATCGGATTCGCATGAGTTGTAATCCTTTTGTGAGGAAGTGGGACCAACAAAAAAAAAGAAAGGACCGACCTGGCCTTTTTCGAAAAAGTTGGGTAAAAACTTCATCGCGTTACCCCTCAACACACTGACGTTGCCGTAAGCGTAACCTTGAGGAGGACTGAGATCGATCTCTTTCCCACCCTGTTCTGATGAGGCAACTTGCTGATCTCCGAGCTTGGGTTTTTTGCTTCGACGTTCACCGTCTTCCTCTGGCTCCGCCTTCTCCGTCGAACCAGCAGAAGTAACGGGTACCTCATCCGGTCGATCGGGATCGACACTGCCGGGGTTCAACCTCAACGCCTTGATCTTATCCGCGACATACTGGGTCACTTGGGTGCGAATCTCCATACCCAACATGAGCGTATCGGGGAACAGAGGAGCGAGGGAGATGAGGAGCCCTCCGAATCCACAGCCGATGTCGGCGAATTCGACGCGTTTCGCTCGAGGGCGAGGGCCGAGGAGGGGCACAGATCCGGAGGAGGGAGAGATGGGAGGGGAGAAGTAGGTCGGGTAATGGATGGACCAGTCCATTTGATCGGGTGCGGTGGGGCTGTGGGTGTGAAGAGGGGGGAGGATCAGTCGTGCAAACGGTTGCTTGAATTTTCACTCAAGTCCGAAGTGTACGCACTAGTCCAAATGATGAATCGACAAGGGGTTCGCGTGCGCTCGTTGGCGATAGAACCTCTTGCGAGGCATGCCGTTCTCCGTCGTTGCTGCACCGGCGAGGAGGGCGGGGTCTTGGGCGGTTGAGGGGGTGGAAGCCGGAGCTGGGGGGCCGGACGGGTCCGAGGGGGTGCCAGAAGCAGCGGCGGCGGCGAGGGCGGCTTTGGCCTTGCGTTTGGCTTTGGTGTTGGCCATGGTACCCCAGAGTGGTGATGGTGGTGGGCTGTGTGGGGTGGAAGATAGGAGCTGTGGTGAGTTGAGAGCGAGCAGAACGGAGAGGCAGCGAGGCCGTGAGGCGGTGAGGACGTACGCTGGGAAACGGCTTGCTCCAGATGAAAGCCCGGGAAGTTTTCAATGGAGCTCCTGAACGAACGGCGTTTCTCTCTGTCTTGTCGGCAAGGAAGCCTTATCCAAAAAGAGGCGTGCGGTGCGGTAACCCAATTGACAGAACGGGGCAAATCGTTTCAGAACTCGCGCGAGGCTGCGGAGGGTCGCTACACCGCACTCGGCCGCGGATGGGGGTAAGAGATTGGGTAGTAATGCCATCATTAAGCCCGGGCGCGCTCTTTTGTAAACGCGTTTGAGGGCGCGCTCGACTCGACGCTCCGGCTCTCACTCTTTCCCCCCCCCCCTCCCCCACTTGAGTCTCTCATCTGCTGCTCAGTGCTCACCGGTCGCACTCATACTCAGCAGGACCCACCTCGGCAAGCTCAAAACGGTGATCAAGCACACCGGACACGGCGACTCGTACCGCCTACCATTGGGTCCTCTCGCGCAAGGCTCAACTCAACCACTGCAGCGCGATCTTCCCAAGGCGCGCTCCCGATTCGGAGATAGTCCTCCGAGTCGGCGCACGCTCGCAACCGGCCAAGTTCCCAACTGCCCAACTGCCCAACTACGCAATAACCAGCACCGCCAACAGAGCCGAGGTGAGCACATCCTGCTCGCGTCTTCCGGGGTTCGCCGGTTGGAACCTGTCAGAGGAGCAGCAACGCCAGATGCACGACGACGACGACGACGAGCCGCTTGGACCTCTTGCTCGCCCGATCGCACTGGAAAGGTTTTTTGTGCGACCGTCAACTAGCACCCCCTCTCTCAACTTCCAAGTGGTGACTACCGTTACCTTTGCAAGCAGCAGAACGAATCAACACATCAAATGGCTGTGCGCACAAGACATGCTCACTGACACGCCGGCACAACAACCCCTGTCCGTCTCGCAGAATCGTTCACGCTCTCCGCTCGGCCCCGCCACCATGAGCACGCCACATGCAACAGAGCGTACTCCGCTGCTCTCCAACCCTCAGCACGACGAGAGCAATTCATTGGCTCCACCTACATCGACCACCCCACCCAATCCCATCGCCTCCTCGTCCACCCTGCTCCCTCCCTTCCGTCGGCTGCTACTCGCCGCATTACTCCAGGCCCTCTCCTTCGTCGCGACTGCCACACCCATCATTTTTTCCTTTCGTACCATGTCCTGCGAGATCTACTACGAACGCAACCCTCCGTACCAAGGCAACGGAGATCGGTGTGCGAGGAAAGAAATCGACGCGACCACGGCTTCGGCGATTTCGCTCATGGTCACCTTGACCACGTTGTGAGTCGGCGCAGCATTCGAGCTTGAAAAAAAAAAAAAAAAAAAAAAAAAAAAAAACCACTGAAGCCATCCCTCTCCTCCAGCTCGGGACTACTGAACCTCTTCACCACGGGCTGGATCATCCGTCGTCGAGGCGTCAAGCTCGCCATGACCTTACAAACGCTCGTCCCCTGCGTTCGCAACGTCTGCCAAATCTATGGCATTTTCCACGGCGGACTCCTCGGCATCCGCCTGATCCAATGGACGCAGCTCTTGACCATCTTTGGAGGAGGGGGAGGGTACATGCTCACCGCCAACAGTTATGCCGCGGCTTTGGTCACCCCTGAAGAGAGAACGGCCAGTTTTGGGATCTTGCAAGGCTTTCTCATGCTCGGCACTGCATTGGGGTACACTCGTGAGTCAGACCGCAAGTTTATTGCCTCACAAAAATCTTCACTTGCTGATCTGTGGTTCACTACAGTCGGTGGACTCGTCGATGACATGTTTGGAGCACCAGCGCCCTTCGAGATGACACTTGGCCTCCTCATTTTGTCGACCCTGCTCTCCGTCTTTTTCCTCCCTTATATAGCCCCCGATGCCCAATCACCCAAACTCAACGACGAAGGTGTATTGGCACCGCTCAAGATCTTCTGGCCTCGATACGTCCAAGTAGAAGGCACGAGTTGCTCGGTCCGCTATTGGGGAATGACCTGGCTCGCGATTGGCAGCTTCTTGGGGGTGTTTGCGACGGCGTTCGTGCCGCTCGCTTTGCAACTCACGGCGACGAACATGTTTGGGTTCGGGCCCAAGAATGTAGGATGTCTGACCTCCCATCGAAGCCTTGGCGTCAGAATCTGATCGAGTAATCTCGTGATCCCGCAGAACGGCTACCTGCTCTCTTTAACTGCGGTCTCTCGAGCCGGGTTCCTCACCTTCGCCTTCCCCCGAGCCATCGCACGTGGAAGGATATGGCTCAGCGGACCCAAAGTCGAACCAAGTCCCCCATCAGCACCCACGACACCACCACGAGCCCCAACGCAAGCCAAAGATCTCGAACCCCTATCCCTCAATCCGGACGAACTGACTGAGTCTGCGCCCGTGCCCAAACCGACGGACCAAGTACACGGCAGTCAGTTCGATCTCTTCTTTTTACGAATGAGCATGCTCGTCGATGCTTGTTTGACCGCTTGTGTCACCTTCACGACTCTGGGATGGCACGTCTATCTGGGTGAGTTCAGCAAGGCCACGCATCACCCGTTCTCTTCCCGAACCACGCTCCGAGCGAAATGACTGAATGCGCGAACCCAACCTTGGCCCTCACAGCCGCTCTCATACTCCCCCTTGCTAGCGGTACCGCCCCCGCCGCCAAAGGCGTCATCATGGAACTCGTTGAACCGTCGCAACAATCCCTCGCATTACAAGCGATCGCCCTCGTCGAATCCTTGGCGATGGTCTCGACCGTTTCCGTCTTGGGGATCGCGTTCGCGATGTTGAGTGAGGTCGGCAAGGGCCCTTGGATTTTCGTGGCTAATGGGTCGATTGCGTTGGTCGCGGCGGGTACTTTGATGTTGGTGCGCTTTCCGCCCAGAGGTGTGGTGGGCACAGCGGTCGGAGGGGGGGAATGAATTGGACAGAGATAAGGAAGCTTGTTCAGCTTAATTTGGCTTGTATTGGTCCGACAAACGTTTTCGTTTTCGTAGATAAGTCTTGTTTTTAAAATTAATAGAGGAGGTAATGTGTACCTAATCGATTCACTTGTGCGCAACTTTGCGAAGCGCAGACCCGAATGTTACTCTTGCAGTGGCGGTGTACTAGTACCTTCTCGACAGACTGCGGAGTTGAGCTGATGCCAGGACCGAGCGAGAGCAAGGGAAAGGGAAAGGAACGATTCTTCGTTGTTCCTGATGCCTCTCTCATCCTGCGCTTTGCGGGAGAAACGAATGCCAATCGCCCAAGATATGACATGGCTATCGCGACGTGTTTGGGGGTTTTGGGGTCGGGTACTAAGCGCAGGACCGCATCCGGTTTGTGAAATCAGGTTTATGATGTCACTTGCTCAGTATTCCATGTCTTGGCGCAGACGGAGTTCGTCACACGGACCCCAAGACCGGGAGACCTGGGACTCACACAGGCCTCTTTTGAAGAGAGAGCTTGTCAAAGACGTCCGTGTCGAGGGTCGGTGCGCATTCCGTCGTCTTGGCGCCGGCTGGGACAGACGCCAAGCGGGCTTGGGGGGGGGGGGGGAGGGGGAGGGGGGGACGAAAATGGATCGAACACCAATCGGTAGGGTTGGTTCTATACCCCAGCCTTCTTCAGTAGTAGTTGTAAGACGGCGAAACCAAAAATACCATCGGTTTTTTCATCAGAAGCTGATTGTGGGAGGAGGGGCCCCCGACTTTCGGACCGATTCCCATCGAAAGAGACATGGAGGTAATTCAATTGTGACCATTTCATGCAACGTGTGCTGAGTCATACCGACATCCGAATGAAAGCACCGACAGGACTACGGGATTCGCGAGATTGCCCATTGACATTGGGCATGTGTACTTCGGTAGGGGGATCACGGTAAAGCAACTTTGTCCATCATGACGGTCGGAGTGTGCCGATCGATTTTGCATCGGTGCCGATGCAGCTGCCGATCAAATTCACGGCGGCTCGGCGGCTTGAGCTTCTGCTTCTACAAGTTGCGTTTGCCACCTTTCAGCATGGTAGCGTCGACAAATAATGATTGTTCCTCTGTTTGGATCAGATATACAGCACATTTAGTTTGGCGAGTCCTGCCTACTTTAGCCGCTACTGAATGGTGAAGGGTGAAAGTCTTGGTGCGGCTCCGTAGTACCTTATCTTTTAGGTAGATGTAGATTACTGCGATGTCGTCACCGACGTCAAGAGTCAGCACTACTCACATTGTTTCTTGGGTTGCCAAGGCAAAGCCTCTCAGCGCTCGATTTGATCTCCAGCGCTGCCGATTCGACTAGGTAGCGAGCCCAAGATGTTGGCGCACTTTGGCCGTTTTCCAGGGTAGCTGTCGAAGAAGGGATACATGGGGCGAACTCTATGGTAACGTGGTATATTGATTCTCGGGGGAAGGTATCGAGATCGGCACCCCTTCAAGAGCTTTCAGAGATCGATTACGGATTCGAAACCGCTGCAAGGCACGCCTTCAGCTGCTCGGCGACAGCCGCCGACGTTTCGGCAATCGGCATCTTCTCTCGATGTATGCGTTTAAGTCCGAAGGAAGCTAGTAAAACTTTCTCTCGTTTTGTTTTTTTCATTTCAAAGTCAATCGATCAATCGAATCTGCAAGAATCGAAGAAAACCTTGATCGCCACCGCCTAGGAACGAACCACCCTAGCTCACAGCTTGGCAACGGCGCCATGTGGGAAAACTCGATCGCTGAGGAAGCGAAGGGAAAAGCTTTCGGCACCCTCGGACCTGAAGCACTCCAACCGACAAAACCTCTTCCCTACATCAATGAATACGCGGGACGGTGAACGGTTCGCGAAGGACGCGGTTACAAGACGCCTACACTGCTTTTGAGCTTGTCGTGCGAGGCACACGGCAGTGACGGGTTGATACGGTACGCGTGCGAGCTCGACTTGTTGGGGGTTGGGCCACCTAGTGACGTGCATGGACCTGGCTCGAGCTTGGGGGAACAAGGTCCGCAGAAACTCGACCCTTATCCTATTATCTGAAACTAAGTTTTGAGTATCGACTGGCACTACTGGGCCGATCAGCTGCAGAGCGGGCTAGATAGGTACAGCGAGGCCGGCAGGGACTAGGCTACCACAACAAGCCAAGAAAACAAACATAAGAAATTAGCTAAACAGCATCGTGGAATTCGTAATCGCTCGAGAACACATGTATTAGGTAAAACTAGTCAAGTAAGAAAAGAAGAACACCAGTAGTGTGCCCCTGATCAACATAAAGCAAGTGCGCCGCCAACATAATCCCTGTGAGACCCGGAAATTGCAAGCACGAAGAAGCTCTTTGAGTAGTGCCTTCTCAAAGGCCAGCTGATGTTGGCGAGAAGGAGACTGCGCGCCCGCTTCTCAAGGCGGGAGGTAAATTGAGATGTCTCACTTGGGAAGGCCCGCGGGAGGCTCAAAGAGCCAGAGGCGCGCGCCCCGGAGTCCGACGCGTCGCGACGCGTTCATTTGGGTGGAGGGAGGCACGGGCCATTTCCCATTATTCGGGCGGGTTTCAGCAAGTAGCTGCGGAAAGGGGGGGGGGGGGGAGATACAAGTAGTTTGCATATGGCAGGAGCCATAAAGGCGACTCTGTAGCAACTTGGAAAATATGTCGAGTGGGTAAATTGTCTACAGAGACTCGTCCATTCGATCGGCCCGGTCTCGGGAGCTTTCTCGATGTTGGCACCACCTGGCGCATTTCTTCAAAGGACCCCGGGGGTGGTCCAAAACAAAGATTACAAGTAGAGCCAGTCTTCGATGGACGATGATAGTTTCGATTCGAGACCACCGTCTTCCGTCGTCGACGCCCACGATGCCATTACCCGCAGTCCGATTGCGCTAGCTTCCATCGCCATTTGCCCGCCCATCTCAAGCTCACGAAGTCTACCTTTCGATTGAGCATGATCTGATCGTGCAGATCATCGAAACTTCAAGCATTTCTCTATAGACTTTTGCGTCGCTTATGCAGCTCAAAGCCGAGCGGCTCGGCCTGAGTTTACTTGGGCTTGGACAAGGCCCAAGCTCTATAATCGAATGGCTAATTCGCCCCGCGGCCCAGCGGTTCACCCCGGAGCGCATGATGCTCCTCGTCGATCAGATGCTGCACCGATCCGTCGAGTTCCTGGAAACTCTATCACAATAGAGGTCCCTGCAGCTTGCCAACCTCCGAATTGAATCCAATCAACGAAGCAATCGAGCAAACCGAACTCGCTATCCCCGATTAGGTCCGTCGGAGTTGGTTGAAATCTTCGCGTCCAACATATATCAACCTACCAAAGCCCGTGCGCGATATTTCGAGTGCAGAACTGACTTCTGGTCAATGTTATGGGTTTTCGGGGGAGAGTACATGTGAGGATGGTATCGTCGGGAGTGAAGAGGCATGAACTGCCCAGGCATCGTGCAAGCAGTAGCGGCACTCGGCGTCCAGCAGCGCGGTAGCGTTTAGGGGTTAACACGGTCGACCGGGTGATTTGTGCACCGCCACCGAAAGGAATGATCGAGTTAATTTCGTCTTCGCCTTATCACGTCCATCCGATTGCTATGTGCTTGGTTTCTACACCGCTTCCGCGGTAGCACCTGAGATAACGCGTTAATGTAACAGCCACCGGCCGGCTTGGTCTCGAACCTGCACGATTCTGCAGTTCGTCTATGGTTGAACTTCGTACCTAGGAACCTGAAGAAAGAGGGGTCTCATCCGTCTCGGGTCTCACATTCCGTAGTGTGATTACTAAGAACTGATAGCCATCCGTTGACGGCTACTTGATTGTTCTTCGCGCGGCGTGACGTTTCCGAGACACTGGACTCGAGGCGCCAGAATAGGCTCATCTCGAGGTCGTTCTGGTAGTTCGAACACGCACTTTCGTAGATGTAGGCAGATACGGTGCCCCAACGAAGCGTTTGATCATTTCGATTGATGGCTTGTAGGTGAAAAGTACTTGCCTACCTAATGGATCCCTCTCAGAGGAGGACCTAGGTAGGCAAGTAATTATTACCCACTGCTGGTGAATTTTCAACGGCTCTCGGCGGTTTTCAAATCCAAGGACGCCGAGCCCTTGGCAGTCGGTCCTGGCATAATTTGGGAACTATCACAGGCTCACTGAAATACCTGCACGTGCCAAGACCATCTTGTCTACTCGTGCGGGGCTTGACGAGCTCCTGGCGTTGCAGGACCGGTAAAGGTGAACTGCGGTCGAGTCCACGAGACTGCTCCCACTCGAAGGTGCTGGGCGCACGCAGTCCTTGTAAGGTTTCGGTTTTGCATTGTGATGCGGTGAGTAATCTGCACTAAAATATATTTAGTCGTCAAACCTCTGAAGTGTTGATCTCGGTGCTAGTGAGTGCCGCGAACAGCCAACTATGTCCGAGCCAAAATTACTGTCGAAGATAACTGCTGAGTCCGCGCTGCGTGACCATGAAGGAAGAGTACCAAACAGCACTTGACAAGCTAACTAAGAAAAATCTGCATTATCTGTTTGACGACGCGGTGGGTGTCTCCCCGTCCGACATGAAGTGTTAGGTAGCTGACCTTGGTAGGGTAGCCGGCGGCCGGCTCCGAGTTAGGCGGCTTCGGCATTCTCTTCAGAGCCCTTTCATGTTGCCGCATCGCTGGTGGTTGGGGCTCATTTTATGCCGTTGAACTGAATGGAAATGGACGTCTTCTGAGAAGGAGCTGAAAAGGACTCGGTACTGGGGTCTCGCGGATCAACAGCGCCGGAATTATTGTTCTTTTGGATGGCGCCAATCCAAAAGTACCCTTTTATGGGCTGGAGGCTGGAAGCGCACCGCCCACCGCTCACGCGCTCCCAGCCCCTCCCCTCAACCCGCGAGCTTCTCATACGAAAAGGGCTCGCATAAAGGGGGCTGCTTTGAACAAAGCCCGCTTCGATCTTCGCTGGTCAAGACTCTGGCGCGCAGAGACGGCTGCTCCGTCCATGGAACTCATCATCCCTCACTGCATTCGAAGCTGTGAAAAAGCTTCGGGAGTTGCTCTACAAAAAGCGTGATTCTCTAACCGGAACGTTCGAGAGTCCTCACAAAACAAATGTACTACGAAGCGCTCACATCTAGTTCGCGGCGGGAGGAGACAAAGCGACGCCAAAGGAGAGTCATGACACACACAGCAGCAGCGCTGCAACATCCGATAGTCATCCGATCGGGCGCCGCATCGGCCATGCATCAGCGAGAGTGTCGACTCGACCGTAATGAACGCGTCGACGACGCGTCGAAACACCTGGCGCGCGCGCGCCCCTTGTCTCGTCTTGCACTTATCTTGCAGGCGGGACGGCCGTAACAGGCAATTTTGGAGCTTCACCGCGATGGGCCAGCCGCGCCCCGGCGGCTCTGCTCTCTTTGAGTGAGTCATAACTACCACAAGGGGTCTCGAGTGTAATTACGCATTGGTTATGTTCAACAAGAACCCTGTGACTTCCCTTAATCAGCCGCATAATAAAGAGTGGCGGATACGACCGATCCTGTTGGGGACGGAATAAGACAAGCCAAAGGTTTTACATTAGAGCGATTCGGCGACGATCGGCCAAAAAACAAGCTCGGCGAGTAGAGAAACAGCTCGAAGGGGGGGGGGGGGGGGGTCCCAGAATCGAAATTGGAACGGCGGTCAAAAAGGGCGCCCCGAGTTTTGGAAATACAATCGCGATCTGGGCGCACAAGATGTCCAAGTGGGCTGGAGGGCACGCGCGCCGGTGCATGCACGCCTGCCTCTTGGGGCGATGAGGCGTCGGCGCTTGTGCCTTGGAGACTCTGACGAGTTTCGGTCGCCTCGTACCCCTTCCTCACTCGCTCAGCCTCCCCCCCTTGTACCCCGCCCCATACATACATCCAGCCCGCCTGTCTGTCCGCCAGCACAGTCGACCCGTGGCCCGACCGTTCCTTCTACAACGACACAGCTTCGACTTGTCACGATCATCTACACGTCCTGCACCCACGTACCCTTCGTTGTACACCTTCCACCTCGTCTCGAGTCAGCCTTCGCACCCCGCGCATCGGCACCCGCACGAGCCTCTCGCAGCACGGATTCTGAGTGTACGCACATAGACGCACCCCCCTTGGGTTGCCCCTCTCGACGGAGGCCGCGTAGTAGGTGGGCATCGCGTACTGATCACGACCGGAATTGGATCCCCACAGGCTACCTACTTCCACCCACCCCTGTAATCGACTGTCGATCTTGGACAGTGCTTGATGCATTACCTGTCGGCGGCTCTTGGGAGTCCATTCGACACGGTCGCCGCTGCCACCGCCATCTGCTCGGACCGCCTGGTCTTTGAGGACGAGGCTGCGTCGTCTTGTTCGTCTTCGTCTTCGTCGTCTTCGGCTTCGTCGTCGAGTGCAGGCTCGCCAGCATCTTCCATGTCCCCGACCTTCTCCCACACGTCGTGCAGGGCCCAGGGCGCTTATGACGATGAGCCCATGATCTCGCCCGCGGCGGCCGCACTCAGGGTGTCTCACCTCCCGTACCAACGCCCCCGGCGCGAGTCGCCGAAAAAGGCCCAGCCGCGCACCGCCGCCAGCGCCCACGCCTCAGCTACCGGGCGCCGCGCCTCGACCGCCGCCATCGACGTCGACGTTGACAGCAACGACGAGGACGATGATTTCTTCGGCACAACAAACCAACCGCCCGTCGCATCGACCTCGACTGGGCCTTCGCCTTCCTCTTCTTCCTCGTCGCCGACATCTTCTTCGTTCAACACAGGGAGGTCGTCCTCGCCGGCTTCGAGACCGAGCTCGAGCTCGCCTTCGGTCCACGAGCCGATTCTGCACCCCGAGCAGCTTCTCCAACCGCTCACACCTCCGCCCAATTCGTTCGCATCAGCTCAGGCGGCCATGGCCGCACAGAACTCGTCGCACTCACAGAATCTGATAGGCCACATGATCGACAACTCGTCAAAGGGGTATCCGTCTCAGCTCGAGTTCATCTCGATTCTCGGCCTCGGCGCGTATGGCGTCGTCTACCTCGCTCGGGATGTTTTGGCTCAGCCGTCCACATTCCCCTCTTCGAGAGCGCATCCAGGACTCGGGAACCAGCCTTTGTACGCGGTCAAGTGCCTCAACAAACTCGGCCTCGATGAGCGCCAGCTCAAATTCCAGCGACGAGAGATTTTGCTGCATTCGCTCGCCTCGCCGCACGGGAACGTCGTCACGCTACACAACTACATCGTCGAAGAGAACTGCATCTACGTCGTTCTGCAATTCTGCGAGGAGGGCGACCTTTTTGGAATGATCACGGAGCGACAGCGATACCTTGGCGACGACGAGCTCATCCGCAGCGTCTTCCTTCAAATCGTCGACGCCGTCGAATTCTGCCACCAAAACAGCATCTACCACCGCGATTTGAAGCCCGAGAACATTCTGTGTCTCGATGATGGGAAGAAGGTGGTACTTGCAGACTTTGGCTTGGCGACGCACGAAAAGACATCGGGTGACTTCGGCTGCGGCAGCACCTTTTACATGAGTCCTGGTGAGTTTTTACATTCGCCTCCTGGAGGAATTGTATTCCGTTCTAGTCGACTGACCCGGCTTGGCTTCGTCTCCCCTCCCCATGCTTCACAGAATGCCAAGGCGGTCTCTTCCAGCGACTGACATCCTACTCGACCCCCCACAACGACATCTGGTCACTGGGCGTCATCCTCGTCAACCTCACCTGCGGGCGCAACCCGTGGAAGCAGGCCTGCCCCTCGGATGAGACCTTCTGCGCCTACCTCGGCAATCCTGACTTCCTTCGCTCGATCTTGCCCATCTCGGAGCACACGAACCGCATCCTCAAGCGCATCTTTGCGTTAAACCCCAAGGCTCGCATCAACCTTAGGGATTTGCGCCGCGAGATTCTCAGCGTCAAGACATTTGTCATGACCGACGAGGAGTTGCGCCACGCAACCAAAGCGACCAAGGAGGCCGCGAGGGCATTCGCGCAAGGAATCCTCGACGAGGTGCTGGAGGAGGAGGCCGTGGAGGCCGAATATTGCGACGACCTCATGTCGCAGGACCAAAGCATGGAGGAGGCCGTCAACCAGGGCGAAGACCTGCTGCTGGAGCAGTCGGCGATGGGTGAGTGCAACGGAGACCGAGGAGATATAGAATCAGAGGGCGCTTTACTCATAAGCCTCTTCCCTTGCCCAAAAGATGTTTTGCCAGCGACGCCAACCCAGCCCTTCCGCGCTGCACCCCTCATCACCCCGCCTGCTACGCCCCGACGCGGCCATCGCCCTGCCGACATCACCCCCGTCTCGCACCAGGATGCGCTCAGAGCCTCTTACTCGCGAGGTTCCAGTGGAAGCGAAGAATCGTCCGACAGCCCCAACTCGGACGAGGAGGCGACTCCTCACGTCCGCCGCCGCCGTCGCGATATCTTCCTTACCCCGCCATCGCACTCTCGCAGCGTATTCGAATCGGTCGGACCGAGCCTCAACGACCCCCGCCCTCCTTCTCCTGTCACTCCGACGACTCACCGCCGCACGCGAGGCTCCAGGAACGCCTCTCCGCGCTCAGCGGCCGCCCGTCTCGCCAAAGTCACGGGCAGCGGACAGCGACGGCAGCGCAAGACCTCGTTCGATTCTTCGTCCTCTTCTTCGGGCGCCTCGGCTTCGCAGCCGCCGACGCCAACCGGACCCCCGGTTTACTCGCAAGCGCAACACTATGGCCGCGATGGGCAATACAGCAGCTTCGAGGGCACCTACGTGCACCCCGCTGGGGTCGACGCCGCCAAGCAGCACCGCGAGCTGCCGCCCGATGTTCTTACAGCCTACTACCCCGTATTCTCTGCTGGTGGGTCCTCATATCTCTCTCGCACATGCGACGAGTCCACGAGCCGAAGCTGATCTTTTCCCTCTTACTCATATAGATTGGCACGAAGCTGCGACCGAGCAAGCGAGCCACTATACCGTCACGCTCCCCCCGCCCGTCTTGCTGCCGAGCTGCACCGAGAACGCCGACGGCACGCCTTTCGAGTTCCCTCTTCCGCCTACCGGCCACTACCATCGCGCACCCGCTCGTGCGGGTGAGATCCCTCGCGTGGAAATCTTCGAAACCTCTTATTAGAGAGACCGCTGGGCAATTCTCGTGGCAGCGGTCACGAAGAGCGAACCCCGGCGGCCGTGCCCCTGCTGCCTTGCCACCCCACCTCATACCCGTATCAGAATACAACCCCCCAACCCCCCAACCCCCCAACCCCCCACCTGGTGTCAAACACCCTAGAACAAGCCACACGACCTGTATTCCCCGCTCTACTCCATCATTCCATTCGAATCGCATTCGGTACTTATCTTTTTTCGCCGTCCAATACTGTAGGCCGCTCGTCCAATGAGCAAGCCCCCGATATCCACCGGCTCTGCCTCGCAACTAATACACCCTCCGTATAGCTTGTTGTTTTATATTAGTATTAGCTTAACGCAATATGTAAAACCACGTATTGTGGTGATTTGGATATCTTCCACCCCGGACGACACTGTCCTTGCCTCGTTCAGTTTTCGAGAGAAAATGTTAAGCCTATCTTGCGCTTGGTTTGTGCAGTGGTTGGGACTTGACATTGACAAGAACGGGCTATTTGCTACGGTACCTCTCGGAAAATTCTAGCCAGTTTCCTTGTTCGAGATTTATGCAGATGGTGACGCACCGAGGCACATGTCCGATCAGGAGATCGGCAGGGTTCATGCGGCCGGAATGCGGGTTCATTTTGCTCATTTGCTGGCGGCGCCGGCCCGCCGGCTGGCGAACTTGAACTTTTTTACACGACTGAGAAGGTCTTTTTTGTCATTTGATATTGTACCGGATGATTTATTTCCCAGGTTCCTTGGGCACTCTCGTGATCGACGCCCTCGATCGTAAAATCGGAGGTGAGACTGCTCCGAGGCGCCGAGACCGTTCCTTCATTTTGGGCAGGCACGCCCCCTGCCTGAATCGTCGGTCGGCATTAAGGGGGCCGGCCAACTTGGATGTATGCGCACACATTGCACTCCGTCCGACCCGAATGGATCGCCCATTCTCATCGAGTTTCTTCGCCAAGTCATCGTGGTCATGCGGTGTCTTCTTCGAGGATCACCTGGTTTGTTCTCGATCCCATCACAATTGGAAAATTCCGATCACATTTTCTCACTGCTAGCATGGCATCCTGCACAACTTCCCCAACGTACTACCTGGATTGCAACGTCTGCAGATTAGGAGTGACATTTGCATGGATGGGCTACTCAGGCAGACGTGGGCACACAATGACAGTCCAAGTAAGCTAAGGGGCGCTGTCAGTGGCGCTCGGTATGCAAAGTGTGATGATGGACAGCAGTCATGACTCGATCATCGCAAGCCGAGTCCGCCGGTGCGCCGACCCAACGGCCGGGCACAGCAACAGTTCAAGGGGACCGTGCGAGCGAAGGCCCGTGCACTCGCCCGATCACAAATGACTATCACGTGCCGTTTACTCCCGGCTCGTCGGTCTCGATGGATCAGGATGCCTCGGGTTGCGTTCGCCTTAGAAGCTTTTGGGTCTTACCGAGACCAGGGACGTTGGACAGATGGTGGCAATTGAATTTAGATGAAGCGAGCAGGTTGGTAAGGGAATCACTGGCACACCGGCGACAGGGTTGGGGAGCGAGGCCAGGTAGGAGGGCAGGGTCGATCCTGGTAGCCGATCAGATGATCAGCCAGATCGAGGGAGCATCGTGTATGCACTCCGGCGGAACGGCGCTTGCTAGTGGCGTTGCACCTAGGTGAAGGCAAAGGGTACCTGAGACCAGTTGTAGTAAAGACCAGATTTGAGCCCATCGTCCAAAAGGCCTCGGATGGATTGAAGCCAAGTTCGGTCAGAAGTCGCTGATGAATAAAAGACCTAGGAGGACATCCGCGGGTAGCAACTTATCTAAGCAACCGAGCGAGTTGAAGCGAGCGCAACGGGCTAAACGTGGGTCCAAGCGGCCGAGAGGCAACAGCGCGTGGCTGCTTCTGATTCAACTAAAGCTTTCGCCACGGGGCTCGCTAATCGTCGATCTGGCTGTCGGCCCCACAGCAGATCGGTCAGCTGACTGTCGCCCCAATCGACGCTACTTGTCGCCACTACTACGCCACTTCAAGTTTGTGGAGCCCATCAGCTCTCATCTCGGCACCACAAAGTGCATCGGATTTCTTTTCTACCAGAAAAAGGTGACATCTGCCTAGTACAGCTTGTTCCCACCTGGATGATCTGGCGGTTGCAAAGGTCGGCCCCACAACGTCACGGTGCTGGCTCTTCCCGTTGGCCGTGGCATGATCAGTATATAGCAAGTTCCTGCAATCTAGACACAAATAAAACCGTTACTTCCTGAGGCGAAGATTCGACTGGTGAACATGGGTGCCCACGGTGGTGAAGGTAACATTTTTTTTACGTCTAGGACGGCAGAGTATCCTGTGCCATTTCACTAGTGACCTATAGATAAGAAGCTGGATAAGACAAAGCTTACTGGCTAGGTGCGGCAGAAGTGTTCGTCAACTTAGCAAAGGGTTCCCGATCCTGGCGAAGAGTCGTTCACAACCTGTTGTCTCTGGGCTTCGGATCCAGCGAAGCTCACGTGCACGACTCGGAGTGCAAGCACGATCTAGACTCTTCATCATTCTGTTTGGCCCCAACCAGAAGAATGCAAGCGTAATGTAAGCGGAACATTTAATTGGGTTCTTTCGATAATCGTTCTCAAGCCGCGCAACGCAACTCCATCGTAGTACTGTGTGCTGTCTACCTGTCACCACGCTGAGGGCCTGCAGGTCACCTACAAAACCGTGGCAACGAAAATGTAATCGTGCACTACCACGTGGGAAGCGGGTTCGGTGTGACGATACCTTCTCTACGCGACGATCACAATACTATCACATGAGCCTCATCGGAGCCAACCCGCAAATGATCAATTTCGGTCTCGGAGTCGAGGAACAGGGACACAAGAAGTGGCCCGCTTGATTGATCGCTGAAGGTCATTTCGGTGAGCCTACGGATTCGAAATCCTAGGGCCTAGGACTTGGCTACAATTCGAACGTTGTAGTCTCTGAGTACTCAATTCCGACGACCCCAGAAATTATGGTGTGTTCGTTTGGCTCACGTGCTCGTCGCCGAAGCTGAGGAGCGCGACGCGTCCGAGGTTCCTCCAGTTGGTGTGTTGGGAACACCTATGCGGGTCTAAATAAGCCTAACAAATATACTACCCCGCGCGCGGCGAGTTTAGGGAGCTTTTTCGAGATTTGGCCCAGGAAAACGTTGGTACAGGGTAGGTGCACCATTCCCCTGCCAACCCCCAGCCCCCGGAGGCAAAACTGGTCACTAATTCGGGCACTTGCTACTTATCCCCGCTAATGGTCCATCTGCCTCAGCACCACGAGTTCCCCCCACTTCCCTCCACCCAAGGCCTTGCAAGCTTGCACCCATCGCTTCAAGCATGGACATCTTACCACGCACACCACCACCTCTACAACCTAGCTCAGCATCAAAACGCACTGACAAGACCAAGCGCAAGAAGAGCACGACCGTGAGGAGGAGGAGGAAGAAGGTGACCTGCAGCAACAAGGACACGATCGAGAATGGGGCCACGACGTCGGTGGGAACGGAGGAGGAGGCGAAGACGAAGAAGAAGAAGAGGAGGAGATTATGGACCAAGCGAGTACGGAAAAGGGAGCCATTGTTGTCCCCCGATAGCGAGCTGTTCGACAAGACGTTCGGCTTCAATTTCGGTATTTTCCGCTCTCCAACGAAGAGGCGTCCGAAACGGCAGCCGAGCCCTCCCCCATCACCATCGGTCCAGAGGTCAACGCGTCGTCGGAAGGAGAAGGAGCATTCGAAGAAATCCATTGCCGGCCTCCACAAATCATCGTCCGAGCCTTGGACTGACATTGCCGATGGCGCAACGGCGTGGCCTCTAGACACCGAGACCGGCGGTTTCGAGCACGACTTCGAGCCTAACAGCGCGCCCGGCTTTGAGCCCGACTTTGAGCCCGACTACGACTTCGGTCGCGATTTCGGTGGTGGATACTCATCTGGACCGGAGCATTCGCCATTCCACCCAGACGGTGCTTCTCAAGACCAAGCGCCCTCTTCACTTAAGCGATCGCGGATCGAGAGGAACGCCAAGAAGCAGCGCAATCGTCGCCGGACTGCGAGGGCCGAAGCTAAGACTAGGGCGTCAAAACGACCTGAACTTTTCCAGGCGTACCTATTGATGAAGAAAAAGGCCAAAGAAGTGCTTCGACAGAGCGGGTTTGTCCCTTCCCCGGACGACGAGGAGTGATGCGACGCATGTCATGAACGCCAAGTCACCAGAAAGGTCCGGGTTGTCGACCTGTTCTTTGCAGGTAGGTGCTTCTGTTGCACATCTTTTGTCAACCACCCCTACGCTATCGTCTTGGACTGATTTGATATCCCCCAATCATGAGCAGGCATGCGAGAACTACGATACTGCCCATGCTATTCCGAGATCCAAACCCTGGCAGCTCACGGTTTTCTCCCGACGTCGTCATCTTCAAACCGAAAAAGAGAAGGCATCACCGCATTCACCTTTCGCACGATCGAATATCTCGACACCTACTGGGGGGTAGATCCTTTTGGTATCTATGGCATGTCCGAAGCGCTCATTCTCTTTTGGTCCTCTGAATTATCCTCGGAGGATCCTTTTAACAAGGTGGGCTCTGGACAGGGATAGGCCGGAAACATTCATTGTTTCTTACAGAATATATTGGAAGCTTCCCAGGGTCCAACCGTGCGTCAGCATCTTCAAGCCGCAATGGATGAATATCGATTTATGCAACAGCTGTAGGCAACTTTGACCGCCGAAATTCTCGGCCTCTCCCCGCGCGAGCGTCTGGCCGACGTTTGTCCGGCATGTTTTGGGCCTCGGATCAATGAAGCCGGCAAGAGCGAGAACGACCTCGATGTCATCATTGCTGTCGACGGCAATTTTCAGCATCGACGATTCGCGCGGGCAAATGCTGATCCTCTCAAGTCACGTCCAGCGTTATTCCTGCCACCAGACAAGATTCGAAACGAGCAAGCTTTGATCGATGGATCGACTGAAGCGGGCGAGAAGGTACCTTGGTGC